GTGTGTGTCACTTAGTTTCCATGTAGGCGCGCCTAATGCGGCGAGTGGACGCGTCAACGGCAGCCGGCCCGCAGTTTGTCTTTCTTTAGTGTGGCAACCCGGGGAAAAAAGCCCGTGCGGAAATGTTTACCATCCCATTTCTAGATGAATGTTTTTTCATCAGTTTTTCGCTTTATAAAATATTTATGAAATGTTTACAATAAATGTCCGGGTTTATAAATAGATTCTTACAGTGCATTAATTTGATGACTCTATAAATAGTCAAACCTCGTACACCATCCAAAATTAATACAGATATTAATAATATTGGCTGTTATGTTTTAATTTCTAATTTCAATTTGTCAATGATTTTATTAAACACAAAAATTGACTAATACATGTGCTTTAATCTTATCACCTCGGTTACGGTACGGTATAGCGTTATTAGAGAAGAAAATTACCTCTTTACATTATGCTATATTTGCACCTAGGATTTACTCAAGCAGATATGACACAGAAAAGAGATCGTTTCATTTAATCAATGAAAAGTATCTGTTCTAAAGTATGTCTAAAGTATCTGTCCCGTATCTGTCGAATCGGACATATTCGGGTCACGGCACAACTTTAACAAATACTGAACGAATCTTCCAGCGTCTAACTGCATCGTTTTCCGATCAAGCGCGTCCGATAGAGCCGCCTTATTTTTACAGGCACGAGGGGAGTGATCGTAATACAATAGGGCTATTATTCTCAATGTTGATTCACGCACAATTTGCCAGCAGGCGCGTTTATTTAGCACTCGCAACATTCTCGGTTACTCTGTCGTGGGGGAGGGAAGCGACGATCGGCGTTTTGTTACGCCCGCCGCCGGCGGTTTTAACGCGATTAACGTTCCCGAATGTTGTCAATGACAATTATCATGACAATTAGCTTTCCCAATCGCATTTTAAAAGCGCGAGTCAATATTATATCGAATTTTCTTGATACGATTTCGGTTAAAACTTAAGTAGTGCAAGATTAGTGTGCTTTTTCAGCAGCTAATGTTGCAATTTTATTAATATTGTCAACAGGACACTTGTAATTTCATAATAATTTAATAAAGTACGACTTAGTTTGGGTAATAAATGCAATCTACAGAGAACGGTAACATTTTCAATTCCTTCTGCAAAAAGCAGCTTAGCTAAAAATCGTCAAAAATTATAGATCCTAATCACAATATTTCAAGTTGTACATGCCTAAATAGCATATTGTTTATATAAAAGTATTGTAAATATTTAAAATCAATTATAGATAAAAAGCAAATGCATTCATGGACGAATTACACAAAGAACAGTTATCGATAAATCTTAAAGAGAAACAAGAACATTACGTTAATACCAAATTAAATAGTCAACGATATTATGTAGGTTCCGCAAACAAACCGCAAATTCACTTTAATTTTTCGAAGGTGTCGTCAACGTGATACAAGAATTGTTGAAGTGGCTGAAGTAGCGACTCGAGTGGTGAACGTATATTTATCTATATTTCAACTTGCATCGCATTACCAGCGTGAACTAAACTGAAAATGATTTTAGGCGAGCTTTGGACTGCCTCGACCTCAAGCTATTTGCCGACGTGAGGCTTTGTGTTTACCCAGCCAAGACTCTAGTGGTGGACAAACATGGGACCGATCGACGGAATTGCTTATTTTGTCTCTACCTACACAATTCCCTTGTACAGGTATCTACGGGAGCCCGGCATGGCTCAAGGCAGCGCACTCGGACCACTTTTTCTAACACTTTTACCTCCGTAGTGGCATAATAATTCGGTAGACGATAGTGGAGAGCTTTGTCCTAAACCGGTTAATTGTTACAGTTTTGATAAATGAAATAATTTAGTGATATAGTATATGAGCATAGCAAGAACATTGTTTTCTATTCTAAATAGTATTGTATGAAAAAAATATAAATTTTTTGCATTATCACCCAACAAAATAAAACATATATTTACAGAATATAAAAGAATGAAAAGTACTTATCTATTCCATCAATTCAAAACTCTCCATAAGTTGAAAAACAAAACACTTTCACAAATTACTTTACACTCATTATTGGTCATATTTCCAGGGCTATAGAATCGGAACACTTAAACTAAATAAGCCTTTTAAATCAGTAACGGCTCGAGAATTTAATGTGTAAATAACAAACAGAATAATAGCCATGATAATATTTCGTTGCGTAGTCACTTGAAATCTTAACGAAGCTTCTAAGTGATTTTCAAAACGTTTTCTACATAGAAAACAAAAGCGATATAATTAGACAAAACAAACTCCGCCATGTTGACAGCTGCCAAAATCTTCCCGCCTTAATTGCACTCTGACTGGTGAGTATATGTAGAAATAAACAACCTATGATTAATTATTTACTCTATCAACGCTGTTTGTACTTTCCCCTTGACAATTTAGATGGACTACTGGGTTTTATTTAGAATGTGGATAGCGTTCCTCGATTGTTATCTAAGTATCTATCATTGTCTTCCGGCGTTGTAGTGTTTAGGCGCGATCAGCGACGCCATAGTGTTTCTCAAGAGCGCTTTTGAAATAGTTTTGGATTTGAATTAATTGATTAGTGGTTTGCATAGCGAATAAATATTTTTTGAACAAGGAATTGTAAAGGTACTTTCGTCTTAATCGTAATAGATAATTATTGATTGATTATTCGCAAAATTTTATCGACAAGCAAAATATGCAAGGCAATAGAATTATTGTAAAATATGGACTTTTTGTCGTGCATCCGACTCATGTGGATTCGCCACCAGAGATTTCAATAAATCTAGTATTGTATCTATTCTGGAATTGTGTGATGTATGTGCCTAATTATTCCTTTATTTGCCGGGAACAGTCATTACTATTAAACTCTTCAAGACCAAAATTAATTTTTTAGGGTAATTGACGTAATAAGTACGTCCCTAATACACAATCAACACTCTCAGCTCCAGTAACATTTAAGTTCAGAAATCCCCTTCGTGACGTTTCACAAGCGAACGGCATTGTAGTTATTAAACACTAGATAATATTACAACATTGTTGACTTCTTAAAAGGCGATATCCAATGTACTCGAGCTCGAAAACCGGCCTCCGGGCATATCAAATGACAAATCATAGAGTCGTTCAAATGCAGATGTGACAATCGACTGCAATTGTTAATTAAAACGATATTGAAAGATTGCCTAATAATTGTAATGCAACAGACTTAATTTTTCTACAGATAATGGCAAAAACACACAAATTGAACAAAGAGTCTCATTTCAGCCTACACTGAAATGTGTTTCGAATATTTTCGCGTTATCTTGTCAATTTATAATTTTAATGTTATTCCACGGATAACAGCTTACACATCTAGATTGCAAGGATAACATATTAACATCGTCTACGAATTAAATGATATTTGCCTTGCCATCATAATAATATGTCTGTTTCCAAAAATTGAGTTGCTTTGTTTCTGATGCAACTAGGAAAAAAGTTTAAGTTAATGATACATACATGACATCAGATTGATGTTATGTACGTAAACTACACAATTTTCTTTTCAATTTTTCAATTTTTTTTCTTATGTTCTACATCGTTAAAAATCTTTGTTATAATGTTTAAATAAAAAATCATTAAAATACATCTATTTAAAAATAAATACGCTTCATCTCAATCATGTTATATGAATGAATATTGTTACTTTTATAGATGTTTTTCATGTAAGTTATATTTTTCTACATAGTCTCGTTTAATAAAGTACAACACCCTAAGTTGCATCATCTGTGCGCTTTTGTCTTAAGTTACAAATACTCTGTGGCCGCGCGGTGGCACGTATACTTTGCCTTTTTAAATGTTTTATGCTGCTGTCTTAATGGTGTTGATACAAGAAACGAATCAATATTGCAATTCGAGATGTGTAATCACTTTAACATTAATTATAGTAAGTAGTTTGGAAAACAGCAATTTGATTTTTTAAATTATTATTAGATATATTATTTATAAGAGTACCACACATATTACTGGAAAAAAAGTAAAAGTAACAGCATATACTGGTCCCACTGCTGGGCAAAGGCCTCCTCTATAAAGAGGGTATCAGGGCATATATGGGGCGTGGTGGACGGCCACACTGAGGATTGGCGGACTTCACATATCTTCGAAATATATATTTTTTTGTTATTATTTCGAAAATATAGGTTTCCTCACGATGTTTTCCTTCACCGCGGAGCACGCGATAAGTGGAAAATAAAATAATACTGCATACCAAACTGTAAAGAAATATGATAAAGCTTTTTTTTTCTATTCACTCTTGTTACTTAAGACGCCTACGTTGTAATCTGGCGGAAAGACGGACGCCGGCAGGTTGTTCCATTCCTTAGCTGTACGCTTACTGCCTGTAGCTTGCTGTCTGACAAAATATTTGAGGTAATAATTACTTATTTACGTGTTTGGATCCACTAGAATTCAGGACCTTTAAAACATTTAGTTAACTAATTATTACAATGAATATTGGAGGCATAAACACTCGGTAAACGCATCCTATCTCTTTAATGTTAAGTTTATAATTTATCACGAAACAGATCATAATAAGAATTGTTACACCGAAACTGGTAATATTATGCTGCAGAACGCTGTTTGACAAGGGACATTATTATTAGTTTCACTGATTGAGAGGTTACAACAACTGGAATATTTGTTAAGCGCCCGCTTTTCCACAAAATCGGTGATGAACAAGAACCCTGTGCTTGTGAGCCGCGAAGTTGCGCACCGAACCAAAACAAAACAGAATACCCGCCAACAATCGAGCATGCTAGAGAATGTTCTGTTCATAATAAAAAATTATAGACTATTAATTAGCATGCTTATAACGACGAGAGGCATTTACTACCACTAGAAGTATTTCAGCCGTTACTGGTGATCGCCTTAGAGCAAACCCGGTCAATGCGTTGTTAATAAGTACAAAAATAAAGTAACGTAATGGTAACAAGTAAGGTAATAAATCATTCCGCCGACTCACTGGCAAACCTGGGGTCGTTGGAGGCAGGGTACCAACTGGCGCCTCGCATGTCCCCGTAGTGGGGCAGGTCGGCGGGGGCGCACCCATAGCCCTGCACCGGCGCGCCCCCGTAGAGGGGCACCGCGTAAGGGTTGGCCGCCATGCCACAGGAGGCAGGCCCGAGGGGCGAGTTTATGCTGCTGCCCGAGGAGTTGGACCTGTGGGAGGAGGCGTCGATCAGCGCACTGCGTGTGACCCAAACTCATCTTAAACTAATGTATAAATTACCCCAGCAGAGGCGATGACAGTCAGTGGTACGGTCACACATGACCACTAGGCGAATGAAACGCAGAAGACGTATCAGTCAATTTCAAAAATGGTCTCCCGTGATTATTCCCCGATCGAGACCCATTTATAAAGAAGTTTTTGTTGCTACACGTCACGGCTGCAGTAGACATCGATATTTAATGAATGTTTATGTATCACGTATATGTTCCTATACCAACACCCGATTGCATGAAACTTTGGTATGTTTTCTTAACTTTGCGTTGGTAACAAAATATCAAGCAAATAGAAAAGAGGACTTCAACGCATACCAGGCATGGTATTATAGTATTTAGTGTGGAAGGTGTTGGATAGTAAGCACAAATGACCACTGCAATCTAGATCTATTGTAGTCTTCCCATTGAAAACATAACAAAATATTGCCCCCTTACTGTACCCTGTCTTAACGTAACGTAACGTAAATTTCACTTAGACGAACGCCCAAATCCGAAACAGTTAATTTTGGATCACACAGATCGTTGTGTCGTATAGGACTCGAACCCACAACCGCCAGCACCAAAACCAATACCTTGGCAACTGCACCACGAAGGCATCATGCATGGGGCATTAGCTATTCGGTTGTAATAATGTTGTGTAAATATTATAAAATTTGATGATTGTATAAGGAGGTACAGCCACAGAATTTGAAAGGTAATCGATATTTATGTGTACGTAGCAAGTAATTATGAACACAAATATGTTAAGATTCATGAAATAAAATAATTGAACATGATTTTCCATAGAACATTTTAATTAATAAAATTAAAGTCCACGACTATTTGAACTTAACTACTTTTCCTTCTCTGCACAGGAAACAAGCCACAGTTCCCGGTGCATTTTGATTGTAGGGTAAAAAATCGACGTAAAGCGACACTACTTTCATTATAAAACACAAGACCCTTATTTTGTAAATATAGAGCACGGACTAGTAAAATATCAAGACTCCTCACTACCTATATCGAATCACTTGTACGTACATACATACCTCACGCACACATTTACATAATAGTAAGCCGACCGCCCGCCATTTCGCGGCACCTAAGTTTCTATGTAGGTAAGTAATAAAATATAATTACGTTATAAAAATAAGTTTACGTCAAGTAATAAAAAATAAAATAATGCCATCTTGTGATTTTCAATGTATAACAATAATACTAAAACTTAGAAAAAGTGTTCTTAGCAGACCTTATACTCATTTATGACTTATGACACATAAGGTTCGACTTAATTTGCTATTGAGAAGAGAAAGATCGATTAAAGGTAATCCCCCGGCATTCCCACATTACGGCATTGCATTGCGTTGTAGATAACGTATGCCAGTCTTATTTATAACAAACGCCTACACGAGTTGTTTTTTTATTAGCGTCTTAGGCTATGACGTCATCCAAGAAGAAATATAAAAAAAATAAAGTGAACAGTGATTACAATCCTTGTGTTAGTACAGTTGTCAATTGCAAATATGTTTTTTTCGCCCGCTTTTTTTTTTAATTCCGTAAGCCGTTCTGCCAGTGACACTAATCGTGAATGACTTCGGGCTCAAATTGCCGCGAAAAGCTCACGCTACGCACCGAGCGCGGGTAGCTCGGCGCCAACCCGTCACTGTAAACAAAAGCCGGCTTATCTGTCTAATCCCTATTTACACAATTTAATCCTCTGCCCTGCCCATCCCGTTAGGTGTCCCGATGATGCCGAATAGTGTGGAGTTCCCGATTTATCGATAAATAGTGATTTAAATTAACCGAACTTTAATCTCTATTTCATTTTTCCAATTAAACAGAATATTACTTTGTGAAAAATATTTAGAATCAAAAGGCAAGCTGAAACAAAAGAAGAAATCGGGAGTGCAAATAAAAATGCAAAGTATTTTTAATTTAAGTGGATCGAACGAATTAGACAATGAACTCTATAAATATTTACTAGCCTAAAACAAAATCTGCATGCGAATAAAAACAAATTTAATTAATCAATGTTCATAATTACATGGATATTTATTTATTCCCAAATTAATCTAAGAATTTATTACTATATTTTAGATATATTCGTAAATATCGATATACACAGCCCTAGCACTAACCAAGCAATTCACACTCAATTCTCAACCTTATCATTTGCCCCGTAGAAATTAACACAATTTATTCTATCTGAGGTGGTGAAACACCCCATTATGATGTTTGACTTGACAAATTGAGTTTTGACAGGGCGGTAAATTTACTGCGAGGAATTTTAGGTTAGGTTGCTCAAATTTGTCGTAGATAATTTCATTATATTTAAGTTTGTTGTCTTTTAATTTGCGTCTTGTTATGTTTGTTTAATTGGTATACATGTTTACCGAAGAGCGCCTTTGATCCTAACATAGATTCTACTTACTTTTATTGAACAATTGATTATTTTTAGTCGTATTTGTTAATGGGCACGGTAGTCCGGAAAGTACAACGATTAACGACCTTACAGAAGACTGGCGTGAAGTGGAAGTGTAATTATACCTCGTCTCCTTCGGTGAGTGAGGTAGCCGGGGCCCACTTTTTTAAATGGTGGTTACACATCTGAACCACCTTCTCACATAAAAACTACGACTAAGAAGTTGCGTGAGTCGTGTTCAAATTATAAATAAGTTGTAATATTACCTTTATTAAAGGGGTACGAAACCAAAAATTTACATAGCTAAACAGCCAAAAAAGAGTCCGTTATTGAATAGAAGTAGAAGATTAAAAATTATGTATAAATTATATTAAGCGTACACCTGCTACAGATTTTACTGACTGACAACGAAACGCAAGAATTATTAAAAGAATATTGAATGACGAAGTAGAACTACACCTTTGTCGCGCGGTTTAAATATAACGACTGCAGCGATTTCTAGGCCTAGAAGAATATGAAAGGGATTAACCGTTTTTTTACTTTTGATTCATTGAGCACTGTCGAAGATCAATAATAACTAACATATTTACAGAATTTCTTCAAATGGTCATCACATCGATTCACCAATTAATTGAAAGAACAGATTAAAATGGATGGTACTCTGCTATTGTTTTACTTATCAAATGTTTTACAAATAACTGAACTGGTTTGAATTTGGCGCCCGGATGTAGGAACTGTTTGTTTGTGCTTACTTATTATTTTTTTTAATTCTCGCTTACATCTTACATATATATTCTGTTTATCGACATGCAAATGAACATTTGACTAAACGCACGGCACACAAACCGGCAGGCGTGAGTCCGTCACCACTTGTGCTGAGCAAACACTCGCCGCGCACTCTTAATGTTATGTCAAATTAAAAATGAACCACCGCATTGGCACTTTGACATTCGGACTCTTGATTTTGAATTTAGAAAACGTTAGAAAAATGCACGAGTACAAAAAGGCGTGAAATGATAAAGCACGGACATCGTATGAGGCCTTCGAGGTCTCGGGTACGAGGCAATAATAACGATTAAATTATAATTAACTAGCGGACCGACAGACTTTGTTCTGTACATACGACTTAAATCCGACAACCTAGAAATAAAAAATTGTAGTGGATCGAATTGTCAATCTAAACCATTCTCGCATCGACCTAAAGACGTGCAAAAAATTTCATTAAAATCGGTCCAGCCGTTTTGGAGGAGTTCAGTGACATACACTCGAGTATATAAAAATAGAAGATAGACAAATAAAATCTCCGGAGTGATTTAAAATCTTTGCGAATAAAATTAGCTTTAAAAAATTAAATTTATTTGAGAGCGAAAGATAACTCTGAAAGTGAAAAGCTTTTTTCGATTTCTTTTACTAATACTTATTGCATTTCAAGTAATTCATATTTATTATGAATCTATTTCGAAAATCCCAGTAGACAGATAGTTGCCTAAGACGGTTTCGAACCCAAAGGATAAAACGGAACCCTATTACTAAGCCTCCGCTGTCTGTTTGACGATTAAAAAGAATTGTACCTTTCCACCCAGTACCTATATGAGTAATATTTTTCATTTCATCTTATCATTACCAACGAGAATTATCAATAAAACAAACATATAAAAATTCTTTAGTATTGTTAACGGAAACAATTATATTTCTCAACTCTCTGAAAACTCTAAGTTAAATTACTATTTTATCTTGGATTAAAAACGGAACTTTTATAAATATCTAATAAGTTTTACGGACTTTATTGGATGATAAATTATTAGAAACGGAATTTTCGCTAACATAAAAAAAATAGCCATAACACATTTTGAACTCAATGCCATGTTAGAATTATAATATGTATTTACATTTATACTAATTTCTTACTATTGAGCCTCGTCTTTGGAACCGCTTTGGGCATTTAAAATCATATTTAATTTTTAGTAATAATTTTGCTTTTTAATATGTACTATTTAAACTCACATAGATAAATTCTGGTCATGATAAGTCGCGTTCAGATGGTGAGAAATCTTATTTTTTCAACATAAAATTATTATCTGTATATTCCTATAACCTTGATGTTATTAGCAATTAAGTATGGAATATAAATATTATAATAAATATTTATATTACTAATTCCCTAAATATTAATCTTGGCATAAAGTGCTTCTTAAAAGAATGCTTGCGGACTCATATAGGTAGATACTTATAATATCGCGTCTTTCCCAGATAAATAAATGTTTCAAATAAATTAACAAAAAATATTTAAAAACCGGTCACTATTTATAATAGTGTTTTGTTTGATCATCGGCTTATTACTTTATTAAAATTGACTACAAATAATTTTTACAAATATAATTTAAAAATTCGTTCTCACAATAAGGGTTTTAAAATTTCTTTACTTGTTTTAATTATCAGCAAAAAGACATGGATTCAATTTGCATATTTCTGTATCGTAATGTGTTGTATGTAATAACGAATATTCGAATGGAAACAGTTCCCTTTCACGGTTTAAAAATATTTTTCTGAAATCACTGCATTGTACAAGTGGAAGAATACGAAATTTAAATAGGCCTACATAGATAACTCACTATTCTTAAATGTCAATTACTTTTCTCTGAAATTAATTTGTTATTGTTTTTAATATGCAATAATGTTATTTTTAAACGCGTATGAAATGTATATGTTCCTTTTGCTATAGCATATAGAATGAAATTTTATGCATGTGGAATTGTGGACTATCATTCAGTCATTCATGTTGTATGCGGAAATAAATTTAATTTTTCATACGTACATATGCATATAAGCCTCAAGTGTCATATTGAAGGCGCGGGCGGTCGGCGTCTCTCAAGGCTACACTATAGGTCCATAGCTTTTGGTCGTATGCATTTTGATTATCGAACGAGCTCTGTGGGTTAAGCTTCGCGAAACGGCTAATCGATTGCTACGCGCAAGTCCTCGGTAGATGGGTTATGGTATAAAGCACGTCGTTGACCCCACATACACATCGCATCACTTGACCGCCGATCACAACATACCTGCACAAACAAACGTCACCGAACTATATCCTTCGACTACAAGCGCCGGTCGAGTACTCTCGAGACCTTCGGGGCACTCGAAAAATCAGCGGGTGGAGGCCGCTATCCCCCCCCCCCCCCCCCTCACCTCCCCGCCACCACCTCTCACCGGATCGATCGCACGCACCTGTACGGCGACGGCGGGTTGTTGGCGAGCTCCAACTTGCGGTACTCCTCGATCGGCGACAGGATATCGGTGACCGAGAACGGCGTGGAGTGCTGGAGCTGCAGCTGCGAGAGGTTCTGCTGCAGCAGGGCCGACTTTGGCGACAGGCTCATCGCCAGCTCGGCGGCGCTCAGTTCCGGCAGCGCCTCCGCCGGACACGGCGAGTAGCCGCCGCCCTCCGCGGACATCCGACCGGTCGACACTCGACGCCACTCGACGGCTCAGGCTCTAGTGGCTCTCGGGGCGAGAGTGGCGCCCGGAGCCCCTGGCGCGGGTTACGGCCACTCGAGAGGCCCCGCCCGGGGCCGCGGCGGCGCTCCTATGGCGGCCCGCGAGCGCCGCGATTGGTGCGCCCCGGCTGGGCGTCTCCGGGCCGCGCCGGGATCGCCCGCGCGGATTCTGCGCCGCACTGCGCCGACCTGGTGGGGGGCCCCCCAGTGCCGCGCCAGTGCTCGCCAGGCGCAGACATACGGGACCGCCGCCGTGTTCCACCGTTCCACGGACAATTCATGGCACGCTCGATTCTTTCACTTATCCGCACAACGCCCTTTGTCAGTCGCTGCTGTAATAAGCCGTTGATACGATTACAACGTTATTGTTAACGAACGCATTATCGAACTAAGTTCGTGTCGTTGTGGATTTTTAGTAGCTGTTCAGTTTATGTTTTCGTTGATAACTATTATTAAATGTATAATACCTACGTTTATGAAATAAGTGGCGATGTAGATGTAAGATTGTTACAAGCATAAATGTAAATTCGGCACATTCGATGATTATTTAACATACGTTTAGCGCCACTCTGTAGTACATTAATTTATAGAGCATATTATACACTTAATTAATGTGTATATAGTTTAGACCAACACAGTAGTTTTCGATTATAAAATACCATATGTCTGTCATAAAGTGTAACGAGATAACCAAATCTATTATGATTTTTTATTGCAAAGTGAGAAAATATTTATTTTAGGTAGTGTTTTGAATAAGAAAACGACTAATTGTACCTAAATCAATAGTAGCTAGCCCGTTCAAGTGTAAATCTTAAACCTTCTAACTGATACTACCTACCTATTATACTAGTACATAATTAAGATCGTTACCTGGATTCCTTATGTGTAAATTGACTGTCGACTACTGCGATGAATTTACTAAATACTTTTCATAAAACATTTAGAGATACGGTTGAATGTTCACTCGGAAGGAAAGTCTAAATTATTTTGCAAAGCCCTTTGATACCTTTCAATCCGCCTTGAATTAGCTATGATATTATTATTCAGTTAATAATATAAGTCCAGGACATATTTTTGAATGTAATTAAAATAATATGGGCATGGGTGGATTAATTATAAGTAGGCGTTTATCAAGTTTTGTTCGTTAAAGAAATATTTGGTGAAGGAGCTCAAGAAATGACAAGAAATATTTCGGTAGCCTGTAAAACCCGCAAGAAAGGTGTGTCAGTGCGGCCAACTGCACTCCATATCTTGTACGTGAATGAGGCTACTTTGCCAGTGGTTGCTAATTTAATAAATAACTTCACCGCATAACAAAAAATTTAAATTTAAATTAAGGAAAAACTAATGCTACACTGAAGTAGTTTCAAGTGTTTTTTTTTTAAATATGACTTCCACCATGATTGTAACCGAGTGTTTTCGCGGCCTAAATTGTTGAAGTTGAATAAGTCGAAACATCTCCCTTAATGCAATCTCCGACACTGTTACAATCATCAGGCTTTTGTACATGTATACTTTAATATTTACTACGATTCGGAAGATGGTTCTTCGTCGGAATATCACTACCGTGTAGGGAATTCTAGTGCGTTGGTGGTTTAATGGTGATATTAATTGATAATTACAAGTCCAATCTCCGGTACAAACGCTCCGAAATTTAAATCGATGTCTGTTACGTAATGTAAATATTTAAATGAATAATGAGTAATATAAATCTTTCTCATGTGATATTTTCGCTGTGTCATAACGATTATGAAAGTGTCCACGGTCACCGTCACAACAATCATTTTTCCACAATTTAGACAAACTAGATATAATTAGATATTGGGTTTTGTGTTTAATTTAAAAACTCATTTCCTTTTGATTAGTTATATCGATTGTATTTACGACTAAAATTATTTTATATATTTCTATCAATGTTGTTTAGTTTGTTTATCAACTGTTTAGCAACCATATTGTCCGCTTCCAGGAATATTGATGACATTTAAAATGATATTGTGAAATTGTTTCGTCAATCCTTGACAAAATATACTAAGTATTTAAATACACACGGTCTTTCATTTAATTCGATTACCCAAAAAAAATATTATATACAAATACATAATACAGAAATAACAGTTAAGGCTGTTGTGTTCCTCGCTACTGATTTGTATTTTATTTTTTCCCATCTATATTATTACGTACATGTTGAAAGACATATCCTTACTAATCCTTACTAATATTATAAAGGCGAAAGTTTGTGTGTATGGATGGATGTTTGTTACCTCTTCACACAAATAATACTGAATGGATTTTAATAAAACAACAACAACAATAATATAGTTTCTACGTCAGAATAGGACATATGCTATAATTTATATACATATTTTATGTATATCTGTCTTTCTGTCAGAATGTTACGCCTTCAGTCTATTCTACGCAGGCGTAGTCGCGGGCAGCAGCTAGTGTAATAATATAGATCACTGTGGTAGGGCCACGCAAGAGTTCGCAATTGTTGTGCAAAAGATGTTAAGTGAATACCGCCGCCATGGACATCTGCTACACCAGACGGTTACAGATGCATTGACAACGTTTTGAAAATTGGGCTCCGGCTACCTCAATCACCAGACGAAAGAAAGTATTTGTCATACTTCCACTTTACGCTGGTCATCTGTGAGGTCGTGGTACTTACCCGGACGGGCCTGCCCACTCGTGCAACAGCCAAGACTGCTGCGTGGTCCTACCACCGAAAAACTTCCGGCCTTAACGTGAATATATTTTATGGAATGTACATACATCGTAGATAAATCAATTTCTGAGTCACAAAAAGCTTTTTGCGACCACGAGCATTCTTCTTGATCTTTGTCGTGTGATATTTTGGCATTAATTGTAAAGGATATTGTGCATCTTAATCGGACACGGAGTTTGCAGAAAGGCTAATAGTTTCCGATGGCCAATTAAGAACTTAGGTAGTAGTACAGTTACACGTTTTACAAGAATTGTCGGCTGGTGGCCTTCGAAACTTGGAAGGGCCCGCCGAAACTAAGGTGCTGACTGTTTTAGAATCTTCTGGAATCCACAATGGATTGCAGCCCTTACGCGGAGTGCTAATTTCAACTTAAACTTGATACATTGCGGTATTGACCACTCAAGAATGTGTCGTAGCTTCCGGAATGCGCCGCCCAGCCTAAGCGTGTTCTTCGGTTGGCCTCTTTCTCAAAGTTGTACCGGCCCAGTTGTAAAGTTTGGCCGACGTATTCTAGCACATCTTCAAGCATAGCGCCATTCACGACCATGAATGGCGTGAATGGTGCGTTTAATGAAATCTATTTATTTATTTATCTAAGTCGATACAAACTTAAGTTACAAAACATGAGTTAAAAAATAGTAATGAAGATTAATACAAAATATTATAACTAGCATCAAAGGTATGAAATTAAAGGTACGAATGCCGTTGAACTATAGAAAATATTACTTAACCTATTAGTTTGTTTCTGCTATCGTATGCCTGGAGTCTGAAATCGCTGCGCTAATTGTCTTCGATAACACCTTTTACCGGTTGCAAGGTAGATGTGTTTATTTTGCATTATATTATCTGGTGGTAGTGCCACGCAACAGTGTTTGCCGTTGCACGAATGGGCAGGTCCGTACGGGTTAGTACCACGACCTCACAGAAGACCGGCGTCAAGTTCGTCTACGTTTCGTCTGGTGAGTGAGGTAGCCGGGGCCCACTTCATTAAGAAGTGGCAACGCATCTGCAACCCTATGGGTGCAAATGTCAATGGGCAGGCGGTTACCACTTAACATCAGGTTAACCGTCAGCTTGTTTGCCACTTTCTCACATAAATAAAATATATGAATTTTCTTCAGACATACGTTAAAATACTTTACACATGAGTTTTCCCAAAATTTGGGGCGTTTGCTTTTAATTAAATTCCACCTGAATTCGTTCCCGTGTGCCGGCAGAAATGAATTTGTTAATTTTAAGTTCTGGCTTATCACGTCATCATCATCATTTTTTTAGCCTGTTTGTGTCCACTGCTGAACATAAGCCTCACCCACAGGCTACCACGAAGTACGATCCTAAGCCAATTGCATCCATCGACTTACCACACATTTGCACATGACGTCACTTCATTTAGCGTCGGGTCATCCTACACTGCGATGGCCAGTACGAGGCTGCCACTCAAGAATTCTTCCCCCTTCCTCATACGATCAGCAGTGAAGGACCACATCTCGGTTCGGGGGGGGGGGGGGGATATTATGACGAGAAGATATAGATTAGCCGATGTTTCCTGAACACCGAGTTGGCTTCGCCGATTGACCTCTGCATCGAAGTTGGACTAAAAGAACACTGTCACGTGTTCAGCGGTAAAAGAAAACATCATGTGGAAACCCGCATATTTTTCGAAGAATCGAATAATCGAAGATATTTGAAGTCCACAAATCCGCAGTGGGGTCACGTGGTGGACTATGCCCTTATACTCTCTGTACAAAGGAGGCCCTTCGATAGAGCTCAACATCATCCCAATCCTCTGGTGGTAAGCGCAGCAAATTACCAACCCGACACAAAAGAACGGCGAACGTCAACAAGCGTCGCCCGCGAAATGTCCTCATCGACCCGGTCGAGGAAGGGGACTTAGATACGTCAGACCCACCGTCGAGGGTCCCGCCGGATAACACTACATCCACAGCTAGTGTAACAACAAACACAATAGTCCGCCCTCGCCTCCGAGCTTCTCCGAGCTACAGCGAGACACACACGTGTACACAAGGTACACCCACGTTCCAGGGCGGTTCTCACCGCTCCCAGCCACCGATTAGCTAAAAACACAGTCGACGACCATCGGGGTCCCGGTCCGAACCGCAACCTCGATGGCCCTTAGATGACATACCTTAGTTAAATACAATACCTTAGTTAAATACATACGCGGCCCTACCCACAGCGGAGGGCCCAAACCCGTGGGATTTGGCTAGCTCACCGGTTCTGTGTCAGATGCAGCTTTAATAGTCACGGGACTGAAAGCAAAAACATCAGTTAATACACACAGAGGAGGCCTTTACCCTGTAGTGAATAATTCGTTTACTGTTCACATACTTTCCTTATGCATCTGGCAAAATTAACCGAACTTATTCGACTTCTCTATAACGATAACTTAGCCTCTTTTCAGATTTCACGAGCCATCTCCTTGGCTTAGTTCACCACTGTGTAGTAGATCTAGAATGAGGTAATGGAGGGCATGGCAAATACAGGGCAGGGCAGATACATTAATTTATTACTGACGTGCATTATCTGTGGAAGTACAAGAACATTAATCAGTTTTATAGAAATTATATCACGTAGGTACCGTATTTTTTTAATACTTCCCGCAATACAAATTTTCTTATTACACTATAAATGAGTTAGAGTGTAAGTTGTGTTCCTATCACATTCACGCCGCAACGGCTGGACGGATTTGAATGAAAATTGGAGCATAGATAGCTTATAAATAGGATTGACACATACTTTACTTTTTATGACATGAAGTTTTTTATTTCTTAACCAATTCTACGAGTGAAGTTGCGAATAAAAGACACTTTAATGCATATCCAACTTTACACGTAACTATTACCTTATCTTACAAAACATCTTACTTTCTGCTTATATTATAGGAATAGGCAAATAACATTTGATTAACATCTGCAGATTTATGAGATTTCCATGCAGTATTTTCAAACTCAACACTATTACATTAACTTCAACTTGTCTCAAGGTTTCATCAGCACTTTATTAAAAGTTGGCAATGCATCTGCAACCCAGCGGGTGAATTACAACACCCATCCATGGGTGGTAGTCATTACTTAACATCAGGCGAACCGTCAGTTCGTTTGCCATATTCTTACATTAAAGAAAACAAAACAAAGCAAAAATAACCGCCTATAGAACGCTAGAAAAGTATGGTGCGTACATTTTCTATTTATACTTAAGTAATATACTTAAGTACTCTACTTTATTTTTTTTAATCTTATCCTTTAAACGAGCAATTCTTGTATATATATAATCGGAATCTCGGAAACGGCTCCAGCGATTTTCATGAAATTTAGTATGTGCGTAGATTCGGGGGCGAAAAATCAATCTAGCTAGGTTTCATTTTTAGAAAATGTCCTTTTATCCCTGTTTTCAGGGAATGAAAAATATAATTCGAATATGACGGTAAATTTCGCCGCAAGAGAAAATGTCATAATATCTCGGTCGGTAATCGGGCAGCCCCAAAACCGACGGCCGTGGTTCGCGTCACGATCATTTACACATTTATTTTTTTACTTTTTTTCGCTTCCAGATCATTGCTTTCTTTAATTTTAATTTTTTGTCGATTTGTTATTTTGTTATTTTTTTCCCTTTTTTTTTAAAGTTCTTTCTTTTGTGAAAAACATCAGTAAGGCTTAAACGCCGCGACTGGTGACAAAGAGAGCTGGTTCTTTTCTTGTCGTCGCCGCCAAATGGGGTGAGCATTTTCATATTTTCTTATTATTACGTCGGTAAGATCGAAAAATATTATGCATATTTCATTACTCAGTAATTTGTATCTAAATGTAATTTCAAAAATACACGATTTACCAAAAAAAAAACCGAGCAAAGCTCGGTCCTCCGGGTACTAACTATTATTTTATACGAACATGGCTCACCACTAAAATTTACTCAGACTGTTGAATATTATTTTATACGAATGAACAAGTGAAACCAAGAATAAAGCTTAAGGTAAAATGATTAAAAACATATTAATTTTCTAATATCCGATTTCTAAATCATAAAACGTTGAATCATGCAAAGGGTGCGTAAACTACGCCCTCTAGCGAATATTCTATAAATGTCTGTCTTTAGTACGATTCTTGAAATGTCAGAAAGTGACATCTATTACACTTTGGTGGAACTTTTATAGATATATAATTTAAGATAACTTAAGTCTAAATTAAGATAACTAATAAATTGGATGCTAATTTGAATTGTACTCATGTAGACGTAGCTATTATTTATTTATTGACATTTTAGGCGTAACCGTTACTCGGGTACTGTACTGCGTTATAAATATATTGACTTGCCTATAGAGCAAAAAAGTAAAAAAAAAATTACAGATAATTGACAAAAAGATTATGAAAGAAACAGCGATTAACATAAAATAATTTTCTCATCTTTTCAATAATTAATCTCAAAGAAAATAAATAGTATATTTTTCTCAGCTGTTTAAAATAATTTTGACATAGGTTATTTTAAAGATTAATTTTATTCATCGAGAACACCTGCGTGCAGCTGGTCACACTCGCTGTCTCCGATTCAGCAAGTATGTAAATGTCACTTTTATATCTATATTTTACACAATTTTTGCTAAACGTCGCTTACGGTTGTCGATTTACAATTAAACGGATGTGTTAAAGTGGTTTACCGATGGTTATGTCATGATGTGGGCGCCGAGGAGCCATAACCTCGGCGTACTTCGCGCCGCGCGCATCACGTAACAGCGGTCCCCGATGGTGAGGAGGACGATGGTGCTGAGTACCGAGTGGGCGCAGGTGGAAGTCGTCGATCTTACTAACGACGGCAATGGGCTCGGCTTCAACTTGGTCGGCGGTCGGAGTACGGGCGTCGTGATCAAGTATGTGCTGCCGGGAGGCATCGCTGACAAGGACGGGCGGTTGCAGAGCGGTGATCACGTGCTTCAGGTCGGATCGGTGAATTTGCGCGGCTTCACCTCGGAGCAAGTTGCGGCCGTGTTGCGTCAGGCAGGCCCCGCTGTTAGACTACTGGTTGCGCGGCCGGCCGACCCAGCCGCCGCCCTTCGAGCTCCCTTACCTGGCACTGCACTCGTACCCACTAAACTTCTCACTGATCCAGAACTGCTTGACCGCCATCTCATAGAGAGTGGTTACGGAGCAGTATACGACCTGTCCCAGTGCTACACAGAGTACATCAATGGTCAGAATGGCGACGTCGAGTCAGTGGCGGCAGCTGTCAGTATCATTGGTGATAATCCTCAACAGATACCTGATCATCCAATAGTAGATCAATCTATATCACCCACCATAACAATTACTGTGCCAGTAGAACTACCACCTCTACCTGAAGTTGAGATTGTCCATGTAGACTTGAATAAAAACGTCTATGGATTGGGCATTACAGTTGCAGGTTATGTGTGTGAAAAAGAGGAATTGTCTGGTATATTTGTCAAGAGTATTATAGAAGGTAGTAGTGCTGACCAAAGTGGCAAAATTAAGTTAAATGATAGAATCATTGAAGTTGATGGCGTTTCATTGGCAGATAAAAGTAATCCTCAAGCAGTGGAAATATTACGGAACACGGGCATATCAGTTCACTTGGTTTTAGAGAGGTATCTGAGGGGTCCAAAGTTTGAACATTTACAACTAGCTATATTTAATGAGGAAAGACCCACCTCCCCATCACCTTCAACAACCACACTCTCTTGGTTTCCAGTCCCATCACAGGCTGAAAATAGTATAACAGAAATTGAACCTGAACCTGAATCAAACACTACTATTGATTCCAGTGTCTTGGAAGTTGGTGAAAATGAGGTCAATGAACCAACTCAAGAAGAGTTAGATAAAAGGTTTGATGCAATATTGGCTATTAATGTAGAAGATATAAAGCGAAAGTGGCAAGAGGAAATAGGACCTGGTAAGCAAATAATAATAGCTGAAATTAATAAATTGTCTGGTTTAGGAATCAGTCTAGAAGGTACTGTGGATGTAGAAGGTGGTCAGGAAGTAAGACCACATCATTATATTAGATCAGTCCTTCCCGATGGTCCTGTTGGACAACAAGGCTTTTTGAATGCTGGTGATGAACTTCTAGAAGCAAATGAATATAGACTCCATGGTTTAACCCATACAGAGGTAGTTAATATCTTGAAGCAGCTTCCAAATCGTGTGCGATTAGTCTGTGCGAGAAGCAATACTGATAGTGGACCTAGACCCTTGGTAAACTTAGCACCTGATAGAGAAGGATTTGAGGCAAGAAAAATAATTTCCGGTAGTCTCAATAACCTCACTACAATAGTAAAAGCCCAATCGGATACTTCTATTAACACATCAAGCACAGCAACCCTTACCAATCATTCGGAATTATCAAAAAAATCAAGGTCCCTTGAGTGTGTATCAGGTCTGGCGATGTGGCAGAGTAAAGAAGATATAGTTGAATTGGTAAAAGGAGACCAGGGATTAGGATTTTCTATACTAGACTACCAGGACCCCATAGATCCCCAAGGAACAGTAATTGTTGTAAGGAGCCTGGTACCAGGAGGTGTAGCAGAGAAAAATGGTGAAATATCACCTGGTGACCAAGTGGTGTCAGTCAATGGAGTAAGAATTAAGAATGCAACTTTAGATCAAGCAGTGCAAGCATTAAAAGGATCACCTAGGGGTATTGTAAGGGTTGGCATTGCCAGACCATTGCCCCCGCACGACTCATCTAAATCAAAAAGTACAACAACACTGAACAAGCAGAGTTAATCTTCACTTCACTGAACTGTGTAAACAATGCTAGTCAAAATTGCAATCATATCTTATTACGCTTATAGAATTGTGCATGGCTCACAAAAACGTTAGTGTCAAGATGTTTATCTCTTATATAAGGAATACACTAATAATGACTTGTACTGGTGTAGAAATAGGTGAGTACAACAAAAGTGGCAAAAGCCAGATTTGTAAGAGATTATTGTCATACAACTATTGACCTAAAAGTCTATAATACAATAAAACCTACGCTTTACTAGATAGATAGTTATATTCCTGTGCATAGTTCACAAAGTTCATAACCTAGTCCATTACTGTTGCACAAGTTTGTTTTTAATTTGAATCCCTTCATTAGGTAGTTTGCTTCTGGAATTTTGGTTAACCAGGGTAATCTGCATTAGAAGAGTTATTTTGAATTCTGATTTATTTAGAGACTGTTCTTTCTACTATTACTACTATTTCCCCATGGGATTGCAAACAGTTTTTATATTTCAATCAAACATACATACATTCTTAGAACATATAAAATCATGACATACCTTGTAGATATACCTAAGGGAGCAACTAAATAAATATGTAATTTTAGATGTAAATAAACATAATATTCAAGAAAATGTTCAAATTTTAAATATGACATTAATAAAATGGAATTTTATCATGAATTGAACATAATTGTTTCTTGTATTCGAGAACAATACATGTTATTAAATGTAACTTTTTTTATGCAAAGTATTTAAAACATTGAGAATTTAAAGTATAAATTTAACCATGTAAACCATGCAAATTATTTTCATTTAAAAGTAAATTGTACTGTTCATTATTGCTTTAATATGGTACATTACATGATTGCTTATGTAAATTGAATTGGAACCCTTGCCTGTATGCTAAAATTATATTGAACTCTATTCTATTACCGCAGCCCTTGGGAAATACTAGCTAAATATAGATTAAAATAGAATAACCTTTACTGAACGAAATTGACTATCCAAACCACTTGTTTGACTTTTTTTTAATGTTCAATGTTTATAACCTTTTAAATCAGCAGGATTTGAAATATATATATGTAATATATTTAGCTTTATTGTATGGAGAAGTAAATCTCTTTATCTTCATAACTGAATTCTGAATCTGTGTATAAATAAACATAATATTCATGTTTTGTCCTACACCATGACACATTGTTAACCTTTAATGCACATTCTTGCATATCTTTATCACAATGGCAGTCTCATTTTTAAAGTGTTTGTATAAAAAGAAATTGTAGGGAGTTAGACCCCCAATGTCTTGAGCCTTATAAATTAAGATATTTATAATACTTTAGTATGTACTCATATTTTCAATGTTGTCTTTTGTAGTCGTTTTACAGCTTTTTGCTTTTGTTGCTTATATATAACATATATGTAAAAGTAGACTTCTTGTTTACTCTCTTTGGAATATTTTTTGGATTAGAATATATTTTATTGTAAGAATGTGTTGGATTATTTAAAGTGCACAAATATTTTGGAGTACACATGTGATATCAGTGTTTTTAAGTCATTGTTTATTTAAGTTAAATTTGCCTTTTAAATGTATATTAAATAGTTGAAATATAACAGATACAATTTTACGATCTGTGAATAAGTAGCAAGTACACAGTTTATTAAACTCTGTCAATTTTTAAAGAGATGTAGGGTAAGGATTAAAAATAGGTAGGTAATTTTAAAAGCTTAATAAGCAATAATTGCAACCAGCTAACCACGGCATTATTTATAAATTTTAGTTAACAGATTATTATTTTTATATTTATAATATTTATTGTATTCAAAACTCATAAATCAAGTTATTTATGAACGAATTGATAGTTGAAAATAACATCATTAAGTTGAAATTTTCACTTTTATGTGCTATTAAAAATGAAAATCTGGTAGAAAGTGCCTTTGGGCATTAAGTCCACTTTTTGTTACCTTAAAAAAATAGATAAAGCATATAAAAATAAACAGAATCTCTAAAATGGTCATGGTAGATGCCTGTTGTCTTTTTTTTATAAGAGATTGAATTTGATTTATTTTATCATTTCTATGTATATCATCGGAACTCAACAATCATGATAATAATACTATGATGAAATCATTTTTTTTTTATTACTTATATAAGTAATGTCAAGTCCTTAGGCGATCGCATTAGATCACTAATTCACTTTTGTCGAGAAGATTCATATTATTGAAAAAATGACAGTTGGATCCTGGCGAATTGCTATGTACTAAGTAACCCTAGCTTTGTGCAATCTCATGGAATGTCTACAACAAAAGGAGCCCCTTTGTATGATTTAGATAAACGGACAAGACTTAGAATACCAGTGAATTTTAGTGTCGCAATTAAAAGTAAAGTTTTTGAAGGTATGATAAAATCGGAAATCTGGGTATATTATAGTCCCGCTTACATTTTCTTATGCATTATAATGAATTATTCAACCATTTTTGTCCCGTACAATGTTTATTTAGGAAGTAATTTGTTACTGTAACTATATATAAATGTTCACTGACCAGAAAAATAGAACGACTACTCTGGAGGAGCCACTTTAGTTTTCTTCTTGTATCTTTGATTGGTAAAATAGGTCCATTGTTTTTCCGCAAAATGGCGAGGCGTTTTATTTTTCTGGTCGGGCTATACCTAACATAAGGTTCTATCAACTGCAATAAAAAATGCATTTGCTTCGTATAATATAAAGCAAGATTTATATTTTTATATTAAAACCGATCTAGTCTCGCTCCATTTTCAACCGGTGTTAGGTAAAGTAGAATAGAATTGTTGGTTTTGATACTGTAATGGCTCTTCCCATCATGCAGACTGAAATAGTTTACACTGTACAATTACTATAATAACAAATAGACCCGGAAATATGTGGTTCTAATGTATGAAGTGCGAGTTCAAATTATATTTAAGATTCCGTTCCTTTGTCTATGTGTCCTTATGGTATTATTGGTAGATTTTTTTTTTGCTTATTTAAGTATAGTTATTTTCTGATCTGTTGATTCAAATTTATAATACACCAACTTCACACTTAAAGACACTACTTTAAATCTATTTATTTTTGTACGTCGAAACTAGTGTTCGAGATTTGAAAATCGAATATATTTGTGTATTTGCCTTGCCACATTAGAGTTCCTAATATTCTTAACTATCAAGGTTGTGCTTTTCTTTTCATCTCATATTTTCTGATATGTGTGTGGAATGTAATATTTTAGCTTAGTTTTTTGTTTACACAGAAATAAAACTAGTAATAATAAAAAAAAAACAAATTAATCAATTAACTTTCGTTTAATTCTTGAAAACTCGAATAGGCATAGCAAAATTAACACAAAACGCCAGTCGCTGATACTTCTTCTAATGATGCTAAACAAATAATGCTTACTACTTGCCAATTTCACTTAGTACCTTTAAAGTTAGTTACTAGCGGCACTTTCGCACAGTAGTACCTCAAAATGTATTTACATAATTGTTTTTAAAAGTTATTACCTAAAAAAGATAATAAATCACATATTTCCGAGACAATACAACATTTTTAAACGCATAATAATGAGAAGAGAATGATTTGTTAAGTTGGAGCACTGTAAATGTATTTAATACATCTGTAGTATGATTTACACTTATAGCAAAATTATAAATTTATGAGAAATATAAAAGTGGAAAATATTTGCTTTTTTTATTCAATACCATCGTTTTCAATTATGGTGCATTCTTCGATGTTTAACAACAGATTTCACTGACTCTGTGAACGGCTATAGTGTGAACGGCTGTGAACCTCAATTAAAAAGTTATTTTAATAGTCCATGAGCGTTGATGAATCGTTTGCTCGTTAGGCACCTTATTCCCGAAGCAAAAATAGAAAAAATTTAACGACCGCACTTAGAAATATCAATTCGGGCTTAAGTGGCGTAAAATTATTTTTTGTCAATTTTTATAAGTTATTAATTTGTATATAGGTATACGTGAAATTCCTGCTTCGTTTCGTGCTCGCGATAACTGACTTAAAATTATGTTAAGTACTTTAAAATTTAATTTTTATTTAATCTTGGTTTTTTATCCCCTTCTATAACAACCTAAGTATTAAAATCATTCATTACGGTTCAATATTGAGTCACGAGTCGAGTCAGCCTTTCATACTCGTTACTGCGTTGACTTCTGAATTGAAACTACACCGGAGTACATCACAAAACCCATACACATTTCATAATATCACTCCATAGTATAAAACCAAGTCGTCTCGCTGTCAGTCTGTCCCTGCTAGGCAACGGATCTTGATGCGGTTTTTATACTCGATAGAGTGATTCAAGAGGAAGATTTATATGTATAATACATTAAATCCGTGCGAAGCCGGGGCGGGTCGCTAGTAATTTCAATAAAGGTGGCATAGGATTCACTCTGATCGCTTAATACCGAACTGAAGGCAAGCGTTTGAACCCAGAGGTTGGTACCAACTAAGCACTAATTGGAGGTTCTGGGTGTAAAGCTAAGTAACAGTGCTAGTGCCCGCGGCTTTGCTCGTGAGGATTTTGATCACAAGTAGCCTACTTACGCTTAAAATTTACGCTCCAAATCTGTCCCACAGCGCTTTTATGTATTCATTCATAATGCGGGATGGTTGTCAGTTGAAGTGCCCTACATCACTCCGTCCTATAAAATGTTTCTATGCAAAAAAGCATGTCGGATCGTAGATCCGTTATTGCGTGAAATTAGGACAAACTAACAAACAATTTGGTACGGTATTTGTTACTCGATGATTGTTTTTTGTTGATTGATGTTAATTATTAAGCCAGCATTTTTTTAATTTAATATTGAGATCTATATCGTTTGTTATTTTTTTAGCTGTAGAAATAATTCAACAGTGAGTTCAAATACATATCCACAATCTTGCTTGCATAAATATAGGTCCTTTCCTTAATATATAAATAACAGTTTATTTTATAAAACAAGGAAAGGGTTATAACAACTATGTGCATTATTTATAGGTATAATGTTACTTATTATGTGTCAATAAATTAGAAATGTGGCGAATATTGGTTACACCCAATATGAGTATATTCAATCAAACATTGGGCGCATCTGAAATAAATATTATAGTCGATTTATAGTTCCACATTTTATTTTAATTATCTTCAATGTGGAAATAGTACATATCCAGATATATGACAACTTTTCGTGAATTTTAATGCCTTATTTTGCCCCTATAATATATATAAAGTGCTGTAAAATGTCGCCTCTATACGTACGACACTCGGAAAGTTTTGAGAAACTTATATGGATAAAATATTTTCATTAAACCTTTTCAACGAACTTTCAGCCTCTGTACAAAGCTTCATGCGTCTGAACCAATTTTCGAAGCACTTTTTCCAGTGCGCCGCAGACTACAACATTCTATTTCATTTAACCTAATTACTGGTCATAAAATTCGCCCGTCTTCAAGGCTTCGTCTTATAAAATTAAGTACCCGGATGACCTCGTGTATTTTGGAAATTACATTTAGATACAAATAACTGAGTAATGAATAAATATACAAATAAAATCGCTGGAGCCGTTTCCGAGATTCCGATTATATATATATATATATACAAGAATTGCTCGTTTAAAGGATAAGATTTTTACTTCAATTATAAAAAATCCTTTTCCTGTATCAACTCTTAATATTAAGTAGCGACTGTACTGTTAGCTGCTTATGTAGTTTTGCTGAACATGACCGGCTTATCGTTCATTAAGTACAAATCCGACAAAGTGACTTTGACGCCATATAGGTTTGACGGAGGTACCTCCAGCAAAAGCAATGGTATAAAACAATTGTTTACAACATTGCCCTTATTGTAAGATAATATTATGTTGTTCTAAGGATGTTTTACATACATACATTTTGACGTGGACTAACACCCACATCCGAAACAATTTTCTGCGGGTCACACAAATAGTAGTCCCGTGCGGGAATCGAACCGGTGACCCTTGGTGCCGAAGCCAATGCCTTTGAGACTGCGTCTGGTGGTTGTTACAAAGTTTTCGGTGATGACCTGTGCTTGTTCCAGCCATGTGGATCCCAAATTTGCCGGTTACCGTCATCACGGGACTTGCTGCCGGCGCTGGGGCTCTTTGCATATTCAAGTGAGTCACTCTTCTTCTCATATTGTATTGTTTTCTTTTTTATTTCTTTTATTCTCCTATCGTAAAGCACTTTCAAAAGAAACTTTTAGAAGTTTTGTAAAATAACGTTAATTTTAAACTGTGGCAAGACTACGCGACAGTACTATTACTCGAATTAGCAGGTCCGTCCTTGGAAGTACCACGACCTCACAGAAGATCAGCGCGAAGTGAAGAGTGTTATACGTCTGCGTTTTTATAGTAATGAGGTAACTGGGGCTCAGTTTATTAATAGATGGCAACGCAACTGCAACGCTACGGGTGTTGTAAATATCCATCGGCGGTGGTTGTCACTGAACATGAGGTTAACCACCAACTCCCTCGCCACCTTCTCGCATAAAAAAAGCTTTGGTGGGTTATAACTACAATACCACGTATATTGTGGGGTTAAGGAGTTTTAACAATTTCCCCCCTACCGGGATAGGCAAGAATATAGTTATTAAGTATATTGTTTTGTTTCCTTATTTTAAACGTAAAAAACATACCACATCGCGACGGGGCCATGGCGACACGTTGGAAATACCGAGGTTTAGACTGGCTAAAAGCAGAAAGTCGTTTCTCGGAAGATGTATTAACTTATATAATAAAACATCCACAAACAGCTAAGTGTAAAAAAATTCAAACATTTTGTGCTTTTACAAAATGCATATATAATGGAAAGGGCGATTGATATTATGTCGAATAATACATTGAGAACAAGACTGTGTGGAAAAGAATCTGTTAGTATTTTAAAGTCAATTATTCATTCTTATTTTAAACTCTTATTTCAATAAGAGTTTAAAATAAGCCTACATCGAATAACGAAATTTTGGCCTTCCCTTGCTTCCCGCTGTAAATATCTGTCTCGGCTCAATCCACAGGGACGTGTACGGCGGTCCGGCTTACGACCGCAATGTCAGTGCGGAGGGGAAGACCGTGATAATCACTGGCGCCAACAACGGCATCGGCAAGGAGGCCACGTGGGAGTTCGCGAAGAGAGGTGCCAAGGTGCCGAACACGAATCTCAATTGACGTCCCTTTTTCTGAAACACTGATTATCGTGGAAACCAACTAATCAGCTGTCAAATGGCTTCTCAAATGTCATTTGGGTTGCCAAAAGGATTTTTAACTCTCCGAATTGATCAGAATGATCATCTTAATGATCAGAACTTTTGTTTTTAGAAATGAAATCGATTTGATCGATCGATTCGTGAAAAATAATAACATGAGAATTGCCCACATTGACCCGAGCTGTTTTATCTATGTGGAACGATTATAAATCATAACTATTTTATTCGATTAAGCCTTGTCAATGCTTCGAAGAGCGTTGCATTGTTTCCTAGTTTATAAATTTCCAAAAACTCGTGGTATTATTAAGGTGTATTTGTATTTAAATATCTCGATACACGTATATGTTATTAAAAACATGATATTGATTCACAATAGCTATTAACAGAGAACAAGCAAGTGAGAAGTGACGTCTCCGTACACATGACAATTTCTTGGATTTATACATTTCATTTCCCGTCGTTTCGAACCTTACAGCGTTCATGGTCTATGCAGCACAATACAACTATGACGTTTAGAAATATAGTTTAATTTAGTCTCCGTACACATTCAACCTCGAACTGTTACCAGGTATTCATGGCGTGCCGGGACATGGCCAAGTGCGAAGAAGCGCGCCGAGACATCGTTCTAGAAACGGGCAACAAGTTTGTGTACTGCAGGCCCTGCGATCTAGCCTCCACCGCTTCCATACGGGCCTTCGCGGAACAGTAAGTGCCCAAATGCTATAATATTTCTCCATATAAGAAAAGGTAGCAAGGTGTTTAAACGGTTAGTGGTATTTCCCACCGGTATCTGCGAAGTCATCAACACACATGCAATGTGTTGCCAATATTTAATAAGTTGGAACCACTGGACTTCACTGACCAGAAAAAATAAATAAATGGAAAGACAAAAGCAGTGGGGTGAGCAATGAGGTTTAATTAAACGTTCTGGATGAACATCACTAATGATAGACAGAAGTAAGCACATACGGGGTGGCTTTTATAAAGGTGCCCAAATTCACACAGGAGGTTCAGACTCGGTAGTATAATAGTTTATTGAGATAACTGAGACTTGGTGAGGTTGACGTGAAATGTTTTGTTTTTTGCAAACTATAACTATTTTTAATACGACTTTTTCCTTTCTGTTAGTAAATTCACTTTTGGCCGTGTATCTTTTTGCACATTTTTTCGTTGAATTGATAGAGTTTGTTATTGATAAGCGGGTTCTTTTGGTGCCAGGTTTAAGTCCGAGGAGCCAAGTCTAGATATCCTGGTCAACAACGCCGGCGTTATGGAGCCCCCCGCGGGGGTCACGAAGGACGGTTTTGAAACGCAGCTTGGCGTTAACCATATGGGCCACTTCCTGCTAACCAACTTACTGTTGGACACCTTAAAGGTATGAAGATATAACGATTTTTAAACTCTTTAATTGTTCTATTTCCTCCAGGTGCTGTGATTTACATTTACAGCCTTTTTAGTGTTCCGTACCTAAGGCTAAAACGGGACTCTATTACTAAGACTCCGCTGTCTGTCTGTAACCAGGTTGTATCTCATGAACCGTGATAGTTAGTTGAAATTTTCACAGATGTATTTATGTTGCCGCTATAAAGAGTAGAAAAAAAAACATTTTAGTGGGGCTCGAAAAAAAAAACAGTCATGATTTCTTTTGCCGTTTTAATAGATCCTGTGTTGTCCGTCCTGACAGGAAAGCTTTTCGCTTCACTTGCAAAGCAATACATAATCGTACAGATACGTAATGTACTACTACTAGTACTAATATCGTCATCGCCATCGCCATCATTTCGCCGTGTTTGAGTCTACTGCTGAACGGGCCACCGCCACGGACTGCCACAAAGGCCGTCCATTAATCACGTGAGACTCGAAACGGAGGGCAAAAATCACGAAATATCACATGGGGGGCAGGGGGGGGGAGGTGGTGTGTAGTAAGATGTATAAGTGTATTAATTTTTTCTTACAACGACCTATCGTTCTCTGTTCGTGTCTTAACCAGCGCATTCGAACCGGCAGGCGTCGGCGCCGAGCCGCGTGGTGGTGGTCACCTGCGACGCGCACCGCCGCGGCGAGCTCCGCACCAAGGACCTCAACATGAGCGAGGGCTACGACGCGCGCGCCTCCTACGCCCAGAGCAAGCTGGCGAACGTGCTCTTCGCCAGTGAGCTGGGCAAGCGGACGCTGGGTGGGCACCAGATCTTTGCACCGCCAATTCTTCCCTTCGGTTTTTAGGTGACAGGGCTCCAAGCGAGCAGGCAGCCTGATGTTGAGTGAATATCGCCGCCCATGGACATTTACAACACTCGAGGTCTTGCCGATGTTGACAACCAAATGCGGGTACCGGTTACCTCACTTAACAGAATAAATAGAAAAAAATTTAGGACATATTTTTACACAACCTTATATGGTCCCGAACTAAGCTAAGCTTGTTCTATGGATACTAGGTAACTGTTACACATACTTAAACATACCTTTATTTTGTTAATAATATAATAATAAATATTTCCTTTTAGTTATACAATTTTATGTTACCGTATATTATAGACATATATATAAACACCCAGATACTGGAAAAAGACCTATTTATGACACAATTCTTTCCAGTAGTGGGGATCGAACCCACACCCTCTGACGCAGGCGACAGATCCACTATCCACTACGCCAATCGTCAAAGCCAAGAAGATACGCGAAAGTATAACACATACACTTCACGCCAGTCTTCTGTGAGGTAGTGGTTCTCCGTACGCGCCTGCCCATTCGTGCAACAGCTGAGGCTGTTGCGTGGCCACAGTTGGGCCAAATTTTTTCGACCCCAATCTCCTTAAGAAGACACTTCCGCCGCCAAGAGGAAACTGGGGGGAAGTTTTTGTCCTACTAATCTTTATATATAAATATTTAATTTCTGCATCAAAAACTAGCCGAGGGATTGACTTGCTATTTGTTCAAAACATAGCTATTGAACAGAAGAGTGAACATGCCAATCAATAATCAATAAAGAAATGCCTCATTCTGTTTTTCTTTTCTTGTTCCATTCAGGAACGGAATATGACTATATGTAGATAATTCATGGGCCGTAGAGGAACGTAGAGATTTTCTCCAAAAAGTATACACGGTCCCTTCAGAACAGATATGGATTTTAGAACTCCATTAAAAAAATCAGGCAAGTGTAGAGGAAGGCCTATGATCTTCAGGCACGGGCGTGGCGGTGGTGGCGGTGGACCCCGGCTTCACGGACACCGACCTCACCCGCCACCTGCCGATGTCGAAGAGCATCACCCGCTTCTTCGTCTACCCGCTCTTCTGGCCGGTGATGAAGCTGCCCCGCACCGGCGCCCAGACGCTGCTCCACGCGGCCCTCGACCCCAAGCTGGAGAAGTGCACCGGCGACTACTACGTGTGAGCTCTTTTATTTTTTTATTTTTTATTTACAACCGGCCTGCACTTGACTGCCATCTCAGCTGATGGTAAGAGCGATGCCACCGTTGATGGTAAGCGTGCTAGTTCAGTAGAAACCTATTCACTCTTGCCTTGAAGACGCCTACGTTGTAATCGGACGGAAAGACGGACGCCGGCAGGTTGTTCCATTCCTTAGCTTCACGGATGAGAAATGAAGAAGCGAATCGCTTTGTTCTTGTTCTGGGAACGTCGACAGCATAAGGCCCACCCTTATGCCTCGCCGCACGTCTAGTTGTTCGATGATGGAAAGGGGCAGGAGGAATCAAATCATGCAACCCTCTATCCACTGTGGCGGGGCCACGCAACAGCTCCTGTTGCACGAATGGGCAGGGTCGTTTTTTTTGATAAACGATGTCTTTAAATTTTGTTTAGCCTTGACCTGGAGTGCATTGATACTTAAGCACGTATGTAGTAAGGGATGCCAACTTAGGATTTTTTTTCCTAAATTAAGGAAGAAAAATTTTAGAGTTAAATTTTATTCACATTTTTGAAAAAAAAATAAAACTACACAAATCGAAAAAGAAAAATATAATTTAATAATTCCGTGCTGCTTTGGTGGACGTCAGCCAAGGCTTATGTGTCTTGTGTGTATATTTTAAAGTCTTCCGCCGTATATTATAATATTGAATGTAATATTTCTTATACAAAACATAAAAATATTGTCACTCTTTTTTTTTATGAATTTAAGGTGGATACGCGAACGTAAAATATCTAGATATTAAAATACATAGTTTCAAAATATGATATTTGAAATCTAAATCTGATTCAGGTACGGTTCTCAGAAAAAGCGATACGACCCATCACTACGAATCAATAACTATAACAATTTCAGGAACATGAACAAAGCAAACCCCTCGGAGAAGGCCCAGGACTACGAGATGGCGCTGTGGCTGTGGAAGGTCAGCGAGAAGTGGACGCGGCTGGACGACGAAAGCGTCTCCAAGGCCCCTGCTGCCTGACCCAGTGATCTATTAGCTCCATGACTTTGAAGGCGTTCTGTGTGAAGTTTTTTGTGTTGGGCTGAAAATAAATCTAACAGATACAGATGCTTCGACCGATAACGATTAGAATCATAGAATCTAGTTAGGCTTATGTATACAGCCAGTGGGGTCTGACTCACGCCCGGTTTCTGAAACACTGGTCACCGTAGAAGTCAACTAATCAGCTGTCTAATGGCTTTTCAAATGTCATTTGAGTTGCCAAAAGAATGGTTAAACTCTCTGTATTGATCAGAACGATGTTCTTGGTGGTCAGAATGATTATGATTGTTAGGTCGGATCAGTGTTTCAGAAACCGGGCGTAAAGTTTCTTTTGGCTCTATGACTTTGAAGACATTCTGTGTGAACTCTTTTTGTATTGGGCCGAAAATATACCAATAGAATACAATTTAACTCTATTAAAGAGATTAATGTATAAACTATGATCATGTATAAAACTGTGAAGGTTTGCGGTCATGTCGTTTCGGGACAGTTAATATAATCTATCCGGAAAAAATAAACGAACAAATATGTTAAAGGTCTCAGCTTTGGATATGATTTTACTTAATCCTGATGTCTATGATGGATATGCAATTGATATAAAAAGTTGCGTGCGTTTGCATTTATGTTATCGATTAGACGTAGTGTTTTTAGAAAATAAAAGTAGTCGTACTCTTTTTTCCACTTTTATTTTTCCTTAAATCTACAAAATAATAATCGGAACTCAAGAAAACAGCTCGGGTGGTGTGTGTCTCAAAAATGAGAAATTCGAGTTTCGCTCTCAATTGTACGTTGCAACGAGCAAGCCAGAAGGACAAGGGCATTTGCAGCAGAGTGGAAGAGAAAATTCGGAGTGCCACAGGAGATAGTTGGAGCACGGGGCTTTTCCCAGATCGTGAGGTGGCAGTGGGGCGCTAGGGATGTCGGATGTAAAAAAATATATCGATGTATCAATATTTATAAAAAATATCAAGATCGGCCTCGATATATCGAAGAGAAAATATTGGATCCAGTCGTAGGTTGTCCAAAAACAAAACAAAAAAGGTATATCTAAAATTAAATATTTGACAATATGTGCCGGATTCAAATTTGAAAAAAATATAGTTTTTGATACGATTTTATTTATTGAATATCGCATGAAAATATCGATATATAGAATAAAAATATCTGTATATCGATACTGTTTCAACATCACTATGGGGCACTCGGGGCTATTTCAAAAAGGAGGTGTGGTAGTGGATGATGCGGGGCTATTCCCAGATGGAGATTTGGTATGGAGGGGCGAGGGGGAGGGCATAGTCCTAGTTGGTGAGGAGGGAGTGGGGCGTTCAGGGCTATTCTAAGATAGATTCGTGGTAACGTAGGGCGCGAGGCTGGTCCTCCTTTGACAGGAGGATGTGGGGCGTTTGGGATTACGTTGGTTTTGGGGTTACAGGGCTATTCTCAGATGGAGTTGTGGTGAGGGGGGTAATCCTAGTTGGAAAGGAGGGTCCTAATTCGAGAGTAGGGGGCGCAGGGCTATTCCTAGATGCAGGTGTGGTAGCGGGGGGCGAGGGGGAGGCGCTCAGGGCTATTCCCAGATGGAGGTGTGGTGAGGGGGGGGTAATCCTAGTTGGAAAGGAGGGTCCTAATTCGAGAGTAGGGGGCGCAGGGCTATTCCTAGATGCAGGTGTGGTAGCGGGGGGCGAGGGGGAGGCGCTCAGGACTATTCCCAGATGGAGGTGTGGTGAGGGGGGTAATCCTAGTTGGAAAGGAGGGTCCTAATTCGAGAGTAGGGGGCGCAGGGCTATTCCTAGATGCAGGTGTGGTAGCGGGGGGCGAGGGGGAGGCGCTCAGGGCTATTCCCAGATGGAGGTGTGGTAGCGGGGGTCGTCGAAGAGCAGGGCGCGGGGCTCGGGTGCGGGTGAGGAGTGGGGCGCGGGGGGGGCGGCGTCGTGGCGGTGCAGCAGCTGCAGGCAGCCCGTGCCGATGGCGGCGGGCACGCCCACGATGATCGACTCCGACACGCCCTCGATCGAGTCGCGCTGCCCGAAGTACGCCGCGTCGAACAGGTGGTCCGCCGTCTTCTCGAACTGTGAGGAAATGTCACTCTTTTCGGGGCTCATTTTCTAGTACCCGACTAAGCCACTCTTGTACTTGGGTACTAGATAACTAAACTTAAACGTAGTTTTCTCTTGTAAACAAATACATATTATAAACGCTAAGACACTGCAAAAACGCTATGTTCACCACACAATATTTTCCAGTATTGGGGATCGAACGCACACCCTCTGGCGAATCAGGCAGGATCACGCTTTCAGCAGCTCTATAGAGTATCATACTTTTACGCTTACCGCTTACCTCACGTACACTGTAGAAAATAAAATCTTGACCACCATTCCGAAGTTCAGAATGCCCCAACTCATCAGGCGGTAAGCACCCACAACTTGTGTAAGTGCCGCGTGGGCACAGCGAACCGGTCCACGAAGCAGTGGATCGGAAGCGGCGCTACTCACGCTGGCCAGGTTGAGTACGGACTCCTTCATCCTCGCGAGTCCGTAGCGCGTGATGCCCAGCACCTCGCCGCGCGCCGTCATCTGCGCGGCGAGGAGCTCCACGTGGCGGCGGTCCACCGCCATCCCGTGGCCCGCCATCACCGCCTGGATCTCGCTGATGATGGTCGACTTGGCCGCCTCGATGCCCAGCGTCTGGTACACCTGGCGCGGGTTTTTTTATGGAGGAAGTGGGCAAACGAGCTGGCGGTTCACCTGATGTTAAGCGACAACCGCCGCCCATTGACCATTGCAACACCCGTAGGGTTGCAGATGAGTTGCTTTTAATAGTGGACCCCGGCTAACACGCTCACCAGACGAAACGCAGAAGTAACACTTCCACTTAACGCCGGTCTTCTGTGAGGTCGTGGCGCTTACCCGGACGGAGCTGCCCATTCGTGCAACAGCGAAGATTGTTGCGTGGTCCTTCCACCGTTTTTCATTCGAATCTATACGAGCCTGCTCTAGGGTGGCTTGAGTGTAGTGATTTCGCACAACGTGACGTTTTGATGAAACTGGCGCACAAGCTTTTATATTGGCTTGTTTTAGTGTGATGAAAAATCAAGGGGGGCCGTTAGTTACTTACCTCGAGTATATTGTTCGAGGTTGTTTTCGTACCGTCCACTCCGTAGGTCGCCATGACGTCCCTCAGTCCGTCGCCTTCCACGCACAGCTTGTACCTGGAAAGTCCACATTACAATAGAATTCACGGCATGAATATAATAGTCGATAAAACATAAACAAAACTTTTGTCAACGCTTATTCAGACACTATAAGACAACTGTTTTAATGATCAAAACATTCTTCATACAAAGGAAGCCTTTCGTCCAACTGTGGGACCTTTATTGTTATGCGTAGTCCATTAATCAAGTTTTTTAGCATTTTTTTACCCCCCTTCCTTCAAAATAACGTAATTTTTTTTATACATGGTATCTTAATTTCTTTTTAAAACAAGGTAAGTATAACCAAATTTCAGTCTGGAAAATTAAATTAGATCATATTTACCTGTAGTTATCCTGAATAAGAAAACGTAAAAAAAAAAACCTGTCTAGAGTTATGTCCCCGTAACACGAGGTGACATAAGGAGTCGCGTTACTAAACACCGCAACTCCACGAAGACAAAGATAAGGACAAGCGTCGCAGTAATCACATTCCAGAAACATCCAAATAGACAATAAAGATTATGTGTCTATCACTTCATCAGAACTTAGAAGTTCTCCTTTGTCACCATTGTTTACTGTAAGCTTTAGTATATAAGATATACCTTTGTGAAATAAAGCCAGTCTTAAGCCGCGCTGTTAGCGGAACGCATCTCTGTATTCTTTTTAAAAAGCCCTATGCTCACGTCCGCCCCCTAACTCTAGACAGCATATTTTATGCCGGGCGGGGAAATCTTTGTTAGGCAGCTTTAGAAGTCGTGCGATAATGAATACAGTGTTATCTCGATACCCCTCACCCCCCCCTTTCGAGCCTAACGTGATTAATGGACAATGCTCTAGTGTAGGACTGGTTATATAAAGTGGCGACCTCTGGTTATATAAATGTGTGGCGAAGGTCCTCTTTCGGTTATATAAAGTAGGACTGGTTATGTAATGTGGCGAAGGTCCTCTTTCTGGTAGTGTTGGGCCGGTTATGTAATGTGGCGAAGGTCCTCTTTCGGGTAGTATAGGACCGGTTATGTAAAGTGGCGAAGGTCCTCTTTCGGGTAGTGTAGGACTGGTTATGTAATGTGGCGAAGGTCCTCTTTCTGGTAGTGTTGGGCCGGTTATGTACTGTGGCGTAGGTCCTCTCGGGTAGTATAGGACCGGTTATGTAAAGTGGCGAAGGTCCTCTTTCGGGTAGTATAGGACCGGTTATGTAAAGTGGCGAAGGTCCTCTTTCGGGTAGTATAGGACCGGTTATGTAAAGTGGCGAAGGTCCTCTTTCGGGTAATGTGGTGACGGTCCTCTCTCGGGTAGTGAAGGACCGGTCATGTAATGTGGCCCTTCCGAGCAGCGCGCACCTGGGGGCGCCCCTGGCGTCGTCGCAGGCGATGACGGCGCGCGAGACCCTGGCGCGGCCCTGCACCACCACGGCGGGCAGCTGGCGCGCGAGCTGCTGCAGCGCCACGTTCAGCCAGCCGCCCGCGCGCCCCGCCTCGCCGCCCACCCGCACCGCCCACTCGGACACCGCCTGCACGTTGGCCGGCTTCACGCGCAGCTTCGACGTGCAGATGCTGCGCGCACCGTTCGAATCTCACTCGCGGTTCTAGACTGTGGTCGTTTGCTAGCACGCCACTAGCGGCCACTGACCGGAATGCTATTGCGAAATTCGTAACATTTGCTCTTTGTGTGAGAAAGTGGCACACGAGCTGGCGGTAACCGCCGCCCATGGACATTTGCAACACCCGTAGGATTAGAAATGCGTTGCCACCTTTAAATGAAGCGGGCCGCGGCTACCTGACTCACCAGACTGTGAATACTGCGAGGCCCTACCACAGTTATAGCACAGTTTATCCTATAATAATGCAACATGGGATATCAGTGCGATAGAACAGCATGGCAATAGTGGAGATGGTGACCGCGAGCGTTCAACTCTCAGGCCCGCTCGGACTCATGATCTTAGACAATGGTCACGCGTTAGCACGGCGCTAACGGTCATTGACCCGGCTGCTATTAAAAACATTGTAATATTTAAGTAATAATTATAATAATAATAATACAAAATACGGTATCGGTACGATAGAATTAGATTAATAAATAATACAGAAGTTCTTTAGTTTTTGACACACCAGAATGGACCTCGCAATCGACAATAATTTTGGATGCATTTACACATACATTACTCGATGTTGCCATTCTAATGTTGCGATTTAAATTGATCATTCTGCTCATTAAGAAAATCATTCTGATCAATTCAGAGAGTTTAACCATCCCTTTGATAACTCAAATGACATTTGATAATCCATTTGACAGCTGATTAGTTAACTTCTACGGTGATCAGTGTTTCAGAAACCGGGCGCTATATGCGCCCGGTTTCAAAAAAAAAGAAATATGACAATCCGTCTTCCCGTCCTTTGGAAGACACATGAATACGCTTCGTGAAAATAAAAACCGTCCTAAATTCTCTTCTTTGGTGTTGCAGCCATATAACTCCACTTTAGTGGACGGAGTGGTAGAACGGGACCCTATTACTAAGACTCCGCTGTCTGTCTGTGTGTCCGTCTATCACCAGGCTGTATCTCATGAACCGTGATAGTTAGGCAGTTGAAATTTTCACAGATGATACATTTCTGTTGCCGCTGTAACAGCAAATACTAAAAAACAGAATAAAATAAAAAATAATTAAGGAGGCTCGAATAAAGCTTAGCTGTAACGGTACGGAGCCTTCCGTGCGCGATTCCGTCTCGCACTTGGGCGGTTTTTCTCAGTCGGCGAGTAAATAATAAGAAAAAAAAACCGATTTCAAACAGAAAACTAATAAAACATTATCAACGCCTATACATTTGAGGATTGCTCTCGATTTCTTTGACATGTCATCATATCAGATCTGGGTCTCCTTATCATGGTACCACCCTTGGGATATCTCCTTTCCAACAAAAAAAGAATCATCAATATCGGTTCATAAATGACGAAGTTATCCCACGAACACACATAAAAAATAAAAAATAAATATATACGGTCGAATTGAGAAACCTCCTCCTTTTTTGAAGTCGGTTAAGAAAAAGCACTCACGAGTAAATTATCGAGTGCACGTTGACCTCGAGACTGAGCAGCTTGATACGCTCGGCGTCCAGACGGATGAGCAGGAAACACTCGTCCGGCAAGTAGACCTCGTCGATGTACGTCGTGATCTGCGGAAGAAGGTGCCAGGAGAGAAGCTGGGTTATAAAGAACCCAATAACCCGGTAGATGTAGCTGTGGTGGGGCCACGCAGTAGTGCTCGCTGTTGCACGAATGGGCAGGGCCGTCCGGGTATGTACGACCCCACGAAAGACCGGCGTAAAGTGGAATTGTTACATTTCTGCGTCTCGTCTGGTGAGGTAGTCAGGGCACACTTTATTAAAAGGTGGCAACGCATCTGCAACCGTACGGTTGTTGCAAATGCCAATGGGCGGCGGTTATCACTTAACATCAGGTGAACTGCCACTTCGTTGGCAAGTTTCTAACGTACAAAAAAATTGCTTCTCAGCTCTTTCTAGTGGATGGCGATTTAGTTTATCACATTATGCGATAGCTAAGACCGGTCTGTATGATACAAATTTATTTGAGTGAAAGACGTTCCTTCAGCGATCGTTAGAACAAATAGTGCTAATCTCTGCACTTAAGATGAAACATTATAATTTGCAAAAAACGGACGAACAGTTTTTCGCAGCTGTGGGAATCGAATCCACGTTTTCCGGATTCGCGGCCAGACGCTTCAACCACTGAACGAAAATCTCAATGTATTTTATCTACTCTGTGTTATCGCATTTATATACTCGTATTAATTATACATTACGTAGCATTAACGTTGTGAAAAGAGATTTGTAATCGTTTTTGTAACACGGTTTGACTAGTAAAACATAAAGAGATCTGAAATCATAGACTAATTAGGACCTAAAATTATGTCTATGACAAAATTGGTGCCGACTATCAGAGTTGAAAGCTTTTTTTTATGTGAAAAGTTGCCAAGCGTTCAGACGGCTCACCTGATGTTAAGTGAATACCGCCGCCCATGGACATCTGCTACAGCCGAAGGTTGCAGATGCGTTGACAACCCTTTGGAAATTGGGCTCCGGCCACCTCATTCACCAGACGAAACGCGAAAGTATTATATTACTATAGAAAGTATGTATTACTTCCACTTTACGCCGGTCTTCTGTGAGGTCGTGGTACTTTACCCGGACAAGCCTGCCCATTCGTGCAACAGTCGAGGCTGCTGCGTGGCCCTACCACCGTAACACTTACCTCACCGAGCGTGGTCTTCTCCACGCGGCCCTTGACCCGCCTCGCGAACTCCTGGTCGTGGGGCTGCATCAGCTCGGCGGTGATGATGGGCGTCGAGATGCTCCTGGACGCGTTGATGATCTCCTTGACCCTGGGCACGCCCTGGGTGATGTTCATCGACGCCACGCCGGCGAAGTGGAATGTCTTCAAGGTCATCTGGGTGCCCGGCTCGCCGATGCTCTACACGAGGGGTATAGTGTGAAAACAATAATTTCATTTTTATCGCTTCAATGCAACATTTCTACCGATTAGAGTTAAAGAAATATTTGTAACAATTTAACCAATTCGGGGGTAAAATATATTTTGTGTCATAACTTAAATCGCCCATCGACATTTGCAACGCCCGCAGGGTTGCAGATGCGTTGCCACCTTTTGATAAAGTAGGCCCCGTCTACCGCAACAGATGATACGCAGGAGTGTAACCCCCACTCCTTGTAAGGTGAAAAATTGTAAAGCGGTTGCTGGCGGTTCACCTGACGCTTAATAAATACCACCGCCCATGGACGTTTACAGCAGCATGCTGATGCGTTGCCGCCTTTTAATAAGGTGCGCTCGTGTCGCCTCAGCAGACGAAACGCAGAGGGGAAACTCCGAGTTCACGCCGGGGCTGCCCATTCGTGCAACGGCGAAGGCGGCCGCGTGGCAAGTGGAGGCGTGTGGCACCTGCGCGGCCAGCGCGCCGACGGCGGTGCCGGGCTCGATGACGCCGCGCTGGTACTTGTCGTGGCAGACGCGCACGAAGCGCACCAGCTGCGGCAGCGTGAGCCGCTCCAGCTGGAGCGCCAGCGCGCCGCAGCCGGCGTACAGGCGCCTCAGCTGGCGCACCCGGCCCGCCACCGTCTTCAGGAACGACCTATGCGCCGACACGTTTAGACCAGTTTAGCTTTAAGACCGGAGCGGGGGAGTCCCGAAAGATCCGGTATCCACTAATCATACTGCTATTGGGTCACCCACAGATGTTTGTTTCGGATCCGGGTGTCTGTCAACGTGAAATATACTTATGTAGAGCGTCCTTACGACAGAAGATAATGCTATCCTACAAAAGGGACGATGTTTTCAAAAGGAAGACCTCAATAGACCTTCCAGGTCGCAGTGATCGTCAGGACTTACTAAGCCTTCCATAAAAAATACAAATAAAAAATCCCCAATAGTTCAGAATACGACGTAGGGATGTAGCATGATTCTGAGCCACCTACATCCATCCACTCCCCGCAGACTAGCACATTCGATGGATTAACAAACTAGTTATAAGAATGAGAATGGATCAGCTCACAGCAGTTCCTTCTTGAACTCCTCGGGGCAGGTTTTGAAGTCGTCCAGCGCGAGCGTCTCCTCGGCAGCCACGACGATCCCGTCGCCGTCTAGTGGCTCCTCGTCCCTGGAACCAATGACTGCATCAGCACACTACTTTTGCTGCATTGTGTGAGATATGTTCGCTTCCCTTCTTCATTTTCCTACCCTCACCCATGATATGAATCATGTTCTTAATATTATTGGGTTAAACGCTCAGATCCGGAACAATTATCCGTGGGTCACACAAATACTTGTCCCGTGTGGGAATCGAACCCACGTCCCCGGCTTTAACCCATAAATTAGCTGCGCTACCGAGGCATCGTGTATGTATATATGTTTAATATTAATCACATACGATCCCATTTGAGAGTGCTCGTCACTAACCTTGGCATCATAATAACAAAGGTTGGTGCTAAAGTGACAAGAACCCTGGTCCCTGGTCGTTAACCGTGGCAACATAGTGACAAAAGCTGATTGGAACATGAAAAACAATGGACCAGTAATTCTACGGCTAGGACTTAATAGGCCTTTGCCCCTGCCGCGATGTATTAAGTCTAAAGGTTTATGGCTCATGTGACCATAACGCCCCAGTAAAATCGCTTTATTGTTATCGAGAAGTGAAACTTCAAAAGATAATGCCAGTCAGCGCGTAATTTGCTCCTAGGGTCTCCTGTGTCGGTGCAATAGCTGGCTAGGGCCCAGCCCTTCGCATCAGGGCCGTGCCGAAGTCTCGCGGCTGGCAGATAACGAGAAAGGCCGGTGGCAGCGCTTGCCAGCCGGGGGCGTCACCTGGCGTGGCACTGCGCGCGCACGTCTGCCAGCACCCGCGCCAGGTCCACGGGCCGATCCTTGCCCTCCATGTAGCTGGGGTCCAGGCCGTCGCTGCCGTAGCGGAACTGCACCACCTCGCCGGTGGCGTTGCGCACCGTCATGTCGTAATGCAGCACCAGGTCCTCCAGCGACTGGGGACCGGCAAGGCGGTGATGGCGATCAGCCTCCAGGCGACGACGGATTCGGTGACGGTCGTAAGAGTTTTGCACTTCGGATTATGGTTTTATTGACCATATTAATTCATTTTTTTTTATAAAATATCTTTCTATGAGAATAATTCTCGTCGATAAATGAGCAAAAACTTTCGACACTGAGATACGCACATCTAGTATGCATACTTTAAATAGTTCATTCATAGTGAGTGCAGAGACTACCAATTAAAATATAAAAAGTTAAGGATGTAAGCCAAATCACTACAAATGTCAAAAAGTAACGTAAAAACCGACACAAAATAACCGATGCGACACCTGTGGTAGAGTAACATCAAGAAAACTAAAGCCAGATACCTAGGAAAAGAAATGATTTCCACCACTCCCACTCCTTGTGACGCTGCTTACCCAATTCCGCTAAGTACCTTGACTAGGCGCCGCTGAAGGTAGCCCGTCTCCGCGGTCTTGACCGCCGTGTCGACCAGACCCTCGCGCCCCCCCATCGTGTGGAAGAAGAACTCGGTGGGAGTCAGGCCCGAGTAGAAGCTGTTCTCCACGAAGCCACGGGCGGCCGGGATTTTGGCTGGACGCGGAAAGAAACTCTTGCACTCTAAAGTACACTTTATAAGCAGATTTTACGCTACATTATTGTAACCTATTTTATCTGTTGTAATAATGTTTCTTGGCGGTTGTTCTGTCAGAGTTAAAAACAAATTTTGACTTCGATATGTGCATCAAGCAAGCCTAAAATAGATAAAACTACTATTACTTTGATCTTCAATACGGTTAACCGGGGCAAAAACAATTAGCTAACCAGATGCTACTGCAAAATTGACCGATCGCAACGGGGAACAATGCACATATGGGCGTAAAGACACAAATGCTTAGACTTCCGGGTTTTGTCTTGGTAAACTGTCCACCCTTATAAAGGTTTGCTACCTCTGGGGTGTAAGAAACCTTTATAACGTAAAAAACATGATAATCACTCTCCTCTGGTGAACGGTCGGCTCCTTTGCCACCCTCTGACCTAACCTATAAAAGGTTTACAAACGTCTGAAGCTCATGAAGATCACCATAGGTGACGGTACTTACACTCCTCTAACAAACCGTCAGCTCGTGCGCCACTTTCGAGCCAGTAAAGGTTGCAAGCCCCTTGGGCGCTAAGCATGAACATGGGTGGCGCTAGTCGGACACCTTGAGGAAAACCGTCAGCAAAAGCCAGGTGTACTCACAGTGCCTCTCAAAGTGAGGGAGCGAGCGGTCCTCGAACCCGTTCGGCACCCGCTTCCCGTTCAGCGCCTGCTGGCCCACGCACGCGATCATCTGCGAGATGTTGATGTTCGAACCTGAGCGAGACGGACGCACTCGTTTGTACTCTTTCGCACGGCTCAGACTCCACCACTGTAGTAGTGTAGCCTTGGGAATTTCTATGATCTAAATGTTTAGGGCTACAGAGTTCCGATTGCACCAGTGAATGTATTTTGTTTATTAATGCAAGTAAGAGAAACTAGAGCCAACAGGCTCACATCTTGCCATTGTGTAATGTTTGTAAAAGTGCATTGGCAACCTCAGTCTGCTTCATCTCAGACCATTGCTTATTATGAGGCAGAAAATATCAATTTTACACAGACCGAAGCCATTTGGTGACTTGGGGTAACTGAATGCGATGCAATGTAAACGCGTTGCAGCGATGACGCGTAAATATAGTATCAAATTTTTAAATATTTGTAAGTGATATCTATACATTTTAAATAAAACAAATATTAATAATTTGTTATTGATTATTAATACATCAATAATATTTAAATTTATTGGTATAAAATTATTATTATTTATTTTAAACATTTTTCTTTAGTTTTACTTCAACGTTTTTTGGTGTGCAATAAATTATATTCGTTCATCTATTTGTACGCTTTGAAGGGAATTCAAAATTTGACGCGAGATATTCAGAACGATTTATTTGCGCTCACCCAAACAGACAATGTCGTCGGGTTAGAGAGTTTGAAATTACCTTTTGAGCCGCTTTGGGCCATTATTAGTGGCGCGTTGGTCGGATGCAGTTCCCGGAAGCACGCTTTGGCTGCCAACTCTCTAAAATAAATGCATACGGTAAGCAAATTCATAACAAAACAAGCAGACATACATTTTTTTATGTATAAACGAGGCAAACGAGCTTGCGACTCACCTAATGTTAAGTAAAAACCGCCGCCCATAGACATTTTCAACACCCGTAGGGATGCAAATGCGTTGGCACCTTAAGTAAAAGTGCGCCCCGGCTACCTCACTCACCAGACGAAACGCGAAAGCATTATACTTCAACTTTACGCCGGTCTTCTGTGAGGTCGTGGTAATTACCCGGACGAACCTGCCCATTCTTGCAACAGTGGAAACTGTTGCGTGGCCCTACCACAGTGGACATTTAACAGAAAATATTGAAGATACCGTTAGATACAAAGTGAATCGTAATCAGCGATGAAGAGAAGATAGCGCGGATTTTAATGCTTAATTGAGCCTTTAGATAATTTGACTATTTCCAATGACAATATTTGGCAGGGCCTAATTCAAATTAGTGAGTAACTATTTAAGTTATCGTAAAAACATTTGCATGTGTGTGTGTGGCTTGCGTGAGCTGGTGGAATTCGTCACGTAAGGAAAAAGCGTTACGCCCCCTTCTCCCCCTACCTGATGCTGCTGAGCTCGCTGAGCATCACGGCCTCCAGGCTCTCCTCCATGGAGCAGCCGGGCTGGCACTGGAGCGTCCCCTTCTCCATCTCCAGGATGTAGCCGTCGCACTTTGAGTACCTGCGAGGAGAGGCCAGTGACGGGAACATATCGACTCCGTAGCGCATTCGCCAAGGTCCCACACGAGACAGTTTGTGTGACCCACAGATAATTGTCTCGGATCTGGGTGTTTGTCCACGTGAATTCCATGTATGTGAAACGTGCTTACAGTGCGGGATAGTGTTATCCTACAGTAAAGGCAGTACCGTCTTTACCATAAGGGCACACGAGGCCCATGCCCAGGGTTTTTATGAATGTGGGAGTGGGAATTTTTTCTCTATTTTTGGCAGGTATATTCCGACAGGAGTTAATAAAAAATATAAGATAATAGCAAAAAGATGTTTTTCTCATTCACTTATTTTACTTTCCATCACGGTCCCAAATTTGTGTGCCCTAAGGCCGCGATATGTTCTAAGACGGCATTGAGTAAGGGGGCAAGGTTATCGAAGTGGACACTACAATAGATCTTCTAGGTCGTAGGGATTTACCCAAACCCTTCCATATAAAATAGAAAATGAATAGAGGTGAGGTTAAGAAAAACATATACACAATGTATTCTCTTTCTCCTTCTGTCTACGTTATATTTTTCTTCTCTGTCGTGTAACTAAATTTGTTTAAACATGAAACATCCTTAAAGTTTCAGCCTCAACTTTTGTCTGATTACCTAACAGTCGTCGGAAGTTTCACTTCTAAAAGAATTATAGATTTCACTTCTAAATTAAAATAAAAAGATACTGCCTTGTTTTATTCCAAATACATAATACAAAAATTTACACATCTGTCGTTTATATTTTACTTATTAAAACGAAAGTTAGCTGATAACCAGAATGAATGAATATTGTTAACGCGAGAGCGAGGGACGTGCCCGACGTTCCGTCCAACCGACCACAGATTGTTTTCGAACAAATATACTACAAAATTGATAAGAGAAAAACAAATTTATGAAATGTACAATTTGACGACCTTATCGCTTCCTTACGATCTCTTGATACTATCTACTATTATTACTAGAGTAGATCCAAGAATAGGCCGATAAAATTTAATTTCTTATATTATTATTATTGTTGATTGCTTATATTTTATCAACAGACAGTCAAGAAGCTAATCACAAATCGGCTTGTATTTCATTGCAACATAAGGCATAGATAGAACGGCCAGCTATGTTAAGCACTACATGATTGCAAGCATCAATTCAAAGAAATTCGAATATGGTAGTGGCAATTGTGCGGCGCTCACCCGGATTCGAGCAGTTTGTTCTTGGCCTCTATAAGCTTTTTCCCCGGCGTCACGTCTATTATTCCGAAACTGAAGCCCCTGTTCATCATGTAGTAGGACGCCATTCGGGCCAATCTGCCAATAAGGAACAGAAAATGATAATTAGGACAGTGAAACTACGTATTTATATATATATATATATATGTATATATATATAATTAAGATTTCATATAATCATGTCACCCACTGAACTCTTCAAACTGTACAGAGTGGATGCCAATAAAGGAACAAAACAGCAGATTCTCTACCCCCCATTCGACGAAAACCACGAGCAAGGGTAGGCAGAGAGGGTTGACGTCTTCAATTGTGTACCAAAGGAAGACTTCAAAAGGTAAATGAACAGAATCAAGGCCCCAAGACCTTAAGATCTTGTTCACATCACTCCAAAGCAATGGCAATGTCCAATAAACCGGTCTGTGGCCACCTCCACATGCCGCGCACGGCGAACTCCTCGCCCCAGTCGCGCAGCAGGATGTAGAAGATGCTCGTCTTCGTGCCGGAGCCCAGCGTGCTCTTGTCCATCGAGCCGCACAGCAGCTGCGAGTTTCTGATTATCACGTCTGCGAAGTGAACGTAGAGTGTCAGCCTACACATGTCCCACTGCTGGGCAAAGGCCTCCTCTATACAGGGTATCAGGGCATAGTCCACCACGCGGCCCTACTGCGGATTGGCGGACTTCAACTATATCTTCGAAATACATTTTTTTGTTATTTTTTTTGTTACTGAGCCATCACGGCTATTACGGCTAGACGCATTAAGAGCCTGAATTATGTTTAATTTATAGAATTATGAAAAAATTAAGAAAATTATGATAAATTTATAGAAAAATGGGACGAAAAGGTTTTCGCCCGCCGCCGGGTGTCTTCCGGAATCGCGCCTAGAGTAAACCACTAAGATAAATGGCTGATCGAAAATCTCTATTTTATCAAAATTTTATCTAGAATCATCTTCAGTGCAGAGATGAGCACTATAAATATTTAATATAATTATTTTTTATTAATAATTTTTTTAAATTAATAATACATTGAGGCATTTGGAAAGGACTTCCTTTAAAGGTATGTTTGAATAATTATTAAGTAAACGTAATTATTTCTTTAGTTTCTAGTCGATTCTGAGAAAATACGCAAGTCAGAAAATGGTCGGGTCCGTCCGGGTAAGTACCACGACCTCACAGGAGACCGGCGTGAAGTGGTAGTGTCACACTTCTGCGTTCCGTCTGGCGAGTGAGGTAGCCGGGGCCCACTTTATTAAAAGGTGGCAACACATCCGCAACCGTCCGGGTTGCGGATGTGTTGCCACCACAGGCGGTTATCACTTAACATTAGGTGTGCCGCCAGCTCGATTGCCACTTTCTCACATAAAAAAAAAGGTTTCCTATTAAATTACAAAGAACGTTACAACTACGATTGACGATACAGTTAAAACACACGGTAAAAGTTATGAGTTTATGTTTGTATCAGTTTAATATGTTTTTAATGTGTTTGTAAATTTAATTTCTTATACAAATAAATAAAAAAAAATGGTGAAATAACACAAGATAAAACTCACAAGAGTCGTTCACGCACATGTCTTTGTTCCCCGTATAGTTCTTCCCTTTCACTTCCAAGTTCGCCTTCACCTCGCAACGTTTGTTCGGTTTCATTATTAAACTACAAGAAATATACAAAAATAAATTTTAATATACTCAAAATATATTTAGATAGCAAACGCACACACACACGCCGGTGCATTCAGAATGATTAATATTTGCACATGAAAAAAAAAAGACATCGCGATAAAAAGTATGTAAGTGTTTTTTAATTAAAGTGAATATTTTTTTACGAGTTTGGTGATTACTTAATTTATTAATTACTTATATCGAAATTTCTGTTTTCAATTTACTTTTTTATGTATATACAGAGCGGCCGTGCAGTGAGACCACAGCTTCATGAACGTATTCTAAACTGCAAAACGGGACTTAAAATAGCAAATGACGAATTATTGCACCAGGATTTGAGCTCCGGTCGCTCGAGTGTACTGAATCGGGAGCGAGCCTGAACTTCGAAATTAATTCATTCGTCCATTCATTATTCATTCATCCATTCATTATTCATTCATCACGATTCATGACGGCCCGATTGGTCTACCTGTCTCTTGCGCCAGAGGGTGTGGGTTCGATCACACTACTGGAAAAGTATTGTGGGATGAACATAGTGTTTTTCCAGTGTCTGGGTGTTTATATATGTATAATATGTATTTATTTATAAAACAAAATTATGTTTAAGTATGTATATCAGCCGCGATAGCTCAGTGTCCGGGCGCTCGCCTTTAATTCAAAATACTCGAGTAACCTGAGTTCGATCCCCGGTGCCGGCACCAATGAAGTTTTTAACTTTAAGTGCCGTCTCATCACGTGCTCCGCGGTGAAGGAAAACATCGTGAGGAAACCTGCATATTTTCGAAATAGTAACAAAAAAAATATTTCGAAGATATGTGAAGTCCGCCAATCCGCGTGGTGGACTATGCCCTGATACCCTCTATATAGAGGAGGCCTTTGCCCAGCAGTGGGACATGTATAGGCTGTTACTTTACTTTTTATTTTACTTTATGTATATCAGTTTTCTAGCATCCGTAGTACAAGCGTTGCTTAGTTTGGGACTAGAGAACGCTGTGTCCGAGAATATTTATTTATTTATTTGTCCATTGATTCGTTCATTGAGAGCTGGGCAGCCACGGCCGCCCACCTGAATATCTGCTTGCCGGTCCACAGCGTGCGCGGCTTGAGGATCGCCGGCGGCGGCATGTCCACCCTCATGGCCGCGTCGGGCCCCGCCAGCAGGCAGCTGGCCAGCTGCTGCGCCTCGGCCCTCGTGAGGAACGTGTCCCGCTGCGTGATCAGGTAGCCGCCCGTGATGAAGTCCTGCGTGGCGGCGATCAGCAGCTCGCCGTTGCGCGGCGTCACCAGGTTCGACTTGTTCTGGGGGCAAACCGTGGTAGGGCTTCTACTGTTGTACGAATGGGCGGGCACACCGGGGAATTACAACCCTTCACGTGCTGCGGATGTCCATGGGCGGCGGCAATCACTTAATGTCAGTTGAACCGAATGCTCGCTTGACAATTTTTCGCATGCAAGAAAAACAACGAACGATTCACGTGATGGTAGGCGACATGCATCCGCAAAATTGGCGCCCGATTTTGTTTTCATGTGAAAAGTTCACCTGATGCGAAGTGATTACCGCCTCAGCACGCAGATTTGTTGCCAACCTTGCAGAAAGCGAGCCCCAAAACGAGTTTTTGGGAAATTAAGTAAAAGCTTGAAAACTTTTTTTTTTACCATTAAATTTACTACAGATACTACAAGAATTCATTTTATAGATATATTAAATGGGAATTTATATTAAATATATGAGTTTATATGATATTTATGATGCATTAGAAGCACGAAGAAATCTCCACCCACCCCCATTAGTATGAGCGCCTCGGCTCTAGCCTCTTCGGTCTGAGGCAGATGCATGTTCATCTCGTCGCCGTCGAAATCTGCGTTGTACGGTGTACACACGCACTCGTTGAAACTGAAAGGAAACGCGTTGTCTATGGTGTGTGTGGGCGTTGGTACTTTGGGCATTTCCACTTTCTTTGTAGGTAATTCTTTTTTTTTTTTTAAAGTGTGCTAAAAGGTGGAGAGGGGTTAGCATAGAACGAGTTTCGCGCAAACAGCACACCGAACCTAACGTCTTGGTCACATCTTAGTGACAGGGCTGCCATCAACCTGACAATATGGCAGGCCTGTCATCAACTAGAACACAAACAATAAAGAACTCAGTCGATGTTGAAGGCAAGAAGCCAAGCCAATACGATAAAAATTTTAATACCAAAACTTTAAAATTAGCTTTCTAGACACGGGAAATTTGTTGGAGAGCATTGGCTCACCGACTCCTCATTAATTAGCGTTTCCAATAGGCCTGATGCTTAGCGGTGGACGATATTCGACACCAAAGAAGCGCGCTGGTGACCAGCTGTCCCCCTCACCGGAAGGTCCTCTGCGGCTGCACGCGGGCACGATGGCACATGATGGAGAGTTTGTGCAGCGAGGGCTGCCGATTGAACAGCACCACGTCGCCATCCACCAGGTGGCGCTCCACAATGTCGCCGCACTACAACGGGCAATGTAAAAGTAAGTAAAGTAACAGCCTATACATGTCCCACTGTTGGGCAAAGGCCGCCTCTATACAGAGGGTATCAGGGCATAGTCCACCACGCGGCCCCACTGCGGATTGGCGGACTTCACATATCTTCGAAATATTTTTTTTTTTATTATTTCTAAAATATGCAGGTTTCCTCACGATGATTTCCTTCGCCGTGGAGCACGTGATAAGTCAGCATTTAAAGTTAAAAACTTCATTGGTGCCGGCACCGGGGATCGAACTCAGGTTGCTCGAGTATATTGAATTAAAGGCGAGCGCCCGAACACTGAGCTATCACGGCTCTCGAATGTGGGGCCACGGGCCACGGGCAATGTGGTGCCATGGAATCCGGCTCGAAGGATCAAGTGCATGGGTAGTCCGTACTAAGCTTTTTATAGTCTAGTGTATTTCTTATAGCGATCTAAATTATCTAAATTATGCATAGAATGCGTATGATTGTGGTGAGAAATACGCGAAAGGAAGATCACACCTCTCATTCAGGTAAGAACATATATTTTGTGGCCGTAGAGCTTTAATATGCGGGACACGTTCGGTATTTACTTTGTTTGATGCTTTAAAATAAAAATTCAACTAATAAATGCAGCTTGCGGTCCGTTTGTACTAAGGTCTATAGATTAGATAATATATAATTTTGTCAGATTTAATTAATATTATAAATATAGGTAGAAAATTAATTCATACGCTTTATATAACTTATTTCTTACCGTTCAACTCGTGGTTAATCAAGTTATTCATTCCGTTATCAAGATATCAAATCTAGCATGCTCACCGTAATAAAGTTATCAAAGTACGAAATAGATTGGTATTTGCCACAGTTAATGGCATGGATATTTAACAACAAAAACATCACGAGAGCGGAGAATTAGCCAATTTTTCTTCCACTTCAATACAATGAATTTTATAAAGCTTATTAATTGTTGTTTCCGCATCTTATTAACTCTAATCTAAGCAGTATTGTTTTACATTAAAACCAGCCTCGCCGATTAATGCCCTATACTCAAACGAACAGCCGTTAGTTACATAGTAATTATTAAGTCGCTACAACGAGTCGTTATGAAAGTTACGAAGCTTTGTTCGCAAGCAGCTCTTGTTGAAGAGGGAGTGAATACGTGACAGCGGCTGCTGACCTTGAGGTCGTTGGCGATCTTGTCCCTGTTGCCGTACTTGAGGAACTTCTTGTGGCGCAGGCCCTGCTGCTGCACGTAGTTGGCGCCCGGGTGGTGGTCCGGCCCCGCGCGCACCAGCCGCCGCAGCCACTGCACGTTGGCCGGGAACACGCGCTCCGGGTACGTCAGCACGCGCGCCACGTGCACCGGCACGCCCACCTGAGCCACGGCGCCCCATCTCAGGAGGTCACTTGGCTTGCTTATGGTACCCGAGCAGGTGCTCACCACCCCCCCTCACCCCAGCTCAGATACGGGACCTCATCTTAGGAGGTCACTTACATTGGTTATTCTACCCGCGCAGGACCTGAACCCCCACCCCCCAGTTCAGATATTTCACGACGCGCGCCACGCGCACCTACACACCCTCGTCGAACTACGAGGCCTCATCTCAGCAGCCCACCTAGATTGGCTTTAGTACCCACGCCTGGAGCACGGGACGTCATCTCAGGAGGTCAGTTAGCTTGGTTATGATACCCGCGTCTCAAACCCCTAATGAACTGACGCCATCCACCTCACCATACGCCCGCTCCACAGGTCAGATTGGCTCACCCTGCCCCCCTTTGGTCCAGATACCTAGGCTTGACCTGACACCTATCTTTTCCTTTAGCCCTGATCTCGGAAGCTGCCTTCATTGAGTGGCGCTTTACCCACTTAGTGACACACGCTCTACACACCTTAACCATCTGGAGCTATATTTGATCCCAACGGCTCTGCATTAAGCAGCTTATAACAACTTAGTCCTTAGACATTACCTATGTCCTAGCTTTGGTCTTTATATTTCCCTCTCTGTATTACTCTTACACCACATGATCACAACAGCCCTGCAACCCTTCCTACTTCGCTCACACAGTTGCGCGTTATCCAAATTTGGAGCAGATTCGTTGTTACATTATTTTGACCCTTATCTTGCCCAAGACGTGCCTTCCCACTTGAGAGCCAGCTCTCGTCCATCATCCCCTGCGACCTTCAACCCTGCTTCACAGCTTACCATAAAAATACCGCCACGACTCATGCCACGTTCAAATTCTGAACTTCTAGTCACCTCTTGTATCTGCAGGTTGGGATCTGGCGAGATGACGGTGCGGCTGGAGAAGTCCACACGCTTCCCGGACAGATTGCCTCGGAAACGACCCTGCTTGCCCTTCAGCCGTTGGACCAATCCTCTCCCAGGTTTCTTCGGCTAAAACAAATCAGAATCGCTCTTTTGTAATTTATTTTGGCTACTTTATGTGGTCCTCACTTGTAAACTTACCAGCACATTATGGCTGCCAGTATAACCACAATAGTTATTATTACATGTCTGATCTGATCTGGACTTTGACCTTGACGGAACTCAGAACGCTACATCTGCATGTTAAAACAGTAAAGAAACAGCCTATTTATATCCCACTACTGGGCAAATGCCTCCTTTGTACAGAGGGTATTAGTACATAGTCCAATACACGACCTTACTCCGGAATAATTGATTTCACATAACTTCGAATTATTTCTTTTGTTATTTCGAAAATATGCAGGTGTCCTCACGATGTTTTCCTTCACCGCTGAGCACATGAGATCGAACTCAGGTTACTCTAGTAAATTGGATTAAAAGCGTGCGCCCGCGCAATGAGCTCTAGCCCTGATATTCTGCATGTATAAATCACTAGCGACCCGCCCCGGCTTCGCACGGATGCAATGTATTATACACATAAACCTTCCTCTTGAATCACTCTATGTATTAATAAGAACCGCATCAAGATCCGTTGCGTAGTTTTAAATATAGGCATACATAGGTACAGACAGACTGGGGGACGACTTTGTTTTATACTATGTAGTGATGGTTGCACACACCTGCATTGAGAGGGGGATTCCAGACATCTCGCTGTTGATATAGAGGGCGACGTGCAGCTGCAGATAGTCCCAATCCTCCTGCAGGAGTTCGCACTTGCCACCGCTGGCGATGTGGCGTGAGATCACGTCGTTGATCAACAGGATCTCGGACTGCTTCATCGTCAGGTCGTCTTCATTGCTGCGAACAACGCAAGTGGGCTGGTGAAAGAGATATGAAGATAAAAGCGCACTCTTGTTGCGCTTTCATCTTCATATAACCAATGTAATAAATCTAAAATTCATTATCATCATCATCAGCCGCAAGACATCCACTTTTAACATAGGCCTCCCCTTAGAAGGCCACAACGAACGACACTTTGACATTTACATCCACATGATGGCGTCGGCCCACCTAGAGGGAGGCCTTCTAACGCTACTCGAGAACCGTTATCGTTAACTCCCCGTCTGTCATCAGTTCTTCGAGCGATGTGGCCTGCCCCACTGCCACTTCAACTTTCAAATCCGAAGAGCTATGTCGGTGACTCTAGTTCATCGGCGAATTTCGTCATTCCGGATTTTGTCGCGCAAAGAAACTCCCAGCTCCATAGCTCTCTCCATAGCTTGTTGTGTGACTCTGAGCTTCTCCAAAAAGCCAGCTTTAAGAGGCCACATCTCCATCTACAATTACACTTCAGGAAATTGGAGTTCATTTAAACAAGTCAATAATTTAAAAAAAAACCCGAGAACCTCAGAGATACGGAAGAAGTTTTTGAAAAATAAATTTTCAAAAAAGGAGATTTTTGGTGAAAATCAAAAATCTCCGTTTCGTTTTGTTTAATAATATGAATAAACCCAGTTGCACTTGAGCAATGAAGGCGAATCTAACTACAAATCCTTCATAAGAAGCTTCCATTCAGCGTTTTAGTGGGAACAGAAATGGTAAAAGAATTAAAAACAGATGTTACTAACGTGCCAGCCTTAATGTCGGATACGACGCTCGGACGGATGCATAGCGGCGGTACGGGCAATCGGGTGAGAATCAAATCTTCCGGTCGGCAGGCTTTAACATTCATTCCCAACAGTGGGATGTCTTCATCGGGAATGCGACGGAAAAGATTCAACACCTGTAAATGAATTTATAAAAGGAATTAAATGACAATTACAAGGTCTTCAAAAACATACCTATGAAAAAAGATGCTTAGAGATGTAATTTGGTAGGCTCTTTGATTTTTAAGTAAAGTTGATACTTTTACAGAATAAGTTGAGTGCCACTAATGACTTCACCCTGTATGATCGATCAGTTGGAATGGTAACCGTTACTAGCCAGTTCATATTACTAAAATTATCTATTTTATTCTTAATTAATATTATTATGATATCCAATATTTACAACATGTATATTATTTATAACATGTTATTATTATAAATTAAACAAATTAGCTCATTATTATTTTAAAAAAAATGTTTAAAGTTAGTAATTAAATATTTGTTAAGAATAGACCATTAACATACCTCTAATGGGCTCATTTCTATGATCAACCCACTATTTATCATGGCAGCAATCTCTTTATTAGTTTCCTTGGCCTCGTGAAACTCACTCAGAACATTAAGGACTACCGGGTCTGTAGGCTTTTTATTTCTATACTTATCATGTATTATCTTCAGTATTCCTGCTGGACTCTTTTTTACAATACCATTTATTGTCTCACAGTGGGGGCATTTGGTATAGGTTTTTGCTTTTTTTAGCACTGCTACTCTCAAATTTTTCTTGTGCAGATATGAGATGTCTGGGTTTATGAATTTTCTCTGGTAAGACTTTTTTATTTTCTCGGGCAACATTACCTTTGCACATTCCTGTTCGATAAAAAATTTATTCAAGTAATATTTTAAACATTGAGCATGAATTTTGAAGAAAAATTGTTTGTATCCGCCACTAAAAGTTGAAACTAAGTCTTTGCAAATTTTAATACCAAGACTTCAGACTCCAGAACTACAATTATTTTTAAGAACAAATTGCTTATAGTATTTTATGTAATACAAATGACATACTTAAAATTAAAAGCAGTAGGATCACAGCATAGAAATTGTTATTAAATTCAATTTTTAATTTTCTAAACATTCAGGTGTGATGCTGATGGGGCATTCTTATATTGATTAAATTCTTTCCAGTTTCATTCAAATAATTGGAAATATAATAAGTAAAATATTTTTACCAACAAAAACAACAAGGTCTTCTAAATTATGAAACTTATGTTAATCTAGGATTGACCTTTAATTCAAACTTGACAAGAAATATTTTGTTTATTTTGTTTGTTTTATTTTATTTGTTTTTTGAAAAGAAACATTGCCCTTACTTTAGGATAACATTATCCTGTGTTGTAAGGACATTTTACAAATATAAATTTCACACGGACAAACACCCAGATTCAGAACAATTATATGTGGGTGACACAAATAGTTGTCCCTTGTGGGAATCGAACCCACGACCCTCGACGCCGAAGCCAATACCTTGGCAACTACGCCACGGAGTCATCAAAAAATCAAAATATTATATATATTTCTCAATTTTATTGAAACCAGTGTTTTATCATACCTTGCAAATAGTTTGTAGTATGGAGATAATAGAACGAAAATAGCCAACATGAAATACTGGCAATGCTAACTCTATGTAACCATAATGTCCAACGCACTCTGCCAGACCCAGGCCACATGTCTCACAGTTTGCATCTTTTTGATTTGTGCCCTGAAAAAGTATAAAATTAATGTAAAGTTTAAAATGCAAAAGTATTTTAAACAACATTCAAAGATGTATTTTATTTAACATTTTTTAAAAATAAAGTATGTAAAATAGTCATTATTTATTATACTTGGACTAGTTAGTAAACAATTAAAAATACCATTCGTCTATCCAGTACACCATAGGCTGCAGGTGCTCTTTGACCATCTTGTGCATACAGATTCTTTGTAATAACTTGAATATGGGCGGCTTGTTGTATATTTGATGCACTATCCACATTAAAAGTGACGTGAGAACTGAAATAAAAAAAACATACTTGTACTTAAAGGTATTTAAACTGAAAAAAGTTACAGTGATCATGTTATTCAGCGTTAATACATGTAAACATAACCTAACTCACATCTTTCTCCCAACATATGTTTCACGATACTGCTCCTTAGGCATTTTTAACATTCGTTTGTTATCTTTACACGAAATCTAATTACGCTTTATTCTTTATTTATTTAACTCATCAAAGTTCATGATATCGGTGTTTTTATGAACATCTGAATTGAAATTGAATACTTGAACACAATATTTTGACGTTTGCATAAGGATTAAGGTGTGTTCACTGTTTAGTCACTGCGATTACGAATTGAAATTTGTATTTACAATAATGGTTAAATTAAGTGGTAGGTATGTAAGCTGCTATTAAATAATTAAAAAAAAAACAATTTTTTTTTTTTTTTTTTTTTTTTTTTTTTTTTTTTTTGTGGCATTTTGTTATCCTTTATGCCAATGACAAGTAAAAGGAAGGAAACAGTGGTTTTGTTGAAATATAAATTTATTTCAACAGGACTAGGAAGCGGAATTGGAAAAAGGAAAATAATCAAGAAGATTTACGATACATATATTCAATGTGATAAAGTATTATTAATTACAGAATATTTAGTTTTATTAATATCGTATTTACACAAATACACATAATATATATACATATATACACACACATATATATATATATATATATACCCATATATACACACATACATACGCATACATTTATATATATAAACCTATTAACCAAGTTATACTATAGTTTTATAGCATTTTTCTGAATAAATGAAGCTAATGTTTTATATACACAAGGGTCGTTATATGCTAAAAGGAATGGTAAAAGAAACCCGGAGCAATAGAAGATCAGTAAAAAGAGAGGAGCGGTCATATAATGGGCAAGAAAGGAAAATATGGTTCAAATTTCCTTCTTCCGTTCCACAAGCACATAAAGAAGTATCTACAACATGAATCTTAAACAGAAAAGACGGAGAACAGCAGTGACCTAATCGCAAACGAATTAAAGAACTAGTACAATATTTATTTAAATTGACTTGAGTGTACCAAGGCTTATTTGGAATTGTCGGTTGAATTGAGGAGTAGAATTTTCCTTTCACTAGGCTAGGAGATGTCCAGTAATGTTCCCAGGACTCTTTCAAATATCGCTTCGACAAGGAAAGAAGATCGTGACAATAATTAGTGTAAGGATATATATCACCGCTTAACACGGCTTCATTTGCTAACTCGTCTGCCTTTTCATTTCCTTTAATGCCGCTATGCCCGGGAATCCATGCAAAAACTACTGTAATGTTTTTAACTTGGCATTTGTATAACAATTTTCTTATTTCTAAAATTATAGGATATTGGCATTTTGATTTAAGCGGAAAAATGTGCTAATGTTTGTAAAGAACTTAGAGAGTCCGTAAAAATTATAGCTTTACATAAGTTTGTTAATAATATATATTCTACTGCGCGAAATAGACCAAAACATTCTCCAGTAAATACTGATGATTCGGGAGGTAATTTAATTTTTTGTACAATATTATACTGAGAATGAAATACTCCAACCCCAACACAACTATTATTGATATGTTTAGAAGCATCACTATATATATAGTGCCAATTCTCCCAGTTATTTTCAATAATGAATTTAAAAAAAAAAGCTGTATGAATTTCTATTTCATCTTTTTTTATTCCAACATTGAGTTTTATGGAGGGTGTAAGAGTCAAGATTTTATAATCGGTTTCAAACAGTGGAAGAGTTTTGGAACGATACATGGGGGCTTCAATAGCAAGATATTTTTGGTAACTTTTAACAAGACATGGCAATTCCTTGAGTTTCCAATACGAAGATGAATTAATGACTTGACATAAGGTTTGTAGTTTTTGTTATTAAAGGATGCTTTAAAATTTGTAAACAACGAAACAGGAATCTATCAGCTAAATATTGTCTTCTTAAGTGGAGCGGCGGATCTCCACATTCTAATTGAAGAGCATTAATGGGACTGGATTTCATTGCACCAGATATTATTCGTAAAGCTTTTGATTGAATTAAATCGATTTTTTTAAGACCAGATGCGTTACAAGGTTCCAATAAAAATGTACCATAATCTACAATGCTTCTAATGATAGCGTTGTAAACTAACTTTAAGGAGATGGGGTGCGCACCCCACCATACACCAGAAAGGCATCTTAACATATTTAGTTGACGTTCACATTTTGCTACTACATAATCGAAATGCGGAATGCCAGTAAGTTTTGAGTCCAATATTAGACCTAAAAACTTTGCATTATTCTTAACTGGAATTGGACTATTTTTATAAGAAATGTGGATTTTTGGAAGAACACGTTTTCTGGAAAATATTACAGTGGTACTTTTAGAGGCAGACAATTCAAGACCATTTGATTCACTCCAAATACTCAATAGACGCAAAGAGTAATTTAAGCACTCACAAGCTTTATGAGCAGATTCATCCGAAACATACAGAAGTAAATCATCTGCATACTGTAGAATATTTGCGGACCCATTAAGGAAATGTTCTAAATCATAAGTGTATATATTATAGAGTAACGGACTAAGAACAGAGCCCTGGGGTAATCCTTTCCAAGTCGTCCTGGATATTTTATGTCCATTTTCTAAAAAAATATGTATAGTCCTCTCATATAACATGTTATAAATGAAGTTAATGAATATTTTTGGAACTTTTAAATCAATTAATTTCTGCCGTAACAGATGCGGAAGAACACTATCATATGCAGAATTTATGTCTAAAAACGCAGATAGAAGGAAATTATTATTTGTGAACGCCAGTCTTATATAGTAGTTAAAATACTCAAGCTATCTATCGTACCTCTTCCTTTCCTAAAACCAAATTGACTGCTTGCTATTATATTTTTGTTTTCAGCAAGCCATTCAAGCCGGTTTTTCACTAAATGTTCTGCAAGCTTACCTATTACAGATGATAATGCTATTGGCCTGTAAGATGTGGCCTCAGTAGAAAGTTTCCGGGTTTAAGAATAGCAATAATTTCCTGTGTTTGCCAAGACTTTGGTATATTGCTAGTTGCTATTATGGAATTTAAAAGATTTAAAAAGTAAGACAAAATTTTTTCGTCTAAATTTGAAATAAAAGAGTATATAATACCATCCTCCCCAGGGGCAGAATCCTTAAGATATGATAATATGCCTTTTAATTCTGACATAGAAAACTGCGAGGCTAATTCGGAGTGATCGTTTAAATTACACTCTAAATTTGGGTGGCGAAATTCTGGAGCAAAAGGGGGGGCAAGTCGGTCTGTAAAATCTTCAGCAAGATCTATTGGAAGAGATATTGAGGGAGAACTAATTTTACTACATCTGAATCGTCTGATATTTTGCCAGAGAACTGAAGGATTAGTATTAGGAGAGATCGATGAACAGTAATTTTTTCCACCCTTCGATTTTCTTCATCTTTAAAATTTTGTGTGTGTTGGTACTTATAACTTGAAAACTTTCAAAATTTTCTGATGTCATAGATGAACAATATTGTCTTTCTGCAGTCTTTCTTTTTTTAACAGCTTCAGCTTCAGAGCATTCTTTATCCCACCATGGCGGGGGTGAAGCTTTTTGGTAGGTATTTTCTTTTAAAGGAAAAGCTTGTTCCGCAGCGTTATTAAGAAAATTTACAAAAGCATTATAGGAGTCAATTTCATAAAATTTTTGAACATCTGGCAAGGTAGAAACGTTCTGTAGTGTGTTGCTTTTGTAAGTATGCCAGCCTTTAATACTTAATCTGTATTTCATACGTGAACGCGGAACTTTTTGATTTGGAAGGTTATAGAAAGGAAACGAAAATAATTATTGGAAAATGATCACTGCCATAAGTAGAAGACAAAATGTCCCACTCTAGAACAGAAGAAAGATTGGGAGTACATATAGATAAATCTACAGCACTCACACTCTCATTCGGTTCTGTACGTCTTGTCGGCTTTGAAGTATTTAGAACACATAAATTATGATGATCAAGGATATCTAACATTAGATCTCCATTAGGATTAGAAAAAGAGCTACCCCAGGATTGATGATGACAGTTAAAATCACCCATAACCAAAAATGGCTTTTTCAGTGAAGATAAGAGATGATTAACTTCATTTAAAACTTGTTGAGATGGGTGAGGAACATAAATAGATACATAACAAACATTATTGTATGAAATCGCAATTGCCGAAAAGTTATCAGAGTGTGGAGGCAGTGGAACATACGTGAAAATAACAGTTTTTTTAATTAAGATTGCTACACCACCATATCCATCCAATCTGTCTTTTCTATGGCAAATGTATCCTTGCATATTAAATGATAAATTTGGCCGCAGCCAAGTCTCCGAAAGAGAGATAAGGAAAGGATTAAATTTGTTAATCAAATATATCAATTCACTTTTTTTATTAACTATGCTCCTGCAATTCCATTGTATAACTTTGGCTTGATTGTCCATTGTTAAGAATTTGTTTAAGAATATCAAATGTTTGAGCAACGTTGTTCGGTGAAATTATTTTACTTAGTAACAAAGAATTAATTAAAGGAATTACAACATCTGTAAATATGTCTTGTTTTTCATTCCCATTGGGTGTTAATGCACATCCGTTAGACGACATTGGGATTTCAAAGTCCTTAATTAGAGCTTGATGAGCTGCTTTGTCATAGCCTTTGTTGAAATGGGGAAGAGGTCGAGTTTTTAAAGAAACTGTCTTTTTATATGAGTTTTTCAATGGTTGGTTAATATGTGATGACAAAGAATGTTGTGGCCTCATAGACTCAGCTGAATATGTGCTAGAGGGAACAGATTTAAGAATGTCAGCATAAGACTTAGTGACAGGGGGAGCATTTTGGAAGCCTCTGCATATGAGATGCAGTTTTGTGCCATGGTCAATTTTATTTGTTTTTGTCTAGCCCATTCAGGACATGATTTGCTAATAGCAAAATGTGACCCAGAACAAAGGAAACAGAAAGCACAGTCATCATCTTTATTGCAAGAGTCACTTGTATGAACATCTCCACACTTAAAGCAGCGTGGTTTGGACCTACATTGAATTTTAGTGTGACCATATCGACAGCAGTTGTAACATTGTATAGTAGGATATGTGTAAAGTTCGACAGATAAAGCATTATAGCACATATAAATGTGTTTTGGAAGAACCTGACCATCAAATGTTATAACTACTGTCTGTGAAGGTTTCCAAACTGGAGACCCATCAACAGTTGTTTTATAATTTAATCGTCTTATTTTTAAAATTTCACCACAACCCATTGGCACAGTTATGTTATTTTTAATTTCATCTGGGGACCATTCAGCTGGCACTCCTCTTACAATACCCATCCTAGTTATGTTGAAGGTTGGAATAAAGGCTTTTAATTTCTGTGTAGACAAAGAAGGATGATTAATAAAAGTGTTAGCATCAGTAAAATTGGAAAATGCAAGGGAAATCTTATTCCTACCAATTTTTTTTATACTGCCATTGATGATATTCCTAAATGCATTTTTTTTTTAGAAAATTGCCAAAGGACACAGGGTGGAATGAAGTACCATCATTAAATGAAGATACTTCTTTTTGAACATGTATAATATAAGGTGATAAGTCACTGTTTTGGTAAATCTTTCTATATTCGACACTAAGTTGCTCGGGCTCTTTTGATTCTGTTGTTACTGGTGATGCAACATTATTTAGAATGGTGCTGTTCTCATCACTATCGCAATGACAGGCATGCTTAGTTTGGTCATTCTTAGTACCAGAATGACTGCTCCTCCTTTTTTTTATTGCAATGTTTGCAAATTTTCTGCAAACGTGAGCGTTTTCTAATGATAAGAGTATTCGACGCATCAGTGTCCATACAAGACTCGCCATTAGAAACTTCTACATTGTACGCAACCTCGGGGACTCCACCCCCGGGATCAGGGGGTTCATTCATTATAATAAAATATATAAAACTTACCTAGGTATAGAAATTAAACTATTACTATTAATAATTAACTACACAAAGTAAAAAAATTACATATATACACAAAACTTCTCTGATTATTATCACTAAAATTAATTAAATGTGATTTAGAGAAAAAAACGCGCGCTTAGCTTTCAAGGTTTCCCGCCCTTTTTTTCAAAAAAAAAAAAAAAAAACAATTTTGTAACTTATTATAAATGTGATTGTGAACGCATTGTTAATTAGGGTTACATGTACAACCACACCTAAAACTACCGAAGTTATATATATATATATATAAAAATCGATCGCAAACTGTTTCATAAAATAATATGTTTCATAATCTTTCTGTATAAATCTTTTTTTTTTAATTGAAATCGGGGTATTTTCTTAAAGATTCTAAATTATATTTTTTAAGAAATTCTTTTCATCTTAGTACTATTTCTCAATATAGCTCTATGTTCTACATAAATTACTAAATAGTAATATCTACGAAGGGCATGAACACCATTCATATGTTTCTGGCGTAGAAAGAAGCGCCCAGCGCGCCGTTTTTTGGCTTGTCAACTGAAACCACGCAACAATTTTCCCTTTAGTATTCTTGATAAATGTTACGAATTTCCTAATGCTAAACACTAAAGATTACGACTATCAATGCGCCGCACAACATATAGTGTAAAACGAGAGAAGTGTTATATTTAAAGATATTGAGATTCGTTTTCCCACCGTAGTGACCCGCGAACTCTTAACATGCCTCTATTGAAAAGAAAAGCCTTTGAGAAATCGACGGCGTCTGAGTACCTTCGCGATGACGATGAAGTTTTCCATTGCGAGATCACCGACGAGATATTCAAGGATTATGAGTGAGTTTGTTTATATATAATATTTTCGCGCATTTCTCGTGTTTTTGTGAATTAAAGTGCACATATCAGTTGAGAGGGACCGTTGACATTACTTCCGCGCCGCTGCTAGTGTAATAAAGCAAGCGTGACATAATGTGTCACCGTTTCGTTAATATACGTCTCATTACTATTATGTTTATTAAAGTTTTCTTTAAAATTTACTTTCAAGGGAATACTGTGAAAGGATCATACTGGTTAATTCCATGGTGTGGACCTGTGAGATGACGGGAAAGAACAACTTGACATATGCAGAGGCATTGGAAAGTGAAAAAGCTGCAAGGAAGTCTCTAAAAGATTTTCCTATGGAACTCCGTATACCAATTCTGTACTTAGCTGCAAAAACCAAACGGTCTTCATTTGCAGAAATGTCAGAAGATGTTTTTAATTATGTGAGAGAGAGATATTTTGTTGGGGAGTCAGTTGAAGCCTGCCTTGAAGGAGATTTGTGGAGGGAGGCTCACATCCTTTCCGTGACAGCACAAAAACAACACCCAGACAGGTTAGTTTTTATCACATGTACAACTTATTAATAGTATAATTATATTGCACAATTTATCTTTCATATAGTTCTACTACTTTATTTCTCATGAAAACTTGTATGTGCTATCTTCTTACCATTTCAGTATTAAAAGACTTAATAAATAATCCAAAATTATAGTAAATTTTTATGTATTATGTCCCCATTATGTTCTTATTGGGTAAATTCTTATTATTCTATGTGTCTTTGTAATATGATGCAATAATTTTAAACAAAAATTTTATTTCTTTTATGTTAAAAAAAAATTAAAGGAAAATATACTGTATAAATAAGTTTAAAAATAGGCAAATTTGTTTTTTCATCTTTCAAGGTGAAACTGATTTTAACATGAATGTTTTTAATTTGTTCAATATACTATTTATGTACCTAATCGACACAATTTGTTTACATTTCTTGTTGAACTTGGAATGATATATTGACTGTTGATGTTTATAATATATCTTTTGGTTTGTTTAAATATTAGAAAAGTTAAATTTTGTAATCTTAATTTAATAAAGAAAAAAATAAAGTTAATTGTAAAGTTGTGGGTTCCAATTAAATGTAAATCTGCATCTCAACTATAAAAAAATTTAAGATTCATTGATAATTCTATTCTCTTTATCATCATTATCAGAACCTCCCCTTTAGAATGTAATAATGCACAAAACTTTGCCATTAGCATCCCCTGGTCTCATTTTTATTATCTACATAGCTGCATCTTATTCTGCAGTACTACGACACCTCCAGCATCATCATATTGTTATGAAGTGGAACAGTTTGAAGAATCGGAGCAAACCGCTGCTGGCCAGATAGGTACTGCTCCTTATGACCGAGTACGTCGACGTAAAGGCATATATTCACGAGATAAAAATCGCCTGTTCCTAAAACAATTTGTTGAACAAGGACCAGGGGGTGTTATAACAATCAAGGTATGTACGTAGTTTTCTCCTGCATCTCAAAGTTGACCAAAACTGTAGTTTTAGTAAAAAACTTGTATTTACTTACCTTACCTAAAGAACCCAGATAATCCTAATTACTTATCTTTTCTTACTTGTACTTTATTGTATTTTGTAATAAGGTTATCCTGTGTTGTAGGGATATGAACAGCTTATAGCTTATTACTGCAGAAATTGCAATTCAGTCAAAATATGGTTTTATTCAATTACAGAAATGCAAAAATTATTTTTTCTATCAAATTTCAGAAATCAGCTCTGGATAAATACAACATAAACAAAGTTAATTTTGACCAGATATTTGCTGGTAACCCACCAGAATTTGCATCATCCAAGAAACTTTTAAAGACGAGTATGTCACCTTCCGCTTCAAAAAGCTTACTTAAGCCAGGTTCCGCTAGTAAACTCAATAAATCCTTCAAAAAGGGAAGTCCCGACAAGAAAGGCAGGCAGGAATCTATGGACAAATTTGTGAAAAAGACTGATAAAGCTGAAGGTATATACTTTTTCTTAAAATAGTTAACAAATTAGTTTAGCTCTTTTATTCTCCTGAAATATTTTGCTATACCATTTCACATGAATGTTTTGTTCTGATTCAAATCAGCATCCTCAAAACCCAAACCACCGATGAATCCTGATGCGAAGAAAAGTGCACAGGAGTTGGCCGAGAAGATGCGACAAGCTGAGGAACAATTGAGGCAGCGCAGAGAAGAAGAAAAGGCGAAAAAGAAAGAGAAAAATGCGCGCCTGCTAGCACATCTCAAAGAGTGGCAGAAGATTAAGGATGATCAAGAGTTGGAGGATCACAAGGTAATTTGCTTATTATTGATAACTAACGACTCGCCTTGGCTTCGTGCAATGTATTATACATATAAACCTTCCTTGTGAATCACTATCTAGTAAAAAAACTGCATCAAGACCCGTTGCGTAGTTTTACAGATCTAAGCATACGATTATGACGAATATGCTATAAAAGTAAGTAAAGTAAAAGCCTATACATGTCCCACTACTGGGCAAAGGCCTCCTATATAGAGGGTATCAGGGCATAGTCCACCACGCGGCCCCACTGCGGATTGGCGGACTTCACATATCTTCGAAATATTTTTTTTGTTACTATTTCGAAAATATGCAGGTTTCCTCACGATGTTTTCCTTCACCGTGGAGCACGTGATAAGACAGCACTAAAAGTTAAAAACTTCATTGGTGCCGGCACCGGGGATCGAACTCTGGTTGCTCGAGAATATTGAGTTAAACTTGACACTGAGCTATCATGGCTCTAAATATGCTCTAATATGCAATACAAGAAAAAATTAGAATTTATATTTACATGAACTCTACACAATTTAATTAAATAAAAATTCTTAATGTCGTGAATATTTTTTTATCTGTGCTATTGTCACTGTACTGATAGTTTTTAATTGACTATCACAGGTAATCCCCAAAGCGACACCAGTCGAAGTTCAAGGAATACCGCACAAGCATTTCGGCGATTTCCTATCGGTCCTTGAATTTGTTCATATGTACAGTGACATATTGAAACTGAAGGATGTGTTCCACAATGAATTTGATCTGGAATTGTTCAGAAAGGCATTGACATTGAAGGAACACGCTGGGGCTTTCAGTGATTTGATACAAATGTTTCTGACGACAATATTCACTCTTCAAGAAGATGAGGCTGAGGAGTATAATGAAGGTGGTGGCATACAAGAGTCCACAGGTTAGTAATTTATTTATTATTATATTATTTATATATTTTCACTTATTTATTATTCACTTTCTTATTTTAAAGAGCTCATTTATCTAGTTTCAGAACATTCCCTAATCAACAATTTGTTATATTTCAGAGGATACTGACTTAGAGAGTGATATTGGAATATCTAAAGCAATAGAGCTAGCCACTAAAGCCAGTAAATGGTCTCAAACATACCTTGGTACTCCCCTCAGCAAGCTGCCACTTGACCCAACAACCGTCAGTGAAGTTTTGAGGTACTATAATACATAAATGCGATATATGCCAAATTTAAGTATTTTTGATGTGATATTTTTTACATAATATACATTACAGATAACTTGCAAAGAAACATTATGCATCTTTGTTTATTTGACAAAACTACCTTTCTTCTATCTTTCTGTCTCTTAATAGCTGCTGGCGACATTTGTCTATATCCTCATTACGTAAATACATATGGTGGTAGCGCCATAAAACAGTCTTCACTGTTTCACAAATCGGCAGGTCTTTCCGGGTAGGTATCGCAACTTCACAGAATGAAGGACTGGTGTGAAGTGGAAGTGTTACACTTCTGCGTTTCGTCTGGTGAGTGAGGCAGCCAGGGCCTGCTTTTTTAAAATGCATCTGCAACCCCACAGGTGTAGCAAATGTCAACGGGCGGCGGTTATCACTCAACATCAGGTGAACCGCAAGCTCGTTTGCCGCGTTCTCGCATAAAAAAGGTCCCTTCTTAAAAACTGCACTTGTGACATTACAGGCTTCATATGCTGTCGTCGGGAGGCGTGGGCGGGGGGCGGGGCGCGGCGTGGCGCTCCGTCCAGCGTGGGGGCTACAGCGGAGCCGATGATGCCGCGCTGCGTCTGCGTCTCACCAGACCACGCCCGGTCTGTCGCCTGGCCAACGCCCATGTGGCTGATCTACCACTTGGTAATACCCCTTATTTATTTAATATTTTTTATGTGTGTAGATTGCAAGCGAGCTGGCGGTTCACCTGATGTTTCGTGATAACCGCCCACCATGGACATTTGAGTTGCCACCTTTCAATAAATTGGACCCTGACTGTGTAACACTTTCATTTCATGTAGGTCTTCTGTGAGGTTCTGGTACTTACCCAGATGAACCTGCCCATTCGTGCAACAGTCGAAGCTGTTGCGTGGCCCTACCACTGTAATTCGTGTAGTAGGGGTTAGGTACTACCTAACCCCTACCACAATAATAATAAAAAAATACCAATAACCACTGTGACCTAGAAAGATATATTTTAGTCACCCCTTCGAAAACATTTACCCCTACTCTATGTCATGTTCTAAAATCTCTGCTTTGATCTTTACAGAGGAAAAGTTCTTGATACTTCAGTGTCTAATGAATCAAATACTGAGCTACGCGAGCGTCCGCGACATCACTGAAGAGAGACTCGAAGAATACAAAATGGTCAAGCAGTCATTACGCATGCTCCAGGTTGGATTACTTTTTTTAACTTACAAAATTTTCATGACCTCTATAGTTTCAATGAAATGTATTGTTCCTTAAAATTCTTTTGTACTATTAATTCGAAATTAGTCAACGTTTTCCCCATCTCTTTCAAAGATTCATTTGTTTCTCTGTTATGAAACAGACATAATAAATAAACACCCAAAATACAAGTACAACATAGAAAATAATGTTTTAAATAATATTGTAATATTCTAAATGGTTGTTTATTTGTTATAACTGTTCCAAATAGATCTAATTACCTCTAATGATTTTAATTTTATTATTTTAAGATCAATGAACGGAAACGTGAAGTCCAATTGGTAGCTACGCGTCAAGAACTAAAGAAGGAAGCAATGACTAAGAAAGAGGAGCAGAAGTTAACAGGAGATAAGGCAAAAGCAGTTGATGAGGAATTAAAACTTGCAATAGAGAAGCTAAGCAAGGAAAGCGAAGCTAAGCATCACGAATACGAAAAGAAACTTAAAGAGCTACAGCTATCTATGTTTAACTACACATCATATCTTGGTGAGACTATAATTTTTATTCTATATAATTCTTATTGGAATTTATATTAGTATATAGTCCATTCTTATTGTAATGTTTCTTCTTTCTTAATTTAACTTACTGGTTTGCAACTGGTTATAAAAATCTATACACAAGCTATTAAGATCCTTTGTCATTTAAAAAAAAAAAGAGTCTTTTTATTATTTAAGGACTTAATAAGATGTGCTAATTTTTCACTGTTCTCTGATAGGTTTGTTCCCCTGATAAGGGATCCTTTAAATTATAATTTTTTTTAGATAAATGAACAAAAACTTTCAGCGCTGCGGGATTCGAAGCCGCGTCTTCTGGCCAGACACTTTACCAACTAAGCTAAGCTTTGCTCTAGGGGTTCCTACAAAATTATATTTTTTTTTGTTTCATCTGCCAAGCAGGCATGGACCGCGCCTACCGTCGCTACTGGGTGATGAAGCGCGTGGGCGGGCTGTTCGTGGAGGCGGTTGGGGAGGAGGACGAGCGCGGCCCCTGCCGACTCAAGCCGCCCCTCGCGCACCCCTCGCGTGACGAGAGAGGTAATGCCCACACTCCCTCTGTCTCTTTCTCTCTCTCTCGCATTTCCTCTGGTGAGTGATTTAGGGAGAATTTGTTTATGGTGTCATTGGGCGGAGTTAATTACTTAACTGCATCTTCCACTCAAATTTCAACATCAATCAAGTTGTTGTATGATATTGCTATCCTTTGTTGATGAATATCATTATCATTATGATTATATCTAGAAATGTCCTTTTAATGTGTTGTTACTTATACAAATGTCATGTGGACATACCCCAATCAAGAACATTGATTACCTTCCATCCATTTTTATTTATAGCTGGAAGTGACAAAGAAAACGAGTCTGCTGCCAATTCGCGCGGTGGTTCACCGAAGAAGCCATTAACTAATATAAACGGGATCACGCACAAGATGAATGGTAACGAGCCGGGCTCGCCACCGAACCCTGTCGTCCTGCAACGCGCTAGAGAGCTGATGCTGTGCACTTCTGACATCAACACTTGCTACGTGCATGGCAAGGTTGGTAGATGCCCCACTTTTTGAAGGGCTCAAAGGAGAACTAATTGTTTAGACTGTAGTATATTTTTTTTATGCGAAAAGTTGTCAAACGCGCAGACGGTTCACCTGATGTTAAGTTAATACCGCCGCCCTTGGACATCTGCTACACCCGAGGGTTACAGATGCGTTGACAACCTTTAGAAAATTGGGCTCCAGCTACCTCACTCACCAGATGAAACGCGAAAGTATTTGTCATACTTCCACTTTAAGCCGGTCTTCAGTGAGGTCGTGGACGTACTTACCCGGACGGGCCTGCCCATTCGTGCAACAGCCGAGGCTGCTGCGTGGCCCTACCACCTGTCGCGGTGGTACCGACACGCTGTATACCTCTATTGTAACAATGTCAGTATATACAGCGTGTCTTTACAAACGCGACAATAAATGAACACACATATAGAGTATAACTTTTTAAAATTGTATTAAACATTTACATTCTTTAAACATCAATATTTACAGAGTTATTAAGTTTTCCAAAAAAAAATTTTAGAACAACCTTATGTATAAAACTGTAACGTAAAGTTCATTTGTAAAGGTCACAAAGCATATGAATGGGTTGAATGAATTTAAAAGATACAAAACATACTGTTAGAAGGAGAGGCTTGTAATACAATGCTGTGACAACGAATGAAAAAGTCTCGGAATGGATGAATCAGTCAGTTGTCATTGTATAGGCTGTTACAAATTTTGTTTCTTTTTACTTAATTAGTTGGAAAAATATTTCTTTTAATTATGGATTTTTTTTTACGTTAATATTTTTTTATCATTATTGGCAAGTAGCGTTACATGTGTGTTAATTTATTTATTATACTCTGTATATATATTGATTGCAAATGTGCGGGAAATCAGTAGATGCGTAGCTCAGGATCATACTCCATGGCTGTCTACAGGGGAGGCCTATTTTCAGCAGTGAACTCAAACAGGCTGAAATGATGTTGATGTTATATTAATATAGTTACAATGGAAGTAGGTATATTAAACTTAATATCAGTTATGTATATTACATTTCATAAAAATAAACTTTTTTCAGGTGGATCGACCCCATTGGTCTGTATACCACACTGAAGAACAAATTCAAAACCTCATCCAGTCCCTGAATAAGCGCGGTCTACGCGAGAACGAGCTCCGACATTCTATAGAGCTGGATGGCACGAATTTGATAAATCACGTTAAAAAGTGCCCGTTACATCTGTTAAATCCTACAGCAGCACCGGTAAGTCGATCCTTAGACCTGGTATTTATTCAGTTTTCCATATTTTATACTAGCTGCTGCTCGCGACTACGTCTGCGTAGAACAGCCTGAAGGCGTTGCATTCAGACAGAAAGACAGATATACATAAAAATATGTATAACAACTTTCGCCTTTATAATATTAGTAAGGATTAGTAAAGATTACACACAAATTCATTCGTAAAATGCCTATGTTATATAGTGATGTAAAGTAGCCCACACAACTAGCTGTTGTGTACTACCATTGTGTAAAAAATTGTGCCCGATAAAAAATGGGGAGATTTCTGGGGAAGAAAGAGAGGCGTTCAATGTATTCTCGGCTAAAGTGGACGCTTATAGGCTGCGGTTATCACTTAAAATCGGGTGAACTGGCAACTTTTCACGTTAAAAAATTTTGAGTTACATGTGTGAATCTGTCTTGTAAAGCCTTTAACATTCAAGTCAATCATAATATATCACAAATGAAACATTTAATTTTTACTTTTAATAATAATTGTAAAAGATAAATTTTTATACTTGTTAACTCATTTGTTTTCCTTATCAGCAACCCCTCGTTCCCGCGTCACACCACATGACCCGGCAGCGTCGCATACAGCCGTCACTCAACGTGCCCCCCGACTCCACTCTCGCCGAGGCCCTGGAGCTGTCCTTACGAGATCACATCCTCGAGCTGGAGGAGAAGATCTTCCACGGTTGTCTGGGAGCCCTAAAAGTGAAGGTATGCACTTGGCAAATTTATGATGTATAATCTTCAGAATGTTTTGAATGTTACAGTAAGGCTATTTTGTATGTAATTTTGTGTTCAACTCGAAAGTATATTAAACTACCCGTTAACCGCGGCTACGCCCGCGCGGCCAAAGGGAATAAACAATGAGTTTTTATTATAAACCAGAATATCTCGCAGATGGCTAATTTTTTTCCTACTTAGTTGACACTTATTATTACCTATATTTTTTACAATTCACACAATATCTTTATAAATTATAGCCTATGTGTTATTCCGATGTATAAGCTAAATTATTGTAAAGTTTCATTAAAATCTATTCAGTAGTTTTTGCGTGAAAGAGTAACAAACATCCATCCATACATACAAACTTTCGCCTTTATAATATTAGTAAGGACTAAGTAGACAATTGAAATTGTATGCCAGGATCGCGAGGCGTGGCGCGGCACCATAATGCTGAAGGGCTATGACAAGCAGTCTGAGCGGTTGAGATGGGGCCCCGCGCAGCGATACAGAGACGATTGCCACCTCCCTAACGGAGTACTACGCCTGCCTCATGGTCAGTGCACGCACGCAAACAAACGCGCACGCACACACAAAACACACATATAGTTAATTGTGTTAGTTTTGTTGTACAAGCTTATTGATTCAAAAAATTCGTATTCTTATATAGTTATAACATATTTTCGCGGTGCAATGTGACATTTATAAACAATTTATAAACATTTTGTATCAATATTGGTCACAAAGTCACATAAATCCGCCTATATTATATGGCAACAAACTACAGTTAACTTTAACCTACATTGCAGTTACAGTATAGGTATTTTGATCATTAATAATATTAATTGTCATAAATAATAATAATTGTCGTACTTTTTTCTACAATTTTTAAAGTTTCATCGTAAGTGCAGAGATAAGAGTGCAGAGTAAAAAAGAAATGGCAACATCTCGTTCGAATTATCGTTGTAAAATGATATTCGAAATTGTTTGTAGAATTGTTTAAAGTGTCAGGGCGCGAATCCCGAAGACCTGGATTCAATTCCCACATTGGCAAAACTTTTCGTACTATTTCTCCAAATTTTTATAAAAATAAAGTTGTTGCTTTCACAGACGTAGGTGAAGAGGAGGCCGAAGTGATAACAGAGAATAAGTACAGAGACCCGGGAAACTATTTGGAGGCTCCAAAGGTGAACGGGGTGAAGTCTGAGCCCACAGAGGAGGAGGAGACGAGTGCAGACCCCACAGTAGTCCGCGGCTTAGCCTCCGCGTTGCTGCAGGTCTCGCAGGCCATACACCACAAATACCTGAAAAGACCGTTGGGTGAGTCATTCACATGTCTTTTTAGAGAAGAAACCTCACTTAATTCTCATCTCATATTTATAATAAACACCGATTTAATTATTATATTACGTATAATCTTTACTCAAATCAAACTAAATATCTTTATTTAATATAGAGTGATAACTAACTTATTGATTGTCAAAACGCTACCACTGTTATGTTGTGCTGTTAGACGAATAGGTAGGTCCGTCTGAGTTAGTACCACTATCTCACGAAAACCGACGTGAATTAGGAATTTTATACTTTTGCGTTTCGTCTGATGAGTGAGGTAGGTGGGGTCCAGCTTATTAAAAGGCATCGCATCTGTAACTCTTCAGGGGAAGCAAATGTCAGTGGGTTTTCACTTAACATCAGGTGATCGGCCAGCTTGTTTGCCACTTACTCGCCCAAATAAATGTTGAATTAGTGATTGTCCAGCATAGGACTGAACCCTATATTCGAATATTCCCAAACGCCTTCCAGGTCTAGACGACAAGGAGCGCAAAGAGCGCGAGGCGAAGAACAAACCGCTCGACCTGGAGGCGCTGGAACGGTGGGAGGTGTCGCTGATGGAGTGCCGCAGCTTCGCCCAGATCGTGCTGCATCTGCTCACGTTGGACTCCAGCATTATGTGGTCGGCGAGCATCCTGAACGCCAGCTGCAGGCTGTGCAGGAGGAAGACGGACCCGGACAACATGCTGCTCTGCGATGGCTGCAACAAGGGACACCATCTTTACTGCCTCAAGCCTAAACTATCGGTGAGTATCAAAATACGACCAGTGTTCTTGTAAGTTATATATGGATGTTTAAGTGAGCGCTTGCATGCATATACTCCCTATTTGTGCACATTAATTTAGTAATATGTTGCTAATGGTATATATAACTGAGAATGTCAGACATTATCAGTCGATAAATATGAGTGTTTAATGTTTGGACATTACTAGTAACATTTATATTTTTTTTCTTTTTTTTTTTTTATGTGAAAAGTTGCCAGAAGCAAATTATTATCACTTGTTAAAAAAAATTTGCTTAATTTCATGCAATCAGTCTTTAATTACGATGAAGGTAAGCTGATTATTTGCTGCGTGGCCCTACCACCAGAAGCAAATTATTATCACTTGTGTGCTTAATAATAAATTAGTGTGATTATCATTAATTGTGTGATAATAATTAGTGTTATCATTAATTTAAATATATAATTACATGCTAATAATAATATTATTATCATATGCAGTTCTGGTCATGTGTGTCTTTTAAAATAATTGCGAAATTTGGTAAAACAAAAACATATAAAAGACTGCATTATTTATAGTCATACATTATACCTCAGACAAGGCTTTCATGTACTAGGGATATCGAAAGTGAATACATATATCGATATATCGGTATTTATAATATCGACTCTATGTTGGATTCGAATTTGAAAAAATATCGATATTTATCGAATATCGATATTTTTTACTTTTACTTCTTGTTTCTAGTGCATCGAAGTCAGGACTATAAATATTCATTCCTTGTGTTTTTTTCTATCATAAATTGATGTAAAACAAAATTCGCAAATAAATTTTTCAAAATAAATATAAATGTTTTTTGCTAAACAGAAAGTACCTGATGGTGATTGGTTCTGTGATCAATGTAAACCTAAGGAGAAGACACCGAGGAAGAGAAGAAAACTCTTCTCCGATGAGGATGTAGAAGAAGAACTTGACACTAGGTAATTTTAATGTTGTCAGGATAGTGCGGTATTTATTAATTTAACTTAATACTCTATATCAGTGATTCTCAACCTTTTTTTTGTTGCGGCACATATTAAACGATTTCAAAATTTGGCGGCACACAAAGAAAAAGATAAAAATTATTTACTTACTACAACACAGTACATAAATAGTTTATGACAAAAATTTCAAATATACGAAATAAACTAATATATACTACAATAATAACTAAACATTTATTAAGGGATTAATTACAATTACATAATAAAAATATTTTTAATGCGAAATTTGAGCTTGATGTTTTTTGATAATTTCATTTATATTTGGTCGTAAAAATGACAATGCTACTCTCATATCGTCTTCTACATTTAACAATCTTGATCTTTTTTTAGTTTTAATGTTGGGTAATGCCAAAAAATAATTTTCTTTTTAAATGATATAATTTAATAATAATAACATTATTATATATTTGCAAAATTTGGCGGCACACTTTTGAAATTTGGCGGCACACAAAAGAGCCGCGGCACAGTGGTTGAGAATCACTGCTCTATATAAATCGTTATTAGTCTGTTATATAAGTAAGCGCTTTTATTGTGCTAATAAGATAAACCAATTTAAAGTTTTGACTATGTTAGGGCCACGGTAGATCCGTCTGGGGAGTACTACAAGCTTTCAGAAGACCGGCGTGAAGTGAAGAATTATACTTATGCATTTCGTCTGGTGAGTGAGGTAACTGGGTCCCACTATCAAAAGGTGGTAACGCAAATTTGGACGGCGGTTATCACTTATATAAATATATTCGCCGCGAAGGTTTGTGCGTACTACAATTACGCTCAGGCTGCGAATGCAGCCGTGTGTGGCCCGCAGCATGACTCTGCTACATATGTGTATTGTTTGCGCGTTGCAGCGGTGGTGCAGCCGAATGGGGCGGCCTGTGTGGTGCGTGTGGCAGCGGTGGCAGACTGGCGGCCGCTTGCCGTGGCTGTGGCGCCCGCTGCCACAGCGAGTGTTTGCCACACAGGCGCGCAGTCTGCGCCGCTTGCACGACTGGAGCCCCTGCGCGAAGAGGTAATATAAAGATCTAAACACTAATTAAATTTGTAAGCCCATTAAGGCGGCAACGAATTTGGCTAACTGAGATTCCAACCTCAGTGGCATCTCGTAGCATCGTAAAGGCAATATGGAATGTTATTAATATTTCTGGCTTTTGTGACAGCTAGGTAGCTTTATTTGGAATATATTTAGTATGAATTTTGGTTAGAATCATACATTATTTCATGAATATTATGTTGATACATAATATATTTTAAGAATTTTTTAACCTCCACAATATTGTTTACAAAACAGACTTACTACAATATTGTTTAATACCTTGGACAATATTTATATTGTCAGTTTAGAGTATATTATAGTTATTAAAGGCAAACTTTCCTACCACATTAATAAGTAAATAATATTCCATCATATTCATCATTCACGCTACTACAAAACGTAATATCATCTTATATGGTTTTTTTTTTATTTAAAACTGACCAGCACTTGACTGCCATCCCACCTGATGGTAAGTGGCGGATTTTAGCAGAAGGCTTGCAATTATACACGTCTTTCTCGCCATTAACTACATTTACGACCATATAGTTATTTACCTCTGTTAAAAGGGAGAAATATATATTTTGTTTTTAATAACTTAGCACCATGGGCAAATAGTTGATATAAATAGAGGTGTACGCATTTATTATGCGAACACCTCAGACATGCCTGATAACTCGGAATGAATTTCTAACTAGGCAATCAAGATGCGACATGCGACTATAAAGTCTGCGACGTATCAACTTAAATTAACGACTTGCTAGACAATCGAGATGCGATGCCTTTTCTCCATTAAAAAAAAAACTACAATCGTGCAGGCTGTGTTGCCATGAGGTCTCTAGCTAGGGTGTCGATGTTGCCCGTAAAATGTTAACAGTAAGTTTAGGCTAAGCGATTAACACTGTTCAATGTGGATCCGAAGAGCACACGGTGCGTCGGTGCGCGGCGAACGCGATCAACAACATCCACGAGTACGCGAGGGCGCTCGACTCGCGCCGCAACTCGTCCGGTTCGTGCCGCCCACTGCGCCCCACTTCGCCCCAGCCCCGCTCCACTCCGCCCCACTTTGACCCACTTCGCCTCACTTCGCTCCACTCGGCATGCGCGATGCCCACTAACTGCTCGCATAGCTTATTCCACTCATACATACGGCAATCACAATGTCACCACGTCCACTAATCCTTTGACCGCTTTTATTACTTTGGTTGATTTGTTTGCATTAGGTTCTTGTTATTGTTGTTCTTCCTTTCATTTCTTCTGTGTTGTCTTTTCTTTTGGCCTATTCCCTATTAAATTTCGTAACACATGTTATGTGTTTCTCGTCAATAAGACTCTAAAACATAAAGCATGTCACAGTTCTGTTACTTCATTTTTTTTTTCACCTTCGCATGTTTTATTACCTTCTAATCTAATACTTCTCATTTATATCAATTGTTTAATTACCTTGTTTTAATATGAATGTAACATATTAGGCAAGATTGTGGCAAGGCCACGAACAGTCCTCTCCATTGCACGAATGGCCAGGTCAGTTCGGGTAGGTATCACAATCTCACAAGACCGGAGTGAAATGAAAGTGTTATATTTCTGCGTTTCGTCTGGTGAGGTGACTGGGTGACTACTTTATTAAAAGGTGGCAACAGTCTGCAGCCATTCGGGTGTTGCAAATGTCCGTGGGCGGCAGTTATCACTTAACACCAAGTCAACCACCAGCTGGCTTGCCACCTTCTCACATAAAAAAATCAGATCAAGCTTACCAACGTTGATGGGTCGCTTAACAGAATCTTACAATTGATTTACAATGTTATAATTAATTTTTTTTTATAATTATATGTAAAATTAATGACTAATACTTAAAACTATCTGGAATTAAAGGTGGTTTATTATATTGTATGAAAATGTTTTAAACTAAGAAGTGCTTTCAGTTAGTGCTAATTTGATTTATGTTAGTCCATTTACCATTAGACGATGATTAATTAATAAAACCCAAATTAATTTCCATTTGGTTAATTGATTTTAGTCAAAAACTCATGAATTTTGACCAAACCAGGATACCAGGGATATGTTTGAAATTCAATAGTTCACTATTGCTTAATTGCTGTTGCTCATGTTTCTGTGATAAGATGTAATATGAGACTAAAATCTAAACTGCATCATCTCCACAGATTCCGAAGATAGCGAATACAACACAGCTCTCGTCAAACTGAAGACGCGCAAGTCTCGAGGGAGTAAAGACCACTCACCGATACCGAATGGCAGTGCCAAAAGAGGGCGCAAGTGAGCACACACTTTGTAATACACTTAGGAAACTTTGAGCAAATTGATTGTGCAAAAACTAGCAACAGATATTTGCCCTTTAATAAGCTATAAGAAAATAGTGGATTGTTTTATATGTATGAATGGGTATCCATTTGTATTCAAATTTTTTTGCTATCTTATGAAACATTTTTGTTTTATTACACTGGAAGAAGTCCCAGTCTAAAACCCAGGTCACAAATGTTTTGTCATACTATTAGCATTTTATTAGAGACATCAATATTGTATCTAAGTTGAAACTTTCAGTTATAATTTAGCTTAAGTGACACCAATCTTATGTGACAATCGTGCAACCTGGTTTGGCTGGTCCATTCAAGAAACTTTATGGTATATGGTTTATTCATCCAATGTTAGTAACTGTTGCAACACCACCTACACACTTAAAGTATTATTTATAAAGATTTAGAGAATTTTTATTTTTTCCAGTGATTTTATGCATTGTTTAAAATAATTTCTTTAAACCAGGCCCAAGAGTGACATGAATGGCACATCAAGTAGAAAATCTAAGTCGTCTCTCACAAATGGCGTACATGGTAAGTGTTTCCATTTTAAATATAGATAATATTATTTATCTTATCGATGCTGTAATAAAAAAATAACATGAAATTTTTACTGTTTTACAAAAGTCATATTTTCAGCTTTCCTAGTACGGAAAGTATGATCCTATTGTTAAAACTGTACAAAGGAATGCTAATGTATTATAGCGACATTGATCCTATTAAGCTAAATGATTATCTTAGCCGCTATGTGTTGTGGGTTTGTTACCCATACAGGACAATTATTATGTGACCAATAGATAATTGGTGTGAGTTACACATGCATAATCCTAATGTTTTTTTTTCAAAAAAAGGTAAATATCATGATTTTTTTTGTAGATTTTTGCAATAGAAAAATACCACTTAATTTTTTCTATTTTTAGAAAGTCTAGCTAAAATCCCTCACAAATCTTAAAAGAGCAAAGTATATTTGGTTGAGTAGCATAACATTAGAAAACATATACAAACATTTAAAAAATCCATTCACATTCACACAAAACACATTTAGAAATATTCAAAGGTGTTATTTATGAAAAAAAAAAACATTTCTTATGCCTAAATAGTTGTGTAATAATGTCAAATCAATGCGATATGTTTTCTGTTTGCTTTAGAGGAGCGAAGTGTACCGAAGAAACGCAGCAGCCGCTACGAAGTACAGTTGCACCGGGAGGTGCTGGATGCCCTGCTGCGAGACGTGATGAAGCACAAAGATAGCTGGCCTTTCCTAGAGCCTGTCTCCGTAGAACAGGTGGGTTCACTTGAAATTTCTATCTCAATTCATAGATAAGTCCTTATAAAAGAATTTAAAGGAAATTTTGCTTTTAATTTTTTAAATATTTGTCCTTTTTATGATATAAATTAATATGGAAAGGACTAAAGAACATGTATAATGTGTTGTTAAACTGTTTGTTCGGCCTGTTTCAATAATAACTGTGAAGTTTTAATAAGCCTGAGTGAAGTTGGCTCCATAAGTTTTGCAGTTACTATAGTCTATACCTTACCAGCAATACTATACATCCATATCATCAATTTTATTACTACTGCAAATAATACTATCCCTAGTGGCCAGTTAATGTATTTCCACAAAGGGCAAACATTTTAAAAAACCTGCAGTCATCTTTAATGAAACTGTTATAGGGATTTTATCAAAATTTAAACGCGATAAAATTCGTAAAATAGTTTAATTTTATATGCATAATATTTTTTCATGTAAGAAGGTGGGAAGTGAGCTGGCGGGTCAATTTATGCTTAGTGATAACCGCGGGCCACGGACATTTACAACACCCGTAATAAAATGGGCACTGGCTACCACACTCACCAGACGAAATGCAGAAGTATGACACTTCCACTTCACGCCGATCTTCTGTGAAGCCTTGGTATTTACCCGGACGGCCCTACCACAGTAACCTGCCTTCTAAATAACAACTCAACTGACACGCTCCAGGTGCCCGACTACCTTGACGTGATAGACGAGCCGATGGACCTCAGCACGGTGGCTGCAAAACTTGCGGACAACCAGTACGGTGCCGACGCCGATCTGCTGAGCGATATCGCGCTCATGTTCAGCAATTGCTTGCTCTACAACAAGGAGTCTCACCCAGTCGCCAAGTCAGTCCATCATTATAATGATTAGATATCTCTATGCGATATATCGCAGAAAGTTTAATTCTATTTACATTTGCATCAACAACATGATCTCTTCGTCCTACCGGCCATGAGTAGACTGCAATTGATAATGCTTTTCAGCTCATTTTGTTCCAATCATTAAATGTAGTGAGTGTTCTACATATTATTTCCCTGTGCGCATTAAAATATACACTATTCTAATTTAATCTTAGCACTACCATTTTGTGTATGATACATTTTTTTTCTGTACTTTTCCACAGAATGATGATAGGAATAAAGTGTTAGTAATCGAAGGAAAAAAAATAATGATCATAAATTATTATAGGGCCGGGTATCGCCTGCAGAAGTACGTCACTAAACGTTGTGCAGAGCTAGAATTGCCTCCCCTCCCACAGATGAGCCTTGAAGAAGAGGATGACGAGGAGTTGAACAAACGCAAGAACCAAGACGGAGATGACTTTGAGCCCAAGGCCAAAAGGTCCAAACTTAAGTGACAATCATGGTTGAACTCTTCAGAGTATATTTACTACTGAAGCAGGTGTAATATACCATGAATGTTAGTGGACTGATGCGCTTGATTTGTTTAAAATACTATAAAAGCCATGCTGTGTTAGATCTAGTGTCTTTAATTTCGTAAAATTTAATGCTTTTAATTTCCTTTTAATCCACTGGAACTGTCAGTAAATTCATCCACACTGTTGAGTTTTTTGTAAGCATCTTATGGTATTTATTATGTTTGTTTCCACTACTTAATTTATCGAAATTATTGCGATTTTTCTTTTCATATTCATTTGCCCTTATGATTATATTGAGGCACATGAAGCAAAGTATTTAATGGGTTAATTTTTTTAATTTAATACTCCTTGTTAATACAATCAATAAGTTAGCGATGAAAACTTTTAAAACATATTGTGCACTGCTTTAATTGTTAGTTTCCGCGATTTTTCCTTTTGTAAATAATTAAAAACGAGCCCAGTAGACATCAAGTATTGTCAGTTCATTAAAAAAATCTCTAAAAAAAAAATATAGTGTTGCAATGTATAAGCCAGTAAAAAAATTCAAATGGTTATATTTTTAGATCAATTTCACAAGAACATGAATATTCATTAAATGGTTGAAATTGAAAGCTAATGATATATTTAAAATTATTGATAAATATTGTCATTTCAGCAAAATGTGGGAATTGTAATGATTATCTTCTTATCTATATTTTTTATGAAATAGTGGGTTAAATGATATTCTAAAATATAGTATCGACAAAAATTTGCCAGTGTTAGATGAAAATTTGAGTGTAAGATGTTTAATTGGTATACAATATAATTTGTAGCAGACTCTGACTCTAGAATACGTTTCAGTATTTGTTCCTTCACTTTGTAACTGTTGATATAATTATATGGCCATTTTCGCAATTTTCTAAATTAAAAAAAAAGCTGAAAATTTAGTACACTCACTTTTTCTTCAATCAATATCGAAACCAGATCAGTTTTGTTAATTCATATATCTCTATCCTTTAGAATACTATGGTGTGTAAATTTTGCAGATAATCTCCTGCCATTTGTGTGAAAACATAACCAAAGTGAACCATACAAATGTAATTAGGATCTTTAATATTCCATTAAATTTAAGATTGTAAATAGTAATTATAAATTTTTAGCTAGTTTAGATGATGAATACTCGAATGGCGTGTATTATTAAACGTGATTAGCCATAACAATGTAAGTGCCTGTTGGGAACAATTCCCAGAGTCAATTCCCAGTAACGTATAGGCTGCTTTTGGATTCATCTTAATATATGAAGATATATATATATATATGTCAATGATAAACATATACAATTTTAAGATCTATGTAATACATTATACAGCTGAAATGACTACACAATATAGAATAGTAAATTAGTTGGTATGAAAAAACGCTTTTGTTGATGACATAGGTTAACAGCATTATCATGGTGTTTCCATACTATGGTTGAAGAATTGCTTGTAACAGTATGCTGGGAACATATGTTTAAGTCATAACCTTTCTAGCAACCTCAATAGCATTTATTTTTCTACACGCCAGTTATTAATTTAAATTCTTTGGTAAATCATGTAATTTAAATAAGTAGTGCTTTTGTTGAACAGAAATTATTCTTTAATATTTTGTATCGATTTGTGGCATAATGCTGATGTTTATTTTACTATACGGTTTGCTGGAACAACTTCTGTAGTGGCCCTTATTTTTTTAAAGGCTAATTTCAGTGTCGTCTTTTATGACTTTTCAAATGAGCATAGCTCGGTACATAATCATACGAATGAATTAGAAAAACAGAAATACCAAAGGAATAATTTGATTACAAATGATATAAATATACCAACATTGTGTGATTAATTTGCATTATAGTTGATGATAGCTTTTAAACGTACATTATTATCTAAAATTTGTGCCGAGCGTCGAACGCAATGGTTAAGTTTTGTTTTAAGGAATTTTATTTTGTTTTTTCTACTTTTGTTTGAATGTTTGGTCCGATCCATTTTAATACCGAAGCAATGTATGTAGCTTTGTAATGCAAAACCTTTTTTTGAATTATAACAAACTGTAATATATAGCTTTTTTGTTTTTAAATGTCGAATGTTATAATGATCAAGTACCTATTAAATATGTAGATTGGCGCAAAACCCTTGCAATGGAAATGTTACTTATTTCAAAGTACTGTGTGATATCATTTCATATTACAAATTAAAGTGCATTTTAAAACCATCAAATAATTAACATCTGCAGTAATTACAGATGTATTAAATTGCACATATTAATTGAATCAATTAAAACCATTGCATGTGTTTTTAACAGACTTCAAAAAAGGAGGTTTCTCAATTCGATGGTTTTTTTTATGCGTGTTCGTGGATAACTTCGTCGTTTATGAACCGATTTTGATGAATCTGTTTTTGTCGAAAAGGAGATATCCCAAGGGTCCAATGAGGATCCGCATCTGATGGTGGCAGCCCAGAGAAATCTAGGGTGAAATGTTATAGGTCTTTATGCACAATGTTTTTCGTTTCCTTATTGAAGTCGGTTTTTTTTAATTGTACTTGTTGGAAATTCAACTATAATTTATTCCATGAACAGATTTGCGTCAGTATGTGGTTGCAACTGTATTCACAAATTGTTTGATGTGGATGTAAGGATAAACTGTTTTGAGATCAAACTGCATTCCCCTTCAATGTTGTTGCCTACAATTCTCTAGTAATGATAATCAAGTTTGTCACCGAAATATTTATTGTGTAATTTATAAGTTTGATAATAATTTATATTGTAGTGAATAAAACACCCATCAAAACTGATATTAATTTTTCATTTCTAATGTGAAACGGAAATAAGCTCACATATTTTAATGTTTAATCTTAAGTGCAGAGATTAGCACTATAAAAATTAAGATTTCGGAAATAAGCTAGTTATGCAGTTAAATTAAGGCATTTTAAATATAAATATTGATTTTCATATTTTATTTTTTGAGTCATCTACATATACAAGAGGATTTAATGAAATTCAATAGTCTTGTTCAACTATTACTATACTATCGGTGGCATACATCATACTTATGATATGTGGTTACAATTTTAAATCTAAGGTTAGGTGTAGTTGGTTAGGTTAGTTGTTAACTTATAGGGAAAATCACTTCTCATAGATGCACCTGAGTATGGAACCAACTCACCATCTGACAGGTTTAAGGATTAAGATAGATGTCACTTTCTGTCTAGCCCATTAGGGTTAAATGGTTTAAAGACTTGGTATTTTTGCTTTCTGCTATGTTATAAATTATGAAATAGGGCTGGCTTACTTGCAAATTCATTTCTACTAATAATCAATGCGGCTTTTTTTTCTGAACCAGTGTTCAAGTTTTTGACAATCAATAAGTGTAACGGTTCTTACTTCTATACTAAATAAATTATCCATTTGAATTGAATTGAAAAAGTCACTAATTCATGTATAGTAAATCTATGACCTGTATATGTCACTTAAAAACTGAACCATTAATAATTTCATAGTTTTACAATAATTATTAAAGTGTAACTTAAGAAAAAGATATTTTTAAAAGGTTCAAACATACAAAAACTAATTCACTAAAACATGATTTTAATTAAATTCTTACAACATAAACAGTATTGATTTACATTCAAGTGGAATCTCTAATGTTTAATGGTGGTGCTCGGCGGCCTCCTTCCTTTTTATTTCAGCCCATTTGCTGACGTTTTCAGGCGAGTTGGCTGGAAAATAAATTATACATAAATAAGTCAAGAAAACTAAACTAAGAGAGACATCTTCAATTGTTCTTTTTTTGATGAAGATCTGATCGTATCCTTCTAGTAGTAGGTAAAATCATATCCTACTAGCTATGGACATTATTATTGATATGAGTTACGTAATATTCTATGAGGGATAATTTTATTTATACAATATTTTCATGTATTTAATAAGAATATATTGAGAACATATTGTGTTTATTCGATTTATATGTGTCCAAGCAAAAGGCCCTAGGTTGACTAGATCAGCAAGGACAATCCAAATTATAATTCAACAAGGACCTTATTTCAATAATTTAGTATGATATAGGTTACAGATACTTTTTGTTAGTCTCATGACAACTACTAATGCATATCAATTCTCATACACCCACACATTCTCACAACACTGTATCAATCATAATAAGAGATTCAATGTAATGGGAAAACTAATAACAATATTCTACATCATGGATATGGTGCAACGGTTGGTATTAGCTTTAATAAAGAGCAAATTTTGAGCTATTGCTTAATTTTCTATCTTTTGAGTCACTAACAAGTCTATTGTTTTTGACCCATTGCATTGTAAGATGCAAGCTATAGAGTAGTTCAGACAAGATAAATCACAGACATTATTTAACAACCAATAGAACTGTTACATAAATTGCATGGACTATTAATGATAGAGATCACTGGCTATTCAACTGTATTTACAAATAACCACTGTAACTATAGTTTTTCACTAATTCACATAAATTGCACTTTAAATTAATGCAAATAAATTGAATAATGAAAATTCTAACTGTGATGATTCAGATCTAATATACCTCATAAATTATGATTCTTAATAATAGTAGAAATGCAATTTCCATTACCCATTTTGTGGATCTTGTAGAATACTGGAAAAGCAACTCCAATTCCGATGAACCAGTAACGCCAAATCCATTGGTTTTGCAGGTAATATTTAAGGGGAAACTGAGCAATCTTAGCTGAAATTGTGTAAGGAAACTTCATAGGACGGCCAGGAGTGTCCGACATCGTGAATGGTTTATTCCTGTGAACGATAAAACATGAAAACCTATTATGTAATAGACGTGATCTTGAATTGTTTACATTTGATGTGATATTATTGTTGTATAGTATTTACTTATTCGTTAAAATAAATCAATTTTAATGGTACCTTGTTTAGAAAAAGATCTTATTAAAGCATTAAATTAAATCCCATATAATCTAACCTGTTCCTCTGGGTACCGACAAGAGACAACGGACGACAGTGTTACCAATTGTTGATAAATAATACCAAAGAGTACTTTTATATATCTGAATAATAATGAAGCAATTCAATCCAATAAAATACACTATATTCATAGAAAAACTTCTTAAACTTTTTTTTATTATCAAGTTAAAATAATTATCTTCTAAAATTAACTAATTCATTCAAAATGGTCTTTAAAATTAAATATAATATAACTGATTTTTATATTACTTTAGAAATGAATATGTTAACAAGATCAAAACAATATAAAGAAAAAAATTAACATATGTAACAAAAAGTAATCATAAGAATACATAAAATAATAAGATTTATGTTAAACATATCCGACGACAATTCTAACCCCTTTTGGCGTTTAATATTGCTTAATTTATTTTAAGGACCCCTAAACATCAGTCACAATATTCTCATATTTTGTGTAAGATATAATTGACAAGACATAATACATAATACATTCAGTATTATAGTTTAGGGCGGAAGAATTTATAATATACATACAAATATAAGACACACAGGCCTTGGCCTGACAACCACCAAAGCAGCGCAGCACTAATAAATTTTGTTTTTGTTTAAAATAATAAATAGTATTAATACTTTTGTGTCGGTTTTAATTATAAAGGTCTATTTAACTTCCATTCTACATTTTTCTTCCTAAATTTCGGAAGAAAATTTCTATGTTGGCATCCCTGACGGATGGACACAGATTACAGATAACACCAACAGATATAAATAAAACGGGGAAAGTATTCTACAGATGTCAATGGTGATAGAACAGCAGAGTGAAGACTATTAAGTATAAATTAACTATTAAAGTAATCATATTTTATAAATGCTGATAATTTTCAGCATAATTTTTTCACTTGAACAGAATTTATTGACGATTCTTTATTTCGTAATACATTTCATCATTTTACTCAAAAGGGACATAGCAACATTTACTCATATTATTTACTTTCGATGACTGACTGTCTGATTTCTTGTCGTCTGTCAAACGAAATAAATTAGAAATGTCAATTCGTTTTTCGTTTTGTGTAGTGTCGCATTTAAGTTAGTAGATGTAATTTTTACAAATATTAAAATATTAGCACGATAATGTATGACGATGGCTTCGGTAAAAGTGGCTGTAAGGGTTCGCCCGTTCAACCAAAGGTTAGTATAGTAATCATTATGAATTCGGCGTTTATTAAGATAAAATATTTGGTAATAAAATCAGACAATACGTTTACGTTAGGTATAATCACAAAATTGTACTTTCATGGAAGATATTCAATTATAAAGTCGCTAATATACTGTAGGCGAAATTTGTCTGTTTCAATTAAGAATATTGTTAAGATTAGGACTAAGACTATTCTAATTAGGTTTTTTGAAAGTACAAAAAGTCTGTGATGTCATGAAGAACGGCAATGACTTTCACGGTTCGACTGCATTTGGAGCGAACTGTACTTCGGATCATTTAAATGAAAGTTGCCAAAAAATGTAAAAAGTTTCTGACCCAGTTGCAAAGAACTGTAAATGCTTGGGGTTATTTGATCAAACAGTATCCGAAATTTTTGTTTATTTATTTTGTTTACTAACAGATGCTTGCTTACTTACAAACTGTTACATGAATTCTACTGATGAATCAAACATTTTTACAGTCTTAACATGTTTAAAGTAGTATAATTAAAACTAATCATAATGGTAAATCCTTAAACATGTTTTTTTGTGTAATTGTTTATTAAAAATGTATTAAACAATAAAATGTAAAATATTTTTTTAAGTCAAAAGAAATGTATAACATGTGATATGAAGGAATTATCATACCTTTACTTATAATAAATAATTAAACCTGAAAATATAAATATTTAATATGTATCTATAGAGGGTGGCTTTTCTAAAGGTTCCCAAATTTACACAGGAGGTTCAGACTTGGTAGTATAATTGCTTATTGAAATAAAAATAAACTTCTTGCCATTTTATTACCTAAAAAAACAGAACTTGTTGACAATGTGGTAGTCATTCATAAATATGTTGTATACTTTTGAAACAAACTTGTGTGAGTGTTAGTTATGAATGATCGCGCATAAAATAAATGAGTTGCCCATAAATCACACACTTTTTGAGATAAGTTTGAATAAATGTAGTTAATAAATTACGAGTGATTTTAAATATTTATCAATTTTTATATAACATTATTTATGTCTAGAATTTAATAAAAATAAATATGGATACACTTAGAAAAGCCTCTCTGTATATCTTTTATGTATCATGCTTTTATATTGAAAGGTCATCATTATCCTCCTGCCCTTATCCAACCTAGGTGGATGGCACAAGATATGAGTCATGTAGTATGTGGTTTTGGCTATATTTTTTGCTAACAGCCGCCTGCCTTGGAATAAAAATCTGCAATGTGCAAGTTTTTTTAGAATTACTTAAATCATAAATGTATCCTTTGCAGGGAGAGAGACATGAATGCCAAACTTATTGTGCAAATGGATGGCAAAAAGACAAGGCTTCTCACGGTAAAAGTAAGTAAAATATCCTATTATGTATCCAGTTACATTAAAATCTTAGGTAACAATATGTCTTGGTATTCATTTAAACTCTTAAGCAGTACATTCAATGAAAATCTATTAAAATTTTTATAAAACGGAAGCCTTACAGCATAAAATAGAGGTTTTATTTCGTGGTTGGTTAGGAAAATGACAGACGAACACCCAAATGACTGTAAAGCACAGTATAATTACTAAACATGATCGGTTCCTATCGTTTTACAATAACTAGTGTAGCGGTTGTCGGATTTTTTTTATGTGAGAAGGTGGCAAGTAATCTGGCAGTTCATGCCAGATGGTAAGTGACAACTACCACCCATGGACGTTAACACCCCCCATAGGGTAACAGATGCATTATATTTTATAATTAAGTGGGCCCCTGCTACCTGACTCTCCAGACAAAATGCATAAATATAACACTTCTACTTCACATTGGTCTTCTGTGAGGTTGTGGTACTTACCCAGACAGACCTGCCCTTGGAAGACTGTTATTTGCCTCCTTGTTAAAAAAAAATCTTATCTGAAACCATAGCCAAATTGAACTTAGAATTGGATATTTATTATTATTCTAGAGATTACCTCTTTAAAAGATACACTGCCCCCTGTTATATGGGATTTCTATCCGCTGAGCCCAACTTAGTGTGTTGGACCCAGTCTGTGTATGGAACAGGTTTAAGAATACCCTTTGCTGACTCACCACTGCCCTGAGTTGCTGTCCTTTCCGGGATGGGACCCCTTTGAATAGCAAGCGAAATCTAAATTCCACTTTCCTGGCTTAATTCGTCACACGCAGGATACCTTGTGCCTATTGTAAATTCCCGATACTGGGTCGTCAGTCGGATACTCAACTCGTTAAGCTAACCTGTTTCGTTCAGCCATAGCAGTATTATAATAATTTAAGAAAAAAAAAGGCAGTAAACTGAAACTCATTCGTGCTAACTATTACGCGATTAACCCACACCCGTCCCACGTGACGCACGCCCCTCACCACTAATAGAAATTAATTATTTTAGCTTTTTTTTTTTATTTCCCTGAGTCTGTCTGTGTGTCTGTGAGTTTTATAACATTCTATTTTTAGATTCGTAACGAGTTCAGATATTACAAAAATGCATAATGGCGGACTAGAGATTTAATGTGTTGAATTAAGCAGATTTTTAAGGCGCTTAAGATTTTTATGACCACATTAATGTTATATTAGTATGTATGTATGTATGTTTGCATGTTAATTTATGCACGGCCTCACTTTAGGTTTGTTAATATGTCTGTGAGACTGAACTTATAAGTTATGTGTTTTGATGTCTCTTAAATACACCTGTTGTTTGTTTCGTAATCAATTATTATACGACCGTACGAATAACTTAAAAGTGTAAGTGGTCAAAATGTTAAATCGTGATTGAAAATCTTATAAAATCCAATTTTAAAGTAAAGACATGCACTTCACATTTCATCTAAGGGAGCGAATATATTGGCTTTTATTGATTACTTTATTGTGGCCAATTGGGAAGACTGTTCATGATTTTAATAAGTTAAAATACTTTGATGACTCCGTGGCGTAGTTGCCAAGGTATTGGCTTCGGCGTCGGGGGTCATGGGTTCGATTCCCACACGGGACATCTATTTGTGTGACCCACAGATAGTTATTTCGCAACTGGGTGTTTGTTTGTTTGTCCGCGTAAAATTTATGTGGATAATGTTATCGTAAAGTAAGGGTTTTTAAAAAAAAAATACTAGTAAACTAACTCCCGGTTTCTGAAACACTGATCAACATGGATGTTAACTAATCAGCTGTAAAATGGCTTTTCAAACGTCATTTGAGTTGCCAAAAGGATGGTTAAACCATTCTGATGAATTCTACGATTCTTCGATTGATTTTCTACTTCTACTATGATCAGTGTTTCGGAAGACGGGCGTAAGTATTTGAGATTTCGATCGTGTGTAAACAAAATTTAATAAAACTTTTTAATTTTATTTTAATTCTTCGGAAGGAGGACCGACCTCGTGACCATGAACTCTGCCAAGTGGCAGAACCAGTTCATTTTATTTGTTTCATGCGAGGTGGTAAGAGGACGGGCGGTTTATTTGATGTTTACCGATAACCGCTGCATCATGGATACATACTGTAATTGCGGATTCGCTTCTTTCACCTTCAATTATTTAACTCTACAGAAATCGGCGTCTTATGTTTTTAATGTGTTTACTGGATCAGGAATGTAAAAACATGTGTTTGGTTGATTGGCAGATTTCAGTACGGTATAATCGTCGCGATATGACCGAGAGTATAACAACTAGTGTAAAGATAGTATCGTACTGGAGATTAATGGAAAGCTTTCACAAACACAGTGTTAGAGAGAAAAAAGAGAGATATTTTAAAGAAAGAAACATTTATTGCACAAACACAACAAATGGTTGATCTTAAGTATGTACATTTAAACTGGAAATATTATATAATAGCTCGTAAAAGACAATGCTACGCGCAAAGTTCATATTCCTCGTGCCGTGTACACATCGAATCCAAAACAATCGCAGTCTTATACAGCGTGTCGTTACAACCGCGACAATAAATGAACACACATATAGAGGATAACTTTTTAAAATTGTATTGAGCATTTACATTCTTTAAACATCAATATTTACCGAGTTATTAAATTTTACAAAACAAACATTTTTAGAACACCCTTACGTATAAAACGGCAACGTAAAGTTCATATGTAAAGATCACAAAGCATATGAATCGGTTGAATGAATTTAAAAGAGATAAAACATGCTGTTAGAAGGAGAGACTTGTAATGCGACGTTGTGGCAACGAATGAAAAACGCTGAATTCGCTGAATGTATGAATCAGTCAGTTGTAGTTGTAAAGGATGTTACAAATTTTGTTTCTTTTTTATTTAATTACTTTGTTTGAGAAAAATATTTTTTAATTATGGATTTTTTTTAAGTTTTATATTTTTATGATTATTGGCAAGTAGCGTTTGACGTGTGTTCATTTACTGTCGCGGTTGTAACGACATGCTGTATACACTTTAGTTTTCACGCACTTGAACAAAGATAAAGACATGTCCGTTTTCTACTTCACTATTTACGGTGTGATCTAGCCTCCTACGGAAAATCGCTTTCGGTCAAAGCGATTCCAAGGTTGAGGTCTGTTTTGTCGTTATTTGAACAGATGCAAAATTTGTAAAGTTGAATTGCAAATTGACCTTGTGCTTAATTTTTGTAACAAATCGTCGTTTATTCGATAAAAGGGTGATGTGTAATTCGTGAAATATCGGTACCGTATCGATATTTCTTGTCGTAGTGGGTCCAAAGTTTGTTTCTCACGCGCAGAGCAAGTTTATGCGGTTCTGAATTTAAGAACGACCGCATATATAAACTTGAAACATGCTCCACACAATTATTTTGATATAAAATTGATCGACCGGACAGGTGTTATCCTGTACACACATCTTAAATACGAAAACAACTCTTAAAATAAAAAAGGTATTAAAAACATTTTGTACTGCACCGAATTGTGAATCTAAACAATTCTCGAATCCACTTGCAAAAAAATTCCATCGAAATCAGTACAGCATTTTAGGACAATTTCAGTCACATATACTGTTGATTGATTGAATATTCTTTATTTCACACACTATCGTAAAAAATATACAATAAACATAACAATTACGTTAGGTTTGTACCTACAATGGGCGGCCTTATTACTTAAAGCAATTTCGTCCAGGCGACCTTATCACTACATAATATAAAACAAAGTCGTCTCGCTGTCTGTCTGTCCTATATATATTGTCCTGTATATATATTTAGATTTTAAAAACTACGTATTAGATTTTTATGCGGTTTTCTTTAATAGATAGAGTGATTCAAGAGGAAGGTTTATATGTATAATTCATGCATAATAATATAGTTGAGAAACGCTGATAATTTTAGAGGTCTCCAATACGATATCGAAAACAAACATTCAGCATTGCACCCGTGCCAAGCCGGGTCGCTAGTTACGTATATAAACATGTGATAAGGACGATGTATAAGTTTTTCAGCAGCGTGCTAATGGCATTGTCCTTTCAGAATAGCAAAGAGCAGAATGACGGCAGCCGGGAGAGGTACAAGGACTTCACGTTTGACCACTCCTATTGGTCCTTCGACCACGGGGACAGCCATTATGCGTCGCAGGAACAGGTGAGCTCTTAAGTCTGATGTATCTACTCCTTAATTACAACCATCACCTCGATTCTAACTGGTGAACATATACATTTTCTTCATACCCATACTTATTTGCCTTAAGACTAACGATTCCATTTTGTGTGTCTACTCCTTAACTAGGGGTCGCCTAGTTGTCGAAATTCGACCATAATTAAAAAAACATTACACACTACTATACATGGTAGTAGTGTGTATGTTTTTTTTTATTGATTTAATGCAGTGATTCTCAACCACTGTGCCGCGGCACTTTTGTTTGCCGCCAAATTTCAAAAGTGTGCCGCCAAATTTTGCAAATATATAATAATGTTAATATTATTAAATTATATNGAGAGTAGCATTGTCATTTTTACGACCAAATATAAATGAAATTATCAAAAAAACATCAAGCTTTCGCATTAAAAATATTTTTATTATTAGCTTGTAATTAATCCCTTAATAAACGTTTAGTTATTATTGTAGTATATATTAGTTTATTTCGTATATTTAAAATTTTTGTCATAAACTATTTATGCAGTGTGTTGTAGTAAGTAAATATTTTTTATCTTTTTCTTTGTGTGCCGCCAAATTTTGAAATCTTTAAATATGTGCCGCAACAGAAAAAAGCTTGAGAATCACTGATTTAATGTATTTTTTTTAAATATTGCCATTGTGCACTCCTTCTCTATATAAACTTTAAATGTTGGAAATTTCACACTCCATCCACGCAATTTTCGTAAAAAGGGGTACTAAGTTTTATAACTACTAACTTTTACTAAGCTTATCGTATTATGAATTACAACCATCACCTATATTCCAACTGGTTACAACATACATTTTGTTCATACCCATACGTCTTTGCTTTAGCACTTCGTTAAGGGTTCCATTTTCTACGTACAATAAAATACACTAATTAAGACAACGGACCGCATGCATACTTTAGTTACGAGTTTACGACAGAACTTTGATATTTTTAATTTGAAAATTTTCCTTTCGACGTAATACGTTTTTTCGTTTCCGTGTACGTAAAATGTTCAACACAGAATAATGTTATCCTGCGTAATGGAAGTATTTTTTTTTCTTTTTTAAAAGACATTGCCCTTACTTTGGGATAACATTGTCCTGTGTTGTAAGGACGTTTTTACAAACATAAATTTCACGCGGACAAACACCCAGATGCGCAACAACTATCTGGGGGTCACACAAATAGTCGTCCCGTGTGGGAATCGAACCCACGACCCCAGATGCCGAAACCGATACCTTTGCGACTGCGCCACGGAGTCATCAAATTAAAAAACATCTTATGTATACAGTAATTGAATATTTAAAATAATCAATAATATATTTATATTTTATTTTCGAGGATTCGAAAGCTCATCAGAATCCGTGGGTGGTATCGCTGATTATTTAGAACCAAACGCGATACATTTAAAGAAATAGTTTCGTTTGATGGTCTTAAAACATTGTTTAACTGTGGTAGGGGCACGCAACAGTTCGCTGTTGCAAGAATGGGCAGGTCCGTCCGGGGAAGTACAACTAACCTAACAGAACTGAAGACAGGCGAAGTGGAAGAGTTACTTCTGTGTTTCATCTGCTGAGTGAGGTAGCCGGGGCCGTACTACGGGTGTAAAAAAATTGTCCACGTGGAAATTGAGGCCTGATCAATACAAATTTTTCTAAGCATCTATTAGCAGAGAAAGTGTGTTTTGAATAGGCGATTGTTTGATGCGGCGTTGATAAAACATTATATCATACCACTCCACGATTGACTGATAACAAAGGTGTGTTTTGATCAACGGTTTGTGAACAACATGCCATTATTGGTTTGTTTATTTAACATCTCAGTCTTCTGTAACAAGTAAATTTTTATCAACTATAAACAACATCGACTACAAACAGTTTTATAAAGCGTTGCCCTTACTGTAGCATAACATTATCGTTTGTTGTAAGGACGTTTTACATACATACATTTCCCGTGGAAAAACACCAAGATCCGAAACAATTATTTGTGGGACAAACAAATAGTTGTATCGTGTGGGAATCGAACCCACCACTCCCGCCGCCGAAGCCAATACAATGGCAACTGCGCCTGCGAGTCAAACATCTCATTCTATTTGACCTTGAGGAGTTCCTACTGACGTATCTAATGACTTCGAGGTTCAATATCTGCTTGAAATTAACATGGGACCATATGGGAGCAAAACGGAACCCAATGCAAAAAGAATTTTCAAAATTGGTTCATAAATGACGGAGTACTGAGGTAACTAAAAAACCAACAGAATTAAAAACCCCTCCCTTTTTTAATTCGGTTGAAAATAATTGAAAAACCGGCCAAGTGCGAGTCGGGCTCGATAAAAGGTTCTGTACAATTCCACCTATAAAAACGGCTCAATGTTGAATGGGGGTCTCACTTCAATATTGTTTAGCATTTGCTGTAATAGCGGCAACAGAAATACATCATCTGTGAAGATTTCAACTGCCTAACTATCACGTTTCATGAGATACCTGGTGACAGACGGACAAAGCGGAGTCTTAGTAATAGGGTCCCGTTTTACCCTTACGTGGGTACGGAAACCTAAAAACCAAAGTCGGGGCGGGTCGGTAGCGATAATAATACTTACGCTATATTATCTGGTCCGCAACAATATCAAGCGCTGTAGGAATTCAACCGGCCCTCCGAACCGTGAAACTAAAATTACGCCGTGGGAAAATAATTCCGCCGGTGCTTCTCTATATTGTCCAACTATTAACATATCGAGCACTGTTTATTTGTCTGCGCGTGTGTTCCTCCAAAATTAGCCCGTGGCGTGTGCTGCTTCATTCAAGTTTAAAGAGGAAATCTGAACGCATATTCTTAAATACTAGTACTCTAGCTGTTTGGTTTTATTCGTTGCAAATACTAGTTGAACTGCGAAATTGAAGGTTGTAACAGTTTATGTCGCTATCTTTTATTTAAAACACATTGTCAATAGCGATGGCACTATACTTCACATTTTTATATGAAGTTTTAAACAAACAGCGCGTCACGGCGAGCGAAAAAAACAGCTTTGGGAATTAATATACATAATATTATGTGTATATTATTTCCCAAAACTAATAAAATCTCTCAAATAGTCCGTTCCATTTTTAAACGACGTAATTTAAATTATGCAAATGAAAAACTATTGTGTATAGGAATTTGTATAAAATAAATCATTTTGCGATACTGTGATAATGTTATATCATAACATGAAACTTCAATCAAAACTGTATAATAATATTTAGTGAATAAATAGAATAATGATAAATGATGTTGTTAATTATTATTTTATTCATTTAATAATAATCACGGTGCAGTTGATAAACTAATCTATGAACAAATGGGCAATACATTCTTTTCTACGCGTATGCCTATTACCTATTGTTACTGTGTAGAGATATTACTCAGGAAGATGTTTCTCACATCTTTTAATGAAACGAATACAAGTAGCTTATTACTCACCGTGATATCTCAATGTCCAGACACTCACTTTTAATTCAATATACTCGAGCCACCTTATTTTAAGTGCTGACTTAACACGTGCTCAGCGGTAGAGGAAAACATCGCAAGGAAACCTGCATGTTTTCGAAATAATGATAAAACAAATGTTTCGAAGATATGTGAAGTCCGTCAATGCATCAGTGATGTGTTTCGGTGGACTATACCCTAATGCCCTCTGTACAGAAAAGACCTTTGCAGTGGACGTAATTATAATATGCATTAAAAAAATATTTTCCACGAAGCGATTTTAACGTTTATTGATGTGATATCCAAGCCACCGGTTCCTACTGGATATTATTATTATAAAACATAAGGACCTTATATCAAGGAAACTTAGAAAAAATGTAATCAATCTCCATGTCAAAAATTCTTTGTTATTTTTAGAAACACAATTTTAATTAAACATTAAATTGACTATTAATTGTTGGTTTGGTAATATGTATTGGTCACGATGATACAGTTTAGCTAAATCTTCATCGAATTATCAGTAGCCAAGGTTTGTGCAAGAGCACCTATTTAGGTGCTCTTCGGTGCGTGGCACTACCACAGTTGATAAGGTATAGGCTTACCAACTGTGGTAGGGCCACGCAGCAGTTTTCACTGTTAAGTTAAAGTGGAAGTATCATACTTCTGCGTTTCGTCTGGTGAGTGAGGTAGCCGGGGGCCAGGGCCCGCGTTATTTAAAGGTGGCAACGCATTTGCAACCCTACGGGTGTTGCAAATGTTCATGGGCGGCGGTAATTACCTAGCATCAGGTGAACTGCCACCTCGTTTGCTACTTCTTCACATTTCACGTTAACATTATTAAAAATACTCTTATTGCCAATGGAACCTTTTATATTTAATCGCAGATTTATGAAGGACCTCGATTCTGTTGGGTATTGTAGTTGCATTGTGGGCGTCCACGTAAACGGGAAGTCACATCTATGAATTGAACGAAGTAGGTCATGAGACAGTTTTACCAGTAATTTTGTTGTGCCCTCACGAAGTGTGGGTGATGATAAACAGATCAGATAAACTGGTAGACCGCGACTCGCGTCTCGAAATGAAAATATTGTAGCTTAAAGTAAACATTTTACTCTGTGGCTCACGGTAGATTCGGCTTCATCCGAATGTACCACGGCCCCACGGAAGACCAAAGTAAAGTGGAAGCAGTACTTTCGTTGGTAAGGTAACCGGGGCCCGGTATATTTAAGGTTGTCAATGCAACTGCAACACAATGGGTGTCCACTTGCGGCAGTAATCACTTGACATTAGGTGACCGTCTGCCGAATGCCGAACATCTCTTAACAAAAAACTCTGGCGAACTGTCAGACAGAAATGAGGTGAGATACCGTTCTTGCCTCACTTACCCGTTATATGAGGTCAGTTTCCATGTTAGGCACTCTTGTCTTAAAAGATATGGGGAATTCTAACTTGGTCTAAGTTGGATACCTGACTTCCTAGTCGGGCGGCCCTAAGAGATATGGGGTATAGAGATATTTTGGTTTATAGATATTTTAAGAATTAAAATGCATATACGCAAAACTTATTGTTCCTGTTGTTTACTCGTTGACTTGACGACACTGTGCATCTGTACTGAAAGTCGATGGATGCAGGTGGTACAGGATCGTCTTTCTTCGAAGACTGTGGGGGAGACCTATGTTCAGTGGCTACGAACAGGCTAAAATGATGATGATAATGATTTATGTATTGAAATATCTTTTCTTACCAATTACCTTATAATCACTACCTTACTATCCAAGTGACAGGCGTTAGAATATCTATTGATGTAATCAGCTTCTAACTTGGTAATGGAAATCACTTGTTCACTCCATCTTTCTCTTGATTGTTGCTCAACCGTTTCCCTTTGTCCCCGTAAAGGTGTTCTCTGACCTCGGCGTGGACGTCATCGACAGCGCCTTCGAGGGCTACAACGCATGCGTCTTCGCGTATGGCCAGACCGGCAGCGGGAAGACCTTCACCATGATGGGTTCACCGGTATGTGAAGTTCTTCCTACCTTTTGTTTTGCAAAGCTTTCCGCGAATAACATTTTCCCGTTCTACATGATGGTCTGTGATTCTGAAAGCTGCATATTTTCGAATATTTTAACAAGAAAAAAATTATTGGAAGATATTTGAAGTCAGCCAAACCGCAGTGGGGTCAGGTGGCAAGGCGAGCCTTGTCCAGCAGTGGGACTTGTATAGGCTATAGACTTTACTTGATTGAAAAATAAAAATACGCGTCATGTCCATCTTCACAGAAATATGATGGTCCGGTCCGAATAAAAAGTCCTGTATAGAGAATTTTTTTTTTATTTTCTTAATCCAGTAATAAAATACAATAACATAAATTATTCTCTGGCAAACTGTGATGCAGTTTGTTGGCAGCAGTTCTCGTGAATAGTTACATCGATGTACTTTATCCTTACTAATATGACACCTATGTATAATATCTATATATCTATATATCTATTTATATATATTATATATCTATGCCTATGTATAATATGTATATATAAATCATGTGCACTACACTTTCTTAATTATAAATACCTATAATATATAAGTTTATCAATTTATAGTATGTTAAAAATAAAATAAATATTACTTTACTTGGTAATTAATGGCTGATTTCGGAAATTAATCGTTTAAACCAAGGAAGAGAAACGCGCGGCCCGCGGGCCGCTTGCGGTCCCGTAAACATGTTTATGCGGCCCGCCAAGCATTTCTAAAATTAAATTTATTTTATCGAATTTCTCCCATCAATATATTGTTATAAAATTAATTATAATAAAATGGTAGTAAATACTGAACCGAAATATTTTTTGTTCGTTTTCTGTTCTTTTGTTTCTTGTTTGTTTTTACCTTGCATTAAAATTTGTATAAAAATTTCTTACTTTTTTTTTTAATTTTATATTTTTTTATTCTAATATTTATTATAAATAAAGTTTCGTAAATTATTAGGTATGGCCCACCAAAAAATTTGAAATTTAAATTTGCCCATTGATTGGGGTGAGCTGGTTTAAACCATTAGTTCAATGATTTGATTGACGCAATTGCTGCATAGCTGTAGGCTCCGGCGGTGCGGGTTGTGGGTTCGATCGTTTTCGACAATTATTTGTATGGTGCAGATAGTCCCGGATCCTTTCTTTGTCCTGACACAATTTGTGTGTATAAAAAGCCTTACTACACGTTTATAATCCAGGATTGCCTTATCCAGCAGTACGTTGCTTACATGGTTTTTATGACAACCTGTGGCACAGTCAGTGCCTTTGGAATATTTATTTGACGATTTCTACGGTGGTAGGGCCACGCACCAGCCTCGGCTGTTGCACGAATGGGCAGGCCCGTCCGGGTAAGTACCACGACCTAACAGAAGACCAGCGTAAAGTGGAAGTATGACAAATACTTTCGCGTTTCGTCTGGTGAGTGAGGTAGCCGGAGCCCAATTTTCAAAAGGTTGTCAACGCATCTGTAAACCCTGTGCGGCAGATGTCCTTGGTCGCGGTATTCACTTAACATCAGGTGAACCGTCTGCTCGTCTGGCAACTTTTCACATAAAACGATAATAAAAAAACAAATAAAAAACAACGATAAATAAAAAAATATCGATCCGATTGGCGTAGTTGACAGCGGACCTGTCATTTTCGCCAAAGGGTCTCAGTTCGATCCCTGGGAAAATGTTGCCTGATGAACGTTATGTTTTTCTACTATCTGAGTGTATATATCTCTTTAATTAAAATGTATATAGTTCCAAGACAAGTGTGTTTAAGTATGTTTATGAGTTACCTAGTATCCATAGTACAAGCTTTGATTAGTTTTTCGGAACTAAATAACGCTGCTAAAAAATAGGTCCAAATCTATTTATTATTATTTATTATGTATATTAAATTAACTAGCTCTCCGCCTAACTCCTGCGTAAGAGACGCACTGATAGAAAAGGTTAGCGAATATTGTTCACGTATTACTCATACATATTTTAAATCAACTCTGAATTCAAGATTTCCTTAGAAACGGTTCTACAGATACTTAGATCTGTAAATCTTTTTTTATCTCACGAAATCCTAATGTAGGATGAGATATCCTTTGTAGCGTAAGTACATAAAGTATTCCCGAAGCAACACGCAGTTCCGAATCAATTACGCCATCATGGCGGACAACAATTCGAAGATTTAATAGTTAGGTTCAGTTACTGTATAGGATCTATAGATCTCCTTAGCCTTAACCATTCCACGAGCTCTGCGCCCGATGAAGCTTTATATGAAGAAGAGAAGAAGAAGAAACGTTTATTCACGGTCTAAGCACAATGGATACATACAAAACTTAAAAATAATAATTTAACTACACAATATATAAAATAATATTAGAAAAACTTAAATGTAAATATAACAAAAGAAAAAACAAACAAAATATTAACAATGAGTAATAGTCTGTGTAGCAGCATAAGACTGTGAAACGGACGGGACTCGGTAAAAGTCGAGATAAAGTATATCCTAAGGACTGCAGTCGAAGTAAAGGCCCATTTACACGATGCCATTTTGTTGTACATACAAGAGCAATAATTGAATGCAATAAATTGCGCGCAATAATTGTTAAGACCATTTGTTGTTTAGACCATGCAACTCATTTATTGCTTCAATTTAATTGTATACAACAGGCAAGAAACTGGCACCGTGTAAATGGGCCTTAAAAAACAACATGTCGGTGAAGCAACATTTAGAGACATTAAAACGACATTTTTGTCTCTTATGCAATATAATTTATTTTATTGGCGTGCATAGTGTTTTTCTTAATTGTATATTTTGTTACTTGTATCACTGAAATAATTTTATAAATATCGACGTATTATTAAACTACATATTTACAATATAATATGAAGATACTAGCGAACCGCCCCGGCTTCGCACGTGCAAAATGTATCATACATATAAACTTTCCTCTTGAGTCACGCTATCTAGTTAAAAAAACCGCATCAATTCGGGACGACTTTGTTTTATACTATGTAGTGATGAGAAATGATGATGACTTAATTGGTGAACAACATTCATCAACAGATCACTCCCTTCTAAGACACCCATCCCCGTAGATGAATTCGATAATCGCCTCGGAGATGAGGAGAATTGGAAACAGCACGGGCCGCGTGCGATCTCATCGCAATTTAGCAAGGCCACGCTAATCTCGATGACGCGATAACGCCCCACGCTAGTCCGACGTAAACGTTACGAATACGTCGGCCATTTTTGACGCCGATTGCCGTTTCGGCTAGTTAATGAGTCATTGTTGTCCGCGCGCGTCTGTCGCCTCGCTTTCGACTCAAAGGAAACCTCTGTATTAGTCACGGTCACATTTCTGTTTAGGGGGAATCGCTCTAACTGTTTTGCAGTTAGCTTTATAAACTTACGGGCTAGACGGAGTGCAGCTGAGTTCTTTAGTTGAGTTCTTCATTCTTGTTGTAGCGCAGATCGGCGCAGAAGTACGTGGGTTCGATTCCTACACGGGTCGAGTATTTATGTGAGCCACAGATAATTGTTCCGGATATGGGCGTTCGTTCCCAAGGAGGGTGGACGTCATCCGGACGGCGAGAGTAAACAGTAGCCAATAACATTAGGTACATAATTCAAATAGTGTACCGACCCCACTCAGGTTGGATGGAGGAGGAAGAAGAGAAACAGGCAAAAAACTTAGTACACCATAAACGGGTTCGAAACGTCGGGAAATAAAACAAAAAAATTAACGCGATAAATTCGTAAACATAGTTTAATTTAGTATTGTGTAATCGCGTAGTGGACTATTTTATGCCCTAATACCCTCTGTACAGAGGAGGCCTTTGTCCAGCTGTGGGGCATATAATTATAGTACAGTTATTGCCCTAACTGGTGAGTTAAATCCTTGCCCTTGTATGTGTTTTGTTTTAATTGATTACACAGGATTTATGTCAACTTTGCAACTAAGTCCCGAAGAAACACACCCGCCTAGTTGATCCAATTACACTCGGGTTTTGACTTGTGTAGTTACGATCATGCTTTTAAAGTAAATGAGCATGTTCTTATATTGTTTAACTAGCTTCTGCCCGCGACTTCGTTTATGTAGAAAGTGAAACTGCACGCCGACCTTCATAACCAAATGCACATCATAAATGCACCCGCAACATATTTATTAAAATCGAATGATATAAAGGGTAATTTTGTTTTAAATTAAGGAAGCTCTCAAAAGGGTAGGAAAAACCCGATTTTTAAACATTCTTCATTCGTGCTCCACTCCTATTGATCTTAGCGTGATGATATAGTCTGTAGCCTTTTTCGATTAGTGGGCTATCTAACACTGAAAGAATTTTCTAATCGGACCAATAGTTCCTGAAATTAGCGCGTTCAAACAAACAAACAAACAAGCTCTTCAGTTTTATAATATTAATAGATCATTTTCTCTTGCTATTTATCTTTATCTAAGGACGCGAAGGGGAATGAAATTTTGCAGTCATTCTTTCCGGTTATACCTACGGGTTAATGTCAACCCTGTCAGTCTCGACAAGGCAAACAGGGGCGCTAAGTGGTTCCATAGCCCATCGGAGAATACAATGAAGGCCTTAGGGTCGCACTCACCCCTCGTGAACGCAAACCCCACTGTTATATCCCTTTTCTTTCAATAATATCCTCGCAGTTTGAGGGAAACTTCGAGAATAACACCTTAAATTACGTCTAATTTTATGTTTTTTTCAAAGACATCACTAGTGGAAATAGAAATACATAACACAGCAATCTCGGAGGACGTACGCAATTGTAGAATGTTATTAGGCTGTTTATATACGGCTCGGTAAAAGGTTCCGAACCCTAAGGGTAAAACGGGACCCTACCAAGACTCCGCTGTCTGTCTGTCCGTCTGTCATCAGGCTGTATCTCATGAACCGTGATAGTGAGACAATTGAAATTTTTAGAGGTGATGTATTTCTGTTGCCGCTTTAACCACAAATATTAAAATCGGAATAAAAAATATTAAAGTGGGGCTTTCATACAACACACATGATTTTTTTTTGCCATTTTTATAGATAACGGAATTCTTCGTGCGCGAGCCAAAATCCCACTTGGCCCGTTTTTATTTTCTTAAAATGAGTGTTAAATGAAAAATAGATAAATCGACCGATGTTTTAGATGTATTCAATTTATGATTGGATAGGTTCCAGTCAAATTTATTTATTTATTTATTTATTTACTTACTTACTTATTTATTTATTAGATATTGCGATATTATTTAATTAAAAGTTATTAACGTTTTAAAAAACAAGGATTTTTATAAGCACTACTTGTTACGTGTTAATGATGTTTATTTCTTTGTGGATAAGTGGTTTAAGCGATATACAGAGTGGCTTTTCTAAGTGTATCCATTTTTTTTACGCGCGATCATTCATAACTAACACGCACACAAGATCCTGCACAGTAAAATTTTGGTATTTATGAATGACTACCGCATTGTCAACACGTACTGTTTTTTAGGGAATAGAATAGCATTATTTTTGGAAAAAAAACTTTGTTTTTTATTTCAATAAACGGTCTGAACCTCCTGTGTAAATTTGGGCACTTCTGAGAAAATCTCCCCGTATGCTGTAATTACTGTTGTTGGAGTCACGCAACAGTTTTCTGTTGCACGAATGGCCAGGTCCGTCCGGGTAAGTGTCACGACCTCACAGAAGACCGGCATTGAGTGGAAGTGTTGTATTTCTGCGTTTCAAAGTTGGTGACGCATCGGCAACCATACGTGAGTTGCAAATGTCAATATGGGCGGCGGTTGTCAATTAACATCCAGCTCGTTTGCCACCTTCTCACATTAAAAAAATGCAATCCAGTCGAATTCGCCCATTATCAGCTAGCTCGTAATAAATTTGTTAAAGTATCCCGAATAAAATGTTTGAATTCAAGGTTTAGCTTCTAGTATCAGCCTAAGCCGCGGCCATTATCTAACACTTCCGTGCACCATCCTTCCAGGAGTGCCAGGGGCTGATCCCGCGCATCTGCCGCCAGTTGTTCTCCCGCATGGCGGCCGGCAAGGAGTCCGGCTCCTCGTACCGCACCGAAGTCAGCTACCTGGAGATCTACAACGAGCGCGTGAAGGACCTACTCTCCGACGACGCCGGCCACTCGCTCCGGGTGAGGGAGCACCCGAAGCTGGGGCCCTACGTCCAGGACCTGTCGCGTCACCTCGTCTCCGACTATGACGACATCCAGGTGAGTTGTACCACTAATGCTTGCTCATTCCGAACCGTTTCGACCTGGGAACCATCAAGAAGAGAGCATACTCTTTCCTAAAAGGCCGGCAACGCATTTGTGAGGCCTCGGGCCTTGCAGGTGTTCATGGGCGGTGGTGATCACTCACCATCGGATGAGCCTCCTGCTAGTTTGCCCCTTTTCTCTATAAAACAAAAACGATATTACCAGGTATATATAATATAACCTGGTAATATCGTTTTTACCAATAATCCAACCTGGTACTACAAATACCAGGTTGGATTATTGATATACAGCGTGTCGTTACCATCGCGACAATAAATGAACACACATATAGAGGATAACTTTTAAAAATTTGTATTAAACATTTACATTCTTTAAACATCAATATTTACCGAGTTATTAAATTTTCCAAAACAAAGAATTTTAGAACACCCTTACGCATAGAAAGCTAAAACTTCTGTAACGTAAAGTTCATTTGTAAAGGTCACAAAGCATATGAATGGGTTGAATGAATTTAAAAGAGACAAAACATACTGTTAGAAGGAGAGGCTTATAATGCGACACTGTGGCGCTCGTTGTATGGGATGTTACAAATTTTGTTTCTTTTTTACTTAATTTGTTTGTTTGAAAAATATTTCTTTTTTTTATGGATTTTGTTAAACGTTAATATTTTTTTTTGATTATTGGTAAGTTGCGTTAGACGTGTGTTCATTTTTTGTCCCGATGGTAACCTCACGCTGTATATAATTCGATTCCAATTCTATCTTGCTAATGCTATCTCTTTCCACTTCATACTTTCTATATCATTTGTCGCATTCGCTTATAAATGTCACATATTGTGAAGGGGAACAATTTTCAAACGCCACGCAAAATGGTTACAATGTATCAAAGTTCACTTGAAAGAGCCTGGAGCGATCAATGCATTTCCGTGGTGTTATCGTTATCCTTTGCTTTATGCTTTTGGTTAGGTAAAGTAAACAACAAGGTAAATATATTAATATATAACGGTACTTTAAGATATTAAAGTAATTAACGCATAATAAATGTCTTACCGTCGAAACCACGTCAATGTTTAGTTTTCTTATCGCTAGAATAATTTATTTATCCGTTTTGCTTTAGTGCAATATCATGTCGATTTTAAGGAGTTTATATAATTATTTTGTAAGGCAAATTGTTTCGTTGGTATCGACTAATTGTTTCAATTTCCTAGAAGATTTTATACGGGAGGATGTATTTCCAAGATACCTAAAGTCCGCCAATCCCGCAGTGGGGTCGCGTGGTGGACTATGCTAATACCCTCTGGAGGGTTTTGCCCAGCTGTGGGGCTTAAATAAGCTCGTACTTTACGCACGTTTGGTTACCAGGAGTGCATGCAGCGCGGGAACCAGCAGCGCACCACCGCCTCGACGCAGATGAACGACGTGTCGTCCCGCTCGCACGCTATCTTCACTCTGACGTTCGTGCGCGCCGGGTACACGCGCCACAACAACATGCCATGCGAGACGCTCTCGAAGGTGCACCTCGTCGATCTGGCGGGCAGGTGAGCCTCTGAGCGCTATGCGCGCCTGGTACAAGGATTTTTTTTTATATGAAAAGGCGGCAAGTGAACTGTCGATTAACTTGATGTTAAGTGATAAGCGCCGCAACAACATGTAATGCGAGACGCTCTCGAAAGTGCATCTCGTCGATTTGGCGGGCAGGTGAGCCCCTGAGCGCTATGCGCGCCTGGTACAAAGGAACGATTTTTTTAATATGAAAAGGTGACAAGCGAGCTAGCGATTAACTTAATGTTTGTTAAGTGATAACCGCCGCCCATTAACATTTGCAACATCCGTAGGGTTTTGCAGATGCCTTGCCATCTTTTATTAAAGTAGGCCCCGGCTACGTCACTCACCAGCGAAGACGTACGTGGCCCTAACACGATAAAACTGTCAGTATACAAAATTTAAATAGCATCCAGCTTTTCAAATCAAGATACGCATACTGGTGGTCACAAAGTTCTTATATGGAACCGGAAGGTTAGACGGCTTGAGTGGGTACGGCTCGAATATTGTCTTTTCAAAGTTTTAATTCAGCTCAGTGGTGAAGAAAACCGTGACGAGGAAGCGTGCAATTGAAATAAAATATTTTTTTTCTACATTATTGTCTGTGAAGTTTGATCTTCAAAAAATATTTTTACATATGTTGTGACGTTTGCGCTCCATTATCCTCTGCACCTACAGAGGAGGCCTCGGCCTCGGAAGAATTCACGTGAAGTACCGGTTTCCGTTCGCAGCGAGCGCGCCGACGCGACCGGCGCCACTGGCCAGCGCCTGGTGGAGGGCGCGCACATCAACAAGTCGCTGGTGACCCTCGGCTCCGTCATCTCAGCGCTGGCGGAGTCCAGCCAGCAGGCGGACGGTCAGACAACCTCATCGCCGACATCTTGACAAACTCTATCTCTCACTCTGTCTCATCTGCCCTTGATTGACGCCGCACCCCTAGATTTCGAACTGCAAGATCGTCAATATTAATTGTTGAGTGTTACTACAGAAAGGCTTTGGTGCCCTGTTATTAAATAAAGAAATAATATTTGTACTATCAGTAACTGATAAAAAAACTTTAAATAAATACTAAAAGTTGTTATCTTACTTAATTGTGGCTAAAAACGATGGCGCGATGCGAAATAATTATATTAGTTTAAAAAGTTCCGTATTAATAGAAAAGGTAGTTTACAAAACCGTGTCTAAAGAATATTAAACATCAAGACATTTTCTTACCCTCGCTGCGTTTATTTCAGCTCGAACGCCCAAAAGCAAGAAGAGCGTGTTCATCCCGTACCGTGACTCCGTTCTCACGTGGCTGCTCAAGGACTCGCTGGGCGGCAACTCCAAGACCATCATGATCGCAGCGGTCAGTGGGATACAATTTCTATCCAACATTTAACGATGAATAAGGAACACTAATAAAGTAACTAGCTGTTATACGCGGCTTCACCCGCGCGGCCAAAGGGAAGATTAGCAATGAGTTTTTAATATATACCAGAATATTTCGCATATGGCTGAATTTTTTCCTGCTTAGTTAACACTTTTATCATTACCGATATTTTGGACAATTAACACAATTTCTTATAAATCTATAAGAAATGAGGGAAATCTTATAATCTGTAGGGCTTCATTAAAATATATTCAGTAGTTTTTGTGCGAAAGAGTATCAAACATCCATCCATACATACTTGGTAGGAATAAATTCAGCCATCTGCGAGATATTCTGGTGTAAAATAAAAAAAACTCATTTTTAAATCCCTATGGCCGCGCGGACGAAGCCGCGGTTAACAGCTAGTTAGCTAGTATTAATTAAGGTAATGTTTAATTCCCGAATAACGGTATCGAGGTGTCCCCGTGCGCAGATATCCCCCGCCGACTGCAACTACGGCGAGACGCTGTCGACGCTGCGCTACGCCAACCGCGCGAAGAACATCATCAACAAGCCCACCATCAACGAGGACCCCAACGTCAAGCTCATACGCGAGCTGCGCGACGAGATCGACAAGCTGCGCGCCCAGATCGCCCACAACACCGTGAGTGTTGTGGGCGGCCCACACCCGGTCGCAAGGACCAACTTTTCAAACTCCTCGATATCACACCGAAACACTCATCGATTAGTGTATCCATCAATAACTATAAGACGCCGCAAGGATCAAGTTTTCAAAGTCGTCAATATCACACCGAAACACTCATCGATTAGTATATCCATCACTGCTTATAACACGCCACAGGGACCAAGTTTTCAAAGACTTCAATATCACCTCACCGAATAGGATTAACGTCACTATAACATTTAAAGTATTAAAGTAACCTGACAAATGAATCTTCTTTAAATTTCTGTTGAGTGAGTAAACTCTAAGTAAACTCAATATGGCACGAGTCATAGGTTATTCTTGTTAATAGAAAAGAAACGCTTTATACAGTCTGTCCAAGTCGATTTGATACTTTGTTTTCTAACCATATTGTGAAATTATTTCATATTTTAAGAGAAATGACGACATCTCTCGTTTCAAATATTCATCGTTGAATGTTTTTGTAAGGTAATCTAAAAATGCAATAGAACGAATGTAGAAAGATGTCAATATTTCGCACTGTGAGGTCATCGGCCGCTTAGCTTAACTGGTAAAGCGTATCGGCGCAGGTTCGAATCCTGCAGTGCCGAAGGTTTTTGTTCATTTATATACAAAAAGATACCATTCAAATATTTCATATGCTGTTATAGAATCCCGTGGAGGCGGAACCGGCCGTGCTGGCGACGCTGCAACGGAAGGAGGCCCAGGAGAAGGTGCTGACGGAGAAGTGGACGGAGAAGTGGCGCGAGACGCAGCAGATCCTGCAGGAGCAGAAGGCGCTGGGCCTGAGGAAGAGCGGCCTCGGCGTGGTGCTCGACTCGGACATGCCGCACCTGGTCGGCATCGACGACAACCTGCTGTCCACCGGCGTCACTTTGTACCACCTCAAGGTTATCGTCGCTGCATATTATAAAACAAAGTCCTCTGCCACTTTGTCTGTCTTCACCAATGGACATGTCGTGCGAGCTGGCGGTTCGCCTGATGTTAAGCGATTGCCGCAGCCGGCGGATGTATGCAACACACGTAGGTTTGCACCTTTTAATAAAGTGGGTTCGGTCATTTCATTCACCGGACGAAACGCAAAAGTATAAAAGTTCCACTTCACGCTTGTGTTCTCTGAGTTTTTAGTATATCTCCCTTGTGGCCGTGCGACAGTGACGTTATTCGATTTTTTGTACAAATTTTGAAAGCAATTTAAATGAGCCATCCCTGACCTCTAAGGATCGCATTCGTTGGATTGCGTCCACGTGTTCTCGTGTTCGCGGCCGATGCGACAGAGACAGGTGCGACATGGGTCTTTAGTGGGTACCCCTTTCTCATTAGGACTCCCACATACCCTTGCCACTTCCCCGATCCATATCATTCGTTGGATGCAGGCCGCTACCGACCGGTCGAAGTGGAAGTCAATGGGGGAGGCTCGTGTTCGGCGGTGGTTGATCACCCTGTATGAGGTCGATGATACGGCAGGAGGGCGAGACGGTGATCGGCAGCGAGGAGCTGAGCCCGACGCCGGACATAGTGCTGAGCGGCGCGGGCGTGGAGCCGCTGCACTGCCGCGTGACGCTGCGCGACGGCGTGGCCACCGTGCTGCCCGCGGCCGGCGCGCACTGCTGGCTCAACACGGTGCTGCTCGACGGGCCCGCCAAGCTCAGCCAGGGTGCGCGCCCCTTCCTCTCAAACCTCGGGAAACTGCCCCATTCAACTCGATCTTCTGTACGACTCGGCGGCGCCCTCTGTACTGAGGATCGGCGCTTCCATAGTGCGCTGCGCGAATAGCTAATAATAAGCTAGTCCTCCGCTAGTATTCAATTCAGTACGACGGTTAGCGATATGAGAACACTACGGCGACATCTTCACGCGTTAAGACGCCCCTCAATTTCCTGTTGGCACAGCAGCGCATTCCTAGCGCGGTGCCGAAATATGAGATCAAATGACATAAGGAGGGTTAGACACATGAGAACAAAGCGGCTTGACCTTCACTTCATGACGCCCCTCAATCTTCTGTACGACACAGCAACGCCCTCTGTACTGAGGTTCAGCACATCCTTAGGGTGGTGCCAAAAAATTTAATCAAAACCTAAGCCCGTCCTAATTCAGGTGCCCACTAATTCCGCGACGGCGGACAAAACTCTGTTTCATAAAAAGTACTAGGCACAGCAAAACCTTAACCGATGCTTCCACTAGGAGAGTTATAGATTAGCAAGTCCCGCAAGCAATCCTTTCGGTTCGTAGGATAAGTCATGTTGTCCTACATAGGTGGCGACATTTAAATAAATCACAGATCAAACACTAACCGGCGGCGATCATAGAGTGAATCTTCACTGCACCTCCCAATTTGACACTCCGGCTTACGCCCGGTTCCTATATCCAACGAACGGCCGTTAGTTACATAACTTCGTTACTTTCATAACGACTCGTTGTAACGACTTCATAATGACTATGTAACTAACGGCCGTTCGTTGAATATAGTAACCGGGCAATAGTCGTCCCTTCAATACGTGCATCGATCGCGTCGCTACTATTAATAGCCCAATATATTACATACAAGACACTCAGATTACACCAATTGGTGTAATTAGATTTCAATTCTATATATCGCTATTCCTTTCCGTATCATACGTTCTATATCATCTGTCAAATTCACGTACATATGCCATAACAATGTAAAACGAAACAGTATTTAAACGTCGCGCAGTATGGACATGCGTCGTCTACATTAAACGTCATTGCACCAGCACATATGAAGCAACGTATCGGCAAACATTGAGATAATACAACAGCCCATATTTTCTTTTATTCGAGAAAGTGGCAAACTAGCTGGCGGTTCACCTGATGTTAAGTGTTAACCGCCGCCCGTGAACATTTTCAACACCCGTATAGTGTAACACTTCCGCTTCACGCCGGTCTTCTGTGAGGTCGGAGCTGCCCGTTCGTGCAACAGTTGAAAACACAGTGTGGCAAAGTAGCACAATGGAGATTCTGTGATGAAACCAGGCTGCATCCTGCTGCTGGGGCGCACGAACATGTTCCGCTACAACGACCCGGCGGAGGCGGCCAAGCTGCGGCGCGAGGGCAGCGCCTCGGCGATGAACCTGTCGCGGCTCTCGCTGCTCTCCTGGTCCACCACCGACCTGGCCGCCAGCACCGAAAACCTCAACAACACGCTCTCGTGGGTACCGCACCTCGGGCCTGTATCTATTGTATTCGCATCAATCGATGACAAGTGTTTGTGTGACCCACATATAGCCGTTTCGCATCTGGGTGTTTGCCGCGTGAAATTTATCCTAAAGTGGAGGCAATGAAAATAAATATTTTAGGACACATTTTTACACAACATTCTCTAGTCCCAAACTAAGCAAAGCTTGCACTACGGGTACTAGAAAACTGATAAACATGTTTTTCTTTTGTAAATAAATACATATTATACATATATTAACACCCAGACACTAGAAAAATACTATGTTCATCACACAACATTTATCCAGTAGTGGGGATCGAACCCACACCCTCTGGCGCAGGAGGCCGGTACACTACCCACAACACCATTCGGGTCGTCGAAAAGAATTACTTATTCTACTAAAGAAAACAATTACTTATTCTACTAAAGAAAACAATTACTTATTCTACTAAAGAAAACAATTACTTATTCTACGCAGTCTACTTCTTTAACTAATTCTTCTTCAACTAATGCAACCCGCATTAGTTGAAGAAGAATTAGTTAAAGAAGTTCACAAAAATCGTATTTTGCAAATGTTTTTCATTTGCATCTATTACAAAAATTGTAGAGTAAAAGTCCACGCTATTGTAACTCTCTGGCTGATGTCTCTTTTGCCATGAATGAATGAATGAATCGCCAACAGAGACCTGGAGAGCGAGATCAAGTGCGAGCGGATCGAGGCTCAGCGCGCGGAGTTGGAGCGCGAGAGGCAGCAGTTCCTGCTGCAGCAGCAGGAGCGCCAGCGCCGCTGGCACGAGGAGAGGGAGCAGTTGCTGCAGGCGCAGAGGAAACTGGATGAGGTTTGGCACCCCGACCACTTCGCTTCACCATTTCTCATATGTACAAAGATAAAGATGGCAAGCGGACCGACGGATAGCTTGAACCGAGTTATTGTGTAGTACTGAATTTTTGGCATGGTTTAGGCTACATGTGGGTTGCGAGGGGATAATATCGTCATATTGTGTTGGCCGATGTTCGTCTATATAATTGTAAAGTCGCAAAAAGCGTTGAAAGTGTTGGACGTGGAGATGCAGAAATGCCAAAATATTTTTTACTTATTCGATTCCCGCAGGGGCGAGGATGTTTTCTGTAATTTTTTTAACAAATTTCAAGTGTTTTTATTTATCCCGAACAAAGTCTATGGCTTGTATTTTTATTTATGAACAACGAGAAATATTGTACCACGGTTTCGATTAGTGGCGAAAACGGTTGCGCTATTGTTTCATATGTTTAACACTCCGCATGTTTTATTGACAACTCTTCGAAAATAGTGTATTAGTAATTTCATGTATCTGACTCGCACGCCATCTAACGAACAAGTGACTACCATTATGTGAGTTGCATCTTGAACATGATAGATGCCGTTGTGTCACAAGCCTAGTCTGTGGGGCAATACCGGTGGCGACATGTGTCCTTAGGAGCGGTCGGCGATGGAGCGCGAGTACGCGGCGGCGTGCCGGCGCCTGTCGGGCGACTGGCGCGCGCTGGAGCGCGGCTGGGCGCTGCGGCGCCGCGCGCTGCGCGCCCGCCAGCGCCACTTGGCCGCCGCGCTGCAGCGCCACGGCGCACACGAGAGCGCCGCGCGAGCACACGTGAGCGCCCCGCCCCTCACTCTGGCCGCCCCTTACTCTGCCCCGACCTCTACCCGCCCCTTACTCTGCCCCTCACTCTGTCCCTCACTCTGTCCCTCACTCTGTCCCTCACTCTGTCCCTCACTCTGTCCGCCCCTTACTCTGTCCCCCCTCACTCTGTCCCCCCTCACTCTGTCCCCCCTCACTCTGTCCCCCCTCACTCTGTCCCCCCTCACTCTGTCCGCAACTTACTCTGCCCGCCCCTCAATCTGTCTGCGTCTAACCCTACCTTCTCCTCACTCTGCATGTCCCTCACTCCGTCCAACCTTCAAACTACCCGCCTCACACACATGCGCGACCCTATATCTGACAAATAATCGTAGCTATATTTGGACAGTACTCTAGTGCCATTTTGGTGTGATTTGCAACTGTTATTCACTCGTGGACCCTTTTGTAGCTGTTCCCCGGTGTTGACGCTAAGCGCCTTACAAAATTATAATACCATACGCAGTTGCCGTTCATATGTATTTGCTTGTATGCTTTATTATCTACAGCCACCGTCAATTTTATTTGTTGTTAGCTAGCTTCTAGTCATTACATGGCGAGAATATCTGAGAACAAAAAGTTTTTATTTTCTCCTTTATTAAAAGTATTCACCCCGTATGACGCAGTGCTCCTTCCCGTTACCTTCCATAATCATAGCCTTTAGCACAGCGGCTCCCGCTGCATGAGTTTCCGTGTGATAGTGTTCGTATTGTTGCGCCTAAGCATGCACCGAACTTAAGATGAAAATGTTCTAGAAAAAAGACGAAAAGTTTTTCACCGTCGCCGCGAAAATCGAACCCGCGTCATCCGCCTCGAGGATCGCGTCTAGACGCTTCAACCACTAAGAAAACGAAAATCTTAGCGTATTTTAATCAATTTTTTTGTCTTTAAACATTCTAAGCGATGTGATTATAATTTTTCGAACTTCTAATGGGTTCTTAAGACCCATATTGCTAAAAAATATTAATGAAAATAATGAAATATTACTTGGCATGTTCATATATCTATGTAACAACGGAATATCTATGTAAAAAGGCTCAAAGGTTGGCGTAAATAAAAGATATAAATGTAATAACGCAAACTGTTTTGCGTGAGCATTTGAAAATGAATATACCTATATAAAACTGTTTTGCGTAAGCACAATTGCAATATAATTATAAAAATAACGGTTTAAAATCGGCTAAGATTTTTATAATATCTCATTTATATCATTTCTATATCTTGCTTAACGCATATCTTCGAAAACGGAGCAAACAGCTTTCTACAAAATCATCCATACTCTTAAATATACAGCATTTATAAATGAGTATTGTCTAATTCGAGAATAAGTTCTGTCATATTTTTTGTTACTTGTATTAGACAAAATGAAAATCAGTTTTTTCTTGTTCTCTAATATTATCTTGTTAGATCACATTTCCGCGTATGCATTACCAATATTTTATTACAATTCTAACCTTCACATGACAAAATTGACGAAAACGAATTATCTTAATATAACTTTCTAGACATACGGGTCCGATTACAATGGATCAGCAATAAAAGATGTCATTGTCCTACGTTCAATTAAATTTTACCGCAACTATCGATACTCGAATGAAATTAATATTTTGTTCGAGTGTCTTTCAATCTATTAGTGAGATATAAAATCGATCGATACTCAAATGAAATTAATGTTTTGTTCGAGTATCCTTCAAGCTATTAGTGAGATATAAAACATGTCTTACCAGGCATATATAATCTGCACAAAAATTCATATATATAAGACGGGCAAAATTATTAAATTAGAATTACTGAACCGACTGTCTTCAGTTTATTCTAATAACAAAAACTAACACGAACGCCTTCTGGCTCAATCCGTTTTCTATTTAATGAAAACTATTTCAATTAACAATTTCTAAATCCATTTTCTATTTTTTGTTATTTAATCAAAACTATAATTTCACATAACAACTTCTTGTATTAACATTATTACATACTGTCTAGACATATTTTATCGCGGTTTTACAAGTAAAAAAATTCCGCGACAAAACCCGACGAAATTAAAAAAACATAATACCGCGGTGAAAAAACTATTCGTTTCTAGAACAAATGGTAGCGGCCGCACATCGATGGAACGTTCACTTTTCGCAACAATGAATGATATAATTGTTTATATTTTTCTCACCGGCCGATACACTTGTTCGCTTTGGCCCAGTTTGTTGTTAGCGTGTATTGCGCTGCCACCATTTTAGTGTTGCTATTTTTGCGTAGTTGCAACTTTGGTGATATTTTCGTTTTCGTGATCGTTTGCCATTCGATTGTCTTGATGTGAGGTCAACTCGATTATGTTCTGCTACGTGTTTTGGTTTTAATGCGCGATGTATACTTCGTTGTGCAATTGAACATATTTCTACTTTAAATCTAACTCTTTGCTTCTTCCATAACTCAGTCTATAGTGATTGCGATAGCATTAACGTAAAAAAAATATATTACTAATATTTAAAGTGAGTATTTACTTATAATATAAAAGAGAAAATATAATGACCCCGTTTCGTTACTAACTGCATTACATAAAACTGCGTATCACGATAACTGAAAATATTGCTATGGCTATGTTAGTGTTGTTATTTTTTTTTTTTTGCTATTTCTAAATGGAGCCCTAAAATTCATTGCCAAAGTTCGGATATTATTCATTGATTATTATATACAAAGTTAAATAATTAAAAAAGTTTAATATATAAATATACCTTCGTAAACTTAGTGATGTTCTGTGGAAATGCATTTTTATTTAAAAATTCAATTTTTTCTTCTTCATTAAAAGCCCAACGGTTAAATATTTAATAAAATACTATTAAATTAAAATGGTACATAGCTTATGTTATAGGCAAAGTCCTTCTATTTGGGGCTCCATGGTATACATTACGTTGCTTCCCCCCTTGTGTTGCGTAGATAGAAAAAGAGGAGACTCTGATATCAAACCTCCGCGAACGGGTCGGCGCCAAGCGGCAAGAGTTGGAGACTTTGGTGGAGAGCAGCATCAGGGAACTCTTCTCAAAAGGATGCCGCCTTGACGAGGTTTGTTGCTTGCCTACTCAGGTCTGTATACACATACAGGGTGCTGTGAGATGTTGGTAAAAAATTAACGACTTTTTGATGTTTGATTTATTCGCCTGATTATACAGGGTGGTGTAAGACTTTGGCAGATAATTAACGACTTTTCGATGTTTGATTTATTGAAGGTTATATCGATGTCTTATTGTCTACTTCAGAAACAATTTCGATTTTTTATCTTTGTCTTAGCTTGCTTATTAATTGTAGTTAAAGTGTTAAATAAACTTTTAATTGTTTCATATTTATCATTTAGTTATATAGAAAATAATAATAAGGTATTAAATTTGTATTTGCATAGAAGGTTAATACAATTTAGTATCTACTGTAAATAAAATAACTTAATTCATACATGCAACACATCGCATAATTGCCTATTTTACTTTATAATTCCTTAAAGGTAAATTAATAAATTGTCTCTTTTGAATTTTCCATGTTGTAAATAAATTGTACCATTTAATAACTCAAATTTAGTACTTAAATTGCATGAAATTCCCTCATTAGCAAATTTCAAGTTTAGTAAATTTTTATTTCACTTAATGCCCCAAATGAATTTATATCTAGTTTATCATTTATTGAAGTGTATTTCGGCCGTATATACGCCATATGATATTTATCGTATAGTCAATATAAAGTTTTTCTTTAATAGTTTGCTGTTTGTGCTTAGAAATGTAAATGATATAATGAATTTTTCTTCCAGAGCACAACCCCCAGTCCAGATAGTCCGGCATCGGAGACCTCCACGGAGAGCCTGATGCATCTCTTGCAGCAGTGCGAGCCCAACACGGCCACAAATATCAAGGAGACCGTAGACAGACACGTTAGTCTTGATACTTGCGACACAAATCCAAACCAAATCATTTATTCATGAAACTAAGAAGTATACATTTCATCTATCGATAGTCATTTTTTTAAATCCACCACCGTTTCGTAATTAGGCTCCTCTGACGGAGAAGAAACAGGCCGAAGAAACTCCGGAGGTGTCCTCTTTGTTGTCCTTGTCCGATGCCTAAGCGATTGCCTTGGCAAATGAGCCACGGAGTAGTCAAATGATGATGATAAATATTGTATATATGTTCATCGACACTTCAAAAATAAACTAAGCTGATTGGCACTCGTTTGCCAACAGGGTTGCAAACCTTTTATATACTAATAGGGCTCTTTTACGATATAGATAGATCTAAGACAAACCTCTTTATTAAAACTTTATATACGTTACTTGTTACTTAGTTACAGACTTTGATTATATATTTTAGGGAATCATCTAAAAGTAAAGTAACAGCCTAAACAAGTCCCACTGTTGGGCGAAGGTGTCCTCTTGTGCAGAGGTTATTACGGTCCGCCACGTGACCTCACAGCGGGTTGCATTTCATATATCTACGAAACATTTTTTTTGTTATTACGAAAACATTCGGCTTTCCTCGCGAATTTTTCGCTCACAGCTGAGCGCGTGATAATTCAGCACTTGAAATCGCCAATTCCATCGGTGCCGGCGCCGGGTTCGGACTCGGGTTTCTCGAGTTTATTGCATCAGAAGCGAGCGCCTGGACACCTAGCCAGTGGACCGGTGGGAGAATGAAAAAGGGGGGTTTTCTCTCGAATCGGGAGAATGACAAAAGGGGGGTTTTTTCTCGAATCGGGAGAATGAAAAAGAGGGGTTCTTCCCGTTGCGGTTGGAATCCCTCTCCAACCGTACGCGGCGTTCGGCAGAAGCGCGAGCTGGAGGAGCTGGAGCAGGAGCTGCAGGGGCGCGTGGCGACGGTGGCCTCGCACCGCGCCAAGGTGGAGCGGCTGCAGGCCGAGCTGGCGGCGCTGGGGGCGCAGCGCCGGGGGCTGCGCAGGGCGCTCCGGGGCGCGCGCCCCGCCTCCGCCCACGCCGACAACGGTGGCCGCTTTTTTATGTCAAAAGTTTACCTTATGTTAAGTGAATACCGCCGCCTATGGGGACCTCATACACCAGAGGCCTTTTGGAAATTGGACTCCGGCCACCTCACTCACCAGACGAAACGCGAAAGTATTTCTCATACTTCCACTTGACGCCGGTCTTCTGTGAGATCGTGGTACTTACCATGCTTACTGCCCATTCTTGCAACAGCCGAGGCTGCTGCGTGGCTTGCTGCTACCACCGTACAAATTCGGAAATCCTATCAAAAACGATATTAGTCCGTAGGTGTTAAAATATTTAAATTTTTTAATATTTGGCATACTTTTTTGTGGTAGTTTTTTTGACGTTCAATAAAAGCTTAGCTAGCCTATATTGAATAAAAATATATTGACTTTGGACTAAGGGCGTCTAGGATCTATATACTATATATCATCGATATTTTCTCTTCGATATATCGAGGCCGATATTGATATTTTTATAAACATCGACGTTTCGATATATTTCTTCACTATGGACATCCCTAGCTGTCACTGCAGTCATAGACGCAACTTCTCTGCTGCGGTAGGACCACGCGACAGTCTTCTGTTGCGCGGATGGGCAGCCCCATGTACGGCCGGCTTGTAGTTTGACGTTGTGCGTTTTTTTTTTAGTGAATGAGGTGAACGGTTAATTTATGTCTATTCGCGTTTAGGTACAATGCTAATTGTTCGGCAGCGAAGCTGCTAGGGTGTTGGCTTCGGCGCTGTGGGTCGTGGGTTCGATTCCCACACGGGAAAAAACATTCTGTAATCCTGTGTATTTTTAGTATTTTTTTTTGTTATGGCGGCAACAGAAATACATCGTCTGCGAAAATTTCACCTGTCCAACTCTCACGGTTCATGATTTACAACCCGCTGATAGACAGACAGACAGACAGAGAGCGGAGCCTTAGTAATAGGGTCCCGATTTACCCTTTGGGTTCGGAACCCTAAAAACCCACGTGAGGAATGGTGACGATCCCTTCATTCGCATTTCGACCTCGGCAGAGAACGACAGCGACACGCCGCCGCCGACTTTGGACGGCGTCAAGCGCAGCAAGTCGGAGCTGGTGCTGGGCCGTCCCAGGCGGGAATCCCTCACCAGCCCCGACCCCCTGGATCCGCTGGACCCGCTGGACCCGCTGTCGGCCGCCGAGCGCGAGCTCTTCAGGAGCAGGAAGATCAGGTACCGTCACCACGCGAGGGATGAAAAAGGACCTCTCATTTACAGGCCCTGAAATAATTGACTTAGTAACGTTGGTCAGCGGTTAAGGCGTCTGGGCGCGATTCCGAGGGACGTTGGTTCAAATCCCGCAATGGTGATAAAACTCTTAGCACCGCGACCTCACAGAAGATCGGCGTGTAGTGGAACTGTTAAATTTCCGCGGTTTCGTCAGCCGAGCGAGTTAGCCAGGGTTATTGAAAGGTGGCAACGCATCTGCGACCCTGCGGGTTTTGCAAATGTCCATGAGGGCGGCCACTTACCATCAAGTGGACCACCACCTCGCTTGCCACGCGCGTTTGACGTTATACTTCTTTGGCATCTTTATAAATATGTATTTAATTGCATGCAAATAATTAATTGCAATAAAATTGTTGAAGCATGAAAATTATGAAAGCGCCATCTACATTCTTTATCGAGAACTGTAACGGGCGAATGCGATGGAGAATACGCTGCCAAAAAAATAAGCGGTTTAACGGGCAGCTTCAAAGGTGTTACTTTGTGGCGTTGATGCTTTCGCTCATAATTTTTTCATAACGCGCCTAAAGAAGTATAACTTCAAAAAAAAAAGAAACTTCGAATGCCACGCATTCACTCTCGCTCTGTCTCTTTCTATTCCCCCTCCCCAGGAGCGTTGAACTTTTAACGCAACAGTGCTTCGTACCGCCTCCGTGGTAGCGTAACGCAACCTTGTTGGAAGTCGAATTGGAAGTTTCACTTCAATAACCTGTACACGTTTGGTTGCAGCCTCAGCCTGAGCCTGGACCCGCTGCCTTCGCCCGGCGCGACGCTGCCCAGCGACGAGAGCTTCCACACGGCGAGCGGCTCGCCCAAGGCGCCGCCCGGGGACTGCGCCCCCGCGGGGGCGGGCCCCTGCGCCTCCCCCGTCTCCCCCTCCGCCGCCCCCGCCGCCCCCGCCGCCCCGCGCCCCCAATTCCGCCTCGGCCCGCCCCCGCCGCCAGACGACAGCGACGACATGTCCAGCACCGAGGACTATAACTGCAGGGTAATGCCTATTAAGGGTTCTATACCCGAAGGGTAAAACGGGACCCTATTACTAAGACTCCGCTGTCTGTCTGTCCGTACATCTGTCATCATGGCTGTATCTCATGAACCGTGATAGTTGGACATTTAATATTTGCAGTTGGTGTACTTCTGTTGTCGGTATAACAACAAATAATAAAAAAAACAGAATAAAAAAAAAATAAGTAGAGCGCCCATCCGAGTCCGACTCGCTCTTGGCCGGTTTTTTAGTCTTTCGTCTTTGATGTGGAGTATCGACCTCTCATCTCCTCTATTTATGGATATCCTTCCATCTGCGTTGAATGATTTATTACTTTTCCGCACCTTTTAATACTCTCGTGTTGAGTCGCGATCTGCAACATTTCCACTGCGGATTTATCACAAAAATCCCATACCATTTGTATCCAAGGAATTTCACTAACGACAAAAATAACACACTAGGAACATTCCCATCATTACTTTGTAATAAATATGAATAAAATAAATCTCTTTATAGTCCAAACTAAGCCAAATTTGCACCTTTTTGGAAATAAACACACATTATACATACTTACATTAACAGAAAAATTTTTGACGCCGCGGGAATGGATTCCGCGTCTTTCAGAATATCAATTTAAATAGGAAAGACGATATCTGTCGTTCGAAGTATCGTTATAAAACGATAATTGCAACTGTCCGTATGTTGCAAAGGGCATAACAATAGATGGCGCCAAAAGATATTGAGATGCTCATCTGCAAACAGCCATTCAGCTTAGTGCTTAAAGCGTCTGGTCGCGATTCCAGCGGCGTCTAAAAGCTATTTGTCAAATTTTACGTAAACACTTCAATTGGGCTGTGGTTCACTATAGCGGCTCTCATGTTCCACAGCCCCGCATAGTGGAGGGCCAATCGTCCAGTTCGGTGGAGCGCTCGCCGGAAGACCGCCACCAGAGGACCAAGTACAGGAAACGGGTCTCCGGTAAGGGTCCAACTGGGGCCGGGTCCGATGTTTCTTAATAGCATAGTAAGAAGTAAGTCGGGGGTCGCGGGTTCGATTCCCACACGAGACAACTGTTTGTGTGACCCACAGATAGTTGTTTCGCTCCTTGGTATTTGTCGACATGAAATTTATATTTGTAAAACGACCTTACAACACAGGATTTTTAAAGAAAAAATCTTTCCCTGTACAGAGGGTATTAGGGCACAGTCCATATTTTACATACATATCTTTGAAATATTTTTTTTGTTATCACAAAGATATGCAGGTTTCCTCACGATGTTTTCCTTCACCGCTGAGCGCGTGAAAAGTCAGAACTTATAATGGAAAAATGTTTTTAAAGAAATATTTATCTGAGCGCTTCGACGCGAGCGAAGCCGCGGGCGAACAGCTAGTGCAATATAAATATATAAACGAACAGGCGACCGTGGCGGGCGGCGGCAGGTGACGGAGGCGGAGGCGTTGCGCGCGATGCAGCGCCTCTGCTCCCGGATCGCCTCGCAGAAGCTGCTGGTCATCTCCTCGCTCGAGAACGACTGCTCCAAGGAGGAGCTCAACCGCCAGATCGTGGTAACTTCGCTCTCCTCTTCGCCTGCTTCATTTCCTATCCTATCCACTTTGCCTACTCCCCCGAATCCCCCCCGTTGAGGCTAAAATATTTTTTTTTATCTAGTAGTAAAATATAATACTGGCCTATGGGTCGGTCAGTCGCGCAATTAACTAGCAAGCTTCACGTCTTTTTTATTCAACTAATCCTGTTTCAACTATAATACAACGACACCATCCTCCTCTATTTCTCAATAAAGAGAAATGGAATGGGATGGAGTAAGAGAGAGGGAGCGTCTTACTCTGTCCCGTTCTATTTCTGTTTTCCTTTCCCTCTTTTTTGTATCCTCCATCTTTAATACCTAACTTTATGGGTGGTAACGACCATTTATTGTAATATATACAGAACAGTACAGCATAACATCGAGTGCAATGTTCGGTCGCGCCGACGGTGCTGCCGTAAATAAATAATAAAAGAATGTCTGTTAACGGCCGGTCACAATATTCTATCAACAGATAGATTTGGCTACTCGCGATGGGTATTTGACATTAGCTCCCTAGTAATACTTATGGCAAAGTTTTATCTCCAGTAACAAAATATAACGAAACCGGCCGTTAATCGAAATTAAATGTCGATCCATCACTTCAGGTGCTGCAGGAGCTGCAGAAGAAGTACGTGCGCCTGGAGATGGCGCTGCAGTACTCGTTCTTCGAGGGCCCGGCGAATAGACGGCCCATCATGGTGACGCCCATCCAGGAGACGCCGTCGCTGACGCTCTCCGAGAGCGACATGCACGTGGCCACCGAGGGCGCCCCCGCCCCCGCCCCCTGCCCCGCGCCCTCCGCCGCGGCGCCCCCCCCGCCGCCCCCCGCCGCCCACCAGCCTTTCGAAGACCCGCTGCTGCACAGGTACCCATGGAGCCAACTGTCCGAATGCGGTCATAGACCTAAAGGATTGACAGATTGATGTTTGAATGTCATCATCATCATCATCATAAGCCGCAAGACGTCCACTGTTTCAACGCAGGCCTCCCCTTTAGATTTTTTTAAAGGCCCAAGTTGTTAATTCGTACATTTCTAGTATCGATTAGAAGCGATGAGAAAGGCGTTATAGGAACGAGATATGGAACAAGTACATGTCGGAAATAACAAATTTTAGATTTAACCGTTATTAATAACGGGTTACTTTCCTAACCCTAATGGTGTAGATTATACTATTGAGAAAGTAAGTGCGACAGGGAGCGCATTAGGCGTGCCGCTTCCGCGTCTATTACCCCGTGTGCAACGAGTCTTTGACATTGGTGTAAGGTTATTTATATTTTAGTATTTAGTACTAAGTTCTAGATAGAGATAGATTTTTTTTTAATGTGAAAAAGTAGCAAACGAGCTGGCGGTTCATCTGGAGGGTTGCAAAAGCGTTGCCACCTCTGAATAAAGTGGGCCCCGGCTACGTCACTCACCAGACAAAACGCAGAAGTGTTGTACTGTACGCCGGTCTTCTGTGAGGTCGCGGCACTTACCCGCACAGACCTGCCCATTCGTGCAACCGTGAAAACTGTTGCGCGGCCCTACCACAATTAGATACACAGTACCGAGTGAGGGAGCTATTGTGATTTATCTCAGTGGACCAGATATCATTTGGAACAATGATCGTTTCATAAATGAAGTACTAAACAAAATTAAGTTTTGAATTGCCGACACAAAACATCAATAGAAATAAATGTCTTTTCTGGCCGCAGGCTGAAGGAGACGGAGGCGGAGGCGTCGGACAACGTGTCCACGTCGAACGACGAGCTGCCCTGCGAGCCCTGGCCCTCCGCCGCACACCAGCCGCTGGAGCTGCACGTGAGCTCTCTCTCTCTCTCTCGCACTTTCTCTCCCTCTCACATTTCCTCTCCCTCTCACACTCCCACTCCACTTCGATGCACACGAGCCCTCCCACTTTTGCCCCACGAACTGAAGTCACCGTAGCCTTGATTACTATACAACTTTAATCATCTCACTTTAATTATGAAAAGTGTCTGTTTGTATTTAACGGGTAATGTTCGAGCCACTGAATTGATCTTAAAGTTGAGTGGGATTTATATTTAACATATATTTATGTAGAAAAGTGGAAGAAAAGTTTCTCTTTATGTTATTTTTTAATCCCTTTCAGGAGAAAAACTTTTCATCTATTTTTCTACAATTCTTTTAATTTCATATTAAATTCAGAGAAATTTTTCCCTATTAAGTAGTATTGTTACGCCATTAAAACATCCCATATCCCATCCATCTAATACTATCAAGCTATCCATGTTACAAATTTCATTAAATTCAAAATCGATCTTTGTTTGTCCAGGATCACACAATAGCACCGGGCCTCACGCATCCCATCAACTTCGGTGTGTATATTAACGTGTTCTGTTTTTGTTTAAAAAAACGAAATTAGATAGTAGAAATAAAAAAAAAAAGATTCGATAATAGAAATAATAATAACAAAAAATATTTTTTGAAGAAAAGTTATTTCCTAAAAACTCCGTAAAGAGGACGCCTCTGCTGTTACTTTACTTTTTTAGAAAGACATGACTGATATTTGCACGTAAGAAATGTGAATGAAAAAAATAATTCGTAATTTTTGGTCGTAAACGAGACGCTTTTATTCGTTCGGCTGATGTTAGTGTCGGTAGACCACGGAACAGTCTTCGCTGTTGCACGAATGGGCAGGTCCGTTCGGCGAGGCACCACGACCTCTCAGAAGACGGCGTGAAATCTCTGTGTTTCGTTTGGTTGTGTGGCAACACTACGGGTGTTGCAAATGTCAATGGGCGGCAGTTCGCTTTTGACCTTCTCACATAAAAATAATTGTACAATAGATGTTCTAGATCGCAGCGGTAATTTGGACTTACAGCCGAGGTGGTGAGCATCCCCGGGTGGGTGGTGCGGGGCGCCGGCGCGGGCACCCACCACGAGTACGAGGTGCGCGTGTGGCTGGGCCCGCACTGCCACTGGCAGCTGCTGCGCCGCTACCGCCGCTTCAGGGACCTCTACCTGGCCATGCGCCGCCTCTACGGCCACAAGGTGCGCCATAGCCATTATCTTTTAATTCAATGTACTCTAAGTGACTTGAGTTCATGTCCCGTTGGCGGCACGAATGGTAAGTGCTGGTTTATCACGTCTTCAGCGGTGAAGCAAAATATCGCGAGGAAACCCTGCGTATTTTCGAAATAATAACAAAAAAGTGCTTCGAAGACGTGCGATGTCCGCCAATCGGCATTGGGTTGGCCGATGCAATATCACACACATTACGGCAATATTAAGAGGGCTCGGAGAGAAATGGTGAGTGAGGGTCTTCGCGTCCAGGTGGCGTCGATCCCGTTCCCCGCGCGCGCGCTCTGGTCGTCGGAGACGCTGGCGCGCGCGCGCCGGCCGCAGCTGGAGCTGTTCCTGCGGCGGCTGCTGGCCTGCTGCGCGCAGGACCCGCGCTGCCCGCTGCACGGCGCGCCGCTCACGCGCGACAGCCTCGTCGCCTTCTCGCCCTTCTTCCGCAAGGTGCGCCCCCGCTTGTACCCCTGAACACTTTAGCTCTTCTCGCCCTTCTTCCGCAAGGTGCGCCCCTACATGTACCGCTGAATGCTTTAGCTCTTCTCGCCCTTCTTCCGCAAGGTGCGCCCCCACTTGTACCCCTGAACACACTAGCTCTTCCCGCCCTTCTTCCGCGAGGTGCGCTCCTACATGTACCCCTGCCCACTTTAGCGCTTCTCGCCCTTCTTTCCCAAGGTGCGCCCCTACATGTACCCCAAAGTACTTTAGGTCTTCTAACACGCAAGGTGCAACGTGTCCTCCCTGAACACTTTAGCTGTTCTCGCCCTTCTTCCGCAAGGTGCGCCCCCCGCAGGTGATTACTGTGGTATGGCCAAACGACAGTCTTCGTCTGTCGCATGAATTAGCCGCTCCGTCCGGAAAGTGCCACGAACTCACAGGAAACCGGCGTGAAGTGGAGCTGTTACACTTCTGCGTAACGTCTGGTAAGTGAGGTGGCCGGGGTCCACTTTATTGAAAGGTGGGAACGCATCTGCAAGTCTACGGGTTTTCCAAATATATTTATGGGCGGTGGTTGTCGCTTAATGTCAAGTGATTGCGACTCGCTTGCCTCCTTCTAACATAAAAAAAAAATTGTTAAAACGAACTCCGCTCTGAATGTTTCTTCTGTCTTCAGAGCACTTCTAATCTTCTTTACTTCCTCAGCCGAACACGATAATTTTCATTACCCGAAAGAATAATGATTTCAATGTTACATCTGGTTAAGAGGGCCAGAAATTGTACCGAATATTGCAAACGGCTTGCTTTCGCTGCTGCGCGAATGGGCAAGCTATTCCATGGAGTACTGAGCTGAGGAGTAAAGATTGATAATTCATCTGCAATGCCTCAAGCGTTGTTATGAACGATTGTGTGATAGGAGACTGCATGTCGTCGTACATGCAGTCTTCTATCACACAATCTGAGCTGCATAATGAGCTAAACCATCATAACAACTGCCGTAGTGTGCTGGGTCATTTTATGTGAAATTTCGCAAGCGAGCATACGATCCGTCCGATGTTGACTCTTCACCACCACCGAACATATTGCACACCCTAGAAGGCGGGCCGGGAAGCACCGCTGGTTCAGGGTCCGATGATTTTTCTTTCCTAACCGGTGGTTGTGTATTGCGTAAGGATATTCTGATTTCACGCACGCAGGGCGTGTTCGAGAGTGGCAAGTGTGGCACGGGATGATCCCGGCCGGACATGGGATGATCCTGGCACACTGGCACACTCGCTGGCGCGGCTGGCGCGCCTCATGGTGGCAGCCGCCCTGATGATGGCGCGCTGCCTCGCGCTGCTGCTGCTGCTGCTCTACCTCTGCGCGCCGCGACGGGCCCCCGCTCGAAGGTAGGCCCCCCCACCACCCCCACCCGCCCCACGGACTTGGCCGAAGTTGGCCAATTGCCACGATGGACACATTCAGGCTACATCTGACGAGGCGTAGACTGAAGCCCGAATCGTGGACTTGCTGCAACCGGGTTGAATTTTCGAGCACACCGTTCTCACAATGGAAACTCACGATCTCTGTACGTGGTGTCGCAGTCTACCGATACCTGAATTGACGGGTTAAATATTAGATCCATTTCAGACGTATACGATAACAACGTTTAGTGTGTTCCAGTTGAGAATAATGTTCGTCGGAGATCGTTACATTGTCAGTATAGTTTTACCGGAGTAGACTGCCGTAAACCCCCATTAAAATCAGGGTACTAAAGGACCAGTGTGTAATTGAAGTCTAGATCGGTATCCTCGCGCCAAGGACCAACTGGGGCCTACATATTTGGGCGGGCCCAAGCAGCGCACAAACCTTGGGTGCCTTCTAAATTTAACAGTTTATTCTTAATGTCGGTTTCACTTTTAAATGGCAATGACATTGGCAAGACTCGTATCTCATTAAGTTATATTCCATAATTTAAGCGTATTTTTGTTTCAGAACTTTTAGTCAATATTAATTCTCACATGTAAATATTTTCTATAAACCAAAAGACGTTAGGTGAGCGAACAAAGTTGCCATTTAAAAAAACCGAACACAACAGATGAGAATGACCTTAAGTGACGAATCTAAAAGTTTTAAACACATAAGTTAAGAGAATAACTAAGAGAATTGTGGAAAGAGCAAAGTTCTTCAAAGCAAATTCAAAAGAAATTAGTGGAAACCGTAACATCTTACATGAATTTTATTTTTATTTTATATCTGCAAAGTCATCAAAAATTTATTGTTTAATTTTGATTATTTTACAAGCATCAATTATTCGTGCATGCATTCCTTGTAATGAAAGATATTTAATAATTCATCTCGGTCATTTAAATAATTTGTCAATGTTCATATCAACTTTTTTAAAACAACAATATGTTATCTATGTATAAATTTTGAGAAGGGATTTTTGATTTTTACATAATATGTAACATAGCACATAGTATATATAATGTGCTTGTATCTAATTACAATTTTTTAAACATAAATGCTACTTTATATAATATGATGTAATGTAAAAAATGTGTTTGTGCTTTTATATTGAGATTTTATATAGTTTACTATTATTTTAGTTCAAAACTGAAATCTGTTATTTTTTATTTTGTGCCGTGTAGTACTGTGTTGTTAGGGCCTAGTAGCGGTCTAAAATTTTTACTCGAGTCATTTTAAAAGACTTTCCATCTAAGTGATATTTTACATGTTTTATCATAAGAACTTTATTTTGATGTACTAAGATTCATAGCGATGCAAAGGGCTATTTAATTATTTATGATTTGACTTTTTTATGTAAAGTAATGTCTATGGCATGAAAGTCCATAGACGTCTTCAATCTATGGACAAAGTCTTCCTTAGTTTTGTCAATTGAGGGCACTCTCCCGTTGGAAAAACGCGGATTTTACGCAACTTTGGCAAGTTGCCTAGCCGGCAACTTATCTAGTTGCCCATTTTGCGCGTTTATTGACATCTATGCGCACAGTGTGACCCACAACCACGTGAACCACATCACATATCTACAAAATCGTCTTTACTTGATATTAAAAAGTAAGAAGAGTGATTCGGTACACAGCATTTTGTTTCGACTTCTCTCGGAGCTTATTTCAATAGGAAAATTTTCAATAGGTATGGGATCGACGATGGATTTTTTTGGTAGTTTGGTAGAATTTTTCGCAGCAACAATAAAATGTTCACGTGCGCCTATTATCTCACTGTGCGCTAACTGGTTGTTGTACGAATAAAATTTACTGTGAATTAAATGTGTAAAGCACCCAAAGAATGTAGTGTATTCCTCCAAGTGGCGAGCTCAGTTCCTTTCGACAGTGAAGGGACATCGTAGGTTAAGATATTATTAGCATAGACTTAAAAGCCGGGATTAATGCAAATTATATCTCGCGTTGTACTCTTGTTTGTAAATTAAAACGTGACAGTTTCATTCGTTCGTACACTAACAATGTTTTGTAGAATAAAAAAAATTAACGCCACACGTTCCATTTTACGCGCGTCTCGGTAAATTGTTTCATTTGTCAAAAATCGGTGTCTGTTTCATCAATCTAACATAAGTCTAACATAGGCGATAAGAAAGCACATTCTCATTTAAGAGATAACAACAAACAATTCACTATTTTATATAAGATATATTTTTAAGAGCTCATGTTAATAATATATTTCTAAAAATGATGATTAAAAACTAGACATAATAATTATAAAGTGAGGAAGAAATAGCCATACATTAAATAATTAAAAAAGAACGTGTTTTCGAAGACTAGTATTTGGCGGGAAAGTAACATTAAAGGATAGGTGACGACTACAAATAAATAGGCACGACTGTCACTTCGGGAAAGTTTTTAAAGCTATAAATTTAAACATTTTGACAATAATCACATTGAGGACAGGCAACCAATGTATAATAAATAAGATTTCTTTTATTTGCCGCCAAAAATGTAGACACTTTTGTGATAAGAGATTAAACAAAATGTCCGTTATTACTATATTTTATAACAAAAATTAACTCTATAGCGTATTACAAAAACTATAATATCAACAGACTTAACCATTTCCCTAGGCAAGACATTATTGTTTTAAATGTAGACTTTATGGGGTTGGTGAAATAATAGTAGAATTAAAAGACCTTAACTGAAGTTCTAATATATGAGGTACTTTGTTCGAGATGCCCCACCTTTAGGTATCTGTGTATTATATTATATCCCCATTTTTATATCGACACTGACTCGCTTAACTAAATGACATATTTCTTGTTAATTTTAATTTGGAATATTGCCACATTTTTATCGTGTCTCAATATTGCACATGCAGAGCAATAATGGCCGATACAACATAGTTATCTCGGGCTGAGTACAAACATTTATTTTATGTATACAACGCTGATATATTTTAATGAAGAAGTCCATGTTGTCGAACTTCGATTGTAGACAGAATTGCCTTCTAGATAATGTGTAATAGATAGGTGTTTCAATTTTATTACAGGGCGGTAATTTCTACTTAGTATCGATAAGGTTTATATCAATTAAGATATCGATTCCATTTCTGTTAACGATCCTCGAGTAACTGTACTAGGGCTCGACTTGCGATAGCTATATTTTCTTACATATAAGATAAATCGCAGAATTATATTTAGACCTAGTGTAAACCCCATAGTCTGGAAAATGGCTGGACAAATATAAAATATGTTTATGTATATCTGAAGGTTAAAAATAAGTTTTACGATTTTCAGGAAATTCCTTATTATTACTTTTTTTACGCCGTAAGGCAAGTAGATGCAGTAGATTAGAGGGTAGGTATTTATATTTTAGTACAAATGTGAGAAATTTTCACAAAAGTATTTTTTTTTATATTAATATTTATGTATAGCTCTAGAGTTGTCATATTTTACTTGCACATTGTCAGTTCGTTTTTCTATTATATTCTTGTTTTTTTGTTTGTTTTCTGTTATTATCAGTGGAAAAGGGCCCATTGTATAGTAAATACTATTTAAAAATCGGATTATGTTTAATTTTTAGAAACATCTGATGTCTATTATCTTACGTGCATAATGTACTGGACCCATATATAATATTAAGGCACCAAATTATTTTATAGCTTTAAGGAAATATAATATATGAACAATGTCGTTAATGTAATGGGATTTTTAAAAACAATTTTATTGTAATTAAAATGCACACTTAAAATGTACGAAAGGCCTTTCTAAGAGAATATAATTCGCATAGAATAATAATTTAATTTCCTTTAGTGCTTTACTTGCTGGTCAGCTGTTTGTAACAAGGCCTAATGACAATTGTTTCTACAGCGAGCTGTTTGTAAGATCGACGGGCTAACTCGGCTTCTATTTAAAAAAAATGTATGCGCAGTGTCTATTTTAACCGTAAGGCCTCGACTTTTTCCCATAATAAATTGTCACGTCTGCCATGTCAAGTATATCAAATTATTGTCGGTGTCGTAAAGTATGTAATCGTTATAACTAGAGTTCTCCTTACGAATTTTACAATTGTGATATGCCGGCTCACTCTCAATACCAAACATCCATCTTTTTATTAAATAAATAGTAAAACAAACACCTATAAATTAGCTGTAAATATATTAAAAACTGCCAACGGTATTCTTTAATAGAAAAATCTTGATATCTAATTTTAAGACTTTAAAGAGTTTTCTTTCAATGGACATCTCTTTCCCGATAAAATATAATATTCAACTTCTTTGAGTGAGCCAATATATTTTCAAGACTTGTTGAGAAAGAAGGTATTTTTAAAATGAAATATAAAAGAATTAGCGAAAAGAAACTATACGGAATGTTAACCAGCATAATCAGAGAAAGTAATTAGTTTTGTTAAGGAAAATAAAGACAAGGATGTTTTGAAAATTTTTGTTGTTTCATTTACTATAGAATTATATTTACAATAACATATTACACAGTGAATAAAAAACTTTTTAAAAATTAATCACTAACGGCCGGTTTCAATATTCGATCTATCTGTAGATTTGGTTACTGGAGATTGAATTTTGACGTAAGTATTACGGAGCTAATGTAAAATACCTATCGCTAGCAACCAAATCTACGGATACAATATTGAAACCGGCCGTTAGATGCATTTTATATAGAGTCGATAATTTATACATTATTTTGTACATTCGTAAAACTTAACTCATGATATCACTGCCTTGGATGATTACTGTTGTAACTCGAAAATGCTATATATTAAGAGAGCTGATTGAACTTTACTATTGTTTCTAAGTTTTATAACTTTTGCACTATACTTGCGGATGCCTGCGACTAAGTCTGCGTAGAATAGGCTGAATGCGTAACATTCAGACAGAAAAGACAGATATACATAGAGATATGTATATAAATTATAGCCTATGTGTTATTCTGATGTATAAGCTATATTATTGTAAAATTTCATTAAAATCCATTCAGTGGTATTTACGTGAAAGAGTAACAAACATCCATCCATACATACAAACATTCGCTTATTCAATATTAATAATTTAACAAAGAGTCGTTAAGATATGACTATTTTCGTGATACACTCCAATGATATTATATACAAAGATATGACACTAGAGCACCGAAATTGAGGCACTCAAATTACACCATCTGGTGTAATTAGATTGCAATTCTATAGACTGCCACCTCTTTCCATATCATTCGTACTATATCATATTCCGTCACATTCATTTATACACGTCATATAATGTAAAGGGGAACAATTATGGACATACTATATTATTAAACATCATCGGATACACTCTCGTGAAGAAATAGCATTTGAGTTGCAACAGTACTCTTCCAAGGGAGCGATGTGGCAACACCAGCGTATGAGACTATCGTGAAACGGCTGCATCGAAATCAAAGTTGGCGTAGCACGAGAATTCGTTCGCTAGATTGTTTCTGTGGCGCGGTTGGAATTGGCACAGTTTCAGGCCCATCAGCCTCCCGACTAGCTCCCGCATCACGGCTCCCGTGCACACCACGACCTTCTCCTTCGCCAGCAGCTCTATCGTCTGCGCGGTCTTCGAGATGCATTCCTCCGACAAGAACGGCGGATCGGCCACCACCAGGTCGTAAGCCCTCGCCATCTCTGGCGGGAGTTTGTCAGGGAAGTTGTAATCGTAGAAAACGAAGTCGGGCGCGTGCACTTCGAACCTCCTGTCGAATTCCAGTAGAGTAACTGAAAAGTATCATATAGCACATAAATTTCACACAATTTAAATTTTGTAATAATGTTATAATGCTCATGTCTGTACATAATATGAAAAATTAAAATTTGTAGGAAGTAACGAAAAGTTTTCCGCCATTGCGGGATCGTACCCACGTCTTCTGGAATCGTGCCTAGGCGCTTTAACCGCTAAGCTGGACGGCTGATTGCCATATCGACGAAAATCTCATCGTATTTCAACTTTATTGTTTTCTTTTGGCATTTTTCAGATTTCACATAATTATGAAATAGTACCTAATTTCTAAAGTCAAAAAAATATATAAATATGATTTAATTACGTGTGACTAAACGGTGAAGTAGTTAGTTTTTTATTTTAAAAAAATATTATCTCTATACTAAAATACTAGTTCATGGATGCGTTTCCTTGACAAAGTAAACAAGTGCAAATAACCGGATAAGGAACATTTATCTGTAGGGCCACAGCCTTAACTGTTGAACAAATGGGCAGCTGATGAACCATCTGGGTAAGCACCATTAAAATATGGAATCGCATTTGCAACCTTACGGATTCTCACTTGTCATCATCATCATGTTCCAATGAGAAAGCCTGTGTTGGATTTTTCTTAAACCAAATTAAATAAATACCATTACTATGATAATTTAAAAAGTGCAAATAACACAAATAACATACCAGTTGCCCTGCCTCCAATCTGCCGTTTGAGAGGCACAAACAGTGTAGGGCAGGATATCAGAGCCACTTTGCCACCATCCGGCAGTATTTTGTCTATAACTCTAACCATCTTCTGCACTGTCTCTTCATCATACCAAAACTGACTTAGTTGCTAAAATAAAACATATGTTATAAATACAGTTTATAATAAGAGCTGTCTGGCAACTCTTTTTAACCCGCTTCAAAAAGATGGTTTCTCAATTAGACCATTACATTTTCATTTTTTATGTGTGTTCGCGGATAACTTCGTCGTTTATGAACCGATTTAGATGATTCTTTTTTTCTTGGCAATGAAATATCCCAAGAGTGGTACCATGATAAGGAAAGCCGGATCTCATGATGGTATCCCAGAGAAATCGAGGGCAATGCTCAACTGCTATAGGTATTTACAATGTTTTTCAGGATCCTTTCCTGTTGTCATGCCAGCATTTGGGGTGATTTAAGTTTTTTTATTTTTTTTTGTATATATTCAACCAAATCAGACTTAACTCTAAATAAATATTGATAAAAAGCAAAGCTTACCCAATTCTCTTCAAAAATAATATTTTGATTCAGTTTATTTTCAGCCTCTAATTTGTTAAGAATTTCTTGCCTTCTCTGTTGCTCCGCATAGAACTCTTGTAATGCTGCGAAGGTCTCCGCAGAGAGTGTTGGCACATCTTCATCTTCCATTCTTGATATTAAGATTTTAATGTAAATTAAACATTATAGTAAAACTATGTATTTAATGGTCATAAAAATGAAGGCAAGACTTTTAATATGAATACAATGAATAAGGAAACATGTTAATAGATCAGAACATTTATCACTGCAATGTATTGCATAAGGAACTTTGCTTTCCAAGGCAGCCCCTGAATATATTGATATAAATTTTATTTATTATCTATATATTTTTCTATATTTACAGGCTTAATCGTACGTCCTAAACTAAGCAATGTGTACTATGGTAATAGGTAACAGATAAACTCACTGAAACATGTACAATACATTTCACACTAAAACACTGTGTTAATGTTTGTGTACATAATGTTTCCTAATAATAGAGACCTAACAGATCGTCATATATGTATAATTAATTACATGTAATTAGCCTGCAGGATATGGTACCCATATAGATGGGCTTAGAGCAATTGTTCTTGAATTGTGATGTCAGTGGGTTTGGCTAGGTTTTTACGTCCATCTGCCAGGTTGATGTCAATCCTTCTTGGGAATAAAAATAACGAATATACACTTTTGTTACTAATAGGAACAACTATAGTGTTATTGGTGACAAGTCATTTGACCATGTCGATGACGAATTTTGTGTAACTTTTCTCCCTATCCAAACTTCCTTTAGAAGTTTTCACTTCAAAGGGGATAAGAGATCCTTCAAAAATTTATTTATTATAGGTGGTCTTTTTTATAGATGAACCCTACCAGCAATAAATATTTCATTATGTTTTATGGTTGTCAAAAATTTTTTGGACAATATTTTATTTCACTTTTAAAGGATAACCTTGAAAGGTATTTTGTTTGCAAAAGTAATAAAATTAAATTTTAAAAGTCAAAGCAGCAACCTTTCAAGATAATACGATTTTTTAAAGTTATATTTTGTGTAATGCTCATTGCTGTGCTTGAATTGACTTGGTATACATAATAATGTCATAAATACTTGTCCTTTTACTGCATCTTAATTAGTTTATAAAATTTATATGAAACCAGATAATTTGATTGATTTATTAAAAAAATATCGCATTTGTATGATGATCAGTTCAAAATAAATATTTTATATGATAATATTATTTTCGTCAGATCTACTACTCATCAGTTAGGGTACATTAAAATATTTTAAGTTTTATATAGTAATATAACCCAAAATATCTATTATATGCTTTATTTCCCATGAGATATGACTGCGTTAATATAGATAGTTGAAGTAAAATTAAAACAAAACGAACTTTTAAATTCATGACAGCTAAAAATAGTTTAGGTTAGTTTGATTGAAACACCATGGGGGCAGTCGCGCGGCTCTAATTTATTTATTTTTAAATGTACATACTTGATTTGGAGACTCAGAAGAAGAAATATAAAGCAAATATATGGTAAGTTTCGAAATGAATTATGTTATATTTTTATCACATGTTTTTTTTTGGCATAAATATCGTATTTATCGGCCTTATAAATTAAACTTAAAGACTTAAAGCAACTTTTGACAAGTTTGACATTGACAATTATATTTTTTTGGAGAAAAAGACTGTAATCTGTAACTGTATACTTTCTGCCCATAATCCAAATCAATGTACTTATTAAAAAATAAAAACATCAGCGGCCCTGAACTAACAAAATCACACAGTAGATAATTTATTAAAGCTAAATCATCATGACCATTTCAGCATGTTCGAATCCACTACGGAATATAGGCCTCACCCATAGACCGCCGCGAAGCACGATCTCGCTACCTGCATCCATCGACGTCCCGCACACTTGCACAAGTCGTCACTGCATTTACTGGGGGGTCGTCCTTTAATACCGACACAATTCAGAGGTTTAGTAAGCTGAAGTATGAAGGAATGGGCCCACCATACCTCGAAGAATCGATACATCTTAATAAATCGTAAATATTAAGGTAGTAATGGCTAAAGTCAAGTCTGTACGATGTTTCACAGTGCGTTCCATATAGAACATGTTTATATTATTTCATACATAAAAATTTAAAACAAGTTTAAATAAAGAAGAAGAAAGGTTTTTATATACTTATACAATAATAACTACAAATTCTTACGGACTTTATTTATGTTAACTTTATAACTTTTTTTCAATATTCAATAATGGATTTTAGTAATTTCAGTGTGCTAGCTTTACATAAACATCCACAATATTTGAAACAATGCTGTGAAATGATAAATGAAGAATGGCCGCGTAGCGAAACTGCTAGAATGATGTCATTGCAAGCATCCTGCGATTTATTGCCTACAAGTTTAATTCTTGTTAATGACGACAAAATTTTGTTAGGGCACTGCAAACTAAGTCGGATTCCCAGTATACCCAAAAGTTGTTTCATGGAAACTGTAGTTATAGCAAAATCAATGCGTGGAAAAAAACTTGGGACGTTTCTGATGACCGAAGTTGAGAAATATTGCAGAGATATATTGCAATTAGATATGGTTCACTTATCTACAAAAGGACAGGAAATGTTTTACATGAAATTAGGATATACTGTTTGTAAACCAATATCAATTTATGGAACCTGTGTACCCAACTACATATCGCCAAACAGAGGTAGTGAGAATGTGACCATCCAAAATTTTTATAATACTGAAAACAAGGTTTCAGCACCACCGCCGCCCCCACCGATGCCGACGTTTGATAGTATTCCTACAGATAGCTCTTTAAAGAGTAAAAAGACTTTTATGTTAAAATATTTGAAATAAAATGAAAAATAATAACAACATTAAAAAGTGTATGTTAACATAACAAAACAAATCAAATCTCATTTAGAAAGCACTGTTGCAATAACCTGTAAACTGATGTTGTTTTACTAATTTAGGCGTTTTTTTAGGCGTACAATCTGTGTGCCGATCGACGCTAGACTAATAATAATAAATATAACAAAATTAACATTGGGTACCATCTGAAAACCAAAGCGATATTTCGTCAATGCCAAGACATGCTCTACAAGGAAAGCCTTTCTAAAGTTCACTATTACAAGGTATTATAGTCTAACCGTAGATTGTTGTTCATCAAACATTGCGTCAACTTATTTCTGAAACGCAGGTTTCTTTACGACACTTTTACTTATAACGTTTGGTAAATTAATTTTTAACTAAAAAATGTGCCCATAAGAAATACTACGGCTCATATTTGCCTCTACTGGTATTTATTGCTATTTATTTCAATGACAAAGAACAACCGATTCAGTTGAATAAAGCTACTCATGTTTTTTTTAATTTTGATACAATTTTTACCCTACTGCCTCGAAGCCAAAATAGAAAGATTATGTGTTTGACCAGTATGTAGGTTGGTCCATCAATATGGTCTCCCGTAACTTCATTGTGCAAGCGTAACTGTGTTTATTAACATTTTTTGTGTTAAATTGTTTTCTTACTTTTAAGTTACTATCAGTCATTAAGTGATTGCATACCGTAAATCAGGTTTTTTAATTATTATATTACCTATGCGTAATTATTTTTCTTGTGTTTTGATAAATGCCATTAATTTGTACCTATTAATAATAGTAGAGACCTTATTTGGTTTCCATTTTTTTTAATATTTATGAGTTTCTTCTTGTAGTTGCAAGAATTGAATAAAATGTTCAAATAGAATTAATTGTTTTATTTTTAAAACTTCGCCTTTTCCACATATTCCATGGCGCTTTTTTTTATTTTTTCAATTTGTTCTTGATCACCGATTTTCTCCTCCACTTCTATCCATTTCTTATAAAGCACTTTCATTTTTCTCGCTGGCATCTTCTGCGAGGTCATTCTATCCATTACTTGTCTGAAACACAGAAACACAGTTCACCAGATAATAAGTGAAAACCGCCGCCCATGGACATGTAAAACACACAAGGGCTTACAAATGAGTTGGCCTTTTACAAATTTTTAACAAAGCGGGCCTCGGTCACTTCAATCACTATAGAAGGCCCCCAGCTAAATCGCACTTTTAGAATCAAAGAGACCTTATTAAGATTGTCAAGAAAATATAGTAGACTACCTTTACCTAAAACTACCTTTTTCGACTCTTATTTAAACACGGGCCAATTTTAAATAGCTCTATAACCCATACTGTTCGGAGTTACGCAACCGAACAGCGACATTGTCACTTTGTGCATCGTAGGCACATTACACTAACGTACATTTGTACGTTTGATGCCTAATTTGAAGCAGTACGCGACTCGCCACCGTCTAACCATAACCATTCCATTTATTTATACCGCGTATTCTTTTTACCAGTTTATACCATTCACCATTTATACCATAATAAACCATTTACCAGAATATTTATAAACTCTCTTCCTGTACAACCTTCTTCATGGTCCTTCGAGCTAGGCCTTCGGTTCGCGAGTGACTAAACCATCAGTTTTTCGGGAATTCGGAGACCTAACAAACTAGTGACTTTACCAGTGACCATACCAGTGAGCAGTGTGAAGAGTAATTATACCAGTAAGCTGTATCGTAAGGAGATAACCAGGTCAGATCCAACCATTGTTATAAATTTTTATTTAGTACATCGTTGTTACCAATATGGAAAATTAGTTTCTTAACCAAACGGAGCTTAACGAAGCATTGACCAAACTTTTGTCAAATTTTAAAAAAGAAGGCAGCGATAGGAAGACAGTAGACAGTTGTCAACGTCGATTAAACTTATTAGAAACATATTGGAAAGATTACATACGTAATCATGAATATATATGTAACCTAGGCAAATTTGACCAATTTTCGAATTGTTTTGAAACGGCACAGGAGATTTATCTGACTACCAAATTTGAACCAGAAATACCAGACCATCAAAAAAGAAGCGGTAAGCCAATTCTACCAGGGGATGAACCAGGTACTTCAGGCAGTAAGGAGGAGGCGCGAAACCAGAGAAATACTTCATCATCGGGGGGTTATAGTAAGATTGATGAGATGATCAGAAAACAGATTATTAATTTTAAAGCTTTTATGCGAACAGTAGGTACCATCAATATAGAGCAAATGCAAAATAAATGGGAATTTGAACATGACCTAAAATGCCTTCAAGGTCGTTGGTCTATTGTCGATAAATTACATTGGGAGTTAGAATGTGAAAATAACGGAGAAAATCTATGGTATCAATCAGAATTTAATAATTACGAAAAAATTTTCAATGACCATTGTGCTTTGAAACCTTTGCTTTATAAGATTTTTACTGTTTTGTAAGTTCTTCTCACTTCACATTTTCATCTCGTAGTCGGGAGAATGTTCGGAGTTACGCAACCGAACCTTCACATACCTCGGTCTCGTTCATTGCGTTTGTTCAAGTGCACAAACCTTAATTTTGCGATTCCCAAAAATTTATATTTTTTAAATAGGTCTACAATTCTAAAGGTGCGTAATGTATCGTGTTCTATTACTTTGCAAAGGGAAACAATGTGTCACCTCAGGCGCTCCACGTCACCGCCCTTGAGAAGCAGGTCCGCGTAGACGGAACACACGTCCACCCGTTGGGGGTAGGCAGCCAGCACGTGCTCCAAAAGCGCCTCCGCCCTCTCGCCCGCCCCGCTCTCGCGCTCCAGTCGAGCGAAACGCACCAGCAGGGCAACATCTGCGAACAAACAGACAAGAAAATTAGGACCGGGACCTAGGAGCTGCTGCTGATTTTATACCTTAATAATTTTGTATACTTGTGCTTATTTAAAAATAAGATAACAATACAGCACAGTTTCTTGCGTGTAGTTTTTTTACGTTTAATAAGAGCTTAAAATAAGCCTATATTGAATAAACGAATTTCATATGTGACATATTAATAATGGATTGGTTCTCAAACTTACAGTCATCATCATCATCATCATCATATCAGCCGTAGGACGTCCACTGCTGAACATAGGCCTCCCCCATTGACTTCCACTTCGACCGGTCGTTAGCGGCCTGCATCCAACGCGTCCCTGCGATCTTGGCTAGGTCGTCCGTCCACCTTGTGGGAGGCCTTCCTACGCTGCGTTTGCCGTCACGTGGTCTCCACTCGAGAACCTTTTTGCCCCAACGGCCATCGGTTCTTCGAGCTATGTGCCCTGCCCACTGCCACTTCAGCCTGCTGACTCGCTCTGCTATGTCGGTAACTCTAGTTCTTCTACGGATCTCCTCATTTTTGATTCGATCTCGTAGAGAAACCCCAAGCATTACCCTTTCCATAGCGCGCTGTGCAACCGCGAGCTTCCTTATGAGGCCCATAGTGAGAGACCACGTCTCGGCACCGTAGGTCATCGCTGGTAGCACGCACTGGTTAAAGACTTTCGTCTTTAAGGACAGTGCGTGGACAAACTTACAGTGTGTAGAAGTAATTGTAATTGGCGTTATTACAGTGCCTCAATTTCGGTGCGCCAGTGATATATCTACTAATTAGATAATTTCCGTATCTACGGACCAATTCAAGCGTGACTTACGTTCTTTCTTGTCCAAAGCGGTGAGGCCCTTCTGCATCACCTGTCTCGCTTTCTCCGCAAGGCCCAATTTAAAGCACGCACCGCCGCAGGCCTCGTACATCTCCCGCTGCCGCCTGTACTTCCGCAGCATCAGCTCCACCAGCCCCGCCAGCTCTTGCGACTTGCCCGTCTCGACGTAAATGTCCAACAGTTTCGAGTGGATCTGGTACTTTTCGTTCATTTGCAGCGCATCCTCCAGGGTCTTCTGCTGCGATTCCTGAAATTTTCAACAATAATTTGTTAGCAATCTTACAGAGAGGACTTTTAGACGAACTAGTGTTAACTTATCATGTTTGCATCAGTTAGCTAGTCACCTGCCAGACTATAATTATGATATTAAATATGATTAATTGTATTGAACAATAGTATCTTGCTATACTGCTGCAAGTTACTATAGTTTATTCAATTCCTGGGGTCAGCAGGGGTCTTTCTTATATAACAGATCATATAGATATTGACTGCAAAGGTTGGCAACGTTTAGTGTGGACCCCAGTGGCAGGCTATCCTCATGTAAAATATGATCCATATTTATTATATATTTTGTCAGCTTTATGATTTATTTATTATTTATTTTTTCTAGAGACAGGTTCACTGTCAACTAACCCAATTGGGTTCGCCATTAAAGTAACAGCCAATAAACGCCACACACGTACATTTCGGTCCATAATTATATTCATAATGTATGTATAATTGTTTTAAAATTATTAGAACACGTTTAAGCGTAACCGTATTAATAAAAAAGATAACTTGGGTTGAAATAAAACAATATTCGATTTGCTTTTTTTTAGTGCTAAATTGCACTCAAGACGTTAACTTTACCTAAGTGGTGCGAGGTTCACTGGCGTTGGTTGACACTGAACAATAAAAAAAGTCGAAAAGAAAATTCAGGTCCCGGCGAATTGGAAACGCAGTAGGCTACTGCCATTAGTATGGGCGGGACCAACCTTAGTGCCGAAACGGTGTTCCAGGTTCAGCAAGGCTAGCCATACGTTCATTTTCTCCTGCTCCTCTCGGAACGAGATGGTCTTCAGAGCGCGCTGTCCCACCGCACGCGCCCTCTCTATTTCCGTTGCCTGAAACATATCCACTTATCACATATCTAAGTCGAATTAATTGCAAGTAAAGTGAAAAAGAAACTGGGATATAGGCTACTTATTTCTTTAATTTATTGGGACATAAAACGGTTACACAATATATAATTCTTTGAATAAATCAACACCAATGTCCGCTAAATAATATTAAGTGAAATAAAATAAAAAGAGTAAGTAAGTTCCTAGCCTATTAATTTACTTTTTTTTTACATTGCCTCGATATCGATACGGCAGGGTCAGCCCCAGTCAAATTCGTGTAACAGCCGAAGCCATAGAGGCCCCACCATAGATCACCGGCTATCTCCTTAACCGGACAAAATGTTCACAAACAATGTTACATTGCCTCGACATCTATACGGCCGGGTCTACCCCAATCAGTAATGGGGATCGGCAATCACGTACTACAATTAGTAACTGTGGTAGGATTACGCAACGGTGTTCGCTGTTGCACGAATGACCGGCGTAAAGCGGTAGTGTTACTTCTGCGTTTCGTCTGGTGAGTGAGTTAGCCGGGACCCACATTATGAAACGGTAGTAACACTTCTGCAACTGGTGTTGTTAATATCCGTGGGAGACGTTTATCACTTAACATCAGGTGAACCGCCAGCGCGTTTGCCACTTTCTCAGATAGAAACAATCACCTGAAGGTGGAAGGCCATGTAGGCGATCCAGAGCTGGCTGCTGTTGGGATTCGCCAGTAGCGCCCTCTCGAAGTGGTCTGCGGAGTGGGGCGCCTCCGCCGACTCTGCCGCTCTCTTCTCCATAACCCTCACGCGCTCCTCTTCTTCCCGCGCTTTCGCCACCTTCTCCGCTGCCGTCAGCTTTTTCCGCTTCTTCTTCGGCTTCTCCGCTTCCTCCTGGATACAGTGAAATAGATAAGTAAATACATATTTCGGGTTCGTATTGTCACAAAGCGTTATGTAGTCCCGAACTAAGCAAAGCTTGTACTATGGGTACTAGATAACTGATAAAAATACTAAAGAGCACTTTTAGCAACAGTAACAGCCAATAAATTAAATCATTAAAAGCGAACGCACAGACAATGATTGAAAGGAGACTTTGGTGGGGATAGAAATAGAATGTAAATAGATCTTATATAGTGTTATACAGTTCAAATAATCGTTGTAAGATACGATCTTTGCAATCGTTTGTGTGTTGTAAAAGACATAACAATAGATGCGCAAAGGATTACTTAAATGGCGAAGAAAAAACAATTCAGATAAAATACGTTGAGATTTTCGTCGTCGTGACGTGTGTGTAATCAGCCGTTTAGCTCAGTGGTTAAAGCGTCTCGGCGCGATTCCAAGCGTGGGTTCGATTCCCGCAGCGGAGAAAAACTTTTCGTCAATTTTTTTTCTACAAATTTTAATGTTTCATCTTAAAAGACAGTGGTCAGATTAGCACTATATAAATTTTACGTGTCAGTTCTAAATTTAAAGTAGTATATGGCTACACATACCTCTTCGCTGCTGCTAGACTCTGATTCTGCTACAATAGGCTGAGGTTCTGCGGGAATAGACCAGAAGTCTTTCACACTCGGCACCTCTAAAACCGCCTCCAAGCTCTCAATTTTATTCCTTCGTGGCCTGTCTAAGCTCTTCGGTTTTTCTTGTATCGTGACAGCGTCCACTCTCTTACTCTCTTTCTCTTTCGCATCATTCCGTATTTTCTTCTGTTTCTTCTCTTTCTTCTTCTTGTAGTCCTTGACCTCGTCCTCGCCGATACCCTTCAGTTTCTCTTGCGCCGTTTTCAAGACCTCCATAAGCTTCTGCATGCGCTGCGCCAACACCAATCTCTCGGTGTGCATCGCGGTGTGGAACTTTTTATTTCTCGCATTCAGACCGCCGCCTTCTATGTCCGCTATTTTGTTCTCCACCCTCTCTACTCGCATCGCCTTCACGTTGATAGCTCTTAAGAGGGCCACGATTCTTTTCTTGCACGATTTCGCGTCCGTGCAGTCGGACAGGTCTATCAGGCCCAGGTCTTGCGGTGTCAACACTTGATCGCTGTCGTCCTGTATATCCGTTTCTATAGCGTCGCTTTCGTCTGACGCCTTGTTGTCTACTAGCGATGTTTCCAACGCTTCCTTCAATTTTCTCTTTTTTTCCTGTTTAACTCTTGTAGCCTCTGAATCGCTTTCCGAATCTTTTCTCTTTTTCTTTCGTTTACTTGTTTCATCATTCGCATCATCGAAACCATTTTCTGATGTCATATCCTTTGTTTGTTTTTCGAGATCTTTACTTTTCTTCTTTTGCTTATTTTCATCAGCACCATGGCCAACTTCTTTTAATTCATCATTGTCTAAATTACTATTTCTGTCTGATTTTGAACTTTTCGCTTTTTCTTTCTTTTTCTTTAACTTTCTACTTTTATTTTCATTATCATCAGTATTGTCATTTTGTTCACTTTCCTCTTCATTTGGTTTACAGTCTTCTTCCATATCAACACCTTCATTCACTTCTGTGGTGTCATTTTGGTCCCTTTTCTTCTTCTTTTGTTTCTTTTTCAAGTCGCCAGGTTCTGCACTCATTTCTACAATTTTCTGTTTTTTTCGAGGCATAGAAGTATCCTCTGTCTCTATTCCTCTTTTGTGGGATTTCGTCATCTTTTTCTGCAAGATTTTTTGAAAATAAAGTAGCTTAATACTTATTGATCGCAAAAATTTAAGAAAAATAATATAAGTATCTTACCGTAGGATCGAATGCTGGAGTGATAAGACTGCCAGACATCTTTTTATTACTCGCGTCCACTCTTAAAATTGTACAGTTTACCTGAAAAATATCACAATAATCTCATTATATTTTAATTATAAGTGACGTACCTTTACTCAAGATTCCTGGTAACAAACGGAAATTGTAATAGGCATTATCAATGATGTTGAATAGATGAAACAATTCCATACATCGCGGCGTTTAAAAATTGTTCCGCTTTACATTTACAGCGTGTCGTTACCATCGCGACAATAAATGAACACACATATAGGGGATAACTTTTTAAAGTTGTATTAAACATTTAAATTCTTTAAACATCAATATTGACAGAGTTATTAAATTTTCCAAAACAAAGAATTTTAGAACACCCTTACGCATAGAACTGTAACGTAAAGTTCATTTGTAAAGGTCACGAAGCTTATGAATGGGTTGAATGAATTTAAAAGAGACAAAACATACTGTTAGAAGGAGAGGCTTGTAATGCGACGCTGTGGCGCGAGTTGTATAGGATGTTACAAATTTAGTTTCTTTTTTACTTAATTAGTTTGTTTGAAAAATATTTTTTTTTAATTATGGATTTTGTTTAACGTTAATATTTTTTTATGATTATTGGCAAGTAGCGTTAGACGTGTGTTCATTTATTGTCGCGATGGTAACGACACGCTGTATATGACTGAATGTGATAGATGGAAAGAGTAGTCCATAGGATGGCAATATACAGGGAACTAGTGTCACATATACCTCTTGCTTGTATATAATATCATTGGGTATCACTAATAAACACCATAATCATAACTTCGGTGAGATATACCATTGAAAATGGTTTGGATTTACAAGATGTATAATTGTCTCTATGACTCCGCTTATTACACTTATGAGTAACACGCATTTTACATTAGAACAATGTTAGAATAATGATATATATCAACAGTACGAAAAGGTACGGAGTGGCAGTCTATAGGGGAGGCCTTTGTTGGGCAGTGGACTCGAACAGGCTGAAATGATGATGATGATGATGGAGGGGGGAGGGGGGGCACTCACGATCTGGCCGGGGTGGAAGAGGTCCGCGACGGACTCGGCGGGGGGAGGGGGCGAGGCGATGTGGTGGCGCGCCACCAGCGCCACCACCCCGCCGAAGAACCCCACCAGCAGGTAGTCGCGCACATGCTGCGGGAAAACTCTCATCTTAGCCAGAACTCTATTGTCAATTAGAAGAAGAAGAAACGTTTATTCACGGTCTAAGCACAATCTCTCTCTCTTTTCTTGCTTGGTCTCTTAATGCTGAGGATTGTGACCACATGATGTAAGCACAATGAGTACAGACAAAACTTAAAAAATAATTTTCTCGAACCCACATCTTCCCGTTCGCTGACCAGACGTTTTAACCGCCAACAGCTAAACGGCCGATTGCCGAAAATGAACGTTCTTTTAAGATCGTCGCTTCGCATCTATCGTTATATCCTTTACAACACACCAACAATTTCCGTATACCGTTTCTACAAATTTTAACGTTTCATCTCAAGCGCAGAGATTAGAGCAATATACAAAAAAAAATGTAAAAATCAAACAAAGGCTTCGCAATGCCACCGAGCCGGCTCTCTAAGTGTACTTTACACTAAATGCCACAAGTACTTTGTGTACTTTACACTTAAAAATCAAGGGGCCAGTCGGCTCCACCTCACCACTACGACGCCGGTGTACACCTTCCCGAGTTGGGCGTCCTCGTAGCTCTGGAGCACCTCCAGGTCCGGCGCCAGCAAGCTGGGCTTCAGGGTCAGGGCCAACGAGGGCTTCTCCCGGTCCAGGCTCAGCACGCGCGCCTTTACTTGTTGACCCACCTGAGTGACAATGACATTCATTATTATTTTTTTTTTATGCGAAAGGTTGCCAAACGAGCAGACGGGTCACCTGATGTTAAGTGAATACCGCCGGCCATGGACATCTGCCACACCCGATGGTTACAGATGTGTTGACAACCTTTTGAAAAACAGGCTCCGGCTACCTCACTCCCCAGACGAAACCCGAAAGTATTTGTCATACTTCCACTTTACGCCGGTCTTCTGTGAGGTCGTGGTACTTACCCGGACGGGCCTGCCCATTCGTGCAACAGCCGCGGCTGCTGCGTGGCCCTACCACCGTTACCAAAAGCTATTTCAGAAACTACACCAAAAACATGCTCAAGGTATCATGCAATTCTTGTATATATATACAATCGGAATCTCGGCAACGGCTCCAACGATTTTCATGAAATTTAGTATGTGCGTAGATTCGGGGGCGAAAAATCGATCTAGCTAGGTTTCATTTTTAGAAATCCCTGTTTTCAGGGAATGAAAAATATTCGAATATGACGGTAAATTTCGCCGCAAAAGAAAATGTTATAATAGCTCGGTCGGTAATCGGGCGGCCCCAAAAACAGACGGCCGCGGTTCGTATCACGATCATTTACACTTTTTTTTCTATACTTACCAGATAATTTTTTTTACTTTTTTTCTATACTTACCAGATAATTTTCTTTATTTTTTATTTTTTTTATTTCCAAAATACATTATTTACCCAAAAAAAAAACCAAGCAAAGCTCGGTCCTCCAGGTACTTTTATTTAAATTAAGGTTGTGGATATTAACAAAGAGGGAAGTCTTAAGAGGCTACATAGATTAGTTGAAATGTTAGACTCTCAGCTTTAATTAAAGTACAATTAACAAACCAGCCATGTTTGCATATAACGCTTAAACTGTTTGATAAGGAAATAAGAATATACCTTGAACTTCTTCGGCAACATAGACGTGCTAGCTTTCTTAGGATCCACGTACAGTCCAGCATCAGACATGTGGGTCTTCGGGACGTAACCTGTGAACATTGGACATGTTGCAAAAGCATTATTACACGTTAAACGATTTTTTAGATCATATGAAACTGCATAATAAATTGCTGAACCATACAACTTCCATCTATGGTGAAACCTGAGATCAAACAAGTGAATATATAGTCTCAATCGCTGGGACTATTGAAATTATGACTAAGCCACTGTTAGTAGGCGTGATAGCTCAGTGATCTAGTGTTTGTAATTCATTTTACTCAAGCGTCCTGAGTTCAAATCTGTCGGTGGTGGATGCCGGTACCAATGAAAATGTCTATGTAATTTTATGTGCTTATGTATCAAACGCTCCACGCTGTGAAACATCGCGCTATAATAATATATTATAAATTAAAAAAGTAACAATATAAATCTCCCACAGCTGGGCCTCTCCCTCCCTACAGCGGGTATTAGGGCGTAGTCCACCACGCGGCTCCAATACGGATTGGAATATTTACATATCTTCGAAATATTTTTATGTTATATTCGAAAATAGGCAGGTTCCCTCCCTCTCGATGTTTCCAGTGGTGAACGCTGAGAGTCAGCACATAAAATTAACAACTTCATTAGTACCGACAGCCTTTGCCCAGCAGTGGAACCAATGTAGGCCTTACATGTTTATGCTTAGCTTATGATGATATGGGCAGGCTCGTTCAGGGAATTACCAAAAAGCCATAGAAGACCGGCGTGAAGTGGAAATATATATTTTTGCGTTTTGTATGGTGTGTGAAATAACCGGAGATCATTTTTTAAAGATTGATAAGACGCATCTTCAATCTCTCCACATAACGACCACAGATACTCTTGCTGAGAACGATGCATGCTCCCGTTACCAACGAGGGATGCTCTCACTGCTATTAGGGCATGCTTTCACTGCTATTGGGGCATGCTCTCGCTGCTACCAAGGTATGCTCCCACTGCCATTGGGGCATGCTCTAGCTGCTAACAAGGTATGCTATCACTGCCATTGGGGCATGCTCCCGCTGCCACGGCTACTTCGCGAGCAGGGAAGGCCGTCCTCACCCGAGAGGCGGCCGACGGCGAGGTGCAGCCGCTCCCCGTGCACGGCCGCCACGCTGGCGGAGACCAGCTCGCCCACGGCCAGGTCCGCGCACGAGAAGTACCGCTCCCGCAGCACCGACTCCTCGTCGCTCACCGTGTACGTCTGCTCGGACAGGTTGTAGAACAGCACGCGCACGCTGCGACTGCTGCCTGGAGCACAGTTCAAATATCTTTTGTTCAATATAGTAGCATTACTTACTCATTCATTGTCAATATACTGCTACGGCTTCGGAAAAAAAAAAAAGCGAAAGAAACATTATCTACTAAGTTTCATATGTCCCCCATTGTGATTGGACCATGAATAAACGTTTCTTCTTCTTCTTCTATTTTTAAGTCGTTGCACGAATGGAATGGATCATTAAAGAAAAACGGCGTGAAGTGGAAGTTATTATGCTTTCGCGTTTCGTCTGGTGACTCGTAACCGGGGCGCAATTTTTTAAGCGAGCCCCTCAGGTGCCATGGGTGGCGTATCCACTTAACATCGAGTGGACCACTTACTCGCTTGGCAATTTTTTCACATTAATTCATTAATGGGACAACTTATTTGTGGTCCTTCGAGCAGGATGCTCAGTTCGGTTGCGTAAATGCGACTCACCGATGGGGTACGATTTGGCGACGACATCTTCGTCCGTGAGCTCTTCATCCACCTCGATGCGGCGCAGACTGAGCGTCCCCACGCTACCCTCGCCGAGCTTAAAGATCACCGATCTGGCGATGATCTTTATTACCTGGAATCGGAGCCCAATCTTGAAGACCTGCTGCCGAACTACTCCACAATATCTATTTTTAATTTTTTTTATGCCATTCTCAGCACTTCTATGAAACTTGCCCGTTACTAAATTGATCCTTGAATTGAACCTTAATTTAAATGATCAATTTTTCTTTTTTTTCTTTATTACGTAATATTTTCAAAGCTTGCCACCATAATATATAATGTTTTATAAATGTATTTTATAAATGGCATAATTATCCGAACTGTAATTATTAACGTTAGGTTTTGAAATTGCCTAGAAATGTATGCTGTTGGTGCATATTTTTAAAAAAATAAACTTAGTAAACTTTGTAGGCGGGTTTCGACAATTTATCGACAAATTTTAAACCTCACAATACGCAAAACTCTATGGTTAAAAAAATGTACAACTTCATTTATAATATTTATAATTTTTCCGTATTGTGAAAAGTTATCTTTCACGTGCAATGGTGACGCCATGATAAAAGATAACTTTACTTACTATCAATCATAAATTATGAAAGTCAATGTCAATCCCAAATTAACCAAGAAATACTTACTCGATTAAAATCAAAATTAAAATCAAAAATATATTTATTCACATAGACGCTTGCGCTTTCTTATGATATGTCAAAATATTACATAAAAATTAATACGTTCGTAAGTTACCACCGATTCGGAAAGCAGTATCTGTTGAAAAGAAACCGCCAAGAAACTCAACAGTTGCTCTTTTTTAAAAGGATTAGTTTAGGATATAATGGAACAGGTATGTCTTATTTTAGTCTACGTGAGTATCAACAGTATTAACCCCACACATTGGCGTCGTCGAGATATTCCGCAATGGTATAATACGCTTTGGCCATAAGTTCCACTTTTAATTTTGCGTTTAAATTGATCAAGCGGCAGACTTAATATCGACTGTGGGATTTTATTATGAATGCACACACTTTGCCCCATGAACTACCTTATTCTTCTGACGATAAGGCATCAATTCGTACGACGCGTCGCTTTCGCTATTTATCGAAGCAAATCATCATATACCTGAGCCTCCTCGATGATGGCGCCCTCCTTGAACCTCTGCTCGACCTCGAGGTCAGGGTAGGTGGTTTCGAATATGTTCCTCATGGTGAGGAACGGCGTGTGTCTGGTCGGCATCACGTACAGCACCCGGGCGCGGAGCTGTCGATAAAACATACGCCTGATGATCTTGGCGCAAAGTTACTGACGGCCGGTTTCTATATTCTATCTGTAGATTTGGTTACTGGAGGTTGAATTTTGCCGTAAACATTATGGAGCTGATGTCAAAAACCTGTCGCTTGTAACCAAATCTATTCTTTTTTTTTAAAACATTGTCTTTTCTTTAGGATAACATTATCCTGTGTTGTAAGGACGTTTTAGAAACATAAATTTTACGCGGACAAACACCCAGATGCGAAACAACTATCTGTGGGTCACACATATAGTTGTCTCGTGTGGGGATCGAACCCACGTCCCCCGACGCCGAAGCCAATGCTTTAGCAACTGCGCCACGAAGTCATCTGTAGATAGATAGAGTATTGAAAACGACCGTACATGTATTGTATAAGAGACAAGCGTAATCAATAAGGTGGTATAAGGTTGTCGGTCGTTTAATGTATTCCCGGTATCGGGGTGATATGCTAATTATATGGGTAATTATTAACCTTCATAATATATAATTATTATAAAAAATTATGAGGGTAAGTATATTTAACTTCACGACAAGGCGCCGGTTCAGAAAAGACGCATTGCCAAGAAATCAATCATCCACCCACCATACTATCCAGATCTAATCCGTAATATTCCCCAACCTCAAGAATGATCTTTTCGTTAAGCATTTTACCGACGATGAAGAGTTGAAGGCGGCCATCGATAATTTACAGGGTATTGATAAGTTACTTTCCCGCCCAAATAAGTGTATTTCACTTTAGGGCCATGCAACAGTCTTCTCTGTTGCACCAATGGGAAGGTCCATCCGGGTAAGCGTTATACTGCGTTTCGTCTGGTGAGTGATGTAGCAAGGGGGCTTGCGAAGTTCTAACATAGAAAAAAGCTAGACCACTCCGTTTAAGTGACTCATAGCTACCCTTTGGCCGAGTTTGGGCTTCTTTCCCCTGACTTTGTCCACGTGGTGCCGCTGCACGTAGGCCGTGGTGTCTTCGAACACGTGACCCTCGATGCCATTGTCGAGCGACTGCGGAAGAAGGAACGATTTAGGAAAACCTAATTCGCATTTCGTCTAATAGCCAAATGAGCTCATATTAGGAAATGAAACAAATTTTACGGATTTTGTCGTGAACAATCGAAGTTTCATACAACTTACTACCCACAACAACATAATTTGGATTACGAATTACGAAGTTATGCGATGTAATACTTAAAAGGTTTCGTATTGATTTATCTTTATCTTTTATCAAAAGGTGTAATCAAAAAAATCTGTAACATACTGGGCTATATTACGAATATCGACATGACAGATTTCTTCCCTTGCTGTTTTATCAAGCCAATGAAGTTTAAATTAGTCCAAGGATCGAAACAATTGTACTCAACAGTAAATTACTGATCCTTATTGGTAGTTAGTTTCTATAAATTTTAATTTTAATTCTAAGTGAGAGTTTACTGTGTTTCAAAATAAATCTAAGGATTCTTCATGCCAATAATAATTTATAAGCTTCTTGTACCTTATCAACTGTGAATTCCAGAGCGGTTGCCGGCAGCAGATTGCTAGTGGGATATCTCTGCACTGCCCTCTGCAAGGCTTCCAGCTCATTGCTCAGTGTCACCAAACTGTTGTCCGATTCCAATGACTTCACACAACACCATGTCAATGCACCAGTATCTGAAATTAGAAAGAAAATTGAGATTGATACATTTGGGGGTGAAATGAAAACATAGCTAGCACTATCATATATTTGCTGTAAAAATTTATTATATTAAATGATAGTAGTTTACAAATTGTATTGCGTTTTAATTTTGATTTTTAATTCCCGATGTATTTTATTCCGGTACTGCTATTACGTCAAGAGTACTTTGGTAAGCTAAAAGTGTTATATTGAGGGGTTTAGTTATTACATTACCCTTTCCCTTTTTATGGTCACGGGACAGTAATTAAAACGCGATAAAATCCGTAAACTAGTTTCATTTAATATGTATAATATTCGCGTAAAATAAAATCAAAATCGCAATATTTAAATAGGTAAAACTACCTTATGGAAAGATGACAAGCTTTAAATGTCAGGCAGTAGACAAGGTTGATGGTGATTAATGTAGAGTAAGAAATAAAATGCTACTGTTGGTTTAAACATTTAAGAAATTCCTATTGTTAGTTCGCTATATAACACAATAAATTCAAAGACAAAGTCAGTCTACCTAAGAGTATTTCAGGGTTTGTGGCGGCTTTGGGTAGAAAGGCTCTGGTATTGGAGATACCAATGTCCATTACATAGCCGTGGTCTTCCACTGACGATACAGCTGCTTGTAGGAGTGCCCCTTGAAATAGAAAGAATGTATTCAGGTTAAATTTTACAATTTATTGCAATATTATACAAACAAACATAGTAAATACAAAAGTCTGAATGAGATGTAGAATGGACAGCTAGATTCCATGGGTACATTTGTTCAGAAAAATTTAATATTTAATGCAGATAAAACAGAAAGGTTAGTGAAAATTAACAAAATTACATTTGATAACATTTTGGTATAGTTTTGTGTCATTTTAAAAGGGAATTGAAATTTGTAAGGTTTAACAAAGAAAGAATTGGAAACAAAAGCATTACAGAGAATTGCATGGTTTTTCAAAAAACTGTAAAACAGTTCAAATTCAAAATATCTTTATTCAAATAAACGCTTGTGCATTCTTATGAATTGTTGAATTTTATATAAAAAATTACATATATTGGTTTGTTACGTACCACAGTTTGACAGACCGGCAAGAAGTGGAAGTGTTACACTTCTGCAATTCGTCTGGTGAGTGAGGACCCACGTTATTTAAAAGTAGCAACTCATCTGATTACCTATGGGTGTTGCAAATGTCAATAGGTAGTGGTTATCACTTAAAATCAGGTGAACCGCCTGCTCATCTTCCACTTTGTCACATAACCATAATAATTAAAAAAATAGACACTATTTCAATTTAATATTAGCATATTATTTTCAAAATAGTAATACCTTTATGTAGTTCAGATTGGGGACGACCACTATTTACATGCTGTGGCATCATTGACAACATCAGGTAATTATCCTTGACTTCAAGTATCCTCACCGCTACATATTGGCCTGGACGGAACATCTTTTTCAAATCCAGGACTTCCTCTATCTATTGATGACCACATATGGCATAAACTACTTATTCAATTAAAGTATTAAATCTGCATTAAAAATGTACAATCATATAGAACAATACCTGATCATTGACATATGATTCGAGTGTTTTGTTATATGGCTCACTAACATAGCAAGCCATCACTGTGCCTAGAAGTCTGCATGGTAATGAAATGTTGATTTTTGTCTCTAAGACTTGCCTCACTCTACCTAACAATATTTGACCTTCTTTCACTATCTGAAAAAATAAAAATTAATTTAATGAAATTACATAGCATATTTACTTCTAAATAATAACAAAAAGAACAAGACCGCAGAGTTTCTTGCCAGTTCTTCTCTGTGCAGGTTTAATTTAGTGAACCGGTGGTAGATTTTTTGTTGACGTTCAATAAGAGCTTAAGTTAGGCCTATATTGAATAAATATACTTTGGCTTTGACTTCACTACTGTTTTGATGGGTTAACATGTCACAATTAAATATATTTAAATTTCAAACGAATTTTCTTAGTCTTGAGATGTCAATCTCATATTATTAAGATTTTCATATTTATACAAATATAGCCGGTTGTTCCCAAGGCTTAAAAGATATTACCTTATAGTTTAAGGACATAGCACAATTTTTCGAAGAAACATCCTCTTCAGCCACAATTTCATCTGACAAATATCCATCGTCACCTTCTAATTTCTTCTTCGGTTTTTGCTTTTTTCTCTCTCCTTTCTCAGCTGCTCCTAAAAACTGTAAAGGCCAATAAATAAATTGTTTATGTTTAAAATATATAACCAAATTATCCACAAATCTTACATTTCCGCTCGGTTTAAAATATGTAACTGTTGGTTTTTTTCCACCCCGAGGGAAGTAATCTTCTGTATCGCCCATTTTCAATCAATTTCAATGTATGACTTTTATAACAAGGAATTAAAGCATGACAATTTGAGGTTATAATATGTTCAATAGTTTCCTGTGTGTACTTCGATTGAAGGTTGATTTGAAGGGATTTGACCGGTGACGAATTTGACGTACATTGTGACATGTTTGTAACGATGTATTACCAATTCTTAAAAATATTTGTCCCTAAATTTTAAGTCAAAAACCTTGTAATTAAAAAATAATAAACAGTACAAAGATTTAATTATTGAAATTATTAAAAAAATGTTTAATTTTATCATATGATTTATTAAGACGACCAATATTTTTGCCATAATTCCAAAATTGTCATTCGTAATCAATAATAAAAAAAATAATTACTATGACATATTGTTTAAAGCTCTACTTACATTGGTCCAGGACAGTAACGAGTAGCGAGTACAAGTACAGTGACCAGTAGCGGGCACCGGAACAGTGGCTGTTTGCACTGCAGCAAATAAAGTGGCATTTCTATATCGAAATGGACGAGTAATCTGTGCAATATTGTTTTACCTTTTGCCGGCCACTGTACTAATTACTCTAATAAAGTGACGAGTCAAATGCGCTGCTGTAGTGCACCAAAAATTGCAGGTCAACAAATAAATATATAATTTATTTGTTGACCTGCAATTTTTGGTGCATTTAATACCATTATAGTTATTGTTAAACGCGATAAAATCCGTAAAGTAGTTTCATTTAATACCATTTAATATTTCATATTTCTTAATCAATGAAAATGACAAGCAAATATATATGAAGTCAAAAAATTCCTTCAAATATCACGCCCCTAAAAAAAACCAATGCGCTTGTTTACCCCATAAATTTGGGGGGAAACCAGCGCATTGGCAGCATTGGTGTCTCACTAACTGTCAAACTAACATGCAGTTCTAAACATTCACTTAGAGTTGTCATCGGCAACCGAATCGATAGGATTAAATCGATTTTTTAAGTGATTTATAAATATCTTGGAAGTGAAATGACGACCCAAACGTAGTCGGTAGTGTACCTGCCTTTTGCGCCAGAGGCTGTGGGTTCGAACCCCACAGCTGGAAAAATATTGTGTGATGACCATAGTATTTTTCTACTGTCTGGGTGTTTATATATGTATAATGTGTATTTATTTACAAAATAAAAATATGTTTAAGTGTGTCTATCAGTTTTCTAGTACCCGTAGTACAAGCGTTGCTTAATTTGGGACTAGTGAAGGTTGTATAAAAAGAATGTGTCCTAAAATATTTATTTATTTTATTGATTTAAATGTTATGTAATCCAAAACAATATTGATAAGCAGTCATATTGATCTATGGGCTTAATAAATATATATATATATATATATATATATATATATATATATATATATATATATATATATATATTGTATAATAATATATAAAATGATTATAATAATATCATTACTAATAATATAAATGCGAAAGTTTGTATGTATGGATTTCACGCAAATAGTACTGAGTGGATTTTAATGAAACTTTACAATAACATAGCTTATACATCAGAATAGGACTACGTAGACGTAGTCGCGGGCATTAGCTAGTATATTGTGTGTTACAAAAATTGTTTTTATATAATATCTTGTATTTTCTGGAACTTATATGATGTGTAATGCCTGGAACTTAAATGATTATTATTTTTTTAAGTCACATAAATTCATATTGCAATTTTATTTATTGCACCTATTACGATTTCTCCTTACGCCTCGGGTTGACTGGTAGAGAATACCAATAGGCATTATGTTCGCCCTTTTTAACCCTCTTTGAGGTGTTTTCAATAAAGAATAAATAAATTAATATATATACACATAGATAGAAGTAAGTTGCCACAACCAAATGTGCATGCAAAGTGAAAAATCGATTGCCCTTGTTAATTAGTCGATTAAATTGCCACACCCAAAAGTGCAACCAAAGTGAAAAATTGATTGATTTTGTCGATTAGTCGATTATTCAAATTTCATATATACTACTGACAAAGGATGAAACAGCGAATAAGAACGAACGAATGGATACAAGAACAACTTGTGAAACACAGCTGTTTTTCTATTCGCCATCTCTTTTCTTCATGTATTTTCTTAGGAGCGAAATGAGACAACAGAAATCGATTGTATTTTTACTCATCATTACATCGTTGTGTATTTATACACAACAATCACATGGTACGTGCGTGCATTGTATAGACGGCGCTCGCGGAAATTGTTTCGTAATTAAAATAATGTTCATTTAATTATCATATCGGATTCCTTAGTGCAAAGTGATTTCAAATATTAAAGAATTTGAGCAGATTTAATTCTCATATTTAATTTTATTAAAGTATACCCTAGAGCTTCATACATATTTGGTAAGCTTGACATTATTTTGATGTAGAAATAGTAGTAAAATAATTATTTAGAACATTACGCTATTTTATGCTCATTCAACTTCGCTCTCTATTATGTTTTGGGTTGAAAATGAGTAGGTTTTGTTTGATTTTCTCAGAAATGAAGAAAATCGTGATTTTTGGATCTACCGGCATGACCGGCCTTTGCGCAGTTGAAGCGGCCGTGAAAAGGGGTAAGTTTTAGTTTTTATTCAATGTATGATCATTTTATATTGTTTTTTACCTTTGTGTATTTTACTTTATTATATTCATATCATATAGTCACTGCATTATTCATTCATGACTTTCATTATTTTTGATATCTATTAAAATAATATGAAGCAGGTATCCAATGATATTTTTTGTTTTATTCTATAGTAATTATGGCGCATAAATTTTGATATGTAATTATGTGGTTGTCACATATTAAAAAACATATTTTTTTTTACACATTATTTACAATATTTCCTAATTATATTTTTAACATAAAATAAGCAACAATATTTTTTTCGGGCGCATTGCAACAAAGTTACCTGTCTTTTTTAGCTGAAGGTTCAAGTGTAACTTTTAAAACAAAACAAGCTTTTTTATTACCCGCCACAACAATGAGATGAGGATATATGTACTTATTTCTGCCGAGACCTGGTCTCTGAATCAAATGAGATAATACATTGTCTTCACTAAGAGATTTTTATGCACACATTTATTTACTTCTTCATAAGTTATTGTTGATAACCTTGCTTTTCCCTTATTTTGATTCACAATAATTTGAAGTTTTTCTACAAAATTGAAAATATTATTAATATACTTAATTTTTTTAAATTGAAACAAATTTCTTAAAGGAAATATTAAAGTTTCCTTTATGAGATTTGATTCAATTTATATTTTGAATATTTAAATTTGCACATTTTCCAACAGAAAAAAAAAATCAACTGGTTGATAGATTTTTTTCTGTTGGATCCTAAGATGTACTTTTTGATTGATTTCATCCATAATGTAATTTGGTTACATTAATTATTGTGAATATTTTTTTAGAGTGTAAATTTTTAAAGTATTTTCTGACTCTATTTTGCCCAGTACACATGTTCAGACTAGAGACCATTAATTACCTATCTCTATCTGATTATAGGGCTTATGTTGTAGGTTTCTACAAAAGTATATTCCCCAATCCTCCCATGTTGTCTTAAACATATTTAGATTTGTGGTGTCATAAGTCATAAAATTGATTTGATTTATTCATGAAATTGCTATAAATATGTTAAAAAAATATTAAAACAAAAAAATCTATTGTCTTGTTAACGATTTTCTTTGATCTGTTGGCAAAGAAAAATTCGTTAAATACGGCATTCTTAAAAATATTCAATATATTCTCACAACCTTTCAACTTTTAATTTGATTTTTTCTTCATACTATGTATCAACAAGTTCTAGATTTACTTCGTCAGTACGTCCGTTCATAACATAATATTTTATCTATGTTTCAAATGAAATAAAAAAAACTTAAATTTTAAAACTGCGAAGCGCCAAATTGATGATATGTAAATGTTGCTTTGCATTGTATATTTATGGCAATAATTCATTTATTCTATATCTTTCATTGTCATCGGAGTTCATCGTCAGCAATGCACCCGTATTTAGTACACACTATTTATTTTCGTTAAGACGTGATTGCACTTTCAAAACTGTAATGTCAATTGTCATGGCCGTGGCGTCCATCGGTGCCGTAATAGTCAAAGATCAGAAATCGTAAATAAAATAAAATGTGTGTAACATTTTTGAGCTTATTCATAAATAACGTAACTATATAATAGAACCCTCGGAGTATCCACCAGCGTCAATGATCTGATATATCAGAGATTCAAAATTGTTTCCGGTCGTCCCTCTGAAGTGACAGTTAGAATTCCCGCCATTTCCTGCAGTCGCCCCGTCCAGCAATTGAATGATTTAGGATGTTCTAGTTATCTTAACTACGCGTAACATGTACATGTCGTTACAATTTTTATTTTTATTTTTACGAGGTAATCGTATTTGGTGAAAGATTTGGAAAATCGCACAGTTAAAACGGTCAATTTCAATCTCGCTATTTTAAACTATTTCCATAACTTTTGTTAAGATGTATCTGTCACGTTTTGCGACTTGTTATGTGTCGTTTTTCTTAATTCGATTCAAACATTTGGCATTTGGCTTATTCGGAATATTTTTGTAAATCGCAGATGCAGAGATAATGCAATTTTTTTTTTACATAGATATGTTAAATTGTAAACAAAACATTTTTGCCAGCAACATTTTGATATTTCGTTTATCAAGGAAATCCTCACTATTTGAAGGGGAATTCTTGAACATTTTCGTTGACTATAGTCTTTTTTAACAGATCGAAATGTCAAAAATTAAACTTTAGTCGCGAAACAAAAGATCGATTTAATAAAGAAACGGTCTTTTTTATCACAAATTAATTAAGTCGTCAAAAGAGCACCTCTTACACGTCTTTATTTTTCTTTATTTCCGTCATTCCGCATGTCACCAGGCTGTGCAGCTCATGAACCGTGATAGACAGTTGAAATTTTCACAGATTATGTATTTCTGTTATAACAATGGGGCTCTCACCAATAGCTGTGATTTTATTGCCATTTTATAGATAATGGTACGGAAACCATAGTGCGCGAGTCCGTCACGCATTTGGCCGGTTTTATTTCTTATACGATGTTGCTATTCCTATGTTATAGTAACATTACACGTCTTCACGACTTTTAGTTGACAGAGGGGTGGACAGACAGTGCACATACAGGTCCCATTACACGATAAACTTATTTGTGTACGACACAGATTCGAACTACTACCACAGATAGCGTGGTCGGGACGGTCCTGTTGTTAGGTCACTATTGACGATAAGATTACGACGATTACGCCGTCCTCCCCTTATCTTTAGTCTAATCATCGTGATTAATCCAGTCTGCAATCAAAAGAACGACACAATATTTTTGCTGCAATATAAATTAAAAGAAATTAGTAGATGCCGAGTGGTCGAAATTCGACCAAGTATAAACAATATTAATCCATTCTCAAATACAATACACAATAAACAAAAGAGTACATGTACCTATGTATATAATAAATAAATACCTATGCGTGGGTCAAATACATGTTTTCTATATCGATTTAATGTATTTGTTACGAATATTTAAAAAAAATTAGCATTCTGGACTCCTCTATATAAACTGTAAGTGTGGGAAAGTTCATACTCCTCCGTCCGCGCAACTTTCGTAAAAAGGGGTACAAAGTTTTTGCTTCACGTATTAATATATTGTTGTTTAGCGCTTTCCTACTCGAAATATGTTCAATAGAACCTAATACTTTTGAGATAAATATGATATTTTCTGTAGAGATATGAGGTAGGTACTCGCTATTCCTTTATAGTTTTTCCATTATAAAGGCTAGGTTTGGTTTGATTGTCAAGGCACTAGTTTATAAAATCAACTGAATGTATACAAAAGTTACTTATATTACTTCGGTTACTTATAACGTTTACACTATGTTAATTTTTAATTATTTAAAGTACAACCATAATATGTATGATGATATTGAACATTGACATAGCATACATATGAAAACAACAGTGTATGTACATTGACCACATATAAGATTACATACATAGTGCGTGTTTTTGTAATACGAGTAAATTTCAAAACTACTCAATGTTTTAAAATAAAATTATTTACTTCTATAGAATTTTGATAGCAGCTCTTTAAAATTATCAGACTGCAATTAAATATGTCCACATTGGCTATTTGGTCAGCTGTAACGGGTAAAGTGAAAATGGTTGATGCGGCCATCACGTTCGATGGAGATGTATATTTTCTAGTTATCTGAGGCTGAAAAGGCAGATAACAAAAAAGACTACAAACGAGATTTTTATCGATACGTTATCCTAACCTATAATGATAAAAGCCTTTATATTACTTTTTAGTTGAGTGGCATACGGCCTTTTAAGTCTCCTATTGTTTTGTTATGTACGTACTTATATAGGTATACACAGTAGGGGTAACGTTTAAAAAGACAATAAAAGACTGATGGAGGATTCATTCTAATTTTTAATATCCGTGGATAGATCGTTGGTTTCATATCTTCATAATATAGAAAATCAATGGTCTATTATTTCATTTCCTCTCCTGCTGTTACGATAGCGGCACTCCTGGGTCTATTGTGTCAGGCCATTACTTTAAAATTTGTGAAAAAAAAGGGCGAAAAGTTTTTCGCCGCTGCGGGAATTGAACCCTCGTCTTCCCTTTTCGCGCCCAGACACTTTAGCCGCCTAGCTAAACGGCTGATGCCACATCGAAGAAAATCCCTTTTTTTTTTCAAAAAACATTGCCCTTACTTTAGGATAACATTATCCCGTGTTGTAAGGACGTTTTACAAACATAAATTTCACGTGGACAAACATCCAGATACGAAACAACTATCTGCCACACGGGACAACTTCCCGTGTGGGAATGGAACCCACGACCCCCGACGCCGAAGCCAATACCTCGTCAACTGCGCCACGGAGTCATCTCTACGTCTTAGATCTCAATCTCAATGTAGATGACCTTGTTTTTTCGCATTTCAAGCAACGCTTGGCGCATCTGTTTGTTATATCCTTTACAGCATGCAAACGATTTCGAATAACGTTTTACATTCTATATAACTTGAACGAGAGATGTCGCCATTGCTATATGAATTCATAGGAGCGTTAACTTTTCATCATACATTTAGAAAATTTGACCAGAAATGGTGTTTGTTAGCTGGAAGTAGTAGGCCCTTTTAAGTGGGCAGCTTTCAAGGAGACGGCAAGAGTGTGGAGTATTGAAAAGGTAAGGTTATGTGTGTAATCTGTATTCAGTATGAGAACTGATATGACAGAGTGTAGAGATAACACACGTAACCTTAATTTGATATGATACCCTTGCTGTTCTCTTAAGAGTGTGAAACCACCATTATTAAAAAACCGGCCAAGTGTGAGTCAGACAGACAGCGGAGTCTTAGTAATAGGGTCCCGTTTTACCCTTTGGGGACGGAACCCTTAAATACTCTCTGGTACCGGCTAGAGATTAGCCGTAATAGCTCAGTGTCCGGGTGCTCGCCTTAGTTCAGTTTACTCGAACAACCTGAGTTTGATCCCCGGTGCCGGCACCAATGCAATTGTTAATTTAAATGCTGACTTATCACGCGCTCAGCGGTGAAGGAAAACATCGTGACGAAACAACTAACACAAATAACAAAAAAATATTAGAAAGATTAAGAGAGAAATATTGTGAAGGTTGCAATCCGCGGTGGGGCGCGTGGTGGACTATGCTCTAATATCCTCTGTATAGAGGAGGTCTTTTCCCAGCAGTGGGACATAATTGTAAAGGCTGTTACTTTACTATGCCAAGATTTTCGCTTCCAGTTGGCTAAAGCGTCTAGACGTGTTACTCAGAAGACCCAGATTCCGATCCTGGCAGCACTGAAATTTTTCGAAATTTTATCTGTTGAACTTCCAATTTTCATCTTGAGTACAGACTTAAGATTTTTAGGGCCACGCAGCATCTTTTGCTGTTGCACGAATGGGCAGAAGTACCACGTGCTCACAGAAGACCGGCGTAATTGGAAGCATTATACTTTCGCGTTTTGTCAGGGTGTTAGGTAACCAAGGCTCATTTTTTTGGTACACATCTGTCACCAAATGTTCTAGTTGTCTACGGGCGGCGGTTATCACTTAACATAAGGTGAACCGTCCGCTCGCTTGCCAACTCTTCGCTTACACTAGCATTAAAAGTAAAACATATCGTATAGTTCGTGTATTGTTAGAAATATTTTAACGCCAAAGTCGATTCTTTTTTTCAACTGACGTTCCTCAATGACGCGCAAGAATTGAATCAATTTTTTTAGCATAATATGTTTAATTAGCTGCTTATGCATGCCGTGTAGTTACTTGCTAGACTATTTACCCGGCCCACGAATGAATATTTATGAGTTTCCAGTCAGTTTAACACACGGATATTTATTTCAATATAATCTAGTAGGAGTGTAGATTCTCAAGCGACCTAAGGGATACGCATCAGACGTTCTAGCCGCTGAGCTATAAGTCTTATTTTCACACGAAAATCGTCTTAGGTGCAGAGAAAAGCACTAAAAAATAATATGTTTAAATGTGTAAAATATAGAGAAGTAGACAGAACTTTACCGTTATTCTCCAAAATAATATTCCCATTCGTTGACTTATCATGGTATTATGCGAAAATTAGAATTGAAAAGTTAAATTTTCAGGCGTTATAAGTATTATTTATTATTTATTTATAAGAATGAAAGTCCCCAGAAGAATATCCTTTGCATAAATTGGCGACATTTAGAAAATAGGTTTATATGTTCGAATCCGAGACCTATAACAGAAGCAATATAAAGACTTTTATCAATCGATTCACACATCAAAATAAAGCGGTGCACCATGCGACGTGAAGAGTATTTTTCAACCGTTTTCAAAAAACCGGCCAAGTACGAGTCCGACTCGCACGAAGGGTTCCGTACCATTATTTAAAAAAGTGGGCTAAAAAATCTTGTCTCCCCCTTGAATATTTTTTCTTTTATTCTGTTTCTAGGGTTCCGTACCCAAAAGGTTGAAATTTCAACTGTCACGGTTCATGAGATACAGCCTGTTGACGGGCGGTCTGTCCGTCCGTCAACAGGCTGAAGCAGCGTCATAGGGTCCCGTTTTCTAACCCTTTGGGTACGGAACCCTAAAAAGGAGGACGTCCTCAATTCTAGCTGAATTAGCTTTTAAACCATTTCCAGATCTAGATGTTTATTTCCCAAGGAGGGTTCGTTGTGCAAAGTGTTTTGCCGGTGACTTGGTTTTCGTCGATTCGACATCCGCATAGACGTGTGGCTATGGCCTACAGATAAGCGAGCAGGCGGTTCACCTGATGGTAAGTGAATACCGCCGCCCATGGACATCTGCTACACCCGAGGGTTACAGATGCGTCACTCACCAGACGAAACGCGAGAGTCTGTCATACTTCCACTTAAGCCGGTCTTGTGTGAGGTCGTGGTACTTATCCGGACGAGCCTGCCCAATCGTGCAACAGCCGAGGCTGCTGCGTGGCCCTACCACAGAAGCAATTATGAATTAATTTCAATCTCCCAAACAGGTCTGGAAGTGCGCGCGTTCCTCCGCGACCCGGCTAAGCTCTCCGCCCACCTCAAGGACAAGGTAGAGATCTTCAAGGGCGATGTGCTGGAGCCAGACTCGGTGGCCAACGCGGTGGAAGGCACCGACGGCGTCGTGGTGGTCCTCGGCACGCGCAGCAGCCTCGAGCCCACATCAGACCTGTCTGAGGGCCTGAGAAACATCGTCGACGCTATGAGGGCGAAGAACGTGACGCGAGTCACAGCCTGCTTGTCCGCCTTCCTCTTCTACGACAAGGACAAGGTGCCGGCCAAGTTCGGACCGCTGACCGACGACCACAGGAGGATGTACGAGGTGCTGAAGGATGCCCCGCTGGACTGGGTCGCCGTGTTCCCGCCCCACATTTCGGGTGAGCTCTTTGCCATACAACTAGACTAGCGGCCCGCTCCGGCTTCGCACGGGTGCAATGTATTATACATATATGCTTAAAGCTGATCTTCTTATTTTTTCTCGACCGCCTATGAATTTATAATTTCGTCGTAACGCCTGTAGCAAAGCTGCTTTTCGATTACGGTGCGTTTCCAAGGCGAGAGTGAACCAAATAAGGTCTGCTCGCAATTTATCCATCGGATGGAATGGCGGTCATGCGGCTTGTCGTAAATAGAAACAGGTCCGACTAGGGAGGATTCCGTATACACTTAACAGTTTTATACGATGATTACGTGTCAGCAATTTAAAGATTGTATCCTTGTACTGTGATTCATATTGCCAAATGTCAAGGTTCCAGCTCATCGGGAGTTCCGTACCGTATTCATTAAGTGCTATTCAATATAAAGGTTCGAAGGAAACTCGGAGGGACATTTTTTTAACACATTAATAACTTATATAAATATCAATTAAATACCTCTATACGCGCCCAAGAAGAGGTCTCAACAGGCGGATAGCCAGTCTGACTAGTAAATGATCCGACTGATTTACGGAACCCTAAAAAGGAGTTAGCTCTGTACGGTATGCGATGCCCGGCTCACAATGGGCAGCTAATGGTTATACGGAACCGGTAGCCACTTTGCAGCATCAATGGCTTAACGGAAAACGGTTAAAAACAACAAGTGTTTACTATTATTATCGGTGTGGTGATCGATTTATCTGGATCCATTCCGTGTGTTATTAATAAAAGCAACACGAGCAAGCTTCGTTGCTTGACAAGGTGGCAATCGAGCTGACGGTTCACCTGACGTTAACTGATAACCGCCGCCTGTTGACATTTGCAACACCCGTAGATTTGCAGATTCGTTGCCACCTTTTAAAAAAAACTGTTTTTATACGGTCTATTTATATATTGTAGCGTAAAGATTGTGGGTTCGATCCCCACTTCTGGAAAAATATTGTGTGGGAATAGTGTTTTTCCAGTGTCTGGGTATTTATATATGTATAATATGTATTTATTTACAAAAGAAAGTATGCATATCAGTTTTCTAGTACCAATAATACAAGCGTTGCTTAGATTGGGACTAGAAAACGTTGTATAGAAATGTGTCCGCAAATATTTAAAAAAAAATCATATCAACATGGGTAAAACCTAACGCAGAGGAGTGGACAGAGATAAGATAAACGTAACACTTTTTTTTTGTTTAGATGCATGTATGTTGCATAATATTCGACAGATCTCCATTCTTGTCTTATCTTATCGATAAGTTCGAAATTTAGAAAAAATTATGAATTGAGAATTTCATGATAGGACAAATTATTAACTACTACGTGTAGTAACCACATTGGTAACAAATCTCGACTTTGTATAGAAACTTGTTTACGATATCAATTACTATTAATAACAATATAAGGATTTTATAAACCTTGCTCAAATTATCCAATCAATCCATTGCAGAACCTGTAAGAGATGGTCTGTCCACAGATTGGCATTAATAATAGAACCGGCAGACAAATTTATTTACTTATTAATTGTAGTAACAGTAAACACAACAATGGTCTCCCTATGCATTACTCTTTTAATTTTTAATATTTATTTATCACATAAAATGGATGAACTATCATTAAATGTAATAACTAAAGTAAATGGTATTTAAATAGGTTTTACATGTCCTATTGCTTGTCAGAGGCCTCCTGAGTATAGAGCGACGCACGGTATTAAAATCAAACGCGGGCTGTGATACAAATAATAATTTCTATTGCATAATAATTTTCAGTAATGTTTGTATAATAAAAATATTTTAACAAAGAATTAACGATGTGTCGTTAAGAAATTTCTTTGTGTTTAAGTCTTATGAAACACAGTTCCCGCAGTGGCAACTAGATGTCGCTGATACAAGAAAGTTCGCGCTATCGTTTGTCTCATGGCGGCTCGATAGGGGTTAGTACCGTCGGCGATGTTTGGTCGTGACGACTACCATAAAGTCGTGGGTTCGATTCCTAGTAAGTTTTTGTCGTGGATTTGTATGTAACTATACAAATTCCTATTAATACATATATGTGGTGAGGTGGTCATCTGCGTGGCATGCCCAATTGCCCACCGCTCGGCCCTTTTTAAAAGTGCTCTGACTCTGACTTAATTCATTTCGCACGGTGAAAAACTAGTTTATTTTAAGTTTTAATAGTTCTACTTCTATAATCCATATAAATTTGGTCTTCGGATTCGGTCGATTTATCTAATAGAAACTAGAAGTAGAAAGTTATTATGTATCTTTTAAAGTACAAACACTCCACTATAATATTTTAACATAATATTAACTTTATCTATCTTAAATTGGTTAAAGAAATGTAGTTTAGAAATTTAAGCTAAAGAAGCAATTTTATTGTTTTTTGATCTATGACTTAAAAAAAAAGCTAGATAAAAAATAATAATAAGAAAAAAGAAAGTGCCCTAAACTGTGTTAAATGTAAACCACAAGATACTAACAATTAGATTAAACACAATATTTGTAGTTAGATATGTAAGCAATAATAGTATTAGTATTATATATAGCCTTAGCAATATAGGCTATATTGCTTGTATATTTAACTCACTGCTGTAGGCTTAAGACATATTATGTTTTTGTCAATTTAAGTTTTCACGTCTCTAAATAGCTAGAATCTTTTATTTTATAAGCCCTGAAAAGAAGAAAATAAACTTTATATTAAATCAAATAAATTAATTTTGTAAGTGTATTACACAATTTATTAAAATATATAAAAGCTTGTCGCGAAATTAGCTCAAACGGTTCAAGATAACTGATTTACCATTCAGTTGCAAGATTCCACACTGACAAACAGAAACATTGCAAGTTAAAAGCTTGTAAAAATTAATATCGACAGATCAAAACGTAGGTATAAAATTTCTTCTTTCGATGAATAAATGATTTTATTCGGTTTGCTTAACCATTCATGTGGTTAATATTCCATAAAGGTTTTGTAAATCCGTTAGACGACCTTTATTGTGATTTATCTTGAGCAATATTTATGTTTGTTACCACTAATAGGTCGTTAGTCGTTACAAGAGGAGCGCAATGTTAATGCGTTCAAATAAAACTTACCGTCGAACAAACACCTCGCGGTCAAAGGGATGACACTGGGCACCGCAAAACATCTTAAAAACACGTCGTATCGGAAAAAAAATATTTATAAGCGATACCCAGGCTTGGTAAACAAGATTAAATGTCATTATTATTTCAAAGTTGTTTAGTCGAAGCGTTCACTAATACCAGAAAACAATAAACGGACGCATTTGCAACTTACCTAATCGTTTGTTTTTATGTTAAAAGTAGTCGACCGGGCGGTGACACCTGATGCCTAGAGATTACCACCGCCCATGGCATATACATCTATATACCAACGGCTCCCAGACAGCCTTAAAAACAGTGGGTGTAGCTTGTTTTTTTATTATTATTATTCGTTGTGTTTGGGATCGGTTCAAACATCAAACATTTTCTCTGGACAATGTACTAAGCATACTTAAATGTCCTTTTCTCTTGTAAATAAACTCATATCACAAATAAATAAACACCCAGACGCTGAAAAAATAAACACTATGTTCATCAAACAATATTTTTCCAGTGTTGGGTAGTTGGGACCGAACCCACGACCTCTGGCGCAAGAGGCAAGTCCTCTACCCACTACGCCAATCGGGTCATTGGTCCGGAAAGTCAAATCAAACTATTTACGATGTTATGCCCATTATTTATTGATTTAGTTTGAATGCCAATAATATTATCTTAATAACAAATAAGTTTGAGAGCTTGTTTCAAAACAGGCGCGACTAATTTATTTATCTCACCGCTAATCCAATATGACATTAGTTTGACCGTTCGCCCTACCCCTGTTTACAAGCGTGTGATTGTTTACGTTGAACCTAATTATTATTGAAGATATTCCCTACAGCCGTGATAGCTAAGTGTCCGGGCGCTCGCTTCTAATTCATTATACTCGAGCAACATGACTTGCAACCAGGCTGAAATTGCAGCAGACAGCACCAATGAAATTTTTAACTTCAAGTGCTGACTTGACACGTGCTCAGCGGTGAAGGATAACACCGTGAGGATACCTGCATATTTTCGAAAAAAATATCTCGAAGATATGTAGGTGAAGTCTGCCAATATGCAGTGGGGTCGCGTGGTGGACTACGCCCTAATACAGGGCCTCCTCTGCCTTGCCTAGCAATGGGACATGTATTGACAATCCATGGTCACGTAATTGTTTTAAAAGCATTAGACTTTTTAACGAAATTGAATTGCAGGAGTTTTTTTCGATGTGATTTTTTTCCGATTAAATATGCTGCCATCGGGGATACGATGTACAACGCAAGAGATATCCCTTGTGTATCCCTTTGGTTATCCCTTGTGTATGTATGTATGTATATCCCTGTGTATGTATGTATCCGTTGTGTATCCCTTGGGTTTCGCGGAAGTCCCAGCGACCCACATTGTCTGTCGCGTCAGCCGGGGAATGCTAAGCGTAATTTTCCGCGACCCAGACGCGATTATGGCCTTCTTAGGTCTCCTGCCGGGTGCTGGAACACCATGTACGGCACATGGTGCCATCCCGGTGCAATTAGCAACGACCTCTGTATAGAGTGGTAGACCCTCGCCTGTCTGTCGCCTGTGGTCTCGATAACAGGGGGGTCTGCGCACGTAGGCCAGCCTGGTCTGCGCCCTGGTCTCCGGTGGATATCCAGCCTGGCGGTTTCCCGTCTTAGCCTCTCCTAAGTCTGCTTCTAATGATAATGTCCTCGCAATACGCTAGAAAACCACCCCACTGTCTCACGGTCAGCCAGTGATCGGGCAAGCTTTTACCTATCCAATGTCGCTTACCATCTTGCAGGATGATAGTTAAGAAGGTCAATAAAAGGATAGGTGATAACGGCTATTTTAGAGGGTAAACAACAGCCAATTAACAGTTTATTTGTCTAGACTTTAAATCCTTGTTTACTTAGATAATGCCTTTTGTTTGAATGTAACCCTTTGTTATCGGTCCGTCGTTTTGTTTATTGTGATGCTCACGTATCGGCTCTGATGGAGAGGTTATATCCCAAGAATAGAATGTTACCTTTACGCTAGCGCGGCGATATGGCTTCATCTTCTTAAATAAAAGCTATATGGACGGTGTCTAAACTGACCTAAATTCTGAGGCGGTCTTCGACTCTGAATGGAAACTTGCGAGTTCTATTCATCGAGTAAATCAGCCCAATTCCATACCGTATTTGAATCGCGTGTCTGTATCAGTTGGCTATACATCATTGTTCGTATCATTGTTACCAACGGCTCGCGAACACGCTTGTATAATTGTTGATACTCCGCTTCCCATAGCTGCACATTTCTATATACGAACAGCGAAGAAACTCGACTCCAAACCGCGTCACTTTAATAGACAGAGACAAATATGTCCAAGAGTTTAGTCGGCGATTCATAGAAATGCATGTATTTATAACGATATTAGATTAGGCAATGCTTATATTATCGCGTTTATCGATTTCTAGGTACCTGCGTTCGAATGCACCGCAACGCTATCGAAACTTTCAAATCAGACATGTTTATTTTACAATCTCTATATTATTATTTCTCAACGTAATTCTGATTGATATATAATGGATTTAATGTTATTTCAGTTGTACTTGTTCCCCTTTATTCCTAATTGTAAGCAATTAGGAATAAAGCAGGTGGTAGGGCCTCCGAGGCTGTTGCACGAATGGGCAGGCCCGTCCGGGTAAGTACCACGTCCTCACAGAAGACCAGCGTAAAGTGGAAGTATGACAAATACTTTCGCGTTTCGTCTGGTGAGTGAGGTAGCCGGAGCCCAATTTTCAAAAGGTTGTCAACGCATTTGTAACCCTCGGGTGTACCAGATGTCCATGGGCGGCGGTATTCACTTACCATCAGGTGAACCGTCTGCTCGTTTGGCAACTTTTCACAAAAAAAAAAGCGGAAGGAATAAAGCATTCGCACTCGATATAAGTATCGAGACCGCGAATGCTGTCACACACTATCATTAACTGGTTGATATAAATAATTTTAGTTTAGTGAACGTACTATTCACTGCACTAGCAGATTTGCGGTGTTTTAGGTCGTGTGCACCAATCTTAACGACCACTGAGGAGGGCCTCAAACCCGTGGGTTCTGGCTAGCCCACCGGCTCTGCGTTCGATGAAGCTTTAATAGTCTAACGCCCGGTTTCTGAAACACTGATCAACGTAATTGTCAACTAATCAGCTATCAAATGAATTTCAAAAGTCATTTTAGTTGCCAAAAGGATGTTTAAACTCTTTGAATTGATCATTCTGATCATAAAGAAGATCATTCTGGCCATTTCAGAGAGTTTAACCATTCTTTTGGTGCCTAATTTGTAATTTAAAATCCATTAGACAGCTGATTAGTTGACATCTACGATGATCAGTGTTTCAGAAACCGGCGTTAGGACTAAAAGCGTAACATCAGTTACAAAACAAAAACAAGCTTCACGTATATCCAGATGTCTTTATGCATCACTGACTCTTATATGAATCAACGTAACCTTCATAAAATTTGGACAGCATAAACCATCACTCTACACCTTAAGGGTCAAAATTAAAAATTAGGTAGTAGTTTCGGCAAAAACTTATATCAAACATAACAATGACTTTAATCGCGGAACCGGTACCAGTTAAACTGTTTATTACAATTCCAAGTGCCACCTGACTACGTTACATACGAAATCAGTTTTGTTATAAACAATAGAGCCGTGATAGCTAAGTGCCCGGGCGTTCGCCATTAATTCGCATGCATTATAATTATTATTTAACTACTATTTATATTTCCGTTAATTATTTTTATAATTATGTAGGATCAAATTCCGTTTAAAAAAGCGTTGTCTTCTGTAGTTATTATTCTTTGTTGTTATTCAATATAACTTTACGTTCCTTATGTGAATAGAGATATAAACTTCGTTACAGGGTTGATATAATTGGCCCCATAACCTACCTTTTTGCGTAATAGAATTAACGAAGACATCCGCAGTAGAAGAAAGGTAACCGACATAACTCTGAAGATAAGCAAGTTGAAGTGGCGATGGGCCGGCCATATAGCTCGTAGAAACGATAACTGTTGGTGCAGAAAGCTCTTGAGTGGCAGCCTCGTACTAGCCATCGCAGAGTAAGAACCCCACTAGATGGAGTGAGGGCCTGTGCAAATGTGCGGGAAGTGGATGTATGCAAGTGGCTCAGGACTTTACTTCGCGGCAGTCTATGTTCTGTGTGGGGAGGCCTGTGTTCCACAGTGGACACAAACGGGATGAAATGATGACGATGATGATTAAAAACAACTTATAGGGATTATATAGAAAACTCAAAATTGTATGTTGTTTTCATGTTTGTTACCTCTGTTCTCCGTCATTTATGAACACATTTTAAAAAATATATTTGCATTACATTCGGTTTAGCTGCCACGAGATCCTATATTGATTTCATTGATATGGAACCTTGGACTTCGGACTTACGTGAGGTAAAACCTCAAAATCAAATAAGAAATGTATTCTGAACGAGACAATTGAAGTCCGTTTTAACTGAAAGTGGTTTAATACAGTAGGCTATTATTGTCATGTCCTCAGCCTAGTCGATCTCCAAGTACCAAGTCATTGGCAAAATCACTGTGACGTGTCAGTGGAGCCATAGTAGGGAAAAAAAAGAAGTCCGTTTTGTTTTATTGCTAGTGAAAATGCACCGGTTGTTTACTAAAATCTATTGTTCGCAGACGACCCGAGCCGCGATATAATCGTCGAGGTCAACCCACAGAAGTCGCCAGGCAGGGCCATCTCCAAGTGGGACCTCGGCGCGTTCCTGGTGGACGCCCTGAATGAGCCCAAATACTACGGGACCATTGTGGGCCTGTGCAACGTTCCACTGCAGTAGTCGGGCCGTGAGGACACAGATGACGAATCGTTGGCAGCTTGAAAATAGACGCTGGCCTTAAAATGATGTATATTATATATTAAAAAAAAAAAAAAAAAAAAAAACGGCGGGAAATTAAATTATTACAGGTTCGATTAACAATAAATGTGAACCAAAATGTTTAAAGGGTTCTATTAAAAAATGTATTCGTAGTGCAAACATTTTGCGCAACGTATGAAATGCTTTCTCAATCACTTCCGTCGCTAATTATAAATATTATGTTAAGCGAAATATGACATTAAGAGACCATGACAGCGACTCAAAATCTTTAATATCAACATGTAAAATAAATGTATATGGATTGTTGTTTCAGTTTTTGGATCTCTTCTTAGTTACTCAATTGGAAAAAAATGGGAAAATAGTGTCGTTTAGGCATCGAGTGGTTATTTTTGGACGTTTTTTTAAAGAAATTATTTGTATACTCTTTCTTAGCTTTATTGTAAATTGAAAACAAAGAAAAAACATAGAACCAAAGGTTGTCAGTATTGTCTCAATGATGTCATTGTTTATGGATTAAACATGTATACTAAAGGAATAAAATTATTTTCGGGCATAGCAAGTACTAAGAAAATTTGTAAAGACTGTTGTGTTTGTTGCAATAAGACCTTGGTTGTCTTATTTAAAGAAAATATATACAAATTCATTCATTGCACAAAGTTAATTGTATCTTTCAATAATATCACGCGCGCTTCGCGTTTTATTATTGTTACATAACGCTAACGACATTAAGAACTGTGCCGTGACTAGTAAATAATTATCGCAAAAAAATGAAGGGCTTCCAAGGTTGTGACTGGATTCGACGATGCAACGGTCGTTTCTCTACTTTACTTTTTTTTTTCAAAAGCCCCGTATGCGGCCAATCCCGATCAAAATTATAAAGCGATATTTGCGGTAACGGTTAAAATACCTCGTGGATTGTATTTATTTCCTTTTATACACCTTCGATAGCATTAGCTCAATAAAAATGTTCCGAAACGCTGACGTTCGTTTGCTTTTCTCCTCGACAAATCTCCTGGTGGCACATGCGAACGTGGCAGTTCAGCCTGGGCACGTGGAAGATTCTCATAAGCTTCTTTTTTACGAAGAGCCAGTAGAGGGCAGTGTTTCCTTTCGCGTTCACGACGAGGCTACTGTTCGCGCGGGACTCGAAGTCCGGTCTCGTCTCAATAGTACACGCGCTGCTCCTCAACGAGCTCTCCGATGTGCTGGGATAGTAGTCCGTGCTGCAGACGTCCCAGCGCCGGCTGAGGGGGATATCGGCGCGAAACGAGACGCCAGCCACGCCGGACAAACTTTTAGCTGACATTATACGTTGCACCCTTTCTGGGTTATACGGCGGTGCAGTAATAGTCGTACAGTGTACTTGTGGACCACGCGCCGCTTCGGCGGGCCGTCCACGCGGCACGTGGTTTTCGATTTCGTAATATAGGAAAGCGACGGCTCTGTATTAGTCTGCTCTATCGTTCAAACTGCCACGACCAAGTGTCCTTGCTCTGAATGAGACTGGTGAAGCTCCTCGAAGCGTTGCGACAAAAGAAAGCCTACTCTATGCTTTCGTAAAACGTCGATTCTGACGCATGTAAAAGAACGGCGTAAGCTGACTTATCTTTCATCTAATCATCACAGAGCGTCTACGCCGTGTGTATTTTCGACAACATGACCAAAGGGTATTTATCAACGGCTACACCGATCAACAAACGCATGTGATTTATTGCATCCACGAATGTAGACAGGTATTCCAGTGGGTTCATGGTGGCAATGGCTCGGTTTTCATGCCCCTTTGTCACGGGAACATGTTAATTATTTATTGTCTTGTTGCAACCATTTTAGATTGTTTTTGTGTGAATTTTTACGTGACCGCCCCTCATGTCAATGAGTAGTTGCCGTTGACGTTTTATCTTTTTTTCATGGATTACATGTTATTAGACAAAAGAGGTTGATCTTAATTTACTATTTTTTTATTGCAATTTAAACGACCTTGTCGTGAGAGGAGATAATGGTTTAGGTTGGTAATAAATAATTGGGGTAAAGATAATAAAATGAAAACAGCAAACGTTAGGTAGTACACGATGGCCATTATAAGTATACAATTATTAATTTAAATATGATTATTGCACACTTCAAATTACTACTACTACAACTTATCTACACCTACAACTCAAAGACATTATAACCATTATCATTTCAGCCTGTTCTAGTCCACTTTTAATGCTTAATTAAGGTTATTCCAAAAAAACTTCAAATTAAATATTAGCCCAAGGCATGGTAAAGTAGTACAGAATAAAAACGCTTGCGCAGTAATTATGATTAATTATCATACAATCTAAGGTGTTGTTTTTAAAATAAACTAGATGAAACAAATTTTAATTATCTCAAGTTTTACTTTAGCGACCAAAAAATTGATTAACAACTACGCATTAGCAAGCATAGCAGTAATCCATCGTTCCATAGTTGACATAAAGGCGGGGTATATATATTTTACAGAAAAAAGTGACATAAAAAGCTTTATTTAAATACGTTGCATTGGTATTTTTAAAGAAAAATGCCCCTCTTTGCAGCCTATGTTATTCTACAGCTATTGGCTAAAAAATTGCTAAGTTATTATTTCATAAATGCCGGATTCATAAGTTCCAGATCTGAGTGTACATTCATAAATAGGGTTGGCACACATTTTGTACCGACTTCACTTGTAAGATAAGAGTAGGAAAAAGTGGAAGAGAGACATAAGACCGCACAAATAAGAGAAACACTAAATATAAAAAATGGAAATCCAAGTGCAGAACTAAATCTTAAAGTCACTATTATATATTACCCATGACTGTTGCTTCTTAGTACATACTTTAAAATGTTATGTAGGTCTGCCCATTAAAACAAGAATGAATTCTCAAGACATCGTTATGTACCATGATATAAATACTAGGAACAAATGTAAAATATAGATTTTAATGAAACTTTACAATAATATAGCTTATACATCAGAATAAGACATAGGCTATAATTTATATATTTATATATTTTATGTATATCTGTCTTTCCGTCTGAATTTTACGCCTTCAGCCTATTCTACGCAGACGTAGTCGCGGGCAGTTGGCTAGTACAAAATAATGTAAAACATAAAATTAACATTTACGCCTATAAATATGTATTTAATAGCACTTCGCCCCATCAAAGTGTACTTCATACGCGTTTTAGAGGTTATACAGTTCAAAGGTGTGCGGCGTATAGCTAATTACAACTAGAAGGTCTCTTTAAACTAGTTTTTCTTTTCCTTCCTATCCTTTTTAGTCATAGGTCTAATCTAATAAAACGGTATAGTTTGATAGGAAGTTTTAATATCGCAATAAAATACACAATCCATGACATTGGATCTTCACCAGAATAAAAAAAATGTAAGCATACCTTGCACACTCCGCTGTCTGTCTGTCCGTCCGTCACCAGGCTGTAGCTCATGAACCGTGAACATCGAGAAGGGAACCATAGTTAAATAGTTGAAATTTTTACAGATTTCTGTTGTCGCTATAACAACAAGTACTAAAAAATAGAATAAAAATTAGAAAAAAGAGCACCAGCTTAAATACTTAAGCTGGTGCTTTTTATATATTACGAACCATTCGTGCGTGAGTCCGACTCGCACTTGGTCAGTTTTTTTTATTCGGATCCGGGAAGCCTTTTGAAAAACGAATTGAATATGAAATTACTATTTAGTTTAAAGAAAACTAAAAGAAATATGCTTGCACATGTTGTATATTCGTATATTTTAATTTGTTACGTTATATTCTATGATTAAACTTTATATAAACCGTGTCATAAACGATTGCATGGCAATAACTATTCAACTGTCTAGTCAAAAGATTCCAAATACCTGATAATCCTGGTGAGAGTGGTGTGCTGACCTAAATCTCGTGATACGTTCTCTATAGGATGCATTATTTTTAAACCGTTCGGTACATAACATATTTGAAGTAAAGTAGGATAACAGATTTTTTTTATCTGAAATACCTATCTCACTAATATAATAAATAATGAATACTTGCATGCCATATATTATGGTGAACTTGGAGGACAATAATAGTAAACTAACTCGTTAAATGTTCCCAGTTTAAAGACAAATAAAAATTATCAATATTTGGGGATACCTATTTGTTTTCACGTCACGTCACGTTAGGGTTTATAAAAATAAATATTTAGATGTATATTGCATATAATCCATAAAATATATTATTTATCATTATTATTACTTATTCGATTTTTGTTATTTGGAAAATATGCCGGTTTCCAAAAGATATTTTCCTTCAACGCAGAACGAGTCGTAAATCATCACTTCAAATTAAATAAATAAAAAAAAATATGCCGGTTTGAGCACTGATTATAACAGTTGCTTGTATATTCTGAATAATGAAAGAAAAACAAAATGAAAACTCATATTAAGTATTGTCTATGTAGGTGTAGTGAATCATTTTAAATCAAGGTCGCCTTGATAAATTACGATGTGTATTCTTTTACTCGTTTATGTTTTGCTCTTCTTCCGTCGAAACTGTCAAAGTCGACGGGGTAATTAGAATTACACGTCATGACGCCACAAAAAAAATTGAATAGCACAGAGGCTAACAAAGTTTTTTAATTGCATAATGCAGATTATATTATTTATATTGCTACTTGCTGGGGTAGTTCAGTCGTCAATCCCGTAATCGTCACAATATTTTCAGGTTTTTCATAAATATTTCTTTGTTGTAAGGTTATCTTACGGCCTAGTCTCATGTTTTAGGATATAAACAAACATTCATAACTTGAATGTTTATTTTATGATTTTTTAACTGCACACATAATATAATGTTTAATAGAGAATACTGATAACCCTATTATACTTTGATATCCATTAAACGTAGTAGTGAATATGACCAGGAATCGGACAGTCGAAGTGAGTTATTTACTGTAACGGCCAGTTTTGGCTAGCTGGATTGGGTTGATGGTGTCCACTCCAGCAGCTCGAGGCCGAAAATGTAGTTAACTTCAAGAACTGTATTTTAAAAGTAATTAGTTTACTTACTTTTAAGTTCCTATTGTTCAAATAAGATAAAAAATTCAATAAAAATTATTATGGGCAGTATTAACTATAAATGATAAAAACAGGGCAATACATTGTTTAAGGAAAACTAAAACAATTATTAGACCTCTGAGATTTTTAATTACATATCTTATTTATAATGGCATAATACACTATTTAAACATTTTATAAATGTATATTTACACTACAATCTAATAAAACTGTACATTTATTTACATGTTTTTAAACAGTCCATATCTGCTTAAGCCACATTTTGTATTATTTACTTATTTCAGTGTATATTTTCTTACACAGAAGTTTCAGCTTCTAGCTCCTGTTGTATCTGTCCCTTAAATCTTTGGGTCAGTAAATCTATATCCAGAAGAATCTTGCCCAGTTCTCCAGTCCTGAAGGCTTTTATCATAGTTTTGGCAACTTCCAAGAGATCGGGCACATCCCTAACTGTCCCATCAAAGTCCCTCACCGTTCTCACACGATTGAATTTTATGGCACCAGCAATCAACACCTATAACAATAGTATATCATTATGATTGTGTACAGACATAATTCCAATCAGTTTATATGTACTTTTGTAATTATACAGTGAAAAGTTGTATTTGTATTTTGGGTAGACAAACAGCCAGACAAAACTATTATCTGTGGGTTACAAAAACAAAATTTTAGATGGTTGATTCTGTGGGAATCAACCACCAGCACCAAAGCCAATACCTACACAACAATACCACAAAGTCATCATGTGAAGAATAAATCTATGCAATGAACAAACAAAATTATATTTGCCATCACACACATAAGGCAAACATTACAATTGTGAAATTATATGTATGATCATATTTTTTACTAGAGTTACACTTTTTACAAGCTACACTTTAGCATACAATATATATAACATATATTTTTTTATCTAAAATGTGGCGAGTGAGCAGATTTCACTTCACCTGATGTTAATTTATTACCACCATCAATTGACCTCCAATATTCGAAGCTTTGCTTTAATGTTGGCCAACCTTGAAAAACATAGGCCCAATTATCCTCTCACAAAACAGAAAAGTATAATATTTCTTTGTCACATGGTTCTCCTGTAAGACCGTGGTATTTCCTTGGATGAGTCCAAGTCTTGGCCCTACCAGAGCAAAGTTAATACTATTTAAAAAACAGCCATGCTAGCTAAATTGTGAAGAACAGCTTGTGAGAGATAAACAGGTCACCTTTTGTATGTCATCACAAGGCTCCTCCAATCCCATGTAGTCCACATACTTAAACTTGGCATGACTGTTTAACCAATACAACAGATAATCTGCAATAACTTCCTCGCCAACCAGATGATCTTGAAGGGATGCACACAGGGCTAGCTTCAGACCCATTTCTACATCAGACACAGAGGGTTCTAGGATCCCTGAAATAGTAATGCGATGACATGTGTTAATTTTTTAGAATTATTAAAATAATTATTGAACACTACAGAACTTTTGTATTTAGCATTCTGACAGTATGTAAACTTCAAAATATTAGATACATTATCAATGAGTTTTTTTTTAACACCAGAAATCTCGCAGATGGCTGAATTTTTTACTTAGTGGACAGTTATCTTTACCTGTATATTAGACAATTCCCAGAATATATTTATAAATTAGAGCCTATGTGTTATTCTGATGAATAAGCTATAATATTGTAAAGTTTCATTAAAATCTATTCACTAGATTTTGCATGAAAGAGTAACAAAAATCCATCCATACATACAAACTTTCGTGTTTATAATATTAGTAAGGATTATACACCATAATGTTTCGGTTTATTATAGGAACGCACACCTATAAAGGAATGAAGAAAAATTTTTATCCCACAGAAGTACCATTAATATTATTATTTTATAAATAGCAATATAATTATAAAAAAAACACACCTGGAGTATCAAACATAAATATTTTTGGGTTATGATTAATTTTCATTTTTGTCATAAGGCTTCGTGTAACTCCCGCTACTGCTCCAACTGGTAAAACATGTTTTCCACTTATATTAGTTGATCGCAACATGTTAATCAGTGAGGATTTTCCAACATTTGGAACACCCATAATCAAAACATTGTAATCTTGTTCTTCACTCCTGTTGTATCTATTAGATCCTTTAATTAGATCCACCAAAAGTGGCTTCAGGGTCTTTATACCACGACAGTGTTGATCTTTGCAATTTGTATATACGACATTTTGCACATTCTCTTCAGTTTTCAACTGCTCTGTAACTTTAGGTATTAGAGATCTTTTGATCAGATCTTTTTTATTAAGAATTAAGATGTGTGGCTTAGCGCCTGTCAAGTTATTTGTAAGCACAGGATTTCTTCCAGTAAACGGTATCCTGGCGTCGTGAACTTCGATCACACAATCAACTGACGTTAATTTTCTCTGCATTTGTTTCAAGCCTTTGTTCATATGTCCCGGAAACCAGCGAAGCAAGTCTTTTGAGACGTATGGACATTTCTTACGGAAATTATAAGCAGCGGCATCAAATTTTAACAACATAGCTAAATTATGACTAAATTATTGTGATTAGAGGTTAGTTTGATAGAGGAATATTAACCGTATTATAGTGTCCGTCAAAACGCTCGAAAGTTTACTTCAAGAAACTTTTTCTATGTCGGCAATGCAAATGTACTTCATATTAAAAAAATATTTGCTTCTTCTTTCTTAAAAGATATTTTATAATAAAATCAAATTAAAAACAAACGATTTTGGGATCACAACCTTTTGTCAATTTGACAAATTATTTTTTTAAGTGTTTAACGGCTCTGGAATCGTGTCCTTTACGCCAAATTATTGTATTATTTCGGTGTTGTCATTTTCAGCTTTATGGAAATATAATTAATTTAGGTGGAGAAAAGACGATGCTTTATCATAATATTATGATCCCTTTTTTTAATGTGAAAGGGCGGATTCCAAATTGGCGGTTGATAACCTGATTTTAAGTGATAACCTCCGCCTATGGACAGTAGTAATACCCGTAGGGGTGCAGGCAGATGCGTTGCTATCTTTTAATAAAGTGGGCCTTGGCTACCCCACTCTCCAGACGAAACGCAGAAGTATAATATCTTTCTCATCACGCCGGTCTTTTGTGAGTTCATGGTATTTACCCGGACGGACCTGCCCATTCGTCCACAGTCAGGACTGTTGCGTGGTCTTAACACCAAAAATCAGCCAAATTAAAATGATGTAAAGTTTTCTTTTCAAAAATTTTTGGTACATGATTTATTTGTCAAGGGTTCCGACTTCCAAACAATGATATTTTACTACAGAAATGCTTTAAAACATGTAGAAAAAGTACGAAAAGATTGTCGCCGCTGTGGGAATCGATTTTAATGTTCAATTTTAATCTCTGCAATTAGCACTATAAAAAACTTTAAAATTTATAAAAAGCAATTTCTCGTTCGAATTATCGTTGTAAAACGATATCCAAAATTGTTTGTATGCTGGAAAGGATATAACGATAAATGCGCCAAGCATTGCTTCAAATGCTAAATAACAATGTAGAAAGAAGGCGTTAAGATTTTCGTCGCTGTGGCTATCAGCCGTTTAGCTCAGTGGCTAGAGCGTCAGGCTACGAATGCCGAAGTCGTGGCTTCGATTCCCACAGCGGCGACAATCTTTTCGTACTTTTTCTACATGTTTTAATGTTCAATCTTAAGTGCAGATATTAGCACTATAAAAAACTTTAAAATTTACAGAAATGCTGCTAGCGCTACCGAAGTGAAGCTTCGAAAACGTCCCCTACGGAACCGTAACTTGGTGCTTCACTGCTGGCCGTATGAGGAAGCTCAAAGACACTCACCACCGAGCTGTGGATCGATATGCTCGGTATTTCTCTGCGTGATGGAGTTCGAAACTAACACAGCCGCAGTAGAACAAAGATAGGTACTTACACAAATTCCAAAAAGTTTCATCTTAAGTTCAGAAATAAGCCCAGAAAATAAAAATAAAAATTAAATTAAACAATAGGGAACGCGACCCCCCCATTGTTTTCAAATATTTATTGTAAAAATGTGTTTTTCAAAGTGTGATTTCTTTAAAGGAAGCACACTGGATGGCGCCGAGCACTGCTAAAAATGCAACAAAAACGAAGTAGATAAATAAGACATCGAGATTTTCGACCGATTAGCTTAGTGGCTAGAGTCTGGGCGCATGACTTAGAGGGCGCAGGTTGGAATCCTGGCAACATTAAAATATTATTCATCAATTTATAACTACTGATATTTGAACGACTATAATTAGGACTATACTTATAAATTTGATTTTGAGGTTGTAAGTACGTAAATAGCTTTATAAGTACTCTTGATCTACTTCTTCTTCTTCTAAGGCAGTTGGCGGTCCATATGATATCGCCAATGATATACTCTTCATCTAAATTGTACTACAGTCAAAATGTAAAAATATTATAAAAATGTATTTCAACCTTCTTACATTATATGAAATTCAACGAGCAGGAGACTAGTTATGTACTTAACTGTTAATTTTTAGTTGCTGTCATTTACAATAACCTATTTTTCTCAGTTATCCTGAAGAAAAGTCTCTATTGTTGTTAATAAGGCGTCAATATGTCTCAAACATTTTTATTGGAACCGGACATTATAGCGGCAACTGAAAATATTATGCCCGATTTGAACAATGATTTAATACGTGCTAAGAATTTTTTAAAACAACAAAGCGCAGCGACTGGTGACAGTTTGTACGTTTATTATTAAAATCATTTAACATGTATTTCATTTTTAAACGAACAAAAGAATAATCATAACCCATCTCGCAATCAGATATGACCATTTAGTCGATTTGGTCCACAAAATATTGACTCACAAACCACCCGATGTCGTTGATAACTTCGAGCAATTCTCATGGGAAGTGAAACAAGAGAAGCTGAGACCTAATTTCGATCTGCTTAACGATGTTTACTTATCGCCACCGCAGCTTGATGTTGCAAGGAAAATGGAAGAAATGTTTAAGGTTGAGTATCACTAATTAGTTCTTAGATTATCCCTTCTCGTTCACTAGTAAAGACAATTAGTATTGTAGGTATATTGGCATTTAGTTTTTTCACGTAGAATGCTTGTCTTTTGGAATGAGCCGCCACATCTCTCAAAACACCGGTGGTGAGCAGTAAAATCATTATACTTTTACGTTTCATCCAGTGAGTTTGGTAGCCTCGATGATAAAGATGGATAGTTAAACGCATATGTTTTAAGTAGATAAGTTTAAAAATATAGTGTACTGAATTTTTCATAATAAAATGTAGGTGCATTCACTTTGGGGTATACGGCGTGTCGTTACAACCGCGACAATAAATGAACACACGTCTAACACAACTTGCCAATAATTATAAAAAAATATAAACGTTAAAAAAATCCCTAATAAAAAAAAATATTTTTTAAACAAACTAATTAAATGAAACAAAAAAGAAACAAGATTTGTAACATCCTATGCAACTACAACTGACTGATTCATACATTCAGAGATTTTTTTCATTCGTTGCCATGGCGTCGCATTACAAATCTCTTTTTCTAACAGTATGTTTTATCTCTTTTAAATTCATTCAACCCATTAATATTATGCTTTGTGACCTTTATACGTAAGGGTGTTCCAAATTGTTTGTTCATTTATTGTTGTGGTTGTAACGACACGCTGTATACATAATTATGATTAAATGGTCAAGGGTCTATCCATGACTGAAATTGTCACAAGTTTGGAAATCACTGCCACAGATGATTATTTAATTACGAATTAACCATATTTCTAGTTGGTTGGTAGCAAGTCGCTGAACATGCAGGACATGGGCGAAGAAGAGCAGGAGTTGGATCTCGAGGAAGAATCAGTGAGGCCGAAGATCGCGGATTTCATCGATCATAACTACTACTTTAGACAGGTTATTACTAGCCATTGTAATAAGCATTTTCCTTAAAGAATCTTCATTGTCTATAACAAAATTCATCGTCCATCCCATTGAACCATGGTACGTTGCGGGAGATTCTAAAGGAAATATTGTATCACGTTAAAAAGTGAAACACCTCTAGTGGCAAAACATCAGCACGATGTCATATTCGTCCGACAAATGAGCATTTTAGTCTTCAAAATCGATTGATCGTTATATAAGAAAAGAACGATCGATCACCTGGCTGTAAGTGTTTAATGTCTCTCGGAAATGCCCGATGATGCCGTGGCCCCGAAACGTCAACTATAAAACAAAAACGGATAAGATAGAACACAAATGGAAGGAAGACTTCGGAATATATAAGCTTGTTTTGGACACCCCATTCACGGCAAAATATGTATACAAGTAGAAGCATGCAATAATGCTATTGCATTTCGCCTGATGAATGTGGTAGCCAAGCTCCTAAAGGCTGGCCTCGCAACTGCAACCGTATAGTAGTTTTGGAAGTCTGAGTGGCGGTTAAACACTTCACATAACGTTAACCAAAGTGTCTTTTTGTCAACGTTTTTTGTAGGAATAGTCATGTTCTAAACCAGTAGGCCAATACCAATATTTATATCAATAAAGTACAAAAAAAAAACCGGCCAGGTGCGAGTCGGACTCGCGCAGGAAGGGTAATGTATAAAAACGGCAAAACAAATCATGTCTGGTGTATGGGAGATCCACTTAAATATTTTTTATTCTGTTTTTTTATATGTTCTTATAGCGGCAACAAAGATGAATCGTCTGTGAAAATTTCAACTGTCTAACTATCAAGGTTCATGAGATGGTGACAGATGGACAGACAGACTGACACCGAAGTCTTAATATTGTGGTCCCGTTTTATCCTTTAGTTACGGAACCCTAAAAATTATGCACACAGTTTTCCCATTTTTTTGACCCAATGAATGAATATACAATAGTGACACTTTGGGGGAGGCTTACGTTCAGCAGTGGACGGCAATAGGCTGATATTGTATTGTAGTTATAAAGTACCGCACCGGATACAACCGCATTCTATGAGAGTGCAGTGTTAAAATGTTTCTTCCTTTTTAGGGTGGTTACGGTTTGCCGGACAGCGAATGTTACGCCGTCTACATAGCATTGAACATGCTGGCAATCAAAGAGCCCGTTGCCACTGTCAGGTCAGGTGACTAAATTTCGCGCGGGAAAATCGGTTTAATTAGAACGTATGTTAAGAAACATAGTGAAGACAAATTATTTGTATTAAAGACAAGAATTAAAAACATTTTCGACCGCTGAAAATTCTGTATTCGTGTTCAGAGGTAGTGCTTTGCATATATACCCAAAGAAAGAAAAAGGCGTAGGTTTTTTAAGACAACGAAATGGCTTACCGCAAAAGTTCGATCGAAAGTTTTCGTATATTGTTATCGGTTTTAAAAATGCGTTCAACTTAATTCGAAGTTACATCTTTCTTCTGAAGCGCATAAATACTGCATATGATTCTCCCTCTTCGGTGAACCGACTGTTTTTATGTAAAATTTTCACATAAAACACATTTGATTTTAATTCAGATACGATTACTTGATTTCAGATTTTTTGGTAAGATTTTTGGCACCAAGGCAAATTACTACGTTGCTGAGACTGATCTCACCATCGAGGAGCTGGACCGCAGAGTCCGGGTTGGATTCCTAATAATCTCATATTTTTTTTTATTGAATATTGGTATTAGTTTTTTTTTATGTTGGTAACAAGTAAAACTTTAGTCTTTGCATTCAAAATGAAATTTAAAATGTGATTTTATTTTGTAAATAATTTTTAATGAAAGAAAAAGACTGCGGCGAAAATTATTGGAAGTTTCTGCGAAAAATACATCACGTCTTACAGATACTAATAGCAAATAATAGGGATGAGCTAGTGGTTGGAATGTAGATTTGCTGGTAGCGTGTACCGTAGAGTTTTCCGTTAATTTGTTTTTTTTTTGTGTAAAAATGCTATCTTTGTCCTTAGGATTGAAAAGCGTGAGAGCATAATTTTCTTGTAATTACTAAAATATGAATAACTAACCGTGGCTTCGCCTGCGCGACCAAAGGAAATAACACGGAGTTTTTTATTTTACACCAGAATATCTCGCAGATGGATGAATTTTTTCCTACTTAGTTGACACTTATCATTACCTATATTTTGACAACTCACACAACGTCTTTATAAATTATAGGCTATGTGTTATTCTGATGTATAATCTATATTATTGTAGAGTTTCATTAAAATCTGTTCAGTATTATTTGCGTTAAAGAGTAACAAACATACATCCATACATCAGACTTTCGCGTTTATAATATTAGTAAGAAGTAAGATAAATCGTGATTTTATACTAGGAGTTTGACATGAAAGACATGCCTGGCGAGGGTGAGGGTCTGACCGAAGAACCTGTTCAAGAGAATGAGGAGCAGAAGGAGATGAGTATGTTTTTGGCATTTCCCTCCGAATTCACCGTTGTTATAATCTGCTTAATGCCTTTACACTAGAACGCAATTACGAAATACAGCTTTATAGATCAAGTAAGCTGGATCAATTATTTTTAGCTTCTTTTTTTCTCGCTTTCACGTAGTTTCTTTAATCTCTCACTTTGACAGTGTTGAGTAACTATGCAGTGGGTAATTTGTTTTAAATTTAATCGATTATGTATTCCAATAATCAAATCAAACATATTTAAATTACACGAAATAAGTGACTCTTGGATTTGGCGAGAATATTAAGCTATAAGCAGCTATTGTAATAGCCCGGAAGTTTCTTTATCCGTGGCAAACTATGTTCTATAATTAGTGGGAGAAGGCGAAGAGCTTGAATTGAAATCGAAGGAGCTAGTGCCACCGAAGCTGCCGCCCCTGCCAGTGTCCACTTGGCAGCCGGAACCACCAATACCGGTTGAGAGACCCGGCCAAGGTGTCAATAAGAAGGTAATTTAGAAATTATAGCACTGCGAGTATGACTTAACACTTTTTCTGTTTATGATAGTGCGGTATTCCTGTTTAAAAAAATATATGATTTTAATCTGAACTACTGACAACTCTCTTTGAATCTCAATTGTGAATGAAGCAATGTTAAAATAATTTCAAAGAACACGTTTTATGCTGTGACTCTCAAATATCACCGATAACACCAGAACCGTAAAGCCAAATTTTGCTGATGGCGTTAGCTTCGATCGAACGCGCATTAAATAATTAATATTTTTACGGACACATTTTTACACAACGTCCTCTAGTGCCAAACTAAGCAACGCTTGTACTATCGGTACTAGATAATTAATAAACATACTTAAACATACTTTTCTTTTGTAAATAAATACATATTATTATAAATACCCACACACTGGAAAATCGCAATGTTCATCACACGATATATTTTCAGTAGTGTTGATCGAGTCCACACCCTGGCGCAGGAGGCAGGTTCACTACATCCTATGCCAATGTGTCGACACAAAACAAGAGGCCGCTCGCACTGCGCTTTCAGTCTCCTTTTGCCAATTTCAAACAATTTGTAGGTGTACTGGGTGTGCAACTCGCTGGGCGAACCGTGGATCTGCCTCCCGGACACCACGCCAGCCCAGATCCGGGTGGCGAGGCTAAACGTGCGCGTTATGACCGGAGACTTGGACGCCGAGGTAGCTCTCACCAGTTAATCTCGCCTAAGGCTGTATAAAGATCTGTATCCGGCTCGAAGGACCTATTGTAGGAAATGCACAAAGCCCAACCACAGTAATAGACTGCCTTCCAAGTTGCCCTGAGGGTTACTCGTGTAAAACAAGCAGGTTAACAACATTAGTAACAAAATGAAGTACATAATTCATATTAATCAGCTGTTAGAAAGCTATTGTAAAAAATTGTATAAATGATTACAAAATAAATAACGAGCATGGGATGAGGAAATGGTCCACTGGTTAGCATCCGCCAAATTGGTATACAATCTCAATAAATCGTTTCTCACCGGAAAATTGACATAAGAATAACCAGATCCTCACAGTCGCTTGCCACCAAAACCAATTGTACATAGTAATTGGTGAACCCAATCGATGTAACTGAATAGTACCACCTTATGGACATAAGAGACATTTGACGTTTAATCCTAAGACAATATCACTAAAACGTATTGACAATTTATCGTGATTCAGTTGCCTTGCTGCTACTGTAACATATTTTGATTCCGTAGTCTTCTCAGATGGTCTACAGCCAATGTTGTGTCAAGTTCCGAATACCCTGTGGAATTTCACCAAGCGTAGAGATCTCCATTGACCATACAGTCTGTGTGTCAAATTGTGATTGATCAGACCTGTTTCTAATCCGAAAAGTGATTCTGATTAACCTTATCGATGATGAAGGTTTGGTTGACAACGATGTCAGCCGATGATCTAATAATTATAACACAGATACAAACGTTCCCGCCATTCGAGGGCACCGAGCGTCATTACTTGCGCGCCCAAATCGCTCGCATCGCCGCCGCTACTTCCGTCTCTCCGCAGGGCTTCTACACCTTCGGCTCGGGAGAAGAGGAAGAGGACCTGGATATGGAGGAAGCTGGAGGCATGTTGAGCAATGATATTTCTGCGATAGCTGTGCCATGATAGCTCATTGTCCAGGCGGTCGCTTTTAATTCAACATACTGAGCGAAGGATGTGTTCGATCCCCGGTGCCAGAATGAAATTTAGCACTTAAAATGAACAAGTCTGAATTATAAAGTGCTCAGCGGTGAAGGAAAACATCACGAGAAGCGTGCTAATTTTCGAAATAATTACAAAAAAAAATATTACGAAGATAATTATGTGATGTCCGCCAATCCGCAGTGGGGCCATGTGGCACACAGCAGTGGGACATTTATAGGCTGGAACATTACTACATCTATTTATATGATTTTAATAATAACTACTGACGTATAAAAAAACTTACTCCTAATATCCATTAGGAAGGAACTATATTCAATTTAGATTTTAAATAAGGCCTCAATTTTGTAATTATATCATAAAACCATAGAGGAAATTTAGCCCGATCTAAGAAACGTTCGTTGCGTGCATTAGATATGAACTACAACCAGAACCCGTTCTACACCGGGCACACCATCAAAGACCTGGTGGACCCGTCGCTGGGCTACTGGGTGCACCACGGGCGCCACATCCTGCAGCAGGGCAGGACCATCTGGTGGAACTCGCGCGCAGAGTTGGAGGCGAGTATCGTTTTGGTGTTTACTACACCACTTCTTTAAGTGTAGCCTGATAGAGTAGAATTCCGTGGAATGACGGGGGCACATTTGTTTGAAAGCTGACAAATTGGTGTTGCAAATGTTCATGAGCAAGGTTACCACTTAAGAAAAAAATCAATAAACCAAGCAATCTATATAGTCAGATCATGCGGAAATCAACTCTGCGGGTGTTGCAAATTTCCATGGGCGGCGGTTACTAATTAACATCAGGTGAACAGTCACCTCAATTGCTATCTTCTTACATATAAAATAAAAATTTTATGCAACCCTTAATAGTGTTCGAAATAAGGAATAGATAATTGCTTCATGTATTTTTTGGCACTCTACAGTTTCATTCACGAATATAGCAGGGGGCGCCTTGTGCCAAAAACTCTGGATTAGAACTGAGTTATACTATTAAAATATGTAGAAAAAGTACTTACTAAGTAAATAGTTATACTAGGTTAAATCGAGTACCTATTACGCCTGTTCCTGTTACTTAATAGTTACAGTAATAAAATAACAGCGTGTTATTTCATACTGCGTTGTAACTATTTGTGTAATTGTTACCATAGAGTGACATATTGTATGTTACTCTATGATAACGTCCTTACTTCCATTTCTAATAAAGCTATACGATATATGATCGATGTAAGATAAATTAATACGCCTGACTCTTACTCTGGATTCGTTTAGTCACCAATCAGCGACCCGCTACGGCTTCGCACGTGTACAGTGTATTATACTGTAAGAGATGGTCTAATGGTTATGGTCTATGCTTCATGGCTGTGGTCTATGGTTCCGATAGACAAACTATATAAAAACGGTGGAACTCTGTTTGGTAAATCAATTATTCGTTAGCACTCGAGTAGTGCGGAAACGCTGCTGGTTCGCTAATGTGTAACGGACGTATTTCTTGTTCGTAACTTTTTTAAGCGTTTTTATTCAAATTTTCCTTAAAATACATATGCTATAATTCCTCTTGAATCACTCTATCTAGTAATAAAAACGTTGCGTAGTTGTAAAGATCTAAGCATACATAGGGACAGACAGCGGGACGACTTTTATACCATGCAGTGATAAAGTAGGGGGCGCCTTGTGCCATAAACGCAGGAGGAGGGAGAGGAGGAAGAGGACGAGGCCCCTCCGATGATCGAGCCGGAGGTCGGACCCTCGCTGTTCAGCCCGCTCTCCGGGGACGCTCCTGTCTCTGGCGCCGCGCCGTGGAGCGCCAGGGTCAGCTCCACGCTCACCAGCTCCAGGGCGCTGGCGGTTTTACGCAGCAACCTGTGGCCCGGCGCGGTCGCCTACGCCACCGACGGCAAGTGAGTGCGGCCAAAAAGCGGATCTTCTTCGAATCGTGTTTCTTCGATTATACAGAGTGATTTCATAGACGACGGACATATTAACAGAGCATATGCAGAATTTCTTTATTTTATATTTTTATTTTTTATTTACGTACTTGTGACCTCTTTTTTTTTCAAAGATTATTTTTAATTTTTTCAAACATTATGGACACCTTAAGATATTCCTTCCTTACCGTCTCAATACAATAACCTATTGAAGAGCACTAAAACTTTTCGCCGAACGCATAATTACTAAACCACCACTCTTAACGGGATAAACAAACAATGTTTGGATTGATATTTTTCTGGTTATTTCTTGTCAAAAAAAAATATTTTTTTTGAATTATGGATTGCTCAATTAACATTATGTCAAAGTATGCACTTCGTCTAAAAAATTACCCTGCATATGCGTCAATCTGCCCACGCGTCACGTCAATCTGCCTTAGCCGCCAAACTTCACATGTGTCTACTAATACTACATTTCGCAATCGAGGTACAGGCTACTCGCCCTTAGCGCCCGGCTACCTAAAGCCCGGTGGATCTGTAAAAGCCTCATCAAGGCCAACAGTGGACGATCCATAAAAAAAGCATACTCAATCTCATGGGAACTGCCGACAGAAGTGAAAACATAAAACAATATCAAGATTAATAAAAATAATAATATTTAATGCTACATATTTTATAAGCACTCCGAACGATAATAACAGTATTTATATCATATCCATAACTATATTTTATTTATTATAAATATTCGTTTAACTATATTTACGTAATTACTAATTACTTTTTTTAGTATTTTTTCGTATTTACTAATTATTACGTTTTTTAAAAATAGCTCATGGAAAGCGTTCGGTGATGATGACGCGAGTTTCACGCTTTTTGTTCACCCAAAAAGTTCTCAACGCGCCTAAAGAAGTTTTGCACTAAAATAAAGTCGATTTTTTTAACGAAAAACAAAACCGACTTCAAATATCTCGTTCTGTATCCATTTTACAATCGATTTTCATGAGTTCCCTGCGTATCTCCGGAGCTCAAGATCCAATACCAATGAAATTATATATTGGACCACACGGGAAGCACTAGCTTTCAAATAAATAAAGAATCATCAAAATCTATTCACTCGGTCGAAAGTTCTGAGGTAACAAACATAAAAAAAAAATTCAGTCGAATAGAGAAGCTCCTCCATTTTTTGAACTCGATTGTACGTTCAAACGATGTGGGAAGATCGCACTGACTCGCCGCTCCCGTGCGCAGGAGGTCGGAGTGCATGTACGTAGGCTGGGGCCAGAAGCACCAGCCGCCCAACTTCTCGCCCCTGCAGCTGCCTCGACCGCAGAACGAGTACCCCATCGGCCCCGAGGTCATGGAGATGGCCGACCCGACCTTCGCCGATGAGGAGGTAGCATAAGCACCAGTTTGTTATGCGGTGCAACAAGTTGTTCACTGTTACTCTATTATAGTTCGATCACGTGTGTAAAATTCCCACCTTCGCCGATGAGGAGGTAGCATAAGCACCAGTTTGTTAATATTTGGTCCTCTGTGTCCGGGCGCTCGCCTTTAATTGAATATACTCGAGCAACCTGAGTTCGATCCCCGGTGCCAGCACCAATGATATTGTTAATTTTAAGTTCTGAAATATCACGTGTTCAACGGTGAAGGAAAACATTGTGAGGAAACCTGCATAATTTTGAAATAATAATGAAAAAATAATAATTTCGAACATATGTGAAGTCCGCCAATCTTCCAGTGGGGCCGCGTGGTGGACTATGCCCTGATACCCTCCGTACAGAGGAGGCTTTTGCCCAACAGTGGGACATGTATAGGCTGAGACTATACTTTACTATAGAATGCATTTTTCATCCATTTCCTTTATTAGGTCGGAACTAATGAGAAGTAAACTCACTAGTTTGACTATTTAACTAATGAAAGGAAATAGTGAGAACAAACTGATATTTTCCTCAGGCCTATCGCATTGCCCACCTGCCTCCCGCCCCGGCGTTAGAGATCCCCGGAGAGGGAGAGGCCTTCGGCGAGGAGGAAGAGGAGGAGGAAGACTGAATAATGCCATTTTAGGATGAGTTTAGCAATGGCAAAAGGAACAACTCAATTAGTTCGCGTTTAGAGGAATAACCTGCAATTTGTTTCAAAAGGGTAATAAATTTTGCATTAAAAACTACACGTGTGTGATGTTTAATTTGTCCTTTTTGATGGTTATTAATTTTAGTCAGCATTAAATAAACATCGGGAGATGCTTGAAGCCACTGTCCTTGTGGTGGGCAACGCAACATAGTGTCCACCTGTAAGCGGTAAATAACAGTATGATTTATATGATTTTGTGTATATACCAGTCAACACAAAGTTGACGAACTGGAAAAACACTATGTTCATCACACAATATTTTTCCAGTAGTGGGGATCAAACACATACCCTCTGGCGCAAGAGGCAGGTACACTACCCACTACGCCATTCGTGTCGTCTAATAATAATAGACTCATCACGATATCACGAGACTTTAAATTTTTTAGGAATATTCGTTTCGCCGAGTAGAGGTCATCTAAGAACGGATTTTACTAAATTCTACAAAACAACATGCAGTCTTGAATGCTCCACTGAAAAGTCATATCGTAGTTATCGGAGGGCCTGAAAATTGTTTCTTGCTTCCACTACTAGTTGGTGTACAGTAGCAAAGGTTTTTAATAGCATATAACTTTTAGTGCGCGAAGTTACACAGATAACTTGGTTAACGTGGTGAGGAAGGTTGAAATAAAAAAGAGCAGTTGGACTTACTAGCTATTTAATAACATTTATTTACAGACGCATCATATTTTGCAAACTACATAATGAAACTAACAATAAATTAACAGCCGGAAACAGACATATAAACAGTGGTATATTGCGGAACTTATATGCTTACGATAAACGATTTTACGATAAATCGACAGTTTGGTAAAACGTCGCCCAGTGGTCGAAATTCGACCATAATTAATATTGTACACGGTAGTGTGTAATTTTTTTATTGATTTAATGTATCTTTGTGCGTAATTAAAAAAATGTATTATCATTCTGCATTCCTCTATACAAACTATAAGTGTGGGAAATTTCAAACTCCTCCGTCAGCGCAGTTTTCGTCAAAAGGGGTACAAAGTTTTTGCTTCACGTATTTTAATAAAAAATTTACGGAATGTGCAAAAGAGTCAAATTATATTTTGATAGTTCGCTCTTATAAATAAATATTCTTGGATAAATAATTTGGTATTGTTTAATATTTGAGTTATCGATAAAAGTATTTTAGATCTACCACTGCTAATAGACATATAAATACATTACGGTTAATTTTTAGGGGATTGGTTACGAATAATGAGATTTTATCGTTAAAACGTCGATAAACTAAGTATTTTGTCTGGCTTAAAGACATCAGTTAGCATCTAACTGACTAAACGTGAACTGGAAGTATGTAATAGAAATTTACATAGGCTCTATACAGGGAGATTTTTTGAGAAGTGCCCAAATTTACACAGGAGGTTCAAACTCGGTAGTATAATCGTTTATTGAAATAAAAAACAAAGTTTTTTTTTTCCCACAAAAATGCCATTCTATTCCCTAAAAAACAGAACGTGTTGACAATGCGTCATTCATAAATACATAAATTTTACTGTGCACTAACTTGTGTGCGTGTTAGTTATGAATGACGCGCGTATAAATGAGTTGCCCATAAATCACGCACTTTTTGAGATAAGTTCAAATGTGATTTTAAATATTTATCATTTTTTATATAACATTATTTATGTCTAGAATTTAATAAAAAAAATGGATACACTTAGAAAAGCCACTTTGTATATTTGTATAGAGCCGCCGCTCACGGCGTCCAACTTTTTCACAAAAAAGGGAACCTTATAAGATTCCCATTGGGGGAAATATACGAATTTGAGTGCGGCGTGTTGTCGCGTCGATTGCGGGTAAGGGGGCGGGGGGTAGTGGGCGGGGAAGGGCTTCCCCTGTGCTTGTTGATGCTTAGCTCCGACTGCGGACGAGCTGAAGGCGGTTGAGGGAGGTGAGGGGTGGGGGGGGAGGGAGAGGAGGGAGGTAGGAGAAGGGGTTCACTTGTGCTTGTTGATGCTTAGCTCCGACTGCCGACGAGTTGAAAGCGATTGAGGGAGGTGACGGGGGGGAGAGGAGGTAGGAGAAGGGCTTCCCCTGTGCTTGTTGATGCTTAGCTCCGACTGCGGACGAGCTGAAGGCGGTTGAGGGAGGTGAGGGGGGGGGGGGAGAGAGGAGGTAGGAGACGGGGCTCACTTGTGCCTGTGCAGCTGCGGCGCGGAGAGCTTGACGCGCCCGGGGAAGTTCCTGGCCACGTTCTCCTCCTTGACGGCCTTGAGGAGGTCCCTCTCGCGGGGCGTGGCCGTCCGCTCGCGCAGGAACACCTGCAGCGCCGTCCTGGCCGCCTTGCCCCGCCTGCCCGTGCCCGGGCTCAGCTTCACCTTGTACCTGTCTCACACGAACGGACCACCTTTTAAAAAGGGCTCCGGATGCCTCGCTCACCAGACGGAACGGAGAAGTGTAGCACCAGGTCCTCTCCCGGATGGAACTGCCCGTTCGTGAAACATCGAAGACTGTCGCGGGGCCCCACCACAGTTTGACTACTCACATCTGTTTCGGAATGGGGGACGACACTTGCCATTTCCCATTCGTCACTCGTGACGGTAATCGGTTCCATTTGAAACACTTCCTGGTGCATAAATTATGCTCTCTGTGTCGAATATTTTGCATCGATCTTCTTTCGCCTTTCAGATCCTAATTTGTAGCAGTTCTTTAAACAAATTAAATCTGTTAGGTCCATCTCGTTTATCCTACTTTAGAATAAATGAGATGTAACGCAAGCACATGACTCAGACAGTTGGAAGAGATGAAAAGAGATGGGGGGGACCCACTTGTAGTTGGAGGGCCACGTGGCTCAAGGAGTTGTAAGATACGGGAAGAGGCAAGAAGAGAGGGGAAGTGACCCACTTGCAGTTGAGAGCCATGTGGCTCAAAGAGTTATAAGAGTTGGAAAGAGATAAGAAGAGAGGCGGGGAGACCCGCTTGTAGTTGAAGACCGCGTGACTCTATGAGTAAGAAGAGACAAGAAGAGATAAGAAGAGACCCACTTGTAGTTGAGGAGCGCGGAGTAGGGCGCCACCACCGGCACGGCGAACAGCAGCTCGTCCTCCGGCAGAGGGCAGCCGCTGAGCTGGTTCAGCAACTCCACCTCCGTGTCGGCGCCGGGCTGCTCCGGCTGCTCCGGCTGAGGGGTTCAGGGTCAAGGTCACACCGGACAAAAAAAACAAAATCACTAATTCATCGACATACATTTATTTCATCTATCGATGGTCATATTGTTTCGTAATGAGGTTCCTCTAACCGAGAAGAAACTGGCGAAAGAAACTCCGCAGGTATCCTCTTTTTCGCCGTTTTTCTTTTCTTAAGAAAAAATTTAAATACTATACAACTGTTTTTATTTCTTCTTCCTCCATCCGACGTCCTCCGACATCCTCTCTAGCAGTCTTTTTGGTCTTTACTAAAACGCACAGCCTGTGTCCCGGTCACAGACTCAGGTCTAGATGAACTGAAACTGATCGACTAATAGACTGAACAACTGAGATTGGACGCAGTATAGGAGAGCTGCGTAGACCTAGCGTAAAGCAGAATCTAATTGACCGCGATCGATATGTGTAGTGTTGCATTTCCGCTGAACATTAAAGGTCCGTTTAGAAAACTATGATCTGGATCAAGTTTAATTCTTTAATTTTTTTTTAAAACAAAGAACTTACCGATTAACGTGGATTCACGTGGATCCGAAACAATTACCTATCTGCGGGTCATCAAATAATAAATAAATATTTCGGACATCTCTAATCTATCTCTCTCTCTTCTCTCTACACAACATTTAGTCCCAAACTAAGCAACGCTTGTAGTATGGGTACTAGATAACTGATAAACATACTTAAACATATTTTTCTTATGTACATAAATACATATTATAGATATATAAACATCCACACACTTGAAAAACACTATGTTCATCTCACAATGGTTTTCCAGTAGCAGTGACCTAACTCAAACTCTGGTTTATATAACTAGTTTGAGTTAGGTCACGAGAGTTGAGGTCGTCACCTCGGGCTCCAGTTCATCATCAGAGTCCGCTTCCAGCAGCACCGGAGCCGGCTGCGGGATCTTCGGCGAGGCTTTGCCCTTGGTGGTCTTCGCCATCGCCCTCTTCTGCGCCTTCTTCGACTCCTTCGCCGCGTTCGACGACTGCGAAGGCATTGCGTTGTGGGCAGCGGGACGGTGATTGATATATAAACAATTTTCGCGACTAATCACAACATTCGCCACAGGTCAGCGACACACCGATATAATTACAACGAGAGGCGAAATTTTTTTTATGTGAATAGTTAAAGTAGGCGTTTTATTTTTAACTTTATTTTATTGAGCAACAAAATCGACAGCCATCTGTTAGTTTACATTTATATCACATATGGTTAACTTACAGCCAAGAAAGAATTTACATTATACAGGGAGGCTTTTCTATTCCATTCGGTATCCATTTTTTAAATTAAAGACATAAATAATGTTATATAGAAAATGATAAAGATTTAAAATCGCGCGTAATTAATTAATTACATTCATTTTAACATATCTCAAAAAGTGCGTGATTTATTAAATAAATGTGTTGCCCCATTTATTTTACACGCGGTCATTCATAACTTACATGCACAAACGTTTGTTTCAAAAGTATACGACGCATATATGAATGACTACTGCATTGTCAACAAGTTCCGTTTTTTAAGGAATAGAATGGCAGTTTTTTGAAAAAAACAAAAAGTTTGTTTTTATTTCAATAAACGATTACACTATCGAATCTGAACATCCTGTGTGAATTTGGGCACCTTTAGAAAAGCCACCCTGTATGGTTCAACTCATGTTAAGTGATTACCGTCGCCAATGGATACTTACAACAGCCGAGGGTTTGTAGATGCGTTGACAAACTTTTAAGACGAAACGCGAGAGTATAACACTTACGCTTCACTACGGTCCTATATGAGGTTGCGGTACTTCCCCGGAGTGACTCGCTCTTACTTGCAACAGTAGAAGCTGCTGCGTGTTTATAATAAGGTGGCAACTCGTGCAACACTACGGGTGTTGCAAATGTCCATGGGCGGCGGTTATCACTTAACGTCAGGTGTACCGCCAGCTCGCGTGCCACCTTCTCACATAAAACAAATCGACCAAGCGCGAGTCGGACTCGTGCACGAAGGGTTCCGTACCATTATCTATAAAAAGGCAACCCCCACTTAATTCTTTTAAAAATTTGTTTTAGTATTTGTTATTATATGGGCAACAGAAATATATCATCTAAGAAAATTTCAAATGTGTGACTATCACACATGAGATATAGCCTGGTGTCAGACAGACGGACAGTTAGACATACAGACAGGCAGGGGAGTCTTAGTAATAGGATCACGTTTTACACTTTGGGCACGGAACCCGTCTTAGCAACAGGGTCACGTGTCACGGAATCCTAATAAAGAATAATCCCTCCATTACCGCTACATCGCTTACCTGCAATATCGTCATCATCACGGCCCTATCCTCCTCGTCCTGGTCCCTGTACTTCTCTTTGATCTTCTTCAGCTTCCCCTTCTGGCCCCTCTTCAGAGTCTGTTTGTCCTCCTGCTTCTCCTCTTTGGCCTTCGGCGCCGGCGCGGCCGGTTTCTTCTTCGGCTTGCTCTTCTTCGGCAGCGCGGGGAAGCTTGGCACTGGCTCTGGTGAATGCAGACGAGGAACTAAACGTTACCGCTGCATTGACTGGTTGTTGATTCAAAAGACCCTCAACCTCATGAGACGTTGGCATGTGAACTGAAAACGGACCCTGGATCCTGACTGTAGGTCATCTTAGGACGTCTTCGAGAAAATAGTCACTGTTGCATGAATGGGCAGGTCCGTCCGGGTAGTTACCGAAGTGGAGGCGTTGCACCTCTGCGTTTCGTCTGTTGAGTGTGGTAGCCGGGGCCCACTTTGTTAAAACACGGCAACGCATCTACAACCCTACGGGTGTTGCAAATGTCAACGGGCGGTGATCAGTTAACATCAGATCAACCGCCTCCTCGCCTGCTAAGAAAAACTAAACATGCAATTCGTGCATTTTATTTATCCCTTTTCCATCTCGACCAGCAATCGCAGTCCCGTCGAATGGCACATGAAACCACACGTGGTATAGCCACGCTCCTCTAACTCGTTTCAGAATGACCCGTACCCGTGGGTAATTCTATCTCTTTCGTGACCCTAGAACGCTGACCTTCATCTTGATCTTCCGACTTGGGGACCGTGTGCATGTGACGCATCACGATCACTTCGCCGCTGATCGGGTCCACCTGGAAACGAACAAACAAAAATTGGTCAATAGCAATTATTATTTAACAATAATTGGTTGATAGCAGTTACTGCTTCTCACGTGAAAGTAGGCGAACGAACAGTCGTTTACCTGATGTTAAGTGACTACTATCGCCCATAGACATCTACAATACGTTTCCAATCGTTTCCAATCGATATTATGTACGTAGAGGTAGATATGACACTAGCCCACCGAAACTGAGGCACTCAAATGACGCCAATTGGTGTAATTAGATTGCAACTCTATAGACTGCTATCTCTTTCCGTATCATACGTTCTATATTATCTTGTCACATTCACTTATGTATGTCCCTTAATGTAAAGCGGAATTTTCAAATTTACTAAAAGGTATTTTGGTAAAATTTTGTTTAAAGGCGAGGCATCTGCAACCATACGGTTTTGCAAATGTCGATAGGCGTCGGCTCGTCACATAAAAAAACAGATACAATCTTTGGGAATACCTTGACGAATGTCAGTGCATCTTCCTCGTCGCAATAGTCGAGCTGGTTCTCCTTCAGCTCTTGCTTCTCATCTCCAACCTCCGCTTCTGCTTCCTTCTCTTCTTTTTGGTCCAATGTCACTTCCTCCTTAATCGTGCTCAAGTCTCCCTCTCTCTGCGTTCCCTTCTCTTCCTTGTCGGACGCCTCGTCTGCCAACGAATTTCTTTTAATATAACAATTTTAATTGTGGCAGCCCTGCCACGCAACAGCTTCGGCTGTTGCACGGACGGGCAGGTCCGTCCGGGCTAGTACCACGACCTCAGAGGAGACCGGCGTGAAGTGGAAGTGGATCTGTAAACCAACGGATTTTGCAAATGTCCATGTATTAAGACTGTCCAGTTTGGGCGGCGGTTATCACTTAACATCACGTGAACCGCCAGGTCACTTGCCACCTTCTCACATAAAAAAATCCTCGGATGAGAGAAGGCGGCTAGTTGTTAAGCGAGGACGTTCCTAAACTTGTAAGAAATTCTTAGATGTGGTTACCATCATCGGAGACTGGGATCTCTACGTCCTCAAGCTGAGTGGAAGCCGGTTCCTCCTTTTCCTCCTCTCCCACCAGGATGCACCGCCTCTCGTTCAGATGCCGCTCGATGCAGCTGTCCTCAAGCTAAAAGCAGTAGAAAAAATGTATACTTAAGCACATTTTTTTTTATTTAGTTTTATAGTGCTAGTTCTTGCACTCCAGGTAAAACAGTAAAATTGATACACAAAATGGACGAAAAGCTTTGTGTCGGAATTCGAATCCACGTCTTCCGCGACCAGACGCTTTAACCACTAAGCTAAAGTCTTAGACTAACTAAAAATATGAAGTAAAACTTTTGGTCCATTTTTTTTACAAATTATAATGTTTCTTCTTTAAAAGCCGTGATAGCTCAGTGTCCGGCCGCTCGCCTTTAATTCAATATATACTCGCGCAACCTGAGTTCTATCCCCGGTGCCGGCACCAATGAAGTTTTTAACTTTAAGTGCTGACTTATCACGTGCTCCGCGGTGAAGGAGGAAACCTGCATATTTTCGAAATAATAACAAAAAAAAATTACTTTCGAAGATATGTGAAATCCGCCAATCCGCAGTAGGACCGCGTGGTGGACTATGCCCTGATACCCTCTGTACAGAGGAGGCCTTTGTCCAGCAGTGGGACATGTATAGGCTGTGACTTTAATGTTTCCTCTTTAAGGCAGGATTAGCACTGTAAATTTTGAATTTCCAAACGAAATATTTAATATTCCGAAATAATATACACATAACCGCCAACATAGACCAATATAGACCGCATCGTCCAGACCTTAGCTGTCTCCGAATGACTTGGAAAGGTAAGATTGTATTCTTACTGGTCCGCTTCTTAGCCACCTGCTAGAAGAGAAAAGAGCGAGACACGCACCCGGAAGAGGAAGCCGAAGCCGAACTGCATCAGGTCGGGCAGCAGGTAGTTCTTCTTGCCGCGTATCATGAAGGAGCCGGTGGTGAGGTACTCCCCCGTGGGCGCCGACTTGGAGACCTGGTGCGCGTGCACCCACCAGGCGCGGGTGGCCACGCGCGCCTCCCACGCCACGCTGCGGAGTGGGATTTTCCACAGTCGGTGGGTACAATAACGGTTGTAGGAGTACCAGCTCTGGTTCCAGGGTCGATGCATCCAACAACGGATGTGATAGCTTCTATTCGCTGGAATATAGTGGCTTGGTAGCTAACCAGACCCACCGTATTTCAGGGAATAAAACTGATTACAACTTGAAAAGAACAGAAAATACATGTTTCGACATAGATATATAGGCTATTTGCTTTTTTTTACTTTAACTTTCACAAAATAATCGAGAAAAACTGAAGTGGGGATGACTCGTGCTCGAACCCAGGGGATTGAGTAAAGTTGCTGGCTACGACTAATAAGAATTTTTCAAAGAAAACACAAAAAAACATGGACTTTAATTATGTTACTTAATTGTGAGTACCTTTCTAGTCCTATGACCTCACCACAGATGCGAGGCTAATATCAGTGGTGACCACCTGTAGACAAGGGTATATGTACGTGCACGAGACCGCTTGTATGTGTGGGGACGAGTATACAGTGAGGCTTTTTTAAATGTATCCATTTTTTATTAAATTCTAGAAATAATGTCATATAAAAAATGATAAATATTTAAAATCTTTCGTAATTAATTAAATACATTCATTTGATCTTATCTCAAAAAGTGCGTGATTTATGGGCAACAATTTCTGTTTTCTAAGGAATGGAATGGAAATTAAAAAAAAAAAAAAAAAAAAAAGAAGTTTGTTTTTATTTCAATAAACGATCACATCGCCAAGTCTGAACCTCCTGTGTGAATTTGGGCACCTTTAGAAAAGCCACCCTGTATACAGCGTGTCGTTACCATCGCGACAATAAATCAACACACGTGTAACGCTACTTGCCAATTATCATAAAAAAATATTAACGTTAAACAAAATCCGTAATTAAAAAAAAAATATTTTTCAAACAAACTAATTAAGTAAAAAAGAAACAAAATTTGTAACATCCTATACAACTCGCGCAAGAGCGTCGCATGACAAGCCTCTCCTTCTAACAGTATGTTTTGTCTCTTTTAAATTCATTCAACCCATTCATATGCTTTGTGACCTTTACAAATGAACTTTACGTTACAGTTTTATACGTAAGGATGTTCTAAAATTGTTTGTTTTGGAAAATATAATAACTCTGTAAATATTGTTGTTTAAAGAATGTAAATGCTCAATACAATTTTTAAAAGTTATCCTCTATATGTGTGCTCATTTATTGTCGCGGTGGCACGACACGCTGTATACTGGTGCGAGGCTCATGCTAGTGTCAGTGGTGTTCCGTCACCTGTAAGCGAGGGTGTATGTACGTGCACGAGACCGCTTGTATGTGTGGGGACGAGTATATATACGGGTGCGAGGCTCATGCTCGTGTCCAGTCAGATAATAGCTACCGATCGAGCCGAGGTCCGGCCCTCTCGGGCACCCTCGAATCGGAATGCTAAACGCGTGCTGAGTGACAGCCCAAGCCGAGGTCCCCTCTCGGGGACCCTTGAGCTTGATCACTCCATGGAGCGCCCGCCAAAGCGCCCTAAGAGCTTGGCGGCATCCCAAACCGGTAACAATAATAGCGTGACGGCCCGAGCCGAGGCTCCCCCGGGAGCCCTCGTGCTTAGTCGCCATAACGCGTAATAATAGTACGCCGAGGTTCAGGCTAGGCGCCTCGTGCGCCAGGCCACCGCAAGTCCGTCGGATCTGTAAAGGCCCTAAAGGCCAACAGTGGCTCATCCAGCCCAAAAAAAAAAAAAAAAAAAAAGAAAAAAAAATGCTCGTGTCAGTGGTGGTCCGCCCCACCTGTAGGCGACGGCCGCCTGCCCCGCCTCGGCGAGCGTCCTGGGCGGCGCGTCGCCCCTGCCGGCCGCCTTCACCAGCACCGAGGCGCCGCCGTGCAGGTCCGCGTGCACGTACAGGTCGCCGGCGCGCAGGTGCCGCTTCACCAGCACCTCGTTCTGCTGCTGGTCGCGGCCCGCGATCACCTGCAGGGCCAAGGTCGGACGCACTGAGTTCGACCATACGAGCATCTTTTATGTGACAGGTTAACACATTTGCAACACCCGAGTTACGCAGACGCGTTGCCACTGTTCAATAAAGTGGGCCCCGGCTACCTCACACACAGGACGAATATTTCAACATTTCAGGATATAATTATTTTCACACAACGTAATCTAGTCCCAAACTAAGCAAAGCTTGTGTTATGGTTACTACATAACTGATAAACATACTTTAACCTACTTTTGTAAATAAATACATATTATACTTATATAAACTAGAAAAACACTATGTTCATTACGCGATATTTTCCCAGTAGTGCGAGTCGGGTTGGTAGAATAGTCACATTTAGCTTATTTTTATTATTAATTCTCACCAAAAAGTTATCCGATGAGATGAACCAGTAGAACTTCTCGAACCAGTAGGTCTTCCGAGCTTTGCTGATGTTGCTAATGGTCTGCACCTCCTTCAGGGTCTGCTTGGTCTTCTTCTCCGCGCTCTTCAAGGCCTTGCCTACCGATTCCAAGGTTTTCTGCTGTTTCTTGGCGGCATTGCGTTTCTGGTCGTAATATCTGCACACAAAAGAAAACAATAATCCCTGAGAAAAGTGAGTACAGCCCGCTATAGTAATCAGTTTTTCATTGAATATTTGTTGTTTTTTCTAATAACTAAGAATAATTTATTATAAGTTTATTCATTCAAAACTTGTATTTCTTCTTAGAAATATATTTTGTTGACCTAATTTAAGAAAGTAATGGTAAATGTTAAGAAATGGCTAAAAATTAGATTTTTCTTAATATTTATAATAACTGCATAGACAATCTATACATAAAAATTTCCATAGGCAGCGGTCATCACTTAAAATCAGGTGAACTGCATCAGCTCACCTCCTCGCATTCGCAAAGGCCGTCAGCGAAAGGTCTATGTCCACCAGCATCGGCTTGAGACGACCATCCAACTCCTCCTCGCTGTCGCCCTCAGCATATGGGTCCGCCAGCAGCAGGCTGATGTGGTTGGTGTTCAGCTTGAGGTGCCTGATGGCGGACGCGACGGGGTCCCCGTTGTCCTGCGCCGTCTTCACCAGGAGCTTGATGTCATCCCAGGACATCTACGGATAGGCGTTACTCAATTAATGATTTAAAGTTTGCTCCAGTGGCATGGACTGGCTGGAGATGTACAGAATTCTTGATTATATTTAGTAATATGAGCAGAAACGTTTTGAACACTACCATGTTTATCGGCAAAATCAAGGAGCCACTAACGTGGGGTAAGACAGCCCTGAGCCCTTTTTATTGATGTCTGCGACTATTAAGAAAGCTTAAACGGGCCCAAAGCTTGGGGAAAGGCTGGGTTTCGGCGAGCTTGATAATCGTACCTAAATAAGGTCACACATGTTGACATGCGTGCATTAACGAAACGAGTGATTGTCTACTGTATTATTCGTTATAATGGACGTACCATGACGTACTTTGTGTACGGGACGGTAGTGTCATACCGAATTTATTAAGGTGTGATTGGGCAACTTATGCAGGTTAGTATGAGTCGTACGCTGGCTTATGTCGCTTCAGGCCTGTACACACTGCTAGAGTTGGCCGAGATAAAATTTACTGGATATTTGGTATAACAATATCACTGATTACATTTCTGTTATACTGCCTGCAGGTTATATCGTTCAGCTAATTTAATGGTCTGCTCCATTTTATTCTCTTTGATATTGTTCAAATTTCAAAGGAATAACTAAGCAGCCATAAACGGTATTTAGGATTTGGACGGAAATTTTACCTGGTTAGCGATGGCGGCCTGTATTGCAATACGAGCCTGCTCCACTAGGGGCTCATTCCTGGATATCAGCTCGGCAGCTATCTTGTCCTCCTCCTGAACCCTGGTCAGCTCGGTCACCCTCTTGTCGTGGTCTTTGCGCACGTTTTGGAGTTTCTTCATCGCCTCCCTTTCTATCTGGATGGTCTGCGAATGGTAAGGTAATGGTGACGGTAAGTACAGTCGACGGATCATGGTCTCGATAGATATACTGTTATAGTTCCTCAAGTCACACCAGGCTTTCGGCTTCAATTGAGTAAAGCGATGGAATATGTGCCATCTATTTTATTAGAATTCGTATCTAGACTGTTGTTTTACCATGTGCAAAGGATACATGATGACAGTCTGATGGACGAAATTGGTTGTGGGCAATTTAAATAGGAAAATTCGGTAAATTTATGACAAAAATGCACTTGATGCATATATGTGGATTAACTTTGAATATGGAGAGCAGGAAAGAAGTGATTTTCCATACTAATGTTTGTGGAAAGTAGAAAAAAACTAGAAAGTAAAGTTTAAATCACTTTGGCGGGTGTGCTATATTAAATGTGGCATATATAAGTTAATAAATGTGGCACAAGGCACTCACCTTCATATCAATCTTCTGCCCCTCTAAGGCGGAGAAAAACTCGTCCACGGCCCTGTCGAAGGTCTCCAGCTCTGTGTGCGGCTGGCCCCTGTACTGGGCGAACAGCATCGGGTGGAACTCCTGGTTGGTCAGCAGGAAATTCGCCTCCTGGCCCTCGGCTGACGGCCGCTCTTCCTTCTTCTGGATTATGTAGCCCTGGAATTATTCATCATCATGATTTTAGCCTGTTCGAGACCGAGACCACCGCTTTAAATAGGCCTCCCCCACAGGCTGCCACGAAACAAGATACCGAGTCACCTGCATCCATCGACTTCCCGCACATTTGGACAGGTCGTCACTCCATCTAGTGGGGGGTCGTTCCCCACGTGGAATATTTATCTTTTATTTATTTATTCTTTTTGAATTGAATCCTTTACAGAAGACATAACACCCGAAAGAATTGAATGGTAGAACTACACAACAGTCTTCACTGTTGTATGAATGGGCAGGGAAGTACCATGACCTCCCTTTTCAGTTCTTTTTTTTAAAATATTGCCCTTACTGTAGGATAAAATTATCCTGTGTAGTGAGGACTTTTCACAAATGCAAATTTCATGTGGATATACACCCAGAATCCCACCCATCCGAAACAATTATCTGTGCGTAACATAAATAGTTGTTCCGTGTGGGAATCGAACCCACGACCGCCGGCGCCGAAGCCAATACCTTGACGACTGCGCCACGGAGTCAATCAGTTTCCAAGCAACATTCCATATTCTGATAAGTTACGAGACGACTCTCACCCTGGCTACTTGATTCTTTGCGGCGTCCAGCAGTTGCTCGGCCTGTTTGAGCGCCGTCACCAGCGTTTCCAGGTCCCTGTCCACCTGGAACCCTGGCGTTTTGTTCACCTTCATGTTCCCAGAGAGGCCGTTCTCCAAGAGCACGTGGTCTATTACCGCTGAACCGTACTCTGGCGGAGGAAAGGCCATGGTGTTGAATAAAGTAAAGTAATAAATATATGACATGAGAAAAAGACTCCATACCAAGATGAGGGTTGAGTATTTTCTTCAGGTTATCACCAGGTTTGCCTTTGGACAGAATCTCCCGCAGGGCATCTCCGCTCGGCGCGGCGTACACGGTCTTTGCCCGTTCTTGGGGATATTTCTCTTTTACGGCGAACCTGCACAGAATTGTTAATTGTTACTTAGGGGCCATACATTAATTAATTGAGGCGATTTTGGCGCCACCTCTGATCTCTCGTAAGATTTTTGAAAATGCGTATTTTGAACGTGAATTTATTTTGTTTATTTTTATTTCGAAACAAAATCATCAGAATGACAGAAATGTCAGAGCATAATAATCAATTCAAAGAGTTTAACTTCCATAACATCCTTTTGACAACTCACTACTTTTGACAATTTCTATGATGATCAGTGTTTGAGAAATTGGGCGTTCTTATTAAGGACACTCTGCAAGCGATTCACTAATGAATTTTGCGCATAACGAGTCGATGACTTAACTACAGCAAATGCACACACATGCACCCCTTGTGTGTCTGGTTCTAATTTTTGGAGTATAGAATCGGAGAACTTCCCTTACAAAGTTCATTCAAGAAAGCCATGTCCAATATGTGAAAAAAACCTGTGCTTGGTTGCGTTGGGTTAATTTAAAAAAGCAAGATACCCTTTCCGTAAAGTTCAGCCCTACACGCAGATTAGCAATATTCTCCTTCACAATGTCTTATGATAGTTTTTACCTGACTTTGTCACCCTCAACGTGGGGACGTAGTACATTCAGAATAGTCCATTCGTAGTCCAAAAGAACTATGTTCCCTCGGTCATAAAGCTCCAAAATAACGTGGTATGCCGCCTCACCACTCCCGAACTGCATCGCGACGATACGGTCTATCCCCAGTTGGCTAATGCTCTCTAGGCGTTTGTTCTTCAGATGCTTTCGTAGCTGCAAACGGAACAATGGATTCACATGATACAAACAGGTATTATATTGAACCATGATAGGTCATTGCCCGGGCGCTTGCTTTTATTCAATACTCGAGCAACCAGAGTTCAATCCAATGAAATTGTTAATTTTAAGTGCTGACTTATAAAGGGCTCAGCGGTAAGGTGAACATCGTGAGGAAACCTGCGTATTTTCGAAAAAACAATACTTGAAAATATGTAATGTCTGCCAATCCGGAGTGGAGTCACGTAGGTTCACAGTGCGTTTGCCCTAATACCCTCTGTTCAGAGGAGGCCTTAGCCCAGCAGTGGGACATACATAGACTTATAATTTCATTTTTTACTTTACAGGTATTGAATAGGTTGAATTTAATTAAACAATGTTATTGAAAAAAATAATTCTATGGTGTAAACTAGTGTTTGTCAAACTTTTTGGTGTATTGCCCACTTTAGGAAAAAATTAATATTTAATGCCCACAGAAATTCTTTATATAATTTTTTTACAGAAACATTTTCAACATACCGCTATACCCACTTTTTACAACTAACTGATTTTTATATACAGTACCAATATTTTTTAGTTTCAATAGCCCACTCAGTTAATAACCACCACCCACTACGGGACAGTACCGCCCACTTACACTAAATTAAGAAAGCAAATGACTAAATCTTAAACATTATGAGAGTATTTCGAAAATCCAGCCCTAAGGAAGTTAAATTAAATATATCTGTTTGCGATGTAAATACTGTTCTATGATACAGGCAAAAGAAATGGGCCAGAAGCTAGTTAATTAATGTTTTAAGAGTATGTGTACAAGTAATGTGCACATACATGATAGCAGTAAAAATGTCTATGAAAGCTTTTTACATTATAAAATGGACAAGTGAAAGCAATGTAAGTTATACCATATGTGTGGATTCAGCTTCGCTGAAATTTTGCAAAAACAATCAATGCATTATTTCAGATCATATTTTTCAAACATTGAACTGGATTAATAAATCGATAAATAAATCCTCCAAACTTTTCAGTGATGATTATTTATCTGCTTAGGCCTCTGGCAAATATACAAAGTGGGTAAGGCCCTTCAAAGAAATATTTCACATTTGCATACATCAGTGTTCTAATAAAAAAAATGTGTTAAGAGAAAAACAAAACCTTCATAGTAAATCCAGATGGGGCAACATTCTTAGGCCACTCAAATTGAGTAGTATGGAATCTATTACCAGATTCTAAAAGTAATACAACTTTTTCCTCTGTGCGCTGGAGCCGTATAACATAGGTCTTGTTGTCTATGTCATATACTTGGTTGACACGCATGCCAACTAACCTGTAAGAGTTATATAGTTTATATAAATAAAGCATGAAAATAAAATAAGTTTATATTTAAATTAAAATATAAGACACTTATAATCAATTTTACTTAAAATATTTTGTATTCATATCTTAAGTAATAACAATTTTTTTAACTCATGTTTTGTAACTTTCTTTATGTTTGTTTCTACTTAGATCAATAAATAAATAAATTACTTGAAAACAAATTGTAACAAGTATAGATAGGTTTTTATGCTATAAAGCATATAAAGTTGATTATTTACCTTTGCAGCTCTGATACCATACATATTATATCGTAAGTATTGAATCTTGTCTTCATTTTTATTGATTTTCTATTACTGCTTCTTAAAATATATTGCTTGGTATAATGTATAGTAGCTTAGTTCCTTAGCAGTGAGCTATACTATAAAAATAATAATTCAGGTTGTATTTTATTAAATCAAAACAATATCACACATAACCTCGTATTTGTTAATAAAGTTTAATACATCGAAATAATTTCATACGTGACAATAAGAAATAAGAATGAGATTAAATAATGACATGACAATTGACAATTTGACAATGACATTGGATGGAGTGACAAATGACAGACACAGAATTGAAAATGAAAATTGTACCTACCTTTTAAAGTTCTGATTGGGTGTTAATATATGTATTTTTTGTAATTTTTTTTACATAAGTGTAGTTTTCTATTGGCCCCACGGAATAGAGAAAACAAGTTTAGCAACAACAGTTTTCTTTATTCGGTGGTTAGCGCAACGGTTTCGCCAGCTTCCTTGGTAGAGACAACTTTGCTGGTGCCCGATGACACGATGACACTGTACTTCTTTGTCTCCGAGACTCCTGTTAATGAAAGATGGAGAATTCGACTAACAAGGGGCTCGACAAAATCCAAGAGCCCCTCAGTTAGAGCCTCGGCTAGGACCTCCGTCGATAGTGGAATCTATTTTAAGAAGTAATAAAGTTGAAATTAAAATTTAATGACGAGACATAACATTAGCGTTGAAAGATTGGAAAAAAAAAATATGAAAACAATTAATTACAGAGTATTATTATAAATATTATATATATAGTATTATTATAATTATATTATTATAAAGGAGAACACAAGACAATTATTATTTATGAAATACGAAACTTCTGTTTTGTAATTAATTACATGATGATCAAACGAAGGTATTCTTAAGCAACTCGCTATTAAGTAACAATAAAGAAAATAATAAGTAAAGATTTAAAAGCAGCCTGATTCTGATTGTTACAAACATATAATAAATGATGCGGTGGGGCATAAACGGACAATAGCCCGGGCGGTAGCGGAAGAATTATTTTTAACGAGTCTTTATAGAAGTGGGACAGAGTTGTCAGAACAAGGGGCGCTGCTTAGTGATGTAGCGATTTTGGATCACTTAAAGCAGTTTCAAGTGATTAGTGGGAAGATATTCGAAACAAATCTTCGCATATATCACAATGAGATTGGCATGTGTGACGGTGAGATATCCTCCGTCGATGTCCCACCTTTTTCCCCTTAGTTCCTGTAGACCTGTATAGGCTTTCTTAACTATCAATCCCACGAGGGTGCTCACCCTGAGGGGGTAGACTGTATATTATTGTTTTCTGCCATTTTCTTATAATTTATTTAATGCTTTTTGGCTTGGTAAAGTCAATATTTGTAGTATCCACCAATGACTTATTGTTTTTTTATCTGTTTTTATATTGTATTCACTAATCTGTACATAAAAAACGTCATTCCGTCATTCGCAAAAGTAAGGTTATTTTAAAATTTTTGAAAATATAAACATTAAACGAATGTGATTAACTTAAAAAATTATTTTAACTTTTGTCGTAAATTTTAAAAGATACCACTGACGACATTATTCTAGTCTGCTAAGTAAAATATCTACAATGGGCGTTGAATCTGGTGATACGAAAGAGTTTAAATTGAAACCTATGAAATGCGAATTGAATTTTTTAAGCAAATCGGATGGATCCGCTATATTATCTCAAGGTAATAATAATTAATGAAAATCCAGTTTTCCATAAAGTTGTTGTAGAAGTTGGCAATGTATTGTATATGTCCTTGAGGAGCAAAAAGTTTTACAACTTGAGCAGAATATCAGCAAAATATATAATTTCTTTAATGCTTCATCAGTATCAAGAAACATTATAACTTCTTGAATATTTATACATATCACACATATTTTTATTTACCAACTAGATTTGATTTTTATTTGAATATATCATCCAGTTTTCTGATTACCCTTGATGATAAATATTATTATTACTAATAATAATCTATGTTGCATGTTTACTAGGTAAAAATAACGAGTTTTTCTACAAATGTTTAACTAAAATTTAGTTTTTACATTTTTCTTGTTCATGTTTGATTTCAGGTGACACAGTGGCTTTAGTGAGTGTGAATGGTCCATTGGACATAAAGATGCAAAGCCAGAGTATTGAAAAATCAACAATAGAAGTTTTATTTTGCACAAAAGGTGGTAAACCTTCAGTTCCTGACAGGTAATTAACTATATGTAAGTAAAATTAGTCATTCCCAAATGATGTTAATTAACTTACATTATCTCTATGATGTTTTGGTATCTTTAAATAAATGTTATAGTTTTTTTTTTAAATTCTATGTCATAGGGATGTTAGCATAAATTATGTAATTTTTATATAATACATATTATAATTGTTATTTACTTAAATTAAAAATATACAAGTCAGTACCCAACTAATAGTTTAGAATAAAAGATGGTTTATTTTGTTGACTTTTTTAAACTTTAAATCTGTATAAAGACAATAGTTCTAGTAATGTAATATACTATCAAAGTACTTAGTATGTCCCATGTCTTTCAGATACAAAGAAAGTATAATAAAACAGACTTGTGAAACTGCGATATTGGGCAGTCTTTACCCTCGATCTGGCATTACAATAACTATACAGGAGTTAGAGGACTATGGCGGGGTGAGTTTTAACATTGCTGTAAACTAATTGACATGCATCACCTGGCCAGGGTAATATGCTTTAGGTTATTAGAATGCAGTATTATGAATGGTGTCTGCTACTGTGCGGCATATTTAAAAACAAGGAAGAAGTTTGCTTTATCTTTTTTCTACCTATGTTTTACATAATTTGGTAATCTTTTTTGGTTCGATAATTTGCATAGAATAAAATGGGCTGCATACAAGTATCGTGTTCTTGTATTGTATATCAAAAATATAATCAATTTAACCTATTGTAAGAGAGCAATTGTGTCACATTACACTATGGACACTTCAGTGGGTGATCCATAATCTTTTACCACACACTTCTTGTCTATAAATAAAAATATGTTTAGAAAATCATTTCAATAAAAGAAACAATTTTTACAGTCTTATCAGTTTTATATTTATTTAGAATTTTTATGCATTGTGCTTTCATGGTCAGTGGCAAGACTGACAGTCAAATTTAGTTACCGTTGGTCAGTTTTAAGAAAGATTAATTTCATTTCCAATCTATGCAGAAGTGTGAAAAGTCCTTTTCTCGTTTACTCTTCTCATTTAATTAATGATTTATTGAGAAGCGAACATTCATGACCATCTATTCAAATTTCGTTGTTAATGGTCTGCGTAGCTGACTCGTCCCGCTATGTTCTATGCTCCTGCACTTGTGATTGCGAGTGACCTCAAGTGCCAATTGCTCGGGCAGCTGGTGACTTGCGCGCTGAACTGCGCGTGCCTGGCGCTGCTCAACTCCGGCCTGGCGATGCGGCACGTGTTCGCCGCCGTCTGCTGCGCCGTGGACGAGCTGGGCGGGCTGGTGCTGGAGCCGGAGCAGCCGCTGGCGGCCGCCGCCCGCGCCCGGCTGCACTTCGTCTTCGAGGGCCGCAATCGGACCCTGGTCAGCGGTGAGCGACACTGCACGATTTATACGCCAATTTCGATGGTTCCATTTCAACGTCAAAGTTAAAATTAATATATTCGTTATAGGCTTGATTTAAGCTCTTATTGAACGTTGTAATAAAAAACCACCACCGGTTCATTAAACTAGACCTGAACATGAAGAAGCAAGAACATCGTAAGAAACTGCGATCTTGTAATGTTTTTTTATTGATACAATTATTTGGTAGTTTTATTTGATATTCAATAAAAGCTAAATTAAACCTATATTGAATATATAAAAGATAATGTATGTGCAATATAAAAGATAACCAAAACTCGAGAACCGTTTTCCCAATTATTATGAAACTTAGCACACATATAAAAGGGGATACAACCACTCCGACGGTACTGTGTTGGTTAGTGCCGGATAATTGGCGTTGGTGGCGGTGATTTTTATATTTTGAACCGTTATGTACATAAAATTCAAATAAACAAAAGTAATTATGTTTCTCTTTCTAGCTTTCTCCGAGGGCAGTTACAGCGAAGTGGCATACGAGGAGGCGCTGGAGAAGTGTCGTGCCGCCAGCGAGGTCGTGTTCACGTTCTACAGAGACGTCGTCAGAAAATACTCCAACGTTATATGACAATAAAATGTTTTATACGAAACTTTGTTTAAATGTTGGTTCATGGGCTATCATAAAGTTCCACAAGTATATGAAGTATGTATAGTTAGTATGTAAGTGAAGATATTAATCAATGTCAATAAATGTGTCATCAAAATTAACTAAAAAACTCGTGTTCAGTTTCATTTGTTGCGCGGACAATATAGATTATTAGTTTTAATCATATACTTAAAGTTTTCAAGTCAATTTTGTGTTCGTTATGTAAATTCGTCTAGTTTGGGGATAACGCGAAGTCTTCGCGATAATGTTATATAAAAAATGATAAATATTTAAAATCACTCGTAATGAATTAATTAAATTCATTTTAACTTATCTCAAAAAGTGCGTGATTTATGGGCAACTCATATTTACACTACCGCATTGTCAACGGCTTCTGTTTTTTAGAGAATGGAATGGCAATTTTTTTGAAAATAAACTTGTTTTTATTTCAATAAACGATTATACTACCGATTCTGAACCTCCTGTGTGAATTTAGGCATCTTTAGAAAAGCCACCCTGTATATAATAATATTCGCTTACCGTATAATATAATCTGTAATCATCATCAAGTAGGAACCCTTAGCCCTTATCCCACCTAGGTGCGTTCGGCACAACATATGAATCGTGTTGTAAGCGCCTTTGGCTATGATTAGTGACATTACGATGGTCGCCTGCCTGACGTCAAACCTCCTTGGGAAACAGATACCCAGATCCATGATATTCCAAGTAATTCAAAAAAATGAAGACAATGCTATACTAAGGGGTATACTTCTGAGTTTCGTCTGGTGAGTGAGGTAGTTTATTAAGTACTCTTAAGAAAGTGTACACACATTTTATATTAACTGTTAGTTACTTTTTAACAACTTTTGTTATCTGTAATACTTATTTCGCATATATATTGTTATAGGTCATGTGGATACCTGTTTCGTGTGGGAATCGAACCCATTATCCGCGGCGCCGGTTTGTCGTTTAGCAACTGAGTCGGCTAGTTATCAAGACGGGCGGACGGAATTTTGTAGCACAGTTCAATCAATTGCTCTTTTTATGTGAAAAGGCCGCAAACGAGAGTCAAAATTCAAGTTGCAGATGCGTTACCACCTTTGAATAAAGTGGGCTCCGGCCACCTTAGTTACCAGACGAAACGAAGAGGTATTACACTCTCTAACTCCACTTCACGCCGGTCTTCTATGAGGTTGTGGTACTTACCCGAACGAGTTTGCCCATTTTTGCAACAGCCCAAGTTATTGTGTGGCCCTACCAGAAGTTCCCGTGAAGAAACTTGTTCTAAAAGATGTATCGTATTCTTTGATTGTAAATTCAAACAGTCACTTATCATTCTAGGATATCGGTATTCGAGCTATCTAACATAAACATAAGATCGATATGTACGCAGCAAAAGGGGGAATTAGCGAATTGGCTCTAATATATTTCTCAGGCATTCGCGAGTCACGAGTGATACTTGGCAAATATGCACGTGATTGATTCCACGTGAAGGGTTAAAGCAGACGCTCCTCTCGTGTTTCGTAAATAAATTTGAACCCAAGTCATAATTATGTATATTTCTGTATTTTTAAGCCATTTTGGCCTGTTTGGTGTTTTCTTGCAGCGATATACTGACAAAGTAAGTTTTGTACTTACGTATTAAGGCCACCGCAGGTCCAGACTTGGCGATTTAGATTAGGTTAGGATATTTTTTGATTTCTTGCGGCGCGAGGAAGCAATAGCAAGGGTCCACCTGCCGGCCATGGAGCCTAGGTGTTGATGGGGTCCAGAATAAGATTGCACTCACTCGCCATCGCCGAGTGGGAGCAGAGGATTTTTGAGGCCCAATTTTCAAAAGGTTGTCAACGCATCTGTAACCCTCGGGTGTAGCAGATGTCTATGGGCGGCGGTATTCACTTAACATCAGGTGAACCGTCTGCTCGTTTGACAACTTTTCACATAAAAAAAAAAAAAAAAAAAAAAAAAAAAAAGAGGAGCACCCCAGTGCCGGTCTAAGAACCATAGAGACCACACGTCCGGTACGCAGTCGGTGGCTAAACAGCCGTCACGGCAACCTCACCTACCGGGCGACGCAGGTTCTCTCGGGACATGGCTGTTTCGGGAGGTACCTGTGCCGTTTGGCGGCAAGGGAGCCCATAGCGGTTTGCCAACGTTGAGCACTTACAATTAACATTCATTGGTGCCGGCACCGTGAATCGAACTCGGGTTGTTCTAGTGTATTGAACTAAAGACAAGCGCCCGGAAGCTGAGCCATCATGGCTACCCTCGGTTATCACCATAGAGTAAAGTAACACTATGGAAATCACTTAACATCAGGTGAACTGACAGCTCGCTTGCTACATTCTCACATAAAAAATAGTAGGTTATATTATGTAAAATTGGTAATACGCAAAAAACTAATTGATTTATCGTTTTAATAGTTTTTACTTCTCACCACCGCTGACTTACGTCGCCAAGTACAAGGTATATGTATTTAGCAAATAAAACTAATCGAAGGCGGCCCTTTGCGCCGCCGCCACCGAATATAAGATGCGACAAAATAAGCAAAATGTCTTCCATACGGATAATGACACACCGAGAGCTGAGAAAAGTATTAAATTTTTTATGCGCATTTTCAGTGTATTAAGATAAAATAGATTCAAAGATTTCAATAAGATCTTAATTGGCGTTAAATTATTCATCAAGCGGTGTCTAATTAATAAATTGATAAGACGACAATAGACACATGGACGCATTAAATGCCAGTAGAGTGGCGAGTTGCTAATTGATATTTCCGATTTTTTTTGGGCTGGATGAGTCACTGTTGGCCTTAGGGGCCTTTACAGTTCCGAGGTGGCCGGGCGCTCGAGGCGCCTAGCCTGAACCTGGCGGATTATTATTACGCGTTATGGTGATTAAGCTCGAGGGCTCCCGAGGGAACGTCGGCTCGGGCCGTCACGCTATTATTTTCACCGGTTTGGGAGGCCGCCAAGCTCTTAGGGCGCTTTGGCGGACGCTCCATGGAGTGATCAGGCTCAAGGGTCCTCGGCTTGGGCTGTCACTCAGCACGCGTTTAGCATTCCGATTCGAGGGTGCCCGAGAGGGCCGGACCTCGGCTCGATCGGTAGCTGTTAACTGACTGGGTATAACTCCGAGTCAAGCTTTTTCTTTTTATATAAAATTCCCCTGGGGTCTATCAACAACTGTCTCGTTGAATGAAAATGAAATCAAAATGATTTTGCACCATTACTAATATTTTCCATTTTCAATTTTAAATGTTTTATTAGTGTGTCATATTGGTGGGGATTATTATCTTAAACATAAATAAACATACAGATTAAAAAATTATAATACTACCGCAATACTGCATATTCCCATACGTTTTTAATCAGCGATAATTTTCGGCCATGATGAGAGATTCTAAGGACGTTTATTGATCTAGAAAATTGATATCAATTTCCAAGCACTCATGATAAGATAACTACGTTCCGCAGTTAACCAACGCCCGAAATTAAGTCCTTGAGGTAAACCACAGCTTGCCTTTGTAGTTGCTGAACCAAGCTGAACGAATACTCGATGTACCACGCGCCCGTCAGTCGCAGAAACAAAAAACACAGCAAGATGGCCGATCGACGCGATCTCATGCAAATGGCCGATGCAAAGGGCCGCCGGCACATTTAAATGTCGCCAAGTGACGGCGATCCCTCGACGGGCATCATTTTTGCTCTATTTACGCGGGTTTTGTGTTGTAAAGTTTAAATAGGGAGCGGAAGATATCTCGATAACTATTTGAAGCGGTGATTTAAAACCGGCTCAACGCGGTCTTTGTATTTCGTACAATTGACTGAATGCGTCTGCAACTTACGTGCGTCAGTCATGAGGTCCAATTAATTGTCTGTAATAGTTATAGGTCCGTCTGGGTTAGTACCACGATATCACAGAAGACCGGCGTAAAGTAGAAGTTCACTTCTGCGTTTCGTCTGGTGAGTGAGGTAGCCGGTGCCCACATAATTAAAAGGGTGGCGGTTATCATTTAACATTAGGTGAACCGCCAGCTCGTTTGACACTTTCTCACATAAAAAAAGACCATCCCGTATCCTTCCTTGGACCACTGTAGTAGGGTACTACTACAGTGGTCCAAGGATACGGGATGGACTTATCTATGTTGTAAAAATCAAAATCAAAAATATATTTATTCACATAGACGCTTGCGCGTTCTTATGAAATGTCAAAAATTTTACATAAAAATTAATACGTTCGTAAGCTACCACCGGTTCGGAAAGCAGTTTCTGTTGAGAAGAAACTCATTGCTAATACCTATCGCTAGTAACAAAAGCTATCTGTAGACAGAATATTGAAACCGGCCGTCAGTTCTTTTGCCTCCTTACATTAATTATGCTTAGTACTCATTGTATTATGCGTTGCTATTTGAGTTATAATTAAGATACCGTTTAATTAAAACCGAATAACTTTCCGACGGTGCTATCTAAACGGCGATACGGACAAAACGATACCGGATTTATTTGTGAGAGTAGCAGTTGTAGCGCCAAGGACGCGCGAAAGGAGAGCGCGGGTTCGAATTCCGACGTCGGCTGTTGGGCCCCTGTGCTGATTTAGACCGCTGATATGTGAGCGGCGGTTGCCTTGTATGCTAATTCGGTCTGCGATCGGGATTTGCGTAATGCGGCGGCTCCGATTGTCGCCTAATGGAATAGATTTGCTGTCGGTAAAATCGCAATAACATACGAGACCGGTACTGTTTTCCTGGTCGATGTACCTACTAAGGCTTTGGGCACATACCGTTCAATATTTCTTACATTCGTGTTATCTCCTAAACTATGATTACGATGGAAATGAGCACCCTTTTTAAGTTTATATTTTCCGGTTCTGATCAAAAAGAATTCTCTTCAAACGATGCCGAAGGAGCAGATAAACATTGATCTAATAGGAAAAAGTACATGCATTTATGCAAATTATGTCTGGTTAGTACTTTGTGTTTAAGAACACACTTAAACACAAAATATAGTTATTTTTTTATGCGAAAAGTTGTCAAAAGAGCAGACGGTTCACCTGATGTTTAGTAAATACCGCCGCCCATGGACATCTGCCACACTCGAGGGTTACAGATGCGTTGACAACCTTTTGAAAATTGGGCTCCGGCCACCTCACTCACCAGACGAAACGCGAAAGTATTTGTCATACTTCCACTTTACGCTGGTCTTCTGTGAGGTCGTGGTACTTACCCGGACGAGCCTGCCCATTCGTGCAACAGCCGAGGCTGCTGCGTGGCCCTACCACCGTGAAAGTACCAAGTTACATATACAACTATTTAAAACACTGGATACACGAAGCCAACTGGATCGAGTAGAGTAGAAATGAGACGTTGCCTCTTTGGCTACCCGTCGCCATGATTGGCGCGAGTACGGCTTTTTTGTTGAGGTACGATAAGCCTCTACAAAGTGTAAAATATTGACGATATTTAAAATAAGTACTAAACAACCTCTGCACGATATTTCCACATACAGGAAGTCATCGACGGTGTCGCATATTTCATCAATCCAGACAGTGTTTCCGTGCATCATTCATCTAATCGATCGAACGCGCCCGTAAATCAAGGAGAACGCCATATGTATTATCTATGGAGGACGCGTCCGCACCGAAAGAGTGAAGTATGGCGGCCATCTTGACATTCATCCTTTCCCGCGCTATTTGCATAGTTTGGCGTTCGGCATTCGCGTCTCCGAGATTCCCACGACTCAGCACGACTTTATTAACGAGGACCTTATACCGCTAAATTAAGCAAGTGAATGCCACGACGGCTTGACTTAAATGCCGCAAATTATTTTGTATTTGTCACTTTACTAAGAACACATAAACCTTGGTGGTTAGCACCGTCGTTTGCAGCAGTAGGTATAAATGTTTTAACATCGATTAGAGAAATACATTATAGTAATAAACTTTATCAAGTTTCATTTACTTCCTGACGTTTTAATGCTTTGCGGACCAAGAGTTGGAAGCATAGTTAAGCATTTTGAAAGGTCATCATCGTAAGATACTTCGCTAGTATACTCATCTATACTACACGATAGTTTTTAATTAATAAGATCGCATAATAATTTCTTGTATTTACGCGATTACACATTATAAATGAAACTAATTTTACGGATTTATCGCGTTTATTTTTCGCTAAGATCGCATATTGTCTTATTTATTCATAATGTTGTATGAACTTTGTGGAAGGGAGAAGAGTAGATTTTAATATCCAGATCGTTTTATGTCAAAGGTTGTCAATTGTTGATTATATACTACCGTCCAAGGACATAAAAAAATAGACGTTTGATAATTGCAGATGTATTGATAACCTTTCCAATTCACGCCGGTCTTTTGTGAGGTCGAGGTACTGCCCTGGACGAGCCTTCCCATTCGTGCAATAGCAGAAGTTGTTGCGGGGCCCTACGACTTTTAAAAAAGATCAAACCAAAGAAGGATGATTTTCTCTACTGTTTGAAAGAGTTAAAACACACATTCACATTCTTCAGAATAAATCTTTACACAATAAAAGAAAAGTCGCTGTCATTGTTTGTACGCATATATCTCTTAAACTATTACTACTTAAACTATAGCTATTACTACGGATTTTAATGCAGTTTTGAGCAATAGATACAGTGATTCAAGGGAAAGGTTTACATGCACATTGCACCCGTGCAAAGCCGGGGTGGGTCGCTAGTATTAAATTATAATTTTAATGTGACGGACGAAACGCAGAAGTATGAAACTTCCACTTCACGCCGGTCTTCTGTGAGGTCGTAGTACTTACCTGGAAGGACCTGCCCATTCGTGCAACAGCGAACACTGTTCCAGGGTTCTATCACGGTTGAAATATAATTGTTTGTTTTAAGAGAACGTTGAGAATGGTTGAAAAAAAATTTTCGTCGGTTTCTGCACGTAGAAAGAATGAATGAGGACATTGTAGAGAGCAGGCACTCTCAAGCTTTCCTCCATTTTGGTTAAATGATGAGGAACGGTGGTGCGACGTTGCCAGTTTCGATGATCTAAGAGCGAATATGCGAGTATTATGATTATAGCGAATATATGAGTATTCTTTTATACCGATTCGAAACTATTTTGTACCGCGACTGTATAAATTAATCTCAAATCTTTATAAAAAATTTCTTTCAATTACGTTATAAGGCCAAACATGTTATGTGTCAAATTGTTTCAGCATTTCAGCCTGTTTTAATCCACTGCTGTGAACATACTCCTCTCCCACAGACTGAAAAAAAAAAAATAAGTAGTAAATAACAATTATATCGCAGTTGGTTTTATTACTATATTGCACTTATTTCGATATTATGTTTATACAACAGTATATACATAATGTCGAAATAAGGGCAATTGTTAACAAAAATGATAAAATTATTTACCAAAATATGACAGTTCAAAAACAAAATGATATATCTATTGGTGTTCAAAAAAAACTCATTAAACAGTACATAAATAATTGGTGACGTTTTCAAAGAATAATTTTATTTCATTTATTAACGAGGCAATTATGGTAATGCAAATTCTGGAGCTGCTTTAATATTTTTTCGCGAGCACGGGCGGTACACGTGAGGTACCACATTCGTAGCCAATTAATAACGCCGTGGCTCATTTCTTCGATGCGTATCGCGAAATGCCGCCGCCATTTTACCGGGTTTCCACGCTGACCAGCATTGAGGGTTTCCGGGGGACTGTTTGGAGATTTATTTTATTTTATTTATTTTATTCGGTACACAAAACAGCAAACAGTAATATACACATCACAATAAAGTTCAATAAGGTAAACAATTACATACTGTCAGCCAAAACTATGCGTAGACAACATGCTACGATATCATGTGTTGTATGAATGTTTTTAAATTAATTTAACTAGATTAAAAAAAAAACTATAAACAAAAACTGCTAAAAACAAAATTAAAAAACTATGAAATAAGAGAGGAAAAAAAAACCAAACACATTTTGGGCATGTGATAATTTGTTTGAATGCACTCAGATAATGAATTATATCGCGTACAAGTCAAAGCGAAGAGCTGTTAGACAGTCTACACTTGGGGAAGACACGCAGTATCGACTGCAGTTGAAGGATCGACCGGTGTCCAGTCGTTCTTTCAATTTTTCTGGTTGCCTAACCAATGAAGATTATAAGTATTATATACAATAAGTTTATGAAATAAATATGTTTGGGTCATAATAAAAAATAATTCGAAGGCGTCTAATTTTTTATCTGTCGTCAATTTTAGGGTTCCGTACGCAAAGGGTAAAACGGGACCCTATTGTTAAGACTCCACTGTCTTTCTGTCTGTCTGTCCGTCTATCACCAGGTTGGATCTCATGAACCGTGATAGTTAGACAATGGAAATTTTCACAGATGATGTATTTCTTTAGCCGCTAGAACAACAAATACTAAACAAAATTAGGTGGGTCTCCCATACAAAAGGCATGTTTTTTGCCGTGTTTATAGATAATGGTACGGAAGCCTTCGTGCGCGAGTCCGACTCGCACTTGGCCGGTTTTCTATTGTATTAATTTAATATCAAAACAAGTGCATGGTCACCCTGTTAAAAAAAATCGATCGTACGTTAGTTGCGTGCCGCCGGTTAATGCGAACCGCGTAACAACTATTTTAAAGCACATTTCAGTAAACCCAAGCACCTGCCCTCGTGTGGCATAATTAACTCTGTTAAAATAGCAATCAAACAAACATGGCGGCCGTTTATAAATCGCCCTCGACTTGCGAAAAATTAACAGAACCGAAATGTGCGTGTAATATAGTAAAATAAAGCAACCGCCCTTTAAGCCATAAGATATTTCGTTAATAAAAACCGTTTAAGTGCGAATCAGACTCGCGAAAGAGGAGTTCCGTACCATTATCTATGAAAACGGCTAAAAATCATGTCTGTTGTATGGGAGCCCCACTTAAATGTTGTTTTATTGTTTTTTTTCTAGTATTTGTTGTTTTAGCGGCATAACATATAACAGAAATGCATCATTTGTGAAAATTTTATCTAACTATCACTTGTTTATGAGATACAGCTTTGTGACAGACGGACAGACAGACAGAGAGACAGCGATGTCTTAGTAATAGGGTCCTGTTTTACCCTTTGGATATGTAACTCTAAAACGATTGAGCTCCTTAAAATAAAATGAACTTAAGTACTTAATAACGTAATGAACGTAAGTTACTTAATTATCGTTCTCGAAATATGTTTAACAAACAGTCTATAATTTTCTATAAGAGAATTTTGCCAACACTCAGGCAGTTCACCTGACGTTAAGTAACACGATGGGGGGCGGAATTATGGACATTTACCACATCCGTAACGGGCGCTCCTTGATGGTAACAGGGTGAGGGTGAGTAAGACAGTAAGAAAGAGATAAAAATACACGCCACGCCATAATAAATAAATAGATAAAACAGTAATGCAATAGGTTTACGAATGGTATTAACGCAACAGTCTTCGCTCTTGCACGAATGGGCAGGTCCGTATAGGTAAGCACCACGACCTCACAGATGACCGGCGTTAAGTGGAATTGTTATACTTCTGTATTCCGTCTGGTGAGTGAGGTAGCCGGGGCCTACTTTATTATAAGGTGGCAAATTACTGCAACCCTACTGGTGTTGCAAATGTAAACGAGCGGTGGTTGTCACTCAAGATCAGGTGAACCGGCAGCTCTCTTGCCACCTTCTCACATAAAAAATATACAATACAAATCACAAGACGGAGCCTCCGAATACGCACACCAAAAAGTTCAATGTAACGAAGCAAAGCTTCGGTTATTTACAACACACAAGTGAGCCACTTGTGTGTTACAAAAACTATATAAAACGATGTCGATTTATTCCATTAAACGGGGCATAATTTAAAAACTGGACGCGGCCCATGTATTTACGAGGGCGCAGTCCAGTAGGCGATCAGCCACGCCCCCCCTATTATCCGGGCCTTTTTTACCCAAAACACGACGGACGACCCGAAGAAACACCGGCTGCTCCGAAATTGATTGCCCAACAGCACCAAAACAACTCGGTTTCAAGTATTATTAAGTCAAATAAATATTTCTGGGCATATTCTTACACAACGTTATCTATTCCCAAACTTAGCAAAGCTTGTACTATATGGGCAATAGTTCAGTATATTTACGAGTATATACTCGTATATTTTACTATACAAATACATAACACCTTTACAATAGGAAAACAACTACTATGTTCGGTGTATGGACTATGTTCACCACAAAATAGTGTTCCAGTAGTGGAGATCGAACCCACCGCCTCTGGCGCAAGAGACAGGTTCACTACCCTACCAATAGAGAAGCAAACGGCGTACTTGATGGTAAGTGATCACCATTGTCAATTAGCTTACGCAACATCAGGAAGCTACAACAGAGTTGCCAAAATATAAAATAGGAATTGGCTCTTTTCCTTGAAGCTACCTACTACGTATCGGTCCGATAATACAGCTGGCAACAATCCATTCCCTAAAGTTGTAGTGCCTGGCAGAAATTTCTATAAAAACGGACTGCCATCTTTCATGGCGGTGTACCGTCTCAATGGTAGGTTAGTGGAAAAAAATCATCAGCCGGTATTAATCGGAACAGTCAGCAGTCTCCGTGGAGGATACTAAAAAAAAGCAATGTAGGAAAAAAAGGCGAGATTTTCGCACCGTGAGGATATCGGTAACTAATTCCGTTGCCACGAGCGTTTACGGGTGCATTACCCAAGTGACGCAATTTCAAATCCTGGCTGGGCAAAAAATGAGTTTAGTTGTTAAATAAAAAATAATGCTATATAGTAATAACAGCCTATAAATGCCCCACTGCTGGGCAAAGGCTTCCTCTGTAAAGAGGGTATCAGGGCATAGTCCACCATGCTACCCCACAGCGGGTTGGCGGACTTCACATATTTTTTTGATATATTTATTATCATTTCGAAAATATGCACGTTTCTTCACGATGCTTTCCTTCACCGCCGAGTACCTATGTGATAATTCAGCACTTAAAAGTCGTGATAGCTCAGTGTCCGGGCGTTCGCCTTTGATTACATTCACCTGAGTTCGATCCCCGGTGCCAGCACCAATTAAAAATTTTATATATCAATAGTAAATAAACGTTTTTTCGTTCTTCTTTCTAAATTAATTACTACGTGACATTAAATGGAAAACATTTCCGGGCCACTTGATAGGTAGACATACTAAATTTAATTTGTATCAACCTTATTAAGTTCAATACATGACAGGTATCATACACTGGACGGATATTAAAGTTACTAGGACCTAGTCTGGCTATTGCAACTTGCAATTCAATATCCAAGTCTTTGGTCCAACACTGACTTTTATACAAAATATGTAACAATTTTCAAATGTTTATAAAACTATTTACGATGCGTTTATATTCGAATACATAATGAATTATGTCTCTAATCGAGTTATCAGCAAACAGACTTTTTTATGTTTTATAAACGATCGTAAACGAACGCGGTTCACCTGATGTTAAGTGATTACCGCATATATGAAGAGTTGCACATGCGTCACCAACCTTGATTTTGGGTGAAATTATGTGTTGAAATTATGATCAAAGGTGCACGTTTTGGCTCTCAACGGTTTGCTTTTACTTCTAAATGAAAATATACAAAATAATTGGTTATATTTAACTTACATGAAGTTCAACTTGCTAAAAATTGAAGAGATGTGCAAATTTTAAGTTTTATCTTTACGAATAAAAGTTTTAATTTTAAACGTTTTTAAAAGTTTCTATTTTATATTAAGTAAAAAAAAACATTAAAAAATACGTTACTTTATAGCAAACGCGCGCAAATAGGTATTCGCAGACAATACTATTTATGAGTTTCCATTTCAACACCGATTTTAAATGTCACGGAGACGTTGAATGAAGCTAATTTCCGAACGTTCTCCGTTTTGCCGCGCACGCATCGGCCATTATCGGGTCGCGCGTCACTTCCGCTGACATTTGAATTTCGAATCACAAACTTCGGAATTAAACCGGAGAATGACGAAATTGGTTTGCGGTTACCGATTCAAATTATGATAGTACTTTCGCTTTTATAATTCGACCTCGGGCAAAGGTCAAACTTTATAATTGTACCATTATATCTAATAATGATAAATGAACGGAACCGTTTAAATAAAACTTATTATAAAATATAATATCCGCGTGGTGGACTATGCCGTGATATCTTCTGTACAGAGGAGTCTTTTGCCCAGCATTGGCACATGTATAGGCTGTTACTTTACTTTTAATAAAATATATATTAGAAAATATTACTATCATACAGCTAATGCTTACTCTACTCGAATTAATTGAGACTAATTATATGCTTTGTTGTAATTTTATTATTTTCCTAGTTTATATGTAAAGTAATTAAAACATAATACGAAAAAGGATAAATAAAGTTCGAATATATGTATATCGCGAGAAACAAGAAATAAACAAAACAAAAAAGAAAGCATGAATGCTCTTGAAATTTTAAAGGGTTGCCGCAATTAAAAAAGCGCATACTGTTATTAACGCAACCTTTAATTATAGACTATTAGTAATTATAGTACGAAATAACACGTCTAGGTAAAGACAGAGCTCCTTTCATGCTTTGAATAAGGATGAATGTTAGGTGGGACTTATCGGTTGCCGATCTTATATTATTTGGCTCTGACCGAATATTTTCCTGTCGTGGAAAAAACATTTTAATAAAAAGGTTTGCCGAGAAGTAGTATATAATTTTGTTTATGGACTGTTATTTCTAATAAAAACTATTTATTGATTTTTTTATGTGAGAAGGTGGCAAACGAGCTTGCGGTTCACCTGATGTTAAGTGATAACAACCGCCTATTGACATGTGCGACACCCGCAGGGTTGCAGATGCGTTGCCACCTTTAAATAAAGTGGGTCCCGGCTACCTCACTCGCCAGACGAAACGCAGAAGTACAATACTTCCACCACACGCCGATCTTCTGTGAGGTCGTGGTTCTTCCCCGGACGGACCTGCCCTTTCGTGCAACAGTGAAGACTGTTGCGTGGTCTTACCACAGTTAAAATGAGAAAACTGTATCTATGTAAAGTTTATCTTTATTTTGAGTTAAAGTGTAATTTGTTTTAAACAGCTCTAAAGGATTTCAAGATACACAGATACACTCAGAAACAGTTTCAGTTCTTTGTTGGCTGGAGTAGATTATAACAATTATTATAATGTAAAAGTTAGCAGTGTAACATAATAAATTGCTTCGAGAAAGAAATAAACATTAACGCCCGGATTCTGAAACACTGATAATCGTAGATGTCAACTAATCAGCTGTCGAATGGCTTTTCAAATGCCATTTGAGTTGCCAAAAGGATGGTTAAACTCTTTGAAAATTGAATTAAATAAATTAAATTGATTATTCTGGTCATTAAGAAGATCATTCTAGGCAATTCAGTGAGTTTAACCATTATTGGCAACTAAAATTTGAAAAGCCATTTGACATCTACGATGATTAGTGTTTCAGAAATCGGGCGTAAGAATACTCATTGTCGAATGAGAAGAAACACGTTGCGTTTGACTAATTAACCGGTTTGCCGTTTGCGTCGAAAATATAAGTCCGCGTCGCGTTTTTTATTATGGTCTCAACGGGAGGCCGGGTCCGCATTAATGGACTCTAATATACATCAGATTGAGTTTCCACCGCCATAATTTTTTCCCCAACAAGATTTCGGCTAGTGACCTGTGCGATATTAATAACAAATGTCTTGCATGCATAATATAAATTAAGCCTTTACATAAAATCGTTTCTTTACAAGTGTATAAAAATATTTTTATAATAACACTAGTGAGATTCACAAGCAAATAAGCGAATGTAGTTGTTGCTATAAACTTGCTTTTCTACTTTCAACATGCATATTTGTTTGTCTACTTCTTCTTAGTCAGTTCATTCTTCTTCAGCTCTTTACATTTAAAATAGTGATCTAGTGGTAGTTTTGCGCTGATAATTAAAACCGTAAATTTAATAAAAAAAAATTTACTATGACTGCTGCAACAGTGTTTTTTAAATAAGTGATTTTTAAGAGTACCTATCTTTTTTTAAACATTGCCCTTACTTTATGATAACATTATCCTGTATGTTAAGGAAGTTTTACAAACATAAATTTCACGTGAACAAACACCGAGTAGCGACAGAAGGATCTATGGGTGACACAAATAGTTTTCCCGTGTTGGGATCGAATCCACAATCCCCGACGCTGAAGTCAATACGACGCTGAAGTCAATAAGATTGACAACTGTGCCAAAAGTTCGCGTTTTGATTGTATGGTAAAGGATATTTATGCAATATTCACACAGCATATTAAATATAATCTATATCACACAGCATATTAAATATAAGTCCATACAAAACAAGATTGAATTGGTGGTGAAAGCAAATAAGGTAATATATGAGGTATAATATGAAAACTGAAAAAGATGACTGGTTTGAAACAAAAAAAAAAGAGGAAGAAATCTATGTTTATATCTTGTTTGTGTTCTTTTATCAAATGTTTAATTGTGTGTTTTATCTCGTACAGTTTTTAACACTACGAAAAATCAATTTTGTATTTTGCTACTCTGTACTTTTCTTGAAAAAGAATATAAGTACATATGAGGCCTGTATTTTAGGAGCGCTATTTAAAAAGTTTTAAGTGGAAAATTAAGTTTATGAGTCGTTAGTGTCATACTTTTCTACGACAGAGATTGGCGTTTTGACATGTGATATTTTTCAATATTGCGGAATTTTTAGTTTTTCGAAACGAAAATATTCGTAAAGTATGCTCACAAATAGAATTTTATTGCATGCCAATAGGTCTTATTTTGCCTGCCAGAGTAAAATTATTATCACATCAAATTGCTTTAATAAAGATGGACGGGTTAATGCAATCGAGTGGAGGCAAAATTATCATACAAATTCTAGACGCAGCTCCGGAAACACCATTAATATATTAAATTTCGAAAGGTACGAGGGGCATTAATGGAGTAAAATGATGAAATTTAAATTACAGTTATACTTCTATCTTTTAAGTTAACATATTTTGTAAATTTCCTTAATATAAAAGCCAAATATTAAGTTAAAAGTTAAGAGATACCTATTTAAAAGGTTTCATTAACAGGTTTCAAAGGTTTCCAGAATAATTAAACAAGTTACCGGAATGAAATTTTATGTAATTCTGTTTTGATTCAGTGAGTATTTAACATACGTCGTTGTGTTTAGGTATTAATAATTACTGTTTTATAAAATGTGTGGTTACGATAACTGTTGGTTGCTGTCCTAAACTATACGTACCTTTTATCGTGACTTGTCCACTGATAACCAAAGGCCGCCAGGATTGTGGCTTACGATTGACTCGGCCAATTACTTATTACTAATAACTTCAAGATGTAGTTTGATATAGAACTGTGAGCTGACACCTTTTTTTTTTTTTTTGGGCTGGATGAGCCACTGTTGGCCTTAGGGGCCTTTACAGATCCGACGGACTTGAGGTGGCCTGGAGGACGAGGCGCCTAGCCTGAACCTCGGCGTACTATTATTACGCGTTATGGTGACTAAGCTCGAGGGCTCCCGGGGGAGCCTCGGCTCGGGCCGTCACGCTATTATTGTTACCGGTTTGGGAGGCCGCCAAGCTCTTAGGGCGCTTTGGCGGGCGCTCCATGGAGTGATCAGGCTCAAGGCTTGGGCTGTCACTCAGCACGCGTTTAGCATTCCGATTCGAGGGTGCCCGAGAGGGCCGGACCTCGGCTCGATCGGTAGCTATTATCTGACTGGTGCTGACACCTGCATCAATTTGAGTTTTTAGAACTTTAATTACAGCAATTACCGATATGATAAAAGCCACAGAAAGCTACAGAATAAATTAAACAATAAAAAAAGTGATAGCACCGTGACGGGGTCGTTTGATTTACTTTAGTATACAACTTGAGTTGAAATCTGGTTCCGGCACTAATGAAATAATGAATTACAATTTTCTTATGCTCAGCGGCGAAGGAAAAACATCGTGAAAAAACCAGCATGTTTTCGCTGTTGCACGAATGGGCAAGTCCGTCCGGGTTGGTACCACGACCTCGCAGAAGACCGGCGTAAAGTAGAAGCGTTGCACTTCTGGGTTTCGTCTGGTGAGTGAGGTAGCCGGGGCCTAGTAAGCAGAAGTATTAGCGCTTCTACGTTTCATTCGATCTCAGATTTTCAGTGGTTGGCAATACACCTGAATATTATAATAATATAAGATAATACGTAATTGTAATGATATGTAATTTTAGATCAATAAAGATTGTAAATATTTGAAACAAAAAAAAAAAGATAATACTAATAATAATACAATAATACTCTCTAGTACAAGAGCCGTGATAGCTCAGTGTCCGGGCGCTCGCTTTTAATTCAATATGCTCGAGCAACCTGAGTTCGATCCCCGGTGCCGACATTGTTAATTTTAAGTGCTGACTCACGAGAAAAATATTTCGAAGATATGTGAAGTCCACCAATCCGCAGTGGGGCCGCGTGGTGGACACATACATGCCCTGATACCCTCTGTATAGAGGAGGCCTTTTTTTTTTTTTTTTTTTTTTTTTTTTTATGCGAAAAGTTGTCAAACGAGCAGACGGTTCACCTGATGTTAAGTGAATACCGCCACCCATGGACATCTGTCACTCCCGAGGGTTACAGATGCGTTGACAACCTTTTGAAAATTGGGCTCCGGCTACCTCACTCACCAGACGAAACGCGAAAGTATTTGTCATACTTTCACTTTACGCTGGTCTTCTGTGAGGTCGTGGTACTAACCCGGACGGGCCTGCCCATTCGTGCAACAGCCGAGGCTGCTGCGTGGCCCTACCACCGTTGTGGCCCTACCACCTTTGCCCAGCAGTGGGACACGTATAGGCTGTTACTTTCCTTTTCCTTTATTTTCTGGTACATGTCTATACGTAGCATTCCTTCCTTGCTTTTAGGTGAATTGTTTACCGAGTTCCATCTCGTTTAAACAGAAAATAGATCAAAAATTCAGAGTATCTAATGTCTAGGATTTTTCGATTAGATGGCACACCTCTTTCCCGCCGTCGAGCTGCCTCGGTCCGGACTCGGGCGAGCTGAACTGGCGGGCGGTGGTTTCGGAGGCGGAGCAGATGGTCGGCTACCCCACCTCCTTCCTCAACCTGCGCTGGCTGTTCAACGACGAGATCGCCGTCGCTGCGACGCAGCTGAGGAAACTGGTCGGTTGCGAGCAATGCCGGTTTCGAAAGTGATGCGTGCTGCGTTCACTTCTATATCGTCGTTAAGTTGCGGACAGAGCTCCAAATTTTGGCGAGCTTACCCTCTGTTTAGTACTAAGGAAAATGTAGCAATGAAATTTCCTTTCAATCTTACATTTACACGATAACCTTACTGATAGATTTAATATTTAAATATTATTAAGTCTGTTCTTATGAACAGGCGTTTCATACTCTTGGCTAGGGTCATTTAGGCTTGTCGAGTCATTTTTGAGAACATTTTTGACTACTGACATGTCTAGATGCTCAGAAAACTGTATATTAATCAATATTGATATGTTGAGATAACTTGTAATAATGAAATATTGTAAAAATTGCTTTTCACACACCTAAAACATACGAAATGTTGTTTAGAATAATCATAATTCATTCCCGAAAACACACATCTAACTTTATTCATCTATTATCCGTTTATTGCAGTTATTTGAATTACGTGTCAAGTATGTAGTTATAATGTAAATTTTGATAAATTGTCTACCGGGCGTTAAATGTGTATACAGTTCGTGAAATATCGCCATCGTCAGGGTTGGCAAACGTACCATAAACGGACCACCCAAGAACGGCTAACTCATCCAGGTGGGCACCAACCACCCGCTGCTGAAGTCTGCCAAGAACATCCTCGTCGGCTCGAAGAGCAACCTGCAGTCCGTCGGGCTGGTGGTCCTTCTGGTCTCGAAGGCGGCCGGCTTCGGGCCGGACCAGCTCGTGGAGCAGCACAGCTCCGGGGTGCTGAACGCGCAGCGGGCGCTCGCCGAGATCGTCGAGATGAAGCGCACGGGCCACATAATCCACAAGGCAATGGCGAATCTACGGGACAGGAGGGCCAGCGGTGGTCAGTACGAGGACCTGCTGTGTGGCAATAAAATCGTGCTGCTGAGCGGTGAGCGGGTTTGAATACGGATATAGCGAAGGAATAGAAATTTGGCGGCGTCTGTCTTTCCGTCCCAATATCAGTTTGGGCTCAAGGCAAGAGTGAATAGGCAATTTGCCGGCGTCTGTCTTTCCGTCCCAATATCAGGTTGTTCTTCAAGGCAAGAGTGTGCTCATATCGAATTAGTGCCGTTTACCATCCGCTATCAGAAAATAGAATTAACTCGTTTCTTTTCAACGTTTTCTGATAGATGGTCTTTTGGTATTACTGACGAAATGGCGAGCAGAGAAGACTGAGCACGCAAAGGCATCTATAATCAGCCACGTGCGTGTGTAAACCGTTGTTATCCTACACATGAGACGGAATACAAATTATTGTGTTAGATTAGTAGTAGCCGCTCCATTCATTCAACGAATTTACGGTTAAAATTTAATCTGCTGAAACATTTTTTGTTCACTGTCTTCAAATAACGAAAACTTACAACTGGAGAAATTTATTGGCCAAATAATTACTGCGTAGTGATGCCCTGTGTGCCCGGTGGGTGAGGTGTCAACCGCCGAGATCGCCGCCGGTTCAAATCCCAATGACGCTTCAGTTTTCTTCATGTTTTCTTAAGTGTAGATTTTTCAGTGTTATATTTATTGTAAATACATGGTCAGTTCCTTTATTTAGGTTCACTGGACTTGATAAAGATGCACCATTTAAGCCCATTCAAGCAAGAGAGTCAACAGATTTTGAGGCTCCCTTTTTCAACTAGGTGATTACCTGCTAGCGAAATGCCTCAAACATCTCGGTGATCTACGAAACAACGAGGTGACTGAGCTGATCTCTACGGGACTGCGCGATCTGGTCGAAGGCGATTTCTTTGGCGAAATAGACGCCGACGGAAATCCTTTGCCATCGAAACCAAAAGGTTCTTTTCTTTTAACTTAAGCAAAACTAGCTCATCTCTAAATTTCCTCCATAATTTTTTTTTTCAAAATCGATAAGAATCCACCTCCCCCCCGCCCCTCCGTCTATATTTCATTCTAAGTAATGTTTTATGCCATTATGTATAAATTATTAACAATCGGCAGGCTTGAAACTGTACAGATTATTTATACGACTAAAAGATATACTTACTAGAATTTAGAATTTAAGGTCTGTCCTCTGGTGCGATTTGTTGATGTATGTCCTCAGCAAGCAACACTATCGAACGCAATTATGACTGGGAGAATGAGAACAATCTGGGCAAACTCGGCTCCAACGACTTCCTCGGCCAGGGGAAAGACGAATGGAAGCTCCGGACGATGCTCACTTCAGGAAGTCTACTTGCTAAGGGCTGCCAAGCGGCCATGATGCTCAGCAAGCAGGGAATGGAGATGGAACGGGAGGCGTACAGACTCGGCGGCCACTTGGCAATGATCTGGCAGTTGTATCTGGACGTCAAGGACTTCTTTACCCACCCGCACTCCTACTCGCTGGTCGGGGCGCCCGTAATCATAGCCATATGGGAATACCCAACGGTCTACGGGCACATCTTCGAAGCGAAGTTGGAGAAGAGGGGTGTGGACTTTAAGCAGCTGTTCTACGCCGTACGCAGCACCAGGGCCCTGGAGTATCTGAGGCTGCTACTCCATGAGGAACTGATGGCGGTCGTGAGGTGCACCGAGAGATTTCCGGTGGAAGACGCTAGGTTGGCCCTTAACAAGATGGCCGCCTCTATACACAGCGAGGCTGTGCAATTTCTAGACTCGTAGTCTATGTATTCTTGTACTCTGTATACGAATAAATTATGTGGGAGTATATTTTTTTTAACCTAAAAGCCTATTTTAGGGCCTAAAGGGTAAAACTCCGCTGTCTGTCTGACCGACTGTCACCAGGCTGTTGTATTTCATGAACCGTAATTAATTAGACGGTTGAAATTTTCACAGATGATGTATTTCTGTATTAGTGCTCCTATGACAACAAATAATAAAAAAAACAATAAAATAATAAACATATAAGGTCTTACAACAAACCTAAGGCGGCTGCTACGCTAGACAACCTCCAATTTACCAATAATTAATTGTTTTCCATGTTCAAATATTGATTGATGGTACGGAACCCTCAGTGTGCGAGTCCGACTCTCGCTTGACACGATTTTTTTTAAAAAGCCGATCGAAATCTTAAAGGCAGTGTCGGTTAGAGTATACTTTGGCGTGCGTGATCTAAGTTTACCGTTATTCGAATTATGTAAGGAATTAGGAAAGTGCGTGGTGACTGGCGACAGGTTTATCATCTATGTCTGGTAATGGCAATAGATATACGTATATGAGCACTTCTATTGTACCCTTGTAGTGTTTGTTTAGCCGATCGGTGTGTTGTACCGTTTACTTGATTGGTCTAGCGATCTGTACCATTTGGTTTTCGATTGAATATAGAATTTGAAATTAAAGTGAAAAGAGATTGCTTGTCTATGTAGGAGCTTAATATATTTTTCATAAATTTTAACACGTAATTGTAATGGGCGAATTGTAATTCCGTAGTATTCCAAATTCTTATAAGTCGCTAAAAGTAATGAAACATTCAACAAAGTTTTAAAAATAGGATAACAAAATGCCCACAAATAAAAAAATAAATGAATTTTCTATTATATATAAAATAAATCATATTGAAACAATTTTCAATGGTTTTTCGAAATCAACTTATGTTCAAAATGTTTCGCGTTTAAATTGAGGAGACGACTTTTAATAAAATAAAGATAAACAGTAATAAATAAAATTTTAATTATCACTTATTTCTGCAAGTGTATATAACACCTAAAATATACACAGATGCACCAAGTAAATTTACATGCATTTTTAGATTTTTATAGTCATGGCTCTACCGATACATCAACTTTTGAGGAATTATGGTCTAGCTCTGAAATGTTCATACTAAAATTATATTCAAATCATTGCATTTAGTAATCTCATAGTAAAAAATATTATAGCAGATTGACAACCATTTATACTGCAAACATAATTCTCAAATTTATTTGCTTACCGTAAGATAAATCCTATACCAGGACAAAACATCTTCTTATGCCCAACACGCCACAACAGTTAAGTGATTAAAAGTCGTAGTTAAAGATAATATGATAATTTAACAATAGGAACATTGTAAACAATATTTTTATAAACCTCTGATGACAAAAGATATATTTATACATAACCCAAGTTACTTTTTTTTAAAACATCTTACTTCAAATTAAAATTAATATAATTTCATAATCAAGGTTATAGATTTATTTCATACTATTTGTTTTTACCCTTGTTATTTAATAGTTTTTGTACAGTTTCAAAGGTCTTCAATGTACTTTCCTTAAATTGACTATAATAAAACTAATTATGCTATAATGATGTTTCTGTTAACCTTTTGATAGCACTGATTGACTCACAGTTGCCAAACGTCTCTGCATATTTCGCCGCCGATTCAGAATTAGCTGTAAATAGATACTTAGTGCGCTCAATCGCATTTGTTTTTAATATACTTTTCTTAAGGTCCTCGTAATCAAGTTCGCGTACGTCAGTTTTTACACTTTCTATTTCATCATAAAGCTTTGGTGATTCATTGATAGCGAAGAGGACGGGAGCGCTAACCAGAGAGTATGTTTCTTTATTGTCAGTAGTAAACTTTTGGATGTCACTGGCAGCCTGCCATGCTAAACACAAATGGCAGCCTAATAAATATGCCATTTCTTGTTCTTCCTTTCCTTTACCTGCTAATAGCACAGCACCCTCACAACCCCGACCAAAAAGACTTCCACCATTGTACAATGTCCTTAAAGTCCATTCTTTAATTGGGCAACCTAACGTATCTGTAACGTTCAATGGAACAGTATCACAGTTAATTTTAAAGTCATCTAGCATATTCAACGGTTTCCCCGGCAGAGGCATGTTTTGAGTATCCCTATCACCGAAAAATTCACCTTCACTTAAATCACGTAACGCCGTCGATATTAAATAGGATAAGTCTTGATTTTTCAAACGGGCCAGCATTCCATTTGCTGTAACTAATAAATAGTCGCCAATCAGTATGGCTATTTTATTGGCAAATAATTCTGTATCGAAGTCTTTGTACTTTCCAATTGGTATATTTAGAAGGCCTCTGTGCACTGAATGTCCAGTTCTTATCATTTCTGTTAGTTCGGCTAATTTCCGTTGACTTTCATTTACTAGGTTTGCTTGTAGACAAGACATTGGTGGGTTCACAGCTTTGGACAGGAGCAGAATGATCAAGCCCCACGGTTGAAGGTTATTATGTTCGTTGTATAAAACTGATTTTGCAGTTTTCATTAATGGATGGTTACTGTCCACCTAGAAGTTATAAGTAACATAGTATTAATCATAGCTCATACTTACTGAGATGTTTACGTTTTAATTATATCTCTTATTTTGATTTTAAAGCTTTTTAACTGCTTACTTTTATGGTAATCAAATTGCATATACTTCGAGATTATACATATATAAATAAGTATAAGTATTATTTATATTAATATATAAAGCATGGATGCAAATGGCTCAGGATCATGCTTCATTGCAGACTGTGAGAGAAATATATGTTCAGCAGTAGACTACTAAAACAGGCTGAACTGATGATGGTGACATAACAAGATATCACTACTAATACAAAAGAGCTGCTCATTGACCTGACACCTTTTGTCAAGTGACTTATGCCAACAAGACAATAATTCAAGTTATATTTAGGCATAATATTTCATCAGAAATTACATTATTACTGTCAATAGTAATAACAAAATAACCTTGTCTTTGACTTCTTATGTAATCAATGAATGTATGATTTTATTAGAGAATGGTTATTAAATATTGGTGATAATTCAATTTTTTAAAACGTTTAGAACATTTATTAAGGTCGTTTTAAATATTTATTTTAAAAATAAAGTTTTTTTATGAAGACGTACATAGTTGCTAACATCTGATTTGCTTGATTGAGATCACCAGATATTAACAACAAATAACTTATGAATGAATATTTTAATTTAAAAAGATTAATAATTTCTTTAAATTTAGTATCCGTACTTACCACTTTTCTTAAGTGCATAGCCATGTTAGCGAATTCATCACTAAGCAGCCACCTTAAATTCATGAAAGAGGTTGGATATCCCACAATTTTCTCTGCTTCTCTTATTATTTTGCTCCATTGTGTTAGGGGAGGTCGGAAAACATAATCATCATGGGTTAGATTGGTCATGGTGCTTTCGAGTCGTATTTGCTGGGTTAAAAGTACCGTACGGCGCAAGTGTCGTATCAAAGCATAAGGCATTGTGTAATATTTATGACTAGGTGCAAGTTAAAATAACAATTACATTTAAAGTAAATAAAAATATTAGTTTCAAACACAGAAAACTAAATGCGCGCGCAGTAAGGCCGATTATGTCACTGTTTATTTTGACATTTCTTCAAGCGGAGATTTTTACTGAACATTTATAAAGATAGTTATGAATATTTTTTTGTAAAATTAATAGAATTTCAGCCACAAAAATTTACAATAGTTATTACATTAGCTTGGAAAGCTCGTTTAAAAGACAACTTAAATCCATGTTTTGAACAGGAAATTTGGTCTTAAGATAATTTAAATAATTAAATACTGATATAGAATAAAATATAGTTGTATTCAATGCGATACTTAATAAACGCAATATCAGTTTCAGTTGCGTAATATTTAACATTTAAGGAAAAGTTTTTGAGCAAATTTGTCTTTAAATTAATTTGAAGGTTTTGTTTTTTAATGAAGGTCACAATTGGATTATAACTTTAACCTATTTTTTAAATTTAGGTATATGATTGATATTCAATATTATGTGATTTTGATATATCTTGTTTACTATATTACTCTCTTAGAAAATTTGTTTTATTTATTACTTCTTTTTAGGGTTCCGTACCCAAAGGGTAAAACGGGACCCTATCGCGACTTAGCTTTTTTAAAAATAAGCATTGCTATGGTACGAGTTTATATAATGAAATATTTGCAAATAACTTCATCAGCACGCTATAAAGTGTCATGTGTCTAAACGAACTCTTTTTCTACGGTCCAATCGAATTATATGCGTCCGTCTGGTTATCAACACTACCTATATACTTCTCACCTTAGTTCGCGGAGACCAGCGTTCGGTGGCTTGGTGCTCACACCAATGAATACTTGGCATACAGTTTGTTGTGTACGCTTAGCTATTAATGCTAGTTCTGCATCGTAAAATAATTGGACCTAGTCACATCATCAAAGTTATTTTTAACGTTAGAAGATAGCAAGCGAACTGGCGGTTAATCTGATATTATTAAGGGATAACTGCCGCCTTTAGACATTTGCAACTGGGCCCCGGTTACCTCACTTACCAGACGAAACGCAGAAATATAACACTTCCACTTCAGGCCGGTGTTTTGTGAGATCAAGCGTAGACTTTTGTTTGGTCTTACCATAGTTGACAAACATTTGATCAAAATTTTTACAGCGCCTTTCAGTCTTCAGTCCTTAAATCTTTTAATTTTTAGAACAAAATAAGGTTTAATAAGAAACATTTCTTAACTAAACTAAGAAAAATTTCTTTAATACAGTAGCATTTAATCTTGTGAGTGAGGTAACCAGAGCTCAGTTTCTATAATATTGATAACGCAATTGAAAACCTATTATCCACAGGTTTTCAGTTGCGTGTGGGCGGCGGTAATCACTTAACATCGGGCGAACCAACAGCTTGATGCCATCTAATCTAATAAAAGAAAATCTCATACTACTTGGAATTGCGGCATAGATTTTACGTTGCGGATATGATACAGTAGTTATACATACAGTACAGATGATGTATGCGGCATAAATTTGTTTTTGTGCTTTATTAATTAAAAAGATATCGCTCGATATTCCTAACGTTGCAAAAATTTCCGCCATCTCAATATCAAAAAATGGTAATTGAAACTATCTAACATTTTAAGCGACTGCATAACTCAAGGGCTTCGGCTAGAGCTCGCCCGACTATTACAGACCATATAAATTTAGTGGACTATGTATCCACGAAAAGGAAAAGGATGCCGATGCGGTCTACGGTTGACTAGGAAGCCATTGAAGAAAAATTTTGTTATCCACTAAGACATAGTGACATTTTCCTTCGAAAGTTGGCTGCAGTAGGATTTACTCGTAATCTCTAATTTTAGTTTGTTCAGTTTATGGATAGGGGAAGTAAATGAAAATTAAAAGTACACTTTAATCTAACTATGTTAATACGTATTGTTTTCTTGATTTTACGCGAATATTATACATATTTAAATGAAACTACTTTACGGATTTTATCGCGTTTTTTATTTAGACTGTCCCGTGACCATGAACGCTGGAAAGGGTTCGAAACGTCGGGAATTTAAATTAAAATAAAAAACGCGATAAAATCCGTAAAGTAGTTTCATTTAATATGTTAATACGTAATGAATTACTCTTTGTGTTTCGACCAATTTGACTTTTTTTTATTTTATTTAATTTTCGTAATTTTTAATTTCATGTCAACTTTATAACATGGCATGACTTCTAGTGTTATCGATTTAAATTTAGGTATGTCGGGGTGCAGAGGAGCAATGCTCTGTTCAATACAATTGTGTCTTATTGTAAACTAGTGACCCGCCCCAGCTTCGCACGGGTTCAATGCTGAATATTTGTTTTCGACATCGCATTAGAAACTTCTAAAATTATCAGTGTTTCTCAACTCTATTATGCATGAATTATATTTAGATATAAATCTTTCTCTTGAATCACTCTATCTATTAAAGAAAACTGCATCAAAATCCGTTGCGTAGTTTTAAAGATCTAATCATATATAGGGACAGACAGGAAGCGGGACGTCTTTATTTCATACTATATAGTCATAAATAATCAGCAATGTGCATATAAAATCTAGTTAGGTTATAAGTTGAACGACAACCTAGTTAGGTTATAATTTGATTGACGACTACTGCTTTTACGTAATTAACAAAACAGAATTTCTTTTTTTAAATTAATAAAAAGGCTAGACATTCGCGCTTTGGAAATGTACAAGTTTACTTTTGCTTAATGCAAAAATGTATATGGTGATTATTATATAGATGCCCGTATTTCTTATTCCTTAGCAAATATCTTCATCTCGAAACCTCCGTCTTTGAATGAACCCATTTACACCCGCAATGTAAAAGGGGCATTAGAACAGAAACATACATTACTCATATACGCCGTGGTGGCTTTGACTGCAATTAAGCGTTTCATTTATAGCTAGATTTTATCTGTACCCCATTTGGACTCAACGTTAATAAATACAAAGCACTGAACGTTAACGCTTCTACGCCAGCCAATCACGTGTGCGCGCGCCATTATTCAAAAATAGAATGGACGAGGGTTAGGGTTACCATTCGTGAGCACTTTTCTTACACGCTACGTTTTTAATTATGTTGAATTCAACCAATCTTGTATGGTATTATATTATTGTATTGGTTACATTCATAATTATATTTTTAGCATTAAAGCAAAAAATAAATACTTTATTGCCATAGTAAATTTTGTTAGGCTCATGGAAAATTTTTGAAATGTGCATACCGAATTCTCTTAAAACCGAGAGATTTTTAAAGCGTTCAGGTTGCTATTAAATTGTCTAATAATTTTTTTAGTGTATTTCGTGATAGTCCATAATCTTTTTTAAATGTGAAATGTTTTTATTAGTGTCCAGAAGCAATTTGTTTTCAACCGACTTCAAAAATGAAGGAGGTTCTCAATTCGGCTGTATTTTTTTTTATGTTTGTTACCTCATAACTCTCGATTGAGTGAACCGATTTTGCTGATTCTTTTTTTATTTGTAAGCTGGTGCTTCCCATGGGGTCCCTATAATTTCATTGGTATCTCGGCTCCGGAGATACTTAGGGAACTCCTGAAAATCGATTATAAAATAAATACAGAGCGAGATATTTGAAGTTTTGTTTTTCTTTATAATAAAAAAAATGGACTTGTCGAAAGTACTGGTGGTAACACTATTCCGTAGGCCGCGGGCAAAGACGGTGGCTCGTTCGTAGCAATTAAAAAATAAAACCGATGTATAATTTGTTGGCGGTTTATGGTGGCCCAGTCCCTCGGCCGCAAAACGAGCAAAACGGCGCTCGCATTTGCATTTTGATCGGCGCATTTCTGATTGAGTGAGGTCTTTAGGAGTCGAGAGCGGTCGCGGTGGGTTTTGTTTTGCGAAAAAATTGCTCTTGCTCAATTTTTTAGGCCTACTCGCTCGTTTTTTTTTAACAAAACGTATAAATTAACATTTGCGGCCAATGTTAATAGTTGGTTTTGGATTGTGGCGAGTAAAGGGAGCGATCTTTTAACTTCGATGCAGAAACGGAATACAGTGAGACGCGTTTTATTTGGTTTCGGGAACCAGCGGGCGGGCAGTGCAATCACGATCTAATTGCTACGTTTATTCCACCTGGAAACATTCACTAATATATCTTTTTCTGTGTCTATATATATACACGCCTCAATCATAAAACCTTATGTACGCTTCATATGTGGTGTTATTATTCTGCTGCCTTTTCGAATTTCGTTAAAGCAATTTGCTTAATGAAATGATTATATACTTAATGCAAGGGATTTAACGCTGAGTACCAGTGTTGTTTTGTTATTTATATTAAATATCATTTACTTTATATAAACTAGACGTAACGTATGATACTTCTACTTCAGACCGGTCTTCTGTGAGGACTTTTGGCAACTGAAAAATGTTGCCTGACCCTACGTCAGCTACACTAGTTACAACTATTTCGTATCCTACGGATATAAAAGTATAAGTTTTGAGATATACAATGAATGAATCTTTACGTGTAAAAAATTTTTTTGGTAAAATGAAAATGAAAATATTTTTTCATTCTTTTCATTAATTTATTATTAATGAAAAGAATTAATAATTACTACCATTTCCCGAAAATTAGTTTGTACAAATTCAAATTTTATTGAAAAAGCTTTTTAAGAGCAGAATAAATAAAGTATTTTTCTATGAACTGCCGTTCTAAATATTTTTTAGTGTTAAGATATGTTTTATTCTTATTTGAAATCAAAATCGAGATTGAAAATTAATTTCAATATAAATATACCATTTCTTTTGAAAACAACTATTCGCTTATTTTATCCATACTAATATTATAAATTCGAAAGTAACTCTGTCTGTGTCTCGCTTTCACTCCAAAACTACTAAACCGATTTAAATG